TTGCTCACCAGGTTCGTCGAGAACGAGGGGAGGTGGAAACCCGACAACGAGCCAGACGGAACCGCCGGACACGGGAGCACAGTGGTGGACCGTGCAAGGACTGGGCCCCCAGAGGGGTCAGCCAAGGAGACTGGGACCGGTGCAGGAAGCGGTGTGAGCTCAGTACGGTCACGAAAGAAACAGCGGGAAGCACCTGAGTCAAGGGTGAAGGTGTGACAGGTCTCAGCCGGTGCAGTGCCTGAGAGAGCAGTCTCTGTGGGTGCTGTACCTGAGAGAGCAGACTCACAAGCAGCAGGGACAGTACCGGAGGGAGCAGCCACAGAGGGCACCATACCAGAGAGAGCAGACTCACTAGTACCTAGGGCAGCGGGCTCTATACCTGGGTCAGGCGGCACACACAAGTAACAGTCTCCCTCGGCACTAACAGTCAATGCATACATAGCAGCAATAATAGCATCATAGTCAAGAGCAAAGATATCAACACCAGCCCTCATCAGCTCCGCCCAGCGGGGGCGCTCAACATCCTCGCCCATCTCCTCACGCCAAGCGTCGTCAAGGCGGGAGAAGCAGCGGTACGGGGTGTGGAACTTCCCACACGTCTGTCCCTTGCGGTCACCTGTGCGAATGACATAGGAGCAGCGGACACAGCCCCGCGACGTCCCACGCTGAGCAAGCCACTCACGAAGCTGCTGGGTCGTCTGGGGACGCTGCTGCTGCTGGGAGCTCTGGCCCGAGCCAGTGCCTCCACTCCGACCTCCGCCGCCACCACTACCTCCGCTCCGACCGCCACCGCCGCCACCGCCACCGCCGCCACCGCCGCCACCGCCACCGCCGCCACCGCCGCCACCGCCACCGCCGCCACCACCGCCACTGCTCCCTCCGCCGCCCCCGCCTCCGCTGCCGACCCCACTCCCACCAGCACTCCCGCCACCGCTCCCTCCAGCACTGCCTCCCCCCCACCTCCCCCACCTCCTCCCCCCCCAGCGCCACCCCCGCCACCCTTGCCCCCCTTGCCCTTGCCGGTGCGGCGCCTCCCACCAGGAGCAGAAGCAGCGCCAGCAGACTCAGCACCAAGGAAGTCAACAGCAGCAGCAGTAGCGTAGGAGGGAGCGAGGGGAGAGGGAGAACACCCCTCAAAGATGGGGGTGCGAGGAGCGCCACGAGCAGCACCGACAGCTACAATGGTCTTCTCGGCCGCTAGCAGCTTCTCCTCTAGGAGGGCGACTGTGAGCTCAGTGGGACAGCGAGCAAGGAAGTGGTCTCGAACTGAGCTGAGGGTGTCAGGGAGACGGGTGACTATGAAGTGGAGTGTCCAGTACAGTGGAGGGGGGTGCTTAGCGCAGAACTCGGTGGGAAGGGCGGCACGCAGGCGAGCATCACTAGTGCGAAGGTGGGTGATAAGATCGGCGACTGTAGCAAAGGTGGACAGGTCAGGGAACAGGTAAGGCAGCATGAGGCGGCTAAGCTCGGCTGTGGCAGGCGAGGAGTAGCGAGTAACAACAGCGTCGTACAGGGCCTTAGCGGATTTGCAGTCGCCAAAATGCTCGAGCTCAGCTAACGGCAGGTGACTGCGAATGGCTAGGCGAGCAGCTGCGTCACGAGTCTGCCAGTGGGAACGAACACTAAGCTCAGCTGTGGCGGGAGGGGCAGGCGCTGCACCAGACGCGTAGTCATAGAGCGACACATGCTCCTTGCTATCGCTCAGGAGGAACAGCTGCAGGTCATCTAGCCAAGTGGTGAACTGCACAGGGCGGCCCTCAGCATCGAACGACAGCACGCGGATGGAAGCCATGGCGACAGTGCGACTGAGCAAAGCAAGCTGCCGCAGCGCTGCAAGCAGGTAGCTCGGTGGGGAGCGCGGCGGGCGGGCGGCGCTCTGAGCGGGCAGCGTGGCAGGTAGCGCGGCGGGCAGGCGGCGCTGTGAGCGGGCAGCGCGGCGGACGGGTGGCGAAGCTGGCAGCGCGGCGGGCAGGCGGCGCTGCAAGCGGGCAGCGCGGCGGGCGGGCGACGCTGCGAGCGGGCAGCGCGGCGGGCGGGCTACGAAGCGGGCAGCGCGGCGGGCAGGCGGCGCTGCAAGCGGGCAGCGCGGCGGGCGGGCGACGCTGCGAGGGGGCAGCGCGGCGAGCGGGCGACGCTGCGAGCGGGCAGCGCGAGCGGATAGCGCGGCGGATGGGCGGCGCTACTGGCGGGCAGCGCGGCGGGCAGCGCAACGGGCAGCGCGAGGGGCGAGGGCGCTAACGAGGGGCGCTAACGAGGGCGCTAACGAGGGCGCTAACGAGGGCGCGCGAGGGCGCTAACGAGAGGCGCACGAGGGCGCTAACGAGAGGCGCACGAGGGCGCTAACGAGAGGCGCACGAGGGCGCTAATGAGGGGCGCGCGAGGGCGCTAACGAGGGCGCGCGAGGGCGCTAACGAGGGCGCACGAGGGCGCTACGAGGCTAGGGCACGGGGTAGCGTGGTAACCGCATGCGAGCGGTGGTGGGCCCTAAAAAAAACGGTCGGTAGGTCCTAGGGACCTCCTGCTCTGAATACCATGTCAACAGGACTAGGCAAGAATGGTGCATTGAATGAAACAGTTGGGTACAAGTAGCAAACCCTAGTTGGGGTTGTACCCCATATTGGCTACCCCACTACAGCCTACCAACATATAACACATTACAATTTAACAAAAAGAACTAGGGGGTTGGGCAGCAGTAGCAGTAGTAGCAGCAGCAGCAGCAGGTTGCCGAGGTGGTGACACAAAGAGCACTTGTCTATGCAGGCTCCTAGGCAGCTCACCTTCGTACGGCCGAACTGCACGATCCCTGTCCACCAGAGCGGATATGTACTGGTTGTAGCACTCGAAATGCATCTGGCTTCAGTGCAAAGAGCCCTAGTGTTGCCTTTTAACTAGCTAGTCAGCTCACCTTCAGCTAGCTAGCTAGCTGGGCATCTCACCTTCATACGGCCGCACTGCACGGTCCCTGTCCACCAGAGCTGACATGTACTGATTGTAGCACTCGAAATGCATCTGGTAGCAACCAGGGCAAGCAAGGGAGAAGGGCAGTAAATAAAACCCTGAACGGTCAAGCTTTAACCGCGAAACCCAAAACCCCGAATGCAGCAAGAGCCTGCAGAGATGGAAACGAAGATGCATCTCAATGTGGTTACAATCTAAATGTGGTTACATTCTAAACGTGGTTACATTCTAAATGTGGTTACACTGAGAAAAAATGAGAAACAAGAAGGTACACCCACTGAGAAACAGTAGACAAGTCGATCGAGCATGTATGATATTCCAAGAGTCACAAAAGCCACCTCAAGAAACAGAGACCCATATGAAAGCAACAGATACCCACCTGAAGGCAACAAACCTGAAGGCATCAGAGGCCCACCTGAAGGCAACAGAGGCCCACCTGATGGCAACAGAGGCCCACCTGATGGCCGCAGCATCGGATGTGGGAGGTGACCTGCGTATCCAGTGCCCCCTCCACCTGCACCCCCACTGTCCACTCCACTCCCCCTGCTGCACTATCACTCGCACTCGCATTTCCTGCTGCAGAATGCCCTTGCTCGCACATTCTGGTATGCCCTTGCTCTGCTGCTGCTGCTTCTGCTGCTGCATGCTTGTTCAGTCCTGAACTCGATTCTGCTGCTGCAGACACAGCACCAGGCCTTTCCTGTTCTTGTCTCGGCTCAGCAACAGAAGCAGCAACAGCAGCAATAGCAGCAGGAGGAGAAAGGGCAGGAACAGCAGCGGCAGCTGCGGCAGTTGCAGCAGCAGTTGCGGCAGCGGGGGTGATAGGCTGAGCGCGGGAGTGCATGATTGTGGGGAGCTTGTACGGCTGAGCCAGAGCCACCCACCCGATGGGGGCTGTTGGGGTGGGGCGACACTGGGGTTTGGGGTTTAGGAGTGGAAGGGGACGGGAGGAATGGAATGGTGGGGAATAAAACAGGGTGGTGGGAGCTTGTACGGCTGAGCGAGAGCCACCTACCCAATGAGGGCTGTTGGTGAGGGGCGACACTGGTTGGGGGGGGGGAGGAGGGGAAAGGAGGGGAGGAAACAGCGTACGGAAAAGACAAACATGATCCATTCCCAACAGCAGCGGCGGGGGTCATAGGCTGAGCGCGGGAGAGCATGATCGCAGGGAGCTTGTACGGCTGAGCGAGAGCCACCCACCCAATGGGGGCTGTTGGTGTGGGGCGACACTGGGGATTGGGGTTTAGGAACGGAAGGGGACGGGAGGAATGGAATGACGGGGAATTAAAGAGGGTGGGTAGCTTGTATGGCTAGGCCAGTCCCACGCACCCGATGGGGGCTATTGGTGCTGGGCGGCACTGGGGTTTGGGGTTTCAAGTATCGGGGAATGGAAGGGGAGGAATGCGGGAAACAAGAAGGGTGCTGATCAGTAGGTCAGTGCTACAGCCACGGGGGCTAATGGTATGGGATGTGAGAGCACTGGAAATGAAAGGACTCAAGATTTAGGGTTCAGAATGAAACGGGACGGCAATGTGATGTGAGCGAAGAAGAGGCAAGAAATCATGCAAGTCATTGCAACCGAAAAGCATACAGAGCTGCAGAAGGGTGGTTCAGTATGGTTCAGCAGGGCGGATGCAAGCAAGGGTGCACGTTAGCAGGGCAGACGCAGTACAGCCATCCAGCAGCACAGTTACCCTGCAGTTGCTCGTACAAGCAATTAACCCTACTGGTGCTGTTCAATTTATCTTATCCTTCTGGATTCTCTACCACTTCACATTACAGTGCTTCTCTCCTTCTCACCTCGGCATGGCAGAAACCACACAGGTCCGGCTCAAAGGACGTGAAAGCAGCAAGAGACCCTGGCGCTATCCTCGCCTTCCTCGCACCACCACTTGCTGTCGCAGTTGCTGCTGCTGCTGCTGCTGCAGCTGCCACTGACGCTGCTACTGCTGATTGTGCCGCTGCTGTTGCTCCTCCTGGTGCCACTGCTACACCCGCCCCCTCCACTCTCCCTCCCTCTACCAGCTTGCCTTTCCCTTTCCCTATCCCACCCACACCTCCTGCACCCTCCACACCAGTTTTTCCGCACTCACTTCCTTCTGGCCCCGTATCCAACTCCATATCCTCCCCCTCTGCCCCCTCGCCCCCCCCTGCTTGCCCTCTCTTCCTGCTCCGCAGAGCTTCCCTCCCTGCACCACCCATTCCGTCCCATTCCAATCCCCCCCGCCATACGTCCCCTTGCTTCACACCCATTTGTTTACCATCTCCACCCCTGTCACTACCATCTGCACCCGCAACCCCCCTTGCCCTGTCCCCATCAATATCCATGCCCTCCCCTACTCCTTCTGCAGGTGCTGCTGCTGCTGCTGCTGCTGCTGCTGCTACTGCTGCTGCTGCTGCTGCTGCTGCTGCTGCTGCTGCTGCTGCTGCTGCTGCTGCTGCTGCTGCTGTTGCTGCTGCTCCTGCCCCTGCTACGTTGCTGCCCATTGCCCTGCCACTTTCCCCTGATCCTGTGGCACCTGCTCCTGCTCCATCTGATCCTGCTGCACCCTTCGAATCTCTCGTCCTCCCCTCCTCCATCTCATCATCTTCCTCATCATCTGCTGCTGCCAGCATCTTAGCAAACGCGCTCTGCCTGCACAAGCATACACGTGTCACGTTGAGTAAACAGAGGTGTTTAAAATCAGTCCCCACAGCTCACTTATCAGCCTGTCGCTGCCTCTTCTGTTGCAACTTCTCTCCTCAGAAAAAGGCACACTTTCAGACAACACAGCTTCGTGCCATGCCATGCCATGCCATGCCATGCCATGCCACGCCATTCTATGCCATTCCATCAACTTACTTGGCAGCAAATTAAGCCATGATAGTGGCCTGTCGCTGCCTCTTCTGCTGCCACCTCTCTCCTGGAAAAGGCATACTTTCAGTCTTAGACAAAGCATGCTTCATGCCATGCCATGCCATGCCGTTCCATCAACTCACTTAGCAGCGAATTGAGCCATGATAGCCGCCTGCCGCTGCCTCTTCTGCTGCCTCTTCGCCTCATCCGACCCCATCCCTCCTCCAGCCGCCCTTGACACGCCCCCTGCTGCTGCTGCTGCTGCTCCTGCTGCTGCTGCTGTTGCTTCTCCTGCTGCCGCGCCTGCTGCCATGCCTACTGCTGCTGCTGCTGCGGCAGATCCAGGCTGCTCTGCCTTGGACTGGACACGAGGGAGGAGATAGAAGGAAGAAGAGGAGGGGAGAAGGGTGTAAGGAAATGGTGAGGAGGGGAGCGAGTGTGAAACCAAGCAAAGAGTATGCAGCCAAGACTTTTGCCTCTCACATCATAGCTTTAATCACCAACGACCCCATTCCCAGCTACATACCACCAGTCTGCGAAGTGAGCCACCGCTCGCACCTCTCCTCCACATCATGCGGCAATGTGATAGAAAGAAGAGAAAAGTTAGAAAAGGGAAAAAAAGATTCTCACCTCTCCAGGTGCCTCATGTGGTCGCAGGTTGAGTCTGGTCATGAGCAACGAGATCACATGCTCTATGGCGTCCTTGAGACCTGGCGGGGGGGAAGAGGACGAGAGAGGAAAGGGCATGGTAAACGAAACGGAGTCAAGAGGAAATCATGTCGAGTCTGGTCATGAGCAACGAGATCACATGCTCTATGGCGTCCTTGAGACCTGACGGGGGGGAAGAGGACAAGAAAGGCAATCGAAAGGGAAGAGAGGGTGGGAGGAGAGGGCGTGGTAGAGTCAAAACACCGTGGTGAGCGTTCCTAATTTTATCTGAATACTCAAAATCGGCAACAATAAAGGCAGTTGAAAGGGAAGAGACGGCGAGAGGAGAGGGCGTGGTAGAGTAAGGACACCATGTTGAGTGTGCCTGTGAGCAAATAGATCACAAGGCTTTAATGAGATTTGCGCGTTGGAGATTAACGAGGCAGATTGAGACAAGGCAGTAGGAAGATAGGGTGATGAGGGCAGCAAGGAATAGGGGTTGGACAAAAAATAGGCAGCAAGAGACGGGTCAAGACGGAGAAGACAGAACAAAATAAGGCGTATTTTTGCTTGATTACTCAATTTTCTCAAAGATTTTAGGCATTAGAATACTCACGATGATTATCAGTGTTCTGGAGTATGCTCTTAAGGGAGACAAACACATCCGGGAGCGAGTCAAACGGCGAGCTCGGCCCCTTGGCCTTGCCACCTGCCTTAGCACCTGCTGATCCCCGTGCTTCCCCCCCAAAGGGTAGGCACGATATGACTGCTGCTGCTGCTGCTGCATCGTCAGCTAATAAGGGAGACGGCAAGCACGACAGAACTGCTGCTGCTACCTCGTTCTCTGCTGCTGCTTCTGCTGTTACTGGAGCAGCTACGTCAGAGTCACCATCAACACTAGAATCAGCACCGGCAATTTCAGCAGCAGCAGCAGCGCCAACACCAGCAGCAGCAGCATTGGCAGCAGCAGGAGGAGGGGGGGCAAGAGAAGCAGCAGCAGCAGTGGCAGCAGTAGCGACATCGTCCATGCTTCTTGCAATGTCTAGGGAGTGACGGGAGGGGGAGGAGCGGCGCGAAGGGGAGGAGGAGGAGAAGAAGAGGTCGAGAGAGGATCGTGAGGGGGACTGCGAGCGTAGCTTGTTGAAGTTCCTGGAAATTCCCTCCAGCCAACGAGGCGAGCAGCTCACACAGGCCACGTCATCATCTGGAAAGCAGAGGGTGGGAGGGGGGAAGGGTAAGAGAGGACTTTTCATTTGAGGGGGCTGAAAAAACAGACTCCTGGGAATTCCCTCCAGCCAATGAGGCGAGCAGCTCACACACGCTACATCATCATCTGGAAAGCAGAGGGTGGGAGGGCGGAGGGTGGGAAGGGGGAAGGCAGAAAGGGGACTGCATTTGAGGCGCCTGAAAAGCAGACTCCTGGTAATGTCCTCCAGCTTAAGATGCGAGCAGAGCACACAGTCGACATCACCACCACCATCAGGTTCTGGAAAATCCTCACCACTAACAGGGTCTTCATCAATGTTACCTTCATCACCAGCAGCAGCAGCAGCGGCAGAGGAACGAAAACTGACTGACTGAAGTTGCTCCAAGTCCCACTCACTCTCCAAGTCCCACTCACTCTCACCATATTTCCTGCTAGCCTTATCACTCACTTACCCTCATCATCAGCAGCAGCGGCGGAGGAACGAGATCTGACTGACTGCAACCGATCCGAGTCCCACTCACTCTCCCCAACGCCCCCACTCCCACCACTGCCACCACTGCCACCGCTGCCACCACTGCCACCGCTGCCACTGCTCCCACTTCTGCTAGCCTTATTGGTTGAAGATGGGCCGGGGGGGTACAGGGGAGGCCGGGAAGGGGAGGAGGAGACAGGCGAGCCTAGCACCATTGCTTCCTTCCACAGCCAGCTTGGGTTGGACCTGAATGGGGGAGGCGAGAGGCAAGGGGAAACGCGAAACATGAGCCGGGTGGATATAGCCACTGCCACTGTCCCCACTCCCACTCCCACCGCTGCCACCACTGCCACCGCTGCCACTGCTCCCACTTCTGCCAGCCTTCTTGGTTGAAGATGGGCCGGGGGGGTACAGGGGAGGCCGGGAAGGGGAGGAGGAGACAGGCGAGCCTAGCACCATTGCTTCCTTCCACAGCCAGCTTGGGTTGGACCTGAAAAAGAGGGGCGAGAGGCAAAAGAAATGAGAGTGGGGATTACATGAGGGGCCGGGAGGATACACGGGACGGGAGGCCAGGAAGGGGAGGAGGAGACTGGTGTGCCCAGCGCCATTGCTTCCTTCCACAGCCAGCTTGGGTTGGACCTGCATGTGAAGCGGGGGGAGAAATGGGGAAGGGAATAAGTGAAGGGAGATTCTGAGGAGGACCGAGTGGTAGGCCGCGCTGGAGGAGGACAGCAACTCGTGAGCACGAGCGCCATTGCGCTCCTCCACCAAGACGTCACGATACTGAGACAACAGGAGTTGAAGTGAGTGATCCCGCCCACCCACCTGACATCAGTGGCAGCCACAGTCACGAGCTGCGTGGCGAGGAGAGCAATGCTTTCCGCTTGGGTGCTGTGGGCTGGGCTGCTGGAGGTAAGCAGGTGGGTTCACCTCTCTAGCACAGCAGGGCAGCAGGACAACAGGCACCCACACACCTGCCATCAGTAGCAGCGACAGTCACAAGCTGCGTGGCGAGGAGAGCGATGTTTTCTGCTTGTGTGCTGTGCGCTGGGTTGTGGGATGCGAGCAGGTGGACTCGCCTCTTTCTCAAGCACAACAGGACAGCAGGGCACCCACCAACCTGGCATCCGTGGCAGCCACAGTCACGAGCTGCGTGGCAAGCAGAGCGATGCTTTCCGCTTGCGTGCTGTGGGCTGGGTTGCGGGAGGCGAGGAGGTGGGTGGGTGGCTCACCTCTTTAGCGCAGCAGGACAGAAGGGCAACCACCCACCTGGCATCAGTGGCAGCCACAGTCACGAGCTGCGTGGCGAGAAGAGAGATGTTTTCTGCTTGCGTGCTGTGGGCTGGGTTGCGGGAGGCAAGCAGGTGGGCAGCGCATGCAAGAGCACAGCGCACCACAATGTGGCATGGCTGTCAGGAAGGAACAGGGGAGGGCGGAAGGGAGAGGAGAGGAGGGAATAAGGTGGAGCCATGCCACACAGGCAGGCTCGGGGGAGGCGAGCAGGTGGGCAGCACATGCGAGAGCACAGCGCACCACAATGTGGCACGGCTGTGAGGACGGAAGAGGAAGGGAGGAGGGGGAATAAGGGGTGCACTGCATGTGAGTGGAGCCCTGCCTGACTCTCAGCTGGCAAGGGAGGGGAGGGGAGCTGATGGCAGCGCATGCAACAGCACAGCGCACCACAATGTGGCACGGCTGTGAGAACGGGAGTGGGAGGGGTTGGAAGTACGGGGGAGCGGTTGGTAGGGGTTGGGAGGGGTACGGCAGTAGGAGGAAGGGCTGGGCGGAAGGGAACAAGTGGAAAAAAGAGGGGACCGGGTGCAACGTTTAATAATTGCAGAGGAGACCTGGGAAGAGGGGTGCAGCAGTTGGGTCGAATCAGGAGTAGCAAGATGCCATGGCAGAAACACGTGCCATTCATTCAGTATACTGATTTACTGAAAGCAGCAGTAGAGAGAGTTCACCTCGGTGTGGGCCATGTCTGGCAGCCTATCAAATGGCGCCATGTGTCGCTGCGGGCACTGCATTCGCCAGAAGCACACCTTGGGCGCCAATCTCTCTGCTCGCTCCTGCGCTCCCATGGAGGTGGAGGGGTTGGGAGAAGGAGGGGAGGGGAAGTGGAGGGGTTGGGGAAAGAGTGTGGAGAAGGGGGTGGGGTGGGGAGGCACTGCACTGCACTACACTAGCCAGAAGCGGACCTTGGGCGCCAGCCTCTCTGCCCGCTCCTGCGCTCCCATGCAGGCGGAAGAAGGGGGAGAAGGGGATGAAGGACAGCGGAAGAGGGTTTATGAGGCATTTCAAAAACTCAGAAGCCCACCTTGGGCGCCAGCCTCTTTCGTCGCTGATGCACACATGGACGCACACACATGAGGTTGAGGTGGTTAGTAGGGCAAGAGTGGGGAAGGGTGGGTTTATGTTGGGGGAAGAGTGTGGAAAGAGTGGAGTAACGGGGGGAAAGAGCGAGCAGAGGGCAGGAGAAGATCTCCCCAACTCCCATACTGTGTGCCATGCCATGTATTCCCCCCAATTCTCGAGCTTCCCATTCCCCCTCCCCAGCTGCAGCCCCTCTTCCAGAATGCAACCCCTTGCCAAAATGAAATTATATTCCCTCGTCCATGAATGTTTATCCCCCGAACCAATTCCACCCACTCACCTGCGCCTCCTCTAGGTCTGACGGTGAGTAGTGGGGGAAGAGCAGGTCAAACTCCTCCCAGCAGGCGGGCTTCAGTGTATGAGGACGGGACCACGCACCCTCAACCTTCCCTCGTTCCTCTTCCCCCATTCCCCCCCACCCACTCACCTGCGCCTCCTCCAATTCAGAGGGCGAGTAGTGCGGGAAGCGTGGGTCGAACTCGCCCCAGCAGGCGGGCTTCAGAACACCTAAGCCACCTTACCTCCTTCACACAATCTCACCTGCGCCTCCTCCAGTTCAGAAGGCGAGTAGTGGGGAAAGAGCGGGTCAAACTCGCCCCAGCAGGTGGGTTTCAGCTGGAAATACCCTCGCTGCTGCAGGCGCCGAGGCACATGGTGCTCTGCCACCTCTTGGAGCACTGCGCTCAGCTGGGGGAGACTAGCCAGAGAGGAACCGAGTTGTTGGGAGAGCTGCACAGAAAGCAGGGCACAGAGCACGTGGGGCGGAAGGTGAGCTTCAGCTGGAAGTACCCTCGCTGTGCTGCTGCAGGCAGCGAGGCACATGGTGCTCTGCCACCTCCTGCAGCACTGAGCTCAGCTGGGGGAGACTGGCGGGGGAAGAACCGAGTTGTTGGGAGAGCTGGAGAGGGGAAGCAGGGAGACAAGGCAGGAAGGGGGAAAGCATGTAAAGGCTCCCCAGCATGCCGGTTTCAGCTGGAAGTAGCCGCGCTGCCGCTGACGCCGCGGCACATGGTGCTCTGCCACGCCCTGCAGGATTGCGCTCAGCTGGGGGAGACTGGCCAGGGAGGATTCCAGTTGTCGGGAGAGCTGGAGAACAAGGGGAAGAAAGAGGGAGGAAGGAGCGATGGTGCTCCTTCCTAGGCGCATGGTGCTCTGCCACGTGGCAGTTGTGAACAGGTGCAATTGATAGAAGGCTGTGCACTGCAAAACCAGCAAACAAAACACAGGTTCGACCCAAGACGAGTGTAATATGCAGGATGTCTAAGAGAGAGTTAGAAATGCACAGTTCATCAGAACATGTGTGTGGCGCTGAGTTGACTTTTGAGTCGACTCAAAAGGATGTCAAGAGAGAGTTAGAAATGCACAGTTCATCAGAACATGTGTGTGGTGCTGAAAAAAACAGGGCGTTAAGCACGAGGCGTAAGGAGCGGATGGATCATGGACGTTAAGCACGTACATCGCTGTGAGTGCGGTCGCGCACTGCCAGCCACTGAATGACATGGTACCGAAGCACATAGTCCTGAGATTGGGACGAGAGAGAGTTGAAAGAACAAGAGGACAGAGGGTAAGTGAGAGCTCTTCAAACTTCACAGAGCACTGCCAGCCACTGAATGACATGATATCAAAGCAAGTAGTCTTGAGATTTGGACAAGGGACGGTAGGATGCATGAGAAGGTGAGTGCTTTAGTATGTGCCTTGTAAGAAGAACCCTGCAACGCTGCAAGCCATTGCAAGACACTGCATGACACTGCATAATGTGGTAGTGCAATACGCTCATGTTCGACTAACCAAAGTGATTCCACCCCATTCCACCTCCCTTTCAAACTCACCTCTGAAAATCCCGTGTGCTTTGGGTCCCGAATGATCTGCACAGACGTCAAGAACCAGGAAACCCAAGCGTGAAGTGATGCTTATACAGCATACATGCAAAGCAGAAGGGTTGTGGAAGCATGATACAACGAGCGGTATACAACCGAGGAATTCCACAAAGGAATTGGGGGTAACAGAGAAAACAACGTAAATGAAGCACTGCTCAGCAGCATTACATGCTCTTCAAGCAAAGGACTACGCGACACTGCACCGCTCAGAACCGCTCACCAGCAGGACAAGCTTGAGCAGATCAGCCAATCGGCTGAGCTCTGCTGCTGTCCAGTCAGCACTCGGGGGGGCAGATGATGAGGATGATGACGTGGCAGAAGTGCATTGGATGGTTTTGCTGAAGGTGTCGTGGAGCTGAGAAGGGAAGGAGGGGAACGCGGCAGAAGGAAGGGAGCGGCAGTGGTGGGAAGGAGGGAAAGGGGGGGAGGAGGGTGAGAGGGGGATCTTTTTAGTCGATTCAAAAATGGTTCTGCTGAAGGTGTCATGGGAGCTGAGAAGGGAAGAAAGGGCAGAACCACTTTCAAATTGCTGAAATGGTGGACGCGAGCAGAGCAGCAATTGAATCTAGAAGAGGGAGACGAGCTGCAGCAGCAGCAGTAGGTCGAGGCCCATGGCAGCAGGAGGAGAGGGATAGCAGGCAGGAGAACTATAAGACTCATTAATCTCACACTGAAGTGCTTGACAGCAGAGGCAAGGAGGGCAGCAGGGGAGTCGGAGGAGAACAGGGAGACGAGCTGCAGCAGCAGCAGCAGGTCGAGGTGCATGGCAGCAGGCCAGTAGAGCCTAGTGGTCAGGTACCCTCTCACTCAGCAAAGCCATGCAACTCACACTGAAGTGCTTGACCGCGGATGCGAGCAGGGCGGCAGGGGAGTCAGAGGAGAACAAGGAGACGAGCTGCAGCAGCAGCAGGTCGAGGTCCATGGCAGCGGGCCAGTAGAGCCTAGTGGTCAGGTACCCACTCAGCCAAGCAACTTACACTGAAGTGCTTGACAGCAGACGCCAGCAGAGCAGCTGGGGAGTCAGAGGAGAACAAGGACACGAGCTGCAGCACGAGCAGGTCGAGGTCCATGGCAGCAGGCCAGTAGCCCCCCCGATACACCCTCTCCAGCTTGCTCAGGTCCTCCCCCTGGTAGTGCCACTCGCGCGCCCGGATCTGGTGAATGGGACCGGAGAGTGGGGTTGCAAATGAGTCGGGGGAATGGGTTTCAGACATCACACCATTTCCAGCTTGCTCAGGTCCTCCCCGTGGTAGTGCCACTCGCGCGCTCGGATCTGGTGAATGGGACCGGAGAGTGGGGTTGCAAATGAATCGGGGGAATGGGTTTCAGACATCACACCCTCTCCAGCTTGCTCAGGCTCTCCTTCATTAATGGCGGCACATGAACTGGTGGACATGAGTATCACATGTTTGAAGAAGTGTTTTGAGACGTCTCAGAACGTGTTTGAAGAAGTGTTTTGAGACGTCTCAAAACACTTCTTCAAACACCCTCTCCAGCTTGCTCAGGCTCTCCGACATTAATGGCGGCACATGAACTGGTGGACATGAGTATCACACACGGTCCATAAATCTTTTTTCGGAATCTCTTTTTGATAAGAGCAGTGAGGAGAGCAAGCAGTGAGGAAAGCAGTGAGAGGGGTGAGTGAAGACAACAGCAGAAGTCAAGAGAGAACCGACCTGAGCCATCCAGGCGAAGAGTCGAAGTGGGTGCTCCGCCATTGCCAGCACCTGACCAGGAAGGAGGGGTGAGGGGAGAGGGAAGGCGCACGGGGAGCAGCTTGTTTAGTTGGTTATTAAAAAATCAGCCCCGACTCGCGAAGATGACATGCCACTTTTGTTGTATTGCGCACCCCCACCCCCACCTCTCTCCACCCCCACCTCTCTGCCCTCACCTCTCTGCGCATGTTGAGGGGCAGCAGTCGGCGCAAGTGAGCCACTGATGCTGCTGGCCCTGACCCGCCGCTCGCATCACCACCATCAGCACCACCACCAGCGCCAGCGCCAGCGCCAGCACCAGCAGCAGCAGCAGCAGCACCACCAGCACCAGCAGGACCACCAGCAGCGCCAGTGCCAGCACCAGCAGCACCACCACCACCAGCGCCAGCGCCAGCGCCAGCAGCAGCAGCAGCGCCACCGGCAGTGGCAAGCACAGCATGAGCAGCGATGTGCACGAGGGAGGCGAAGAAGAGGGAGAGAATGCGGTGCAGCGGCAGGTGCAGCGACATGGCCACTGTCTTGCTCCCTGTATCCTCCGCCTTGATTTGATTCTGCTCAGACAAGCGGAGGAGAGAGAGATTTGAGATGTTTCGAAAAAGACAACCAATGTTCAGTTCGACTCCCCTTGACCATCATTGACTCGCCACCAGCGTTGACTCACCTTGACCAGCCAAGCCAGAAGCGCCTGCAGTGCAATGCGCGCCCCATTCAGCAAAGCATGCTCCACATCCACTCCCCCCTCCCCTGCTGCCCCTTCCCTGCTGCCCCTCCTTGCCCTTCCCCTCCTGATGCATCTGCCGCCCCTTGCCCCCAGTCTCCCCTGGGTCTCCAGTGATTCGCCTCAACTCACCTTGACCAGCCAAGCCAGAAGCGCCTGCAGTGCAATCCGGGCTCCATTCAGCAATGCATGCTCCGCATCCACTCTCCCCTCCCCTGCTGCCCCTCCTTGCCCCTCTCCCCCAGAAGCATCTGCCCCTACTCCAGTGCTCCCAGCAGGCGGGGCAAGGATGGTGGTGGGGAGGGTGGAGGGAGAGGCGGTGTAGCGCTCTGTGATGGTGTCGATTAGACCGATCACCAGCATCTGAGGTAAGAAGAGGGAATGTAGGAAGGCGGGCATTATGGGAGGGAGCAGGAGGAGGAAGGCAGGAGGGTCATTGGAGGTTGAAGGGGTGTAGCGCTCTGTGATGGTGTCGATTAGACCAATCACCAGCATCTGGGGGGAGAACAGCGGGGGAGGGGCGGAAGGAATAGAGGCATGTTGAGGTTGCAGACAAGTCGAAACTCTAAACCCAAAACGTGGGGTGGTTGGTCGTCGTGAGTTCGATTAGGAAAATTTGGAACTCGGATAAGGAGGTAGTTTGGGTCAAGCTTTCTTCGCGCTGCTTTCCTGCTTTCTCAGCCACTCCTTGACTCCCCCCCCCCCCTTCCTCCTTAAAAAACCCTACAGAAACTCAGCTCGCTATATCGAAAGCGGAGCCTCAACCGGTCCGGTCCTTTAACTGACCGCTCCACCCATCCACCACACCATTCCCCCCTCCCCACCCAGCCCCCACCACATCCATTCCCATCACCGACCCCCACCTACAAGCTCACATCAAGCTTCCACCTCCGAAGCTCACCTACAATTCCCACCACCAACCACTACCCACGTCCAATGCTACTAACCTCAAGTGTGACGGCTTTGGTCCACCGAGTGCCTTCAGTGGGGTCACCATACTCATAGCGCACATACGGGTTCATGCCCTGCCAGATTGAGGCGGTGGAGGGAAGTGTGAGCCCACATGCGGGGGGTGGAAGGATGTAAACGCCCCATACAGGCTCAAGGCAGGGCCGCAAGCAGCGAGAGAGTGAGAAAGACCTGACCTGTAGCAGCGAGAGTGTGAGCATCAGGTCGGCTAGAACGTCGAGACGTTGAGTGAGTAGGTAGTTGACAACAGGCGTGTGCGAGAAGATGAGTCGCATGTCGTGTAGCGGGCGTGAGTAGAGCGGATGCAGATTGCTCTGATTGCGGGGTGGAAGGGGGTGGGGAGGATGAGGGGTGGGGGGGAAGGAACAAGTGAGAGGAAAGGAGGAACAGGCGCATGGGAGAGGATGAGACGCATGTCATGCAGCATGCACGAATAGGGCGAATGCAGATCGCTCTGATTGGGGATGGGAGGGAAGGAACAAGCGAGAGAAAAGGAGGCAGGAGGCAGTTGACGATCAGCGTGTGCGAGAAGATGAGACGCTCGTCGATGAGACGATCAGCGTTGTGCGGCATGCACAAATAGAGCCGCTCTATTAGAGCGGGTGCAGATTTCTCCGAGTGAAATGGTGTAGGGGGGGGGTCGGGGGGGGGATGGGGATCGGGCAGGAGAGGAGCCACCATTCACTCACATGCATCACCATCCACTCACATGCATCACCATCCACTCACATGCATCACCATCCACTCACATGCGTCACTATTTCCCGCGGCCAGATGATGGGTCTCTCACAATTGCACTCGAGTAAACAATTGCACGCATATTTCAAACATTCACATGTGCTGAGTTCTAAGTTGCAGCCACGTATCCACTCAGCCCTACGGCTCTAGCTTGGTGTTCAACCGGACTCACATGGTGCACGGTTTCCCGTGGCCAAGTGATAGGACTCTCGCAATTCAGCACCCCTGTTGAGGCGCCTAAAAACAAACTGCGGGTAATGAGAGGACTTTTGAAGCACCTCAGAGTCCCCCTCACTCACATGGTGCACTGTTTCCCGTGGCCAAATGATAGGACTCTCGCAATTCAGCACCCCTGCTGGCCTGCCAGCAGCACACAGGGTTGACGGGACGAGAGGAGGAGGCAGAGGAGAGACCAAGAGTAAGAGCCTATTGAGCTAAGGCAGCAGTTTGGCTGCATAGCTCAATTTGGCCAGTAGAAGACATCAGGTTTGAATAGGGTAAGTGCTGGCTTACAATTTGGCCACTTAGGGGATGCAATAAAAGAGATAAAAACAGAGACGAAGGGTACAGTAAAAGAAGGGAGAGGGAGAGGTAGAGGGGGAGGTGAAGGAGAGGATGGCAAGCAAGTGACACGGGAGCTTCAATCCCGCTTGCCCAGCAGCAGTGAGTTGATTTTTGAGGCGCCTCAAAAAAGAGGACAGTAAAATAAGGGAGAGGGAGAGGGGGAGGTGAAGGACAGGATGGCAAGCAAGTGACACAGGAGCTTCAATCCCGCTTGCCCAGCAGCAGCTGAATCTTTTGAGGTGCCTCAAATGAATTCTGAGGCGCCTCAAATGAAGGAGAGGATGGCAGGTGATACAAGAGCTTCAATCCCGCTTGCCCAGCAGCAGCTGAATCTTTTGAGGCGCCTCAAATGAATTCTGAGGCGCCTCAAATGAAGGAGAGGATGGCAGGTGATACAAGAGCTTCAATCCCGCTAGCCCAGCAACACCAACAGCAGCGGAAACAGCAGCTCACGATTTTTTAGTCGACTCAAAAGTCACCTCGATGGCAGGTGATACAAGAGCTTCAATCCCGCTAGCCCAGCAACACCAGCAGCAGCCGAAACAGCAGCTCACGATTTGGCGGCTTGTAGGACACGGCAGAAGACAGAGACGAAGAGGTGGAGGAGGTCCCCTGAGAGCACCCAGTGCGATGGGACCATTTTTGAGTCGACTAAACAATCAGTAGCAGCGGAAACAGCAACTCACAACTTGGCGGCTTGTAAGACTCGGCAAAAGACAGAGACGAAGAGGTGCAGGAGGTCCCCTGAGAGCACCCAGTGCATGGTGACCTCTGGTATGTTGAACAGCTGTACCATCACTGGAAGAGGTATGGTGGATGTAAGAAAGAGCAGGGGACGGATGCGAGCAACGTAATGTTGGGTAAGTATACTGCATAAGGGAATTTAAGTCCCCTGAGAGCACCCAGTGCATGGTGACCTCTGGGATGTTGAACAGCTGTACCATCACTGGTATGGACGGGTAGGCGTAAGGGGATGAATGGGTGTGAATGAGTTTGAGCGGAGTGAATACAAGAGCGCCGCCTCCTGTGTCACCTCACCACCTCCTCTGCCACCGCTGAGAGGAGGCGGGAGGAGGCTGGACGCAGGAACATACCACACAGAGAGTAGCGCACTCACCTCGGTCCAGGGCCTTTTCGATTTTGACGAAGCGGGCGGAGGGGTTGTGATCTGGGAGCACGGAGAGCACGAGGAGTGGGTACTGTCGAATAAGCAATGCAGAGAAGACGGTCTTGAAGGCGGGCGAGTAGAGCAGCAGCAGGAAGAGCGTCGCCTCCTGTGTCACCACCTCCTCTGCCATCGCTGAGAGCGTTTCTAGGAGGAACTGGACGGCTGAGGGTGTGGAAGGAGAAGGAAGAGGAGAAGGAAGGGAGAGGGAGGCTGGTGCCGTGGCTGCTGCTCCTCTGCCTACACTTGCTGCTGATGCTGCTGCTGTTGCTGTTGCTTCTGTTGGTGCTAATGCTGCTACTGCTGTTGCTCCTCCTCCTACCCCTCCTTCTGCCCCTTCAATCTGAATGCTCCCTGTGCTCCCCATGCTCCCAATGTTCCCTGTCACCCCAACGCTCCCAACGGTCCCAGTGCTCCCTGTTGTCACCCCAATGCTCCCAACGGTCCCAGTGCTCCCTGTTGTCACCCCAATGCTCCCAAGGCTCCCTATGCTCCCTAGAACGCCCATTTGGTTCACAGCAGCAAGCACTTTTGGAGGAAGGGGTGCCGCCATGCACGCACACACGATGTCTCTTATGCCTGCTGCATGCGAGATCTGAGGGGGGGAAGAGCAAGGGGTACAGAGGGGAGTTGGGAGAAACTTGAGACGGAGAGAGGGAGGGGTGCCATTAATACAAAGGACCATTCGAGGGAGGGGTGCCGCCATGCACGCACACACAATGTCCCTTATGCCTGCTGCATGCGAGATCTGAGAAGGAAAACGGCAAGATAATGAAGAAACAGGGAGGTAGGAAGTTGTTTCTTGTGGGGTCGCTACTAGAATCACCTGTCCCTGCTTCACTGTGTGCTGAGAGGGAAGGGTGCTGAGAGGGAAGGGTGCAGCCATGGCTCTCACAGCCGTTTCTTTCTTTAAGCCACTCACAAACAGACTCACCTTGCCCACAGGGAGCCTCTCACTTTGTCGAGCCAGGCTATCAGCTTCAGCAGGTCCCGGGGGGATTGCAGTGGAAATTTCACAGCCTTCCCCACCTGCAGCACCAGCTGCGCCACCACACCACTACTGCCTGCCACTAATGTTGTGTTTTCTTGAAGTGCCTCAAAGATAGACTCACCTTGTCGAGCCATGCAATGAGCTTGAGAAGGTCCCGGGGGGGTTGCAGCGGGATTTCACAGCCTTCCCCACCTGCAGCACTAGCTGCGCCACCACCACTGCCTGCCACTTCTTGTTTTTTTCAAGAAGCGCCTCAAACGTAGACTCACCTTGACCGCATGGAAAGAGCATCTCACCTTGTCGAGCCATGCAATGAGCTTGAGAAGGTCCCGGGGGGGTTGCAGCGGGGATTTCATCGCCTTCCCCACCTGCAGCACTAGCTGCGCCACCACTGCTGCCACAGCCGTTTCTGTCACCTGCCCAAGATTCCCGGGCAGCGGCTTGGGTGTGTCCGCTGAGTGCTCCTGATGGCGGTGCCGCTTGCAAGCACTGAAAAAGTGTAGATGAAGGGAAGTAACAGGAAATATTTTAAGAATGGAGAGGCCTCAAGACCAAAGAAACCACAATGGTGCTTGCACGTAATGCGGCATTGGAATTGAAATACCAGAGGTCGCAGGAAGTAACTTTCCAGCAAGAGGTAGCTGGAACCAAGACACCAGGAAGGAATATACTTCGTCCCAAATTGAATAGCATGGCATGGCATCACCTTATGAAGCAACGTACCCTTTGGGGTTCCAGGAGGAAGGGTCGCCACAATCACAGCAGCCTCCTGACTCACTGCGTGTAAGTAGACGACTTTTGAGATGTCTCAAAAAGCAACGTACCCTTTGGGGTTCCAGGAGGAAGGGTCGCCACAATCACAGCAGCCTCCTGACTCACTGCGGTACATCACTGGCAGGCAGAATGATGAAGGGTTGAAAAAATCGGGTTAGAAGATTGGGGTTGGGGTCAGAAAGAGAAAGAGTCAGAGGTAAATTTGAGTTGACTAAGTTTGAAGATATCTTCACTTTCATGAAAATACCCCAGTCAATCGTACCATAGTCATGATTACGGTGGTCCCCCTCCTGAAAGCACTTCACGCAGATGGCACTGTGATAGTAGCGAGGGAAACGGTGGGGAGAGAAGTGAGGAAGTGGTGGTGAGGGTGGGGAAAGAAGAGAGCAGGGGATACGAGACCTGATAGAGAGCCAAACCAGCTGCGGCTGAATGGCCGTTACCAGGTGTGGCGGAAACAACAGAGCTTTCAGTTACATACCAGCGATTTTTTCTAAACTTACATTGAATTCAGAGATTCAGTTTATGAATGTCAGGTGAGAGACATTCCAAGGAAACAAGAGACACAAATGACACATTGACACGTTACAATGTCGCAAGATGAATCGCTCCCCTTGACTCCTTAACAGTTTTCAAAGAAGAAGAGTCCAAGGATTTCCTCTATGTGCGGGCCCAAATTGGTCTGTACACGTCACATTTGATCCTGAATTCGCGACGAGAGCAGCAGACAGCATGGCTAGCTTAGTTCGTCCGGTAGTTTCACCAGCTCTAACCTATCCCACCGTGCGTTCGTTCACTATTACAACCACGCTGACTTTTGAGAGTCTAAGAAACCTGCCTCGCGTCGTTGATCTGGCAGTCGCGGCAGCGATACGCGATCGCGCCGTACGTCCACACCACGTTGCATTGCGACGCGCCTTGCTCCGCCTCGAGCTCCTCCAGGTAAGCGGCGAACCCGCCGGGATGTGCGCCGCAAAGCACGGTCTCTAGAGCCGCCAGGTCGGAGTCTTCAACCTTCACTAGCTCCTCAAGCCACCGCTTTAACTCCATCTTCGCGACTCGTTCTAAGAAATGCTTACTTCTAACCAGGCGTGGCTGATACTAACGGTCGGTCTAGAGGAATCAATCCTTCGAATTTTCTGGTCGAACACCGTGCAGTAAACGAACTAGTACGCAGCACCGACACGAGTTTCATTGCGTATGTGCTGCAACCCACCTCGCCACACTACTTAAGCGAAGTAAGACTAACCAACCATTCCATACAGATTCCTTGACAACTAAATCATGGTGGTCATGGAGGTCCCAAAGCAAAGGAAGAAACCACAATCTAGAATAGGAGAAAGAACTTGACCGACCGAGCAAGAGTCCACCTGAATCCCTGCGTTGTCATGCGAGTCCACACCCAGCCTCGAGAAAGGTTTTTTGCGGTTACGAGCGGTCTAATAGCTTTTTCAAACGAATGCACTGAAGGTGCCCCAGCTGCCATTCCAAACAAGCACAAGTGCCCAAATTTCTTTGGCGCGGGGACATCTCTGTCAGGTTGGGTTGAGTGCGGTGGGCTGTGCGCGTAAACCAATCACAGATAGCCACGAGGTTCAACTTTTTCTGATAATTTGACTCCAGAAGCACCTCGGGATTGGACGAATTCAAGGCCTGCTCGATCGCACGGATCGATCCCTCGTCAGCGCTGACCCAGATCGGTCGCTTGCGTGGTGTAGTACATTCTTCACGGTTCTTCTTGGTGGGCTGCGTTGAAATACGATAAAGCGGAACTGTACCCTTCTTCCGCAAACTCCACGTCAGGAAAGCGACCTCTCCGACGAATGCGCATATTGCAGCATTTCTGCTAACATTACCTCTCCGTTCATTCTTCCGTTTTTGCCTTATTCTTGAGAAATTCGTGATTTATTAGTAGCTGCTGCAGATCGGAAACTCTTCGGTACTGTAACAGAATTCATGTAAGAGCCGATACTCGGTGCCACTCGCATCATGGCGGTGCCCCAGGCGCTGCTGACGTGTCGTCCTCTCAGTGAAGGACGTTTGGGAGCATGCTCTGTTACCTCGTTAAACCTCTCCCACTCTACCCGTCACGCTGATTCGTCTCCTAAGCCATATAGAACACGTCATTCACAATGGAGATTATCGCATGACACGCTGCAACAACGACCTAATTTCCTCTGTTCAGTCTCTTATGATGACCACTGTAACACAAGACTTCTCAGACATTCTCGCCAGTGTGCGGCAACCGGCCTTAGCGATCGCAGATTGCCTTCTCTTCACCGGATCCCGCGTTTAGTGTGCTCCGCATCGTCAGGCGACAAGCGGACGGAATTTTTTGTCGCCAATGCGGAGCAGCCTTTTGACGAAGTTGCTGACGGAATCCGTCCCAGTCACCGTCAATCTCTCAGCGCACACGGCAGGGAGATCGACGGCGGGGAGAATGAAAGGGAGACCTCTGAAAGGAGCGACAGCAGCAGAAAACAATCGGGCGATGAGAAGCACAACGGGTCATCTGACAATAAAGCAGGTCCCATTCCTTCTGAGGATTCAACCAAGCCTATTTCAAACGAGACTGTCTCAAACCAGAGCTCCGATTATCAGGCTGCTATCATCTCCGTCCAGGATAATTCACCCATTCAGGATGATTTTACCTCCGATGGTTTTCGCGAAGCCGTGCTCACGTCACTTTCCGCCAAGTTCCCAAAGAAGCTCGCTCTCTTCTCCAATTCCTACAGCATCGCCAGCGATAATCTCCGAGTGTTACTTAGCTTCGAAGACGAGTCCTTCGTGATCAGCGAAAAACAGCTTCTTGGCATCTTCAACCGCTTCCCATCCCTCCTCGCTGCTCCCCTGGACGCCGCATCCGTTCAAAGCCGCATTGATCTCTTTCGCCGTTACGGTGTAACCCGATCCGCATTTTTCGACCTCTGTTCCCGCTCCAACGTGCTCCTGTTTCCCGTTGGGTCCCTAGCGGAGAATCTGCATTACCTTCGGCACGAATTAGGCATCGTTAGAATCGAGAAAGTCCTGAAATGCTTCCCGTTGGTGCTCAACCTCTCCCTGCCGAACCTGGAGGAGAAGGTTCGGCAGCTCAGGCTCGCGGGGCTAGGTCCGGCGAGCGAAGTTCTCGAGCGATCGCCCTTCGTTTTAAGCGCACGCGCGTCGGAGATCCAGCGAAAGGTGGAGCTTGTAAAGAGGTTGCTAGGATCCAGCAACAGCGCGGACGATCCGATTCTCTACCTCCGGAAGTTTCCTCACGTTTTGCTGGCCCAGTATGAAACTATGGAGAAGACTTATGAGGGTATGGTAAAGTATTTTGGGGAGGAGGATACGAAGAGGTTGCTGAGACGGCAGCCGCTGCTGCTGGGTCAGAATTGGGACGGAATGATGGATACAATATCGAAATTAATCGACGTTTTTGGGCGAGAAGGTGCAGTGCGGATTGTCAATCAGACGCCTACAGTGATGGCGTATTCGTGGTCCACTATCGAGGATAAGATTTTATTCGTTACGGAGGTTATGGGGAGGAGTATTGCGGAGATTGTGGTGTGGCCGGCGTTGTTGACGAGGAGCTTGGAGAAGCGGTTACGGCCACGGTATGAGATGTTACGGGGGTTACTGCGCGAGCAGCAGCTTGGTCTGGGGTCAATGTTTGGGTGTACTGATGAAGTGTTTCGGAAGAGGTATGGGAGGAAGATTGCGTTGCTGGCAGAGAGGGAAGGAGGGGCGGAGGATGGGGAGAACGGTGGGGAAGAGGAAGATGGTGGGGGAGAGAAGGGTGTAAGAGAGGAGGAAGGAGAAGAGAAGGATGGGAGAATATAAGGGTGTAGGAGAGAAAGGTGGACAAGAGCAGGATGGAGGAGAGAAGAGTAGAGGAGAGAAGGGTGGAGTAAAGAAGGGTGTTGGGGAGATTGAGGGAGAAAGCACTGGAGCGGAGGTAGAGGAAGAGAGGGGGAGATGATGACTACAGGAAGCAGACTGTGTCGACATGCTGGTCTGCTTATGTGCTCCTGGGTCATGCTACCACCCATCACTCTGAGAAACTGGAAATAATAAGTTAATGGGACTAGCTACCACCCATCACTCCTGCTCATGTCCTCTTGTCCTGTTACTTGCGACCACCCAAGGCAATGCGCTGCACAGTAAGCTATATAACTTGTGGAAAGTCTCGAACTATTCTGCGCGACTGCACAAGGTATACACCCATGGCTTAACAGGTACTGGTAATCATGGAAAAGAAATATGATTTACTGGAAACATTGTGGATGGGTGTAGGAGAAAAGATGCTCATGTACCATAACTGTGTAACAGTACATACCAGCAAGCATGATATGGTAACAGCAAGCATCCCACTCAAGGATCATCATGCCGAACCTTCAGTCGTGCTACAAACTACATGAAAGACACTGCTGTTGTTGGACCTGCTATTTGAACTGTTACTAACCGAACATTCACTAACGCTTACCTGCTGCTATCATCGCTGCACTCCACCCTCAGGTTGGAGTCTAAAACGAGTCATTCTAGAGTCTAGTAAACATGCCAAGACACGCTGCTCATGAGAGTTGAGCCTATTGTAAAATGTACAGCTACACTTCAATAGTAGTAACTCCTGCAAAGCCTCTGAAGCATGCGTGGCCTGTATGGGGCACAGACGAAGGTCTTCCACACATGTGCCCCAATTTAGTAAGGGTATGCGCCGGGAATAGCCCCCTTGGGGTAGTAGTTGCAGACAAAGGTCTGCCAGTTGTTCTTGCAGGGCACAGCTGCACAGCCCACGCTGAGAGTGGTGTTCCACACAGCCTGGCATGCAAAATGAGGGAGCAGCAGAGGGGATAAAGGGACAGAAAGGAGAGTAAGCTATGAAGGGAATTACAACAGAGTGGATACAGGGCAAAGCAGAACAGAGCACGCTGAGAGTGGTGTTCCACAGCCTGGCACACAAACACGTGTGGGGGGAGAAGAGAGGAGAGGACAGACAAGAACAAGGGGTGACAATGAAGAACGGATGTATTGAGATAGATAAGTGAGTGCTTGCAGGACACCGCAACACAGAGCACGCTGAGAGTGGTGTTTCATACAGCCTGGCACAGGAGGAGAGAGGAGAGAAGGGGAGAAGCAAAGGGAAAAATACAGCAAGAGAGGAGAGTATAAACAAATTACAAATTGCTGCTATGGACCGGTTTCACTTCTACTTTGATTCATAGAAAACATACCCGGATGAAATGTACACAGTTCCTTAGCTGCAGCCCGTTGCACCCAAAGGGGTACGGCGAGCGCGAGTAGCGGGCGGACTCGTCCGTCCATATCTGCACGGCTTCAGAGGGGGAGGTGTTGACTGCTGCGAGGGTGTTCTGGCCGTAGGGCAGTGAAGACATACCCAAATGAAGTGCACGCAGCTCCTCAGCTGCAGCCCGTTGCACCCAAAGGGGTACGGTGAGCGCGAGTACTGAGAGTATTCTGTACTTTTCGTTTCCTTGAATTAACATACCCGAATGAAGTGTACGCAGTTCCTCAGCTGCAGCCCGTTGCACCCAAAGGGGTACGGCGAGCGCGAGTAGCGGGCGGACTCGTCCGTCCATATCTGCACGGCTTCAGCGGGGGAGGTGTTGACTGCTGCAAGGGTGTTCTGGCTGTAGGGCAGTGAAGAGGAGGGCTCCAGCGTGGTGTTGAAACAGGCAGCAGAGGAGTTGACTAGCTGCTGCGCCCAGGTGAGTGCTGCTGCTGCCACTGCAAAAGGACGGGGTAGAGAGGGAGAGAGGGAAGAAGGATAATCAGCAGCTGCGAGCACAGTGGGTGTTCTGGTTATAGGTGGTGCAGCGAGGTGGAGGGTTCAAGTGTGGTGTTGAAACAGGCAGCAGAGGAGTTCACTAGCGGCTGCGCCCATGCCAGTGCTGCTGCTGCAACTGGGGAGTAGGAGAGGGAGGGTGTAGAAGGAAAAAGGCAAGAATCACTGCCATTAGCAGAGGCAAGCAACCGCAGCTAGAGCCCAGGCGAGTTGAAACAACCACTCACGTGTTTCATTCCAAATAGGTTAAGGAGAGCCGACTTCAGCACGGGCATCATTGTGGGGCTGCAGCCACTCCTTGTTGGCAGGGGTGGGCGAGCACGTGCCGTCGTCCTGCCTGTCATATCACAAGCTGTACCAGCACAGCGCCTGCCAACAAAACTACTCACATGTTTCGTTCCAGGCAAGAAGGGGTGAGCCGACTTCAGCGCGTGCGTCGTTGTGAGGCTGCAGCCACTCCTTGTTGGCAGGAGTGGGCGAGCACGTGCCGTCGTCCTGCCGGTCAAAGCCTGCAACAGAGCTGACATACTCACGTGTTTCGTTCCAGACGAGAAGGGGTGAGCCGACTTCTGCACGTGCCTCGTTGTGAGGCTGCAGCCATTCTTTGTTGGCAGGTGTAGGCGAGCACGTGCCGTCGTCCTGCCTGTCAAAGCCTGGGTCGCAGCGGCACGTGGCGAGGCTGCCCCGGGGGATGCAGGTGGAATTGAGAGGACACTGCTTCTGTGTGCACACGTCTGGAGAGTGGGATGGGACAGGAGGGAGGGAGTGAGTGGGGGCGCGGAGCACGCGCTGTCATCCTGCCTCTTAAAGCCCGTGTCGGCAGGTGGCGAGGCTGCCCCGGGGGATGCAGGTGGAGTTGGCAGGACACTGCTTCTGCGTGCACACGTCTGGGAAGGAGTGGGTGGGTGTGGAAATGGAATACGAAGGAGTGTGAGGGTGGGCGAGCATGTGCCGTCCTCCTGCCTATCAAACCCTGGGTCGCAGCGGCAGGTGGCGAGGCTGCCCCGGGGGATGCAGGTTGAGTTGAGAGGACAGTGCTTCTGCGTGCACACGTCTGGGGGGGAGGAACGAGCATGGGGAGTGGAGGTGTGAGGACAGTGGTAGAGGGAAGGAGTGAGGGAGCAGCAGAGAGCACGTGCCGTCGTCCTGGCGATCAAAACCCGGGTCGCAGCGGCAGGTGGCGAGGCTGCCCCGGGGGATGCAGGTGGAGTTAGCAGGACACTGCTTCTGCGTGCACACGTCTGGGAGGAGGAGGGATGGGGATGGTTCAGGGAGGGAGTGAGAGATAGGGTGGGTGAGCAGTGGTGGTGAACCCTGGCTGGCAGCAGCAGCAGCACACAGTGTTTCCAGTGTGAGTGCTTGTCATGAAGAAGAGCTCCAGTAGGAGGGGATGTCTTAAGCGAAAGACGATAGTCTCTCTAGAAAAAAGTACAAGCTCAGCACAGCTGGGTGGGTGAGCAGTGGTGGTGAACCCTGGCTGGCTGGCAGCAGCACACAGTGTTTCCAGTGTGCGATGAAGCAGTGGAAATATCATAAGACGTAGTGGTTAAAGAGCAATGAATCATGCACAGTTTTCCAGCATACTCACCGGTGCACGCTGGTGAATCCCGGCTGGCAGCGGCAGAAGAACGAGGTGGCCTTGTTGGACTTCTAGCACCCCCTAGGCGCCGTAACAAACAGTGTTTCCAGTTCTTTCAGCTGTGCATTATCTCCCAATACTCACCAGTGCACGTGCCGTTGACGCTGGTGAAGCCTGGTTGGCAGCGGCAGAAGAACGAGGTGGCCTTGTTGGACTTCTAGCACCCCCTAGGCGCCGTAACAAACAGTGTTTCCAGTTCTTTCAGCTGTGCATAATCTCCCAATACTCACCAGTGCACGTGCCGTTGACGCTGGTGAAGCCTGGTTGGCAGCGGCAGAAGAACGAGGTGGCCTTGTTGGACTTCTAGCACCCCCTAGGCGCCGTAACAAACAGTGTTTCCAGTTCTTTCAGCTTTGCATAATCTCCCATTACTCACCAGTGCACGTGCCGTTGACGCTGGTGAAGCCTGGTTGGCAGCGGCAGAAGAACGAGGTGGCCTTGTTGGACTTGCACATGGCGTTGGGGTCCGCACATGCAATGACCGCACACGGGTCGGGGACTGGGGGCGAGGGGGAGAGAGTGAAAGGTAGTAGGGTGAAACAGGGGTAGGGATGAACAAGGGGAGCTTGAAATACTCTCTGGGTCAGCTTAAGAGTTAGAAGCAGGAGGTGCCCTTGGCAGGAGTTGCACATGGCATTGGGGTCGGCACATGCTATGACGGCACATGGATCAGGGAGTGGGGGGCAAGGGAGGGTGAAGCAAAGGGTACGATGAAACCGCGTTTGGAGTCCGCTCGCGATCCTTCGGCAGCAGGAGGTGCACATGGCGTTGGGATCAGCGACAGGTGTGGGTGCTATGAGTGCACACGGGGTCAGCAACGGGTTTGAACGAAACAGAATGCTGAAAGACATGGAATAGAGGTTGAAACTGAGAGGGAAAGAGGAAAGAGGAGTGGAGCGGTGATGAGGCGAAGGGGAATGGGAGGAGGGGATGGGGAGAAAGGGGGGTGGGGGGAGGAGGGGGGAATGAGGAATGGGAGGGCTATGTGGCGGGAAAGGGGGAGGAGGAAAGAGGAAGGGGAGGGGCACTTACAGAAGGAGCAGCCGACGGAAGCTGCTGTGGCCATCTGTGCTGGCACCTTGCTGCAATGGTGAGGAGGGGGGGGGAGAGGGGAGGTGCAGGGGAAGCGGGCAGAGGGAATTTGAGCTGGCGGAGAGAGCAGTCGACGGAAGCTGCTGTTGCCATCTGTGCTGGCAGCTTGCTGTAATGGTGGCGGGGAGGGGGTAGGTGCATAGAAGGAGAGTGGGGAGCGGAAGAGGATGAGAGGCAGAGAGAGACCATGAGAGGGGCACACACTTATGAGAGAAGCACTTTAAGACAAGGAAATGTACACGACGTATGTGAGAAAGGTCTCGCCTGTACGCGTTAGTACGTCTCACCTGTACGAGTTGTATCTGGGGGCGGTGGTATTCAAGCTTCCAGGCCTGCGAATCCCAGTAGCCGCGCCCGTGCAGCCATAACCAGGAAAGAACCACACCGTGCCGCAGTTAATATGCTCCGGCTGGTTATCCTTCGTGTTCCACCAGATGCGCGCCGAGCCTACGCTGCGCGCGAAATCCGGCGGCAGGTCGTAGCACGCTACAGCCGGGTTGGGGCGAATCGCGACAAACGGGAGGGATTTGGGGGAGTTCGCGAAGTACTGGCGGTTGTAGAATGCGAGAAGCGTGCCCGGGACGGCTTGCGCGAACGGCGCGGTGGGCGGAACGACGGCAGGCGGGACGACGGCGGGCGGGACGACGGCGGCGGGGGGAATGACGGCGGGCGGGACGACGGCGGGCGGTACAACCGTGGGCGGAACGGCGGCGGGGGTAACGGTATCGGCGGACACGGTTGGCGGAAGGTGGGTGATAGCAGCGAGGAGCATCGCGGAGACAACGGCGACGATCGCGGCGAGGGACGGTACGGCGGTACGAGGGGCGCGCCTCGCGTGAGAAGCATTCCGGGAAAACGGAGAAGCCATGGCGATGGTAACCGGTGGTCGATTTAATTCGTGAGTCAGAATTGGGGATGGAGAAAGGCGACGGCGATGCATAAACGAGTTTCTGTCGATGATGACTCAACAGAGTGGGGCTTTTTATTGTCAACCTTGCGGATTTTGGTGTGCTGCGGAATTCGACGGCGCAGAAATTCGACGAGAAAGAATTCGACCAGACAGGTCGATTCGTCGAATCGCGTTTCGCGTCGGGTTGGGAGGAGCGAATTCTCGCGCATCATTGAGGTGAAAGTGGTTCGCCATAGCAGCGCTACGGAAATCGACGGCCGAAATTGTGTTCGACGGTTCCGACGGGTTGCCTAACCAGACCGGATCTGTCGACGGAATGACGGGCCTATTGGTGAAGCACGCGCGCAGCTGCGGCTCGAAGCAGCAGCCTCTGATTGGGCGGAGCGTCGCGAGCTCGTTTCGTGTGTGTGGCTGCCAGACGCTCTGTTCGAAAATACTTGTTGGCATAATCTATGGCCGCCTGAAATACCTGTGTCAGGAGAACAAATACATGAATATCCGTGATAAAAGCAGCCTGCTGACTGTACAGAAGCATCTCATGGTGGTAATATTGTTAAGAACAATGCATTGCTGAAGGGGATTAGTAGACCAAGCATAGTATCCTTACAGTTTTCACCTCATTCAAACCATGCAGTTTATGGTTACAAATAAGGCATTCAGAATATTTTGCGCTTTGAAATTCCCTGTCATTGGAATATTTTGTAGTATCACATCGCCCTCCACTACAACATAAACGCACCCCTCATTTACTCATCTTGGGCTTGCTTTATTGGCAGCCGTTGTGTCAGCACAACCCTTTTCGGTCTGATAATAACTTATAATATCATATTTCTACCAATAGAGAGGACCGTGCATTGATAATACGTGTTAATAACATTAATTGCCCTTTGTTTTCCTCATGGATATAATTTGCACATCAGTAAGGGCAAGTTCCTGCGATGCCTCCCATTGGGTAGTAGTTGCAGATGTAGGTGCTCCATTCCTCCGTACAGGGCACTGCAGCGCAGCCCACACTCTTGGTCGTGTTCCACACCGCCTGTAATCAACAAGCGAGTGTCAATCCCTGAGGAACGACTTTCACGTCCATTACCAGCAACATTGTGTTCAGCTTGTGATGGTAAAAAAATAGGAGATAAACTGTACCCTGAGGAAGTGTATGCAGTTCCGAAGTTGCCCGTTCTTGCAGCCATTAGGGAACTCAGCACGAGTGTAGCTCAGCCTTCCGGACATCCACACGTTGACGGTGTCTCGTGGAGCAAACCCGTATGCAGCCAGAGTGTTCTGACCATAGGGAACTCCTTTCTCCAGGGAGGTGTTGTAACAGGATGTGGACGTTAGCTTGGTCCCCCATGCCCGTGCTGCTGCTGCCACTGTTTGGAAGGACAATAGGAGGAATATGAGGGACCGGTTATTAGCATGCAAATCCGTGTGGAGCCAGAGTGTTCTGGCCATAGGGAACTCCTTTCTTCAGAAAGGTATTGTAACAGGATGTGGAGGTTAGCTTGCTTTCCCATGCCCGTGCTGCTGCTGCCACTGTTTGAAAGGAAATGCAGGGAGAACAAGTTAAACCCCTCCCTCTGCCCCTCCCTTTTCATCCCCCCCCCCCTTCTGAACTCCCCCACCACAGCCATCACTCACAGGTGTCATTCCAAACGAGCAACGGTGACCCAACGGACGCTCTGGCCTCGTTCTGCGATCCCAGCCACTCATCATGGTCGGGCTGCGGCGCACAGGAGCCGTTGGATTGCTGAACGAACCCGCGCTTGCACACGCACTCTGCTGCACCCCCACGGAGATAGCAGGAGGAGTTTGCCGGGCAATTCCTGGCCGTGCACTTGTCTAGGTGGGGGTGAGAGGGGAGAAATTGTTGAAAAGTGTGGGAGAAGTGAAAGTTAGGATGCTTCGCACATACACTGCAAAACGAACAAGGAATCTATGAGTCGCATCATACTGTTAAATTCATGCCTCATAGTGAACCAATCCAATGCGAAAGGCTGTGATATCAGCTCACGTACCAACGCAGTTGCCGTTGACTCGAGTGAACCCAGGGCTGCACGGGCATGCGTGTGCTGTGTTGCCATAGGAAGTGCATGTGGTATTGGCAGGGCATGAGATAACTGCACAAGGGTTCCTGTCTGTGGAACGACATAGAAACAGGGGATGGGAGGAATCAGTGAGAAACCCAGAGCTAGATGTTCATATATTAATTTATAATTTTTTTATTGCGAGAGCAAGCCCGAAAAGGGGCAGCTGACTAGGGAGGAATCAATGTTTTCCGAGGCAAAGCTCCAGAGTCTCGATGTTCTCTCACCATAGGAGCATGCGATTGAGGCTGCTGACAATATGAAGCGCATCAAAAGTATTCTAAGGCGCCTCAAAATTCGCACGGTTTCAGAGCCTTGACGTTCTCTCACCATAGGAGCATGCGAAGGAGGCTGCTGACCTCACTGGCTCGGCTAGTACGCTGCATGGTCGGAACAACAACAAAAAGAGCCGGTGCAATAGTGCAATAGCAATAATGTATCCGTGTCAGGCGTAACTTCAATTTCAGGAAAACACCACCAATGGATGCAAAAAAGTATGAAGAATTCAAAATTCAGATGCCTCAAACATCAGTGCCGGAAAAAACACAGTGGTGAACGGTCAAATATGAGTCGCTTTTGAGGATTCCAAAAAAAGCAGTGGCAAATGGATTCAGCAGGCAATGAAGAACGCGGGCTGAGAATCTCACCTTATGAAGAGCTATAGAATGCGAGTCTCACCTTATGAAGCTCAAAGAAGAAGACGCGTTTGATACAGTCGCAGGCCGCGGCACTCCCTTGGGTGTCCCCGCGCATTTCAACCCAGGAAAGAACCATACAGTGCTGCAGCTGACACGTGTCGCGCTCGCAGTCCTCGTGCTCCACGCGATTTTTGCGGAGCCTATGGTTTTGGAGAAGGCGGAGGGGAGATTGTAGCACGCGACCTGCGGGTCTGGTCGGACGATGAACTCGCTGAGCGTGACTGGAGAGTTGAAGAAGCGCGGCTGGTTGTACAGAGTGATTTGAGTTGCTGGATCGAAGCTTGCTGCTACGGTGGCCTTTCCGGCCGAGATAAATAATATGGTGATAACGACAAGTGCCTGATCCATTTGGGGGGTTCTGTGTGAGTGAAATGCACAATGCTGGAAGCAATGGATGTTGGTGGTGTTATTAGTAGCGGCCCAAATTCCTAAATTCAGAATAATGCTGAGCAGAGAGATGGGGGGATTTTGTAGCTGATTTGGGGCGAACTTGCAGCAGCAAATGTCTGAATTCGACAAATGCGGCTCGAGATGCAGTTGGATTGCAGAATCACGCACCGCGGTCGGTGGAATCAATCGGGTCCTTCTCGTCACTCGAATGGACACGACTGTTTGATGAGGGCTGCAATATGCACTTATTGTATAAAAGTGTACAGTACATAACATTCAAATACGGAAAAGCGACTAACTTATAATCGCCTCCACTTTCTTTGCAAGGCTAAGAAATAGCACAGGGCCCACCTATGTGGATGATAGCCCTGCAGCCCAAACACACTGATTCTTCATTTTGATAAACCCCTTTCTGCAGAGGCACATATGCGACGTTCCTTGGGCTGAGTCGCACACCGAATGTGCAGGGCAGCCGTAGAGCGAGCAGGGATTAGGCGCTGCAAGAAACAGAAATACAGGGGCATTGTTAGCCACAGAAGCAGGAAATAATAGCATCTTTAGTGGTAGGATATCGGCTCGAGATAGGCAGAAGGTGGAGATGTGTAGTGGTGAGAACCTACTAGATCTTCAGTGGTGGGGGAAAGAGCAAAATAAACCACTGACGTGCGTGGTCTATAGACAAGGAAGTCTGGGCTCTGGGAATGGAGGAAAACAGAGATAACTTACTGTAGGAGCAGCCGACGGAAGCCACTGACGCTAGCGGACCACGAACGTTCCTGAAACAAGGGAAGAGCCAAATAAATATTATAGACGCGTTAAACGGCCACACTTCTTCAATATACAGAAGCCACGTACTTTTAGGATTCATAAGAACGGGTTTACCTGACTGACAGCCTATTTCCACGACTCTCGCCGATTTCAAACCTCGCATTGCAACCCCCCCTGTCCTTGCGAGCGGAACGGCATGAACGGATTTAACGGGATTTTTGAAATTAGATTAATGAGACTTTGCGCAGCTCACCTTTTCACGGTGAACCCGTAGCTGTAGTTGCGCGGACTCGCGTGCTGCGGGCCGTCCGGGAGCTCGATCCCCGTCGCGACGCCCGCGCATTGCGATTCCGAAAAGAACCACACCGTGTTACACATCATGTGCCGCTTCGTGTGGTCGCGAGTGTTCCACGTGATCATCAGAGATCCGACGCGACCGACCAGCTCCTCGGGAAGATCGTGGCATGGCGCGCGCGGGTCGGGCCGGATGGCATGGTACGCGGTGAACTCGCTATAGCGAAAATCTTTACTGTCGTATAAGCTGATGAGTGTACCCTGACTGACATCCTCGTCGGCTAAGATTGTGGCGGCAAGAAGGGAAAGCAACGAGAAGGCGATTACTAAAAGGTGGGAGATTCTCGATCTCGCTTCCATGGCTGTCGGGATTATTATATGCCCAACACTCTGGAAATGACAAAGTAGGCGACTTGAGGTCGACGGAATCAGGCTGGCTTTGCCAATTGCTGCTTCAGTCGGTGGAAACGGAGTGGCGTGACGAGGCGACAAGAATATGCTATGGGTAATCGAGCTGCTTGTGGTTTATATCAGTGCTTGCGACAAGCAAGGTCATGGCGGTTCAAGTGCAGGCGGTGTTCACTGAAGCTACAAATCCGAGCCCGAGCCCGGATGGATGATTGAAGTGCTCCGGTTTGGGAAGCAGAAAGAGACTTATTGGTGGGTTCAGTGCGGTATAAGAACAAAATGTGCTGCTTTGTGCTGGTTTCATGCAGATTTGTTCGGCTGGCGCCTGCGCCGCGACCACTGACCAGCTGTGAGGGTGCCGTGCGGGTGGGCGGAAGTGTGTGTGTGTGTGGGGCCATATGTGTCGTGTCCTCGTATCGCGTTACCAGAGCCCAGTGGGCAAGTATGAACGACATCCCAAACAGCAATTCTATCACATATACACCACAAAAAGAAATGTCGATATAAAATATATCAGCTTGTGAGCCTCTCAACTCAACCAGCCTCAAAAGGAAGTCCGGAAGCATAACTGCAAGCCTAACTACATCCACTAGTTAGATGTCACAGTTACAAGGCACTCTAATAGCCTCTAAGGTATTACATTCTCCTTGAATCTAACCTACGGATGTGTTCCACAACAGGGAAACATTTCTACGCCGTTGCTGACAATTGATCAACTAAACCGTCTCCCTAAATGAACAGGGGAGGGGAAGACTAGCGCGCCCTGTACTGGCTTTTTTTTCCAGCACCAGGCTCTAGTGCTGGTGGCACACATGGGGTGTTAGATTAGTTGCAGCTGCCCCACATGCGCCCACAGCTGCTCCACATGCTCCCACAGCTGCTATCACTCCTCCTCCCACTGCTGCCACCACTGCTGCTGCTCCCTTTACATGCAGTTGTATCTCACCATTGCTGCAGTCTTCTAGAGCTGCTTTTAGTAGTATCCCTACTCCTACAATGCTCTCCTACTGTTCCTACTACTCTACCTGCGGATGACCTCCCCCCTGTTCTGTAGCTGCTCCTACTGCTGCTGATGCACCTCTTGTGTCAGATAAGATAGATGAGACCACTGCTCCACTTTCTCCCACTACTTCCACTGCTCCCACATCCTTCCATGACCATCAGCAGCAGCAGTACGGGTTGCAGTGCCATGCACCACATTGGAGGCACCTGCTACTACTGCTGCTGCTGCTCTCTCTGCTCCTACTACTCCTGCTGATCGCCTTATTAGACTGCTCTGCATCGAGCCATGCGCCTCTGATGCACCAAGATTGGAAGCAGCTGCTACTGCTGCTGCAGCAGCAGGGGCCTCAGCCGTTTAGCTCTGGCCCTTGTTCCTTACGAATGTTGCTGCGCCGTGCTGGTGGGCCAGATTGGAAGCAGCTGTTACTGCTGCCGCCGCCGCCGCCGCTGCTGCTGCCGCTGCTGCTGCCGCTGCTGCTGCTGCAGGGGCCGCAGCCGTGGCATTACCTGCTGCTTCCTCTATTCCTTAGGAACACGTTGCTGCGCCGTGCTGGTGTGCCAGATTGGAAGCAGCTGCTACCGCTGCCGCTGCTGCAGCAGGGGTTTCAGCCGTGGCATTGGCTGCTGCTCGCTGGTGGTACCGCCGGGAAAACACCTCCACCAGGGAGTGGATAATCTCCTCCTCAGATACGACCTGGACACACAAGGTAGTTGCGGGACAAGGGGATAGATAGAGAGATCTGGCATGATTATTGCTGCTACTGACTGGTAGTACCGCCGGGAGAACACCTCCACCAGGGAGTGGATAATCTCCTCCTCAGATACGACCTGGAAGCACAAGGTGGCAGAAGAGGGAAAGAAGGTTGCAAAGGCAAGATCACAAGGCCAGGACTCAAGAAGAACTTGCCTTTTATACACAACAGTATTTCAAAAATGAAAGAATTACAGGAAATGACGCTGCGCAGTGAGTGTGAGAGCCCCCCTTTCTGCGTGCAGACTGAATTGGATGCACACACTTGGATACTCGGAAAAAAATTGCTGCTTGGCCACCTACTGATTACACCACTGGCTGCTGAATGACCACGCGGCCTACTATGTTATACACTGGTTGGTCGCGCCTTACACTCTTGCCCCTAAGGGAAACTTACCAGGCTAGCAAAATGCTGTGCCACTGCGAGCTTGAGCTCCTCCTGCAGGAGGGATGACGGGGTTGAGAGGGGAAGGGAGGGCGCAAGTGAGGAGAGGGAGGGAGGGGAGGGGAGCAGCCGCAACTTGAGGGCAGAAGCCACTATAAGTTGGCAAAATGCTGTATCACTGCGAGCTTAAGCTCCTCCCGGAGGAGGAATGACAGGGGTGTGAGGGGAAGGAATGGGGAGCAAGGGGAGGAGAGCACAAGAAAGATTGTAGAAATTTGTGAACTTCAAACTAGCGAGGTTAAGGCGTCTGAGAAAACCGAACAGAGAGAAAGATGTTAAGTGGAAAAATGGCCAAAGCTACTTCAACCAAGCACCTACGCTCTCTTGTTTCGCCGTAGAGAGCTCGTCTGCAACTTGACGGATGGACATTTTGATGCAACAGCAGCTGACAGTGCCACCCAACCACCATGCCAAAACCCAACCTTAGCCCCATGTCGGAAGGATCACCACCCACCTTGCCAGAAGAGGCGTCTCTGAGCTTGTACACTCGCTTGTAGCGCCGCAGAGAGCTCGTCTGCAGCTTAGACAGATCCACCTTGAGAGGCTTGGCGCTGCTGCCTTGCACCCTCTTGCTACTCCGAGGCAGCACAGAGCCTGTAGCTGCCGCTGCTGCTGCTGCTGCTGCTCCTCCTGCTCCTCCTGCTCCTACTGCTGCTGCTACAGGAGATTTCCTCCATCCATACTCGCTGTTATCATACTCGTTACTGTTATCTTGGCTGTTGTTACTGTGGTGACCACCGCTGGACGATTTTCGATTCCGCTCCCTCTCACCCTCTTCCCCCTCCACCTCTCCAGCCTCCTTGTCGTCTGTGGTATCCATAGGGTCAGTCTGGTCAATCTGGTCAATGTGGTCAACGGGGTGGATCCGCTGGTCAATGGCAAGCTCGGGCTTTGACTGGTCAACGCGGTCAACGCGGTTAGCTGAGTCAGCATGGTCGCCAGGGGTTGAGTCGCTTGAGGGGTTGGGGGAGTGCAACGAGTCCTGCAGTCCCTGAGGCCAGGGGGAGGAGGGGAAAGGGCGGGGACAGGTGAGCGTATCAATTAGGTGGAGGAAATGACTCACGAGGCGCCTCAAGAGTCAACCGGGGGTTGAGTCGCTTGAGGGGTTTGGGGAGTGCAACGAGTCCTGCAGTCCCTGGCGCGGGGTGACGGTGGGGAAGGGGGGGTGGAGGAAGGGGGGGTGGAGGAAGGGGGGGTGGAGGAAGGGGGGGAGACAGGTGAGCGAACTGATAAGGTGGAGAGACTGACACATGAGGCGCCTCAAGAGTCGCCGGGGGTTGAATCGCTCGAGGGGTTGGGGGAGTGCAACGAGTCCTGCAGTTCCTGGGGCCAGGGGGGAGGGAAACGGGCGGAGATGAATCAGGTGGGCGGCTTGATTAATCGGACGGAGACGAGAGGAGGAAGAAAAGGAAAGCATTTACAGAGAAGGCAGGTGTTCTGCAAAGTGGGTGCCTCCTGTGCAATTCAAGCGTACCGGGAAAGTGTCGCTGTCAGTGTCATTGCAGCTGCCATGCTGCGCGCTTCCCCCCTCGTCACTCTTCACCGCCTCCCCCTCCCCATCCCCCGCTCCCCCTCCCCTCCCCGCACCCCCCTTAAACAGCACCTTCACGCTGCCACTCCCCCTTCCGCCCCCCGCCCCTTTCCGCCCACCCCCTCCCGCTCCATCTCCCCCTGCGCCTCCTTCTCCCCCCCCTGCTCCCGCCACTGCTCCCCCTCCTGCTCCCCCTGCGGTTCCCTGGCCTCTTGCTGATAGCGGGGATGGGGGGGAAGCAGCAACCGCAGCTACAGCCGCCGCCGCAGCAGCAGCAAGCAAACTGTTTCGACCAGAAACCCCAGCAGCAGCAGCACCGCCACCGCCGCTGGATTGCCTACTCTTCCGCCGCCCACTAGGAACCGACCCCCCTCCGCCTCCCCCTCCGCCCGCCCCTCCCCCGAAGAGTATCCGCCCAGGGGAACCCGACCCCCCCGCCTTATCCGCGCCCCCTCCGTTTCCCCTTCGGTCCTTCTCTCCCCCGGTTGCGCCGCCCGCTTCCGCGGCAGCTGCTGCGGCCTGCGCGATCGCCAGGCGATCCGCCGCGTTGTGGCGGCCCAAGCGACGGCGGTCATTGGAGTCAGAGTGCTGGACGGGGGGAGATCGGGGGAAAAACGAGGGGGATGTGGTGCACTGAGAGTGCGCCGCGTTGTGGCGGCCCAAGCGACGGCGGTCGTTGGAGTCGGAGTGCTGGACAAGGGTGGGAAGGGAGTGGGCGACGGATTGATCGGATTAGGACGGGGGGTGGAACCAGGGAAACGAGGAGGGTGATTGAATGGGAGGGGGGTGGCATGCACATGGAAAATCCGCCGCGTTGTGGCGGCCCAAGCGACGGCGCTCGTTGGAGTCCGAGTGCTGGACAAGGGTGGGAAGGGAGTCTCTGGATAGGGCGTCGAGTGCGTGATTTAGGTAATCCCGTACCTTGCCCGCGTCGCGGCATCCCGGGCATTGGTAGGATCGGCGGTCGATCTTGGAGACGTCGATTCCGTACTCCATCTCGCACTCCTCGTGCGACCAGCGGCGACAGTTGCGATTGGTGCAGCCGATCCACTGAAAGGGGAACAACAGAAAGGGAAGAGAGAAATGGACGACAAGGAAGTGAGAACAACCAATGAAACCCATCATTGGTAGCCGTTAACAAGAACCACAAATTAGAACTGTCAGTGTTCAACTGCCGGACGAGGCAGAGGGGTAGATGGACGAGTATGACGAGTGAGGACGATGACTGAAATTACGGAACTGAACGGGGAATTTGAGCGACGGGAGTTGAGGGGGATTGAAGACTAATGTGACCGATGAACGCGGACGATTAGGGACGCTGGCACCAGGGACATGCTTGACGTGACGACTAAGAAAGATTTATCTATGCGGAAGACGCACTTGCTTCTTGTCGAAGCTGTCGGGATCCCGTTCGCGATAGATCTGAACGCAGAAGGGACAGTACTTGCCCTGCAGAACACACGGAATAACGAGAATAAAGAACAGCAAAAGAGGGAAACGAAAGAGAGAGTTTACTGAGCATGAAGGTTAATATAAGTCAATGCCGGATTGATGCACCTTGACAGCAGAGAAAGGACTTTCAAACCTTGTAAAAATATGGCTAGACACGGCACGTCATTGCCTTCTGGCACTGGGAATACCGCAAGGCGGTTCGGGACCGTTTCCCAGACTACCCAAATTCCTCACGGCATCCCGGCATTGGGAATACTCTGAGGCAGTCTGACATCGGGAACACTCCCAACCTTGGGATTACCGCTGAAAGGAAGCCTGGCAATAAGACTTTCTGATAATTCGACGAACCTGATCGAAATTGATCTTGCACGCGTTACATAGGGTAACATTCACGGGATCGTCTTCGCTGCCGTAATTTCGTACGTGCCAGCGACAAGTCCTGCGGAATAAGAAGGGGCATCCGGGCAGATTAAATAAGAGGAATAACTTGGCAGTTATTGGAAGTGTTCAAATGAGGCAGTCGGGCATGTGTTAGGATAGAAACACTTTGGACGAAACGATGCATACCACTAGCAATGGCGGAGGAGAGGCAAGGCCAAGAAAGAGTTTAGGTTCGTACGGTCCGTCGCCGGGCGACGTTCTGCGACAGAAGTTGTTGGAGCACATCACCACCGCCTTATTCTTCCAGCTCTGCATCTTTCGCAGCTTTCCTGGAGACCCCCCTCCGAAATCTGAGCCCGCAGTTACCCCCGCCGCCGCCGTCGCTGCCGCTGCTGCCGCTGCCGCTGCCAGCGTGCTGCAGCCGCCGTTGCCGCTCGCGGCTCGCAGCAGAGCCGGCCGCAAGTGTCCCTGCGCCGTGTTGACTGACGGAAAGTCCAATTTTATTTGGGCGCCGTCAACTAAACGCGTCAAGTGTTATTTAAAAAAAGCGGTTTGCGTTAGGTCTCTGCCTGCAGAGGCCGCGGTGAGAAGAACGCTGAGCCACTATCACGTTTCAATCCACAGCAGCCGTCTCCCAAAGAACAGGAGGACCCGCACCTTCCGAAGCTATCATTTCTCGACCCCCATCTTACTCCGGCAGCAACACCCAGGGTGAGCCGGATATCGAGTTACTCTTAGCCGGAGCACGGAATTTGCGAGCGTCACGCGTTCTCATTAAGCGATGCCGTCTCTGCACAAAGGGAAGGAAGAATGGCAGGTGCACAGATCAGAAACTTCGCCGTCTTCACAGTCCAACGGCAGAAGATAGAAGATAGAATATAAGTTACCAATAAAAGCTTAAAGTGTGGAAGCTCGTAGATACCACAAATTGACGAAACACGGCTGAAGCAGGCTGGAAGAGTTGGCTAGGCGAACTAATGTCAACTAGGAGCTAAGAGGTACTAGTGCTTCCTAATACGTAGAATGGGAGGCGATTATGTGCGGCGAAATCGTCCAAATGCGATTCTAGCGGCTTATCGTCTGCGTTAACCTCATGCGGAATTAATATGGAAAACCAGCATAAAGAATGGCTTTTGAGAGTAAGGGTGCAGCTTGCGGTGGCGTCTAAGACTACGATTAGGCACTTAAGCGCGGGACTGCGAGACTGGTATGTAGAGAATCTCGGCGTTAGCTCTACCACTGCAGAACGGTAACGCTGCAGTCCGCTGATGGAGATAAGGCTGAGCTGTACTGGGCTAAAAAAGGTAAGTCTGGGAAAGTTACCTGAAAGCTGCGGGAAGGATCTCAGCACATATCTTGGCAGAAAGGTGAATTCGCGCTGACTATACTGGCAGGTCGCCAGCGATGAAAGGTGAAGTAGGAATTCGCATAATAAATACTGTACTCTTGAATCTGGTCTGGCGTGGTCTACTTGAGCGAATCTGAAATCTGGATAGTCGAGAAGGGTTGCAAGGCGAGTCAATTGCCACCTGCACGAGGAATGCGGGACGGACAATCATTCAGCTTTCAGGGGAGACCGAGTGGGCAACGGGTTGATGGGGCTGGAAGGGAATGGGCAGGGTGTCACCTCGCCTCTACTTCGGCTCATCACCCTTGTCCTTTTTTATCTCACTCATGCCGCACCGCATTCACCCCAAATTCAAGTTTGCTTTGCATCATCCATGCTCCAGCCAAAACCCCCTTACTGGGTGGAGGCAAGGCAATCTCTCACTGCCGATGACTGGGCAGGGCAAGAAGCACACCCATCACACAGTGACGAAGGGATCAGACAGATTCACACGGCACACTGATGAGGACTTGGCCTTGATTCTCACCTCAACCGTTTTAGGTTTTGAGCAAACCGCTTCAAAACGAACAGCACTCACTGAATCGCCCTAGGACCGTCGCGGCAAGAGTAAATTCGAACGGCGAACTAGAGGAAATCCCAATCCGCTTCCAACTAACGTACAGCAACAGCACCGAAAATTTCCCAAACCCTTTCCGCCAAACCATCATTCAGACGTTCGAATTTCCGCTTCTTTCGCTTTTCGCGCAATTTTTGGTTCGGCACCCAAGAAAGTGTTGGTCTGGTAAAACACTTTCCGAACGAATCCGAACCAAACCAGCAAACGCGGTTCGTCACGCCGTTCTAACGAAGCGCGCCAGGTAGTTGAGCGGCCCGGACGAGGCGCAGGGGCAACGGACGAAATGTCTCCGTTTCGCGAGAATATGTCGGGCACGTGCGACAATACATCCGTGTGTGATGGGAACTGCGAAACACAAATGCGAGTTTAGCGGGAGTCGCGTATGCATCCGACGTGCGTCGCAATCGGAAAACGACAATAGTGTGACCAGGCAGGTGTCGTCAAAGGCTAGAAAATCCGTCAATGGGCCCGCACGACCAAGCCTGCGCACGCAAAACGGTAGGTCGACGACGGTGATGGCTTGCAATACTGTACAGTAACGGGCTTCGTTCAGTTTGAGAATTCGAAGTCAATCCAAACGCCAGCAAGGCAAATCCACCTTACAAAAACAAGGCCCCCAAATGAAACGCATCTTCTCGTTACAGAGCGCTTCACAAGAAAACAAAGCAATCAAAGCAGAAATTCGCTCCTCTATAAGTTTCTTTAGATACTAATCTCCACATCCCCACCCCACTTCCGCGTCCAGCAAGACAGAAACCTTGCTGTGGAGCACAGTCAAGCAGCCTTACATGTCCTTACAAACAGCTCCGTAACTCACGCAGGCGCCTATTAGATTCGTCGTTTCCCGTTTTTTTAATATCCACGATGTCCGACGACACTGAGACTAACGATGTCCCTAAGGACGCGTCGCGCGACATGCAGCAGCAGAGTCGCGCTCTAGATTCCATCACCGACCATGTGGAGGAGCGACAACTAGATTCGCGCCGCGTCCAAGAGGTACACGCAGCTCGTTGATTAAGTTTTTCCGCAGATTTCAGAGATTCCGCACCATGTTAACTAAGTCACGTTTAGATTCCAGAAGGTTGCTCGCCGACTTGAAGGGGATTATGGCGGAGCGCTACGGAGAGCCAAAAGGGGTATCGTACCGAATGAATTCGTTCGGAATGGTATAGAAACCCTGCATGGTGTTTTTGCGCTAGCCGAACAGGCGGGCGTTGGCCTAGGGTTTCAGACGACGACTTGAATGGTTCAGGGTTTCGCGCATTGGGCCAAGTCAGACTCTTCCGCAAATGCACCATTGCACTCGCGGACGCTTTTTTGCTGTCTCGGCAACTTTCAGGTCCCTGAGGAGGGAAATTCTGGGATGACTGGAGGAAATTCTGAGATTATTGGAGGGAAATTATGGGATTTCTGAGGAGGGAACAGGGATACTGAGGAGGGCACAGAGATTAGCCAAAGTGGATTATGCTAGTTCGCATTGCCTGGCCCTTAGCAGGATCTGTCATAGTTTTGGGACGTCTCAAGTCCCTCAGCAGGCGCTTGTCAACCCTAGTTCTCAGACGTTTCAAATCTATCAGCATGCGCTGCGTTGCTGCCAGTCTCCGTTCCCCTCTGAAAGTTTGCACGCCTGTTCTGAGGCGCCTCAAGAATCAGTTTCGAACGCCATGCAGCACCATCGGTCATTGTTGTCTTCCCGAACGGTTCTGCTGATGCTCTTCTTTTTGTTGGTGCAGGCGATGGCGTCGATTGCGGCGTCATCTGCGGCGGACAGGGAGGCTCAACGCGCCAGGTACGGCCTTGGACCATGGATTACCATGAGTGTACTTTGAATTATTAAAAGCCATGGTGTATACGGACCTATCAAAACTCTTCACCATGCTGAGCCTCCTGGCACGTTGAGCAGGGTGTGAAGGAGGCTCTACGGTGTGCTTGATCTGCTGGGACGGGTGGCTGATGTAATTGTGCCAGAATAGCTTGCAGCATTGTTTGCATCTCATTCCCATTGTTTGCTGGGCGTGGACCGTTGGTTGGGTGGGTGGTATTGCTGGCAGGGAAAAGGAGCTGGCTGCAGTAAAGATAGACTCAGCACACATTGATCTGATTGCTTCAGAAATGGAGGTAAGTTGGCATGATTCCTTGTAGGTTGTTGGCTGCTTCCGTTGTCATTTTCCGCATCCCGTCTATTTACGCCAGTAGCTCTCTCCTATTCCAAGAATTATGTTTTTATGTCTATTTTCTGTATTATTACTCAACTTGTGATGTTTTCATGTATGTGAATCCAGGTTGACAAAAAGATAGCAGAGAGAAGACTACGGGAACACCAAGGGGACCCTGTTGCTGCTTTTAGATCTTTTCTGCACTGAAAAAAAAAAAAAAACCTCTTTGGAATCGTCCTGATAATTGTCCTGCTTTTTCCGAATGTGTGAAGCATTCATGATAGAATAGCAAGTGTATTATTATTTGTAAGCTTTATCTATGCGCGCAATTTGTAACGACGCAACCGAAGTCCTTGAGATTGGGGGTTCCATGCACTTCCCTTGCATCTCTGTACAATTTCCAAAGCGCGCCCCATTGTCACCAATTCGCTTCGCACGTCGGTTATTTTTTGCGCCGCGCGTCTCTAGCTCTCTTCATCGAGTGACGCCCGAGAGAGGACCAGCCTCAAGTCGCCGTCCTCTCACCTGGTAACAGCTGTTACCACTTTGCGCGAGTTAAGACGGTCAGCCGACGCCGGCGTTGGCCAATGGGGAACGTGAACGTCAAGGTTAGTCCGTCTGACCGCTGCAAAACACGACGAAAGCGGTCAACCTTTTTTCAGTCCGCCTGCTTGGTTCATCCTCCTCTCATTCTCCTTTTATCCTTCTTTTGTCCTTCTTTACCCCACCACTGCCTCTCCTCAGGACGGGCTAGACCCGTGGGCCTCTCCAGCCTCTCCCTCGGAAATGTTCTTAGACGTCTCAGAACTTCCTTCTTCTTCCTTCCATCCTCCTATCCCCTCCACCTCCCCCCCACCACTGCCTCTCCTCAGGACGGGCTAGACTCCGTGGGCCTCTCCAGCCTCTCCCTCGGGAATGCCGCGCTGGGCGGGGGGAGGGCCGCGGCGAGCGCTCAGCGCGCAGCGAACTGGAAGGCCACCGGGATCATCGCCCTCAGAGACGCGCACTTGAAGGTGAAGAGTGGGGTTGGGGGATGGGGCGAGCAATACTTTCCGCCCTTGTACTAGGCATGCTTGCTCTATCGCTCAGCGCGCAGCGAACTGGAAGGCCACTGGGATCATCGCCCTCAGGGACGCTCACTTGAAGGTGAGGGGGGGGGGGTAGAGCACCCAAACATACCGGGTGTGCGATACTCTTTCTTGGGAATGCCGCTTTGGGGAGATGGGGGTGGCGGGTTTTGAGGCGCCTCAAAAGCCGCTTTGGGGAGATGGGGTGGCGGGTTTTGAGGCGCCTCAAAAGCCGCTTTGGGGAGATGGGGGTGGCGGGTTTTGAGGCGCCTCAAAAGCCGCTTTGGGGAGATGGGGGTGGCGGGGTGGGGCGACGGCGAGCGCTCAGCGCGCAGCCAACTGGAAGGCCACGGGGATTATCGCCCTCAGGGACGCGCATCTGAAGGTGAGGTGAGAGGGGAGATTAAAGCACCAAAACACCGGGAATGCGATGCTCTCCCTTGGAAACGCCGCGCTGGGAGGGGGCAGGGCCGCGGCGAGCGCTCAGCGCGCAGCCAACTGGAAGGCCACGGGGATTATCACCCTCAGGGACGCTCACTTGATGGTGAGGGGGGGTGGGCGCATGTAAAGCATTCGCGGCACGCTAGGGTTAGTGCACAGCGCGCAGCGAATTGTGAAGGCCACGGGGATCATCGCCCCCAGGGACGCTCATTTGAGCATGGTGGGCATGGTGGGCATGGTAGCATACTCCCTCCTTTATTCCTTCCCTCTGTTCCCTCACGTCTCACTCCCACTTGTTCCTCTCCATGCGTCCCACCAGGCCATCCCTGATGCAGTCTTCGAGGCAGCAGGCTCAGCACGCACTCTAGACGCGTCCAACAACAGAATAGGTAAGCACCAATCGGGTGGTGGGACCCTAGAGTGGGAAATAGCACTGCTGCCACATTGGAACAAGCAACCATGTGCGTCCCTGCACACATGCTCCCACCCTTCCACACACTCGGTGATGTGCGTGTTTCACATCACATCACTGCACACTTTCCAGTGGCAATCTGACTGTTCACATCACATCACTGCACCCACCCTGGTAACCTGATGTCCCCTCTCTTACAAACTAGTCGTCTGTATTCACATTCTTCTTCACATCTGCAATTGGTGAATTTGTTATATCGTCCTCCGTTTAGTTCCACCCTTTGCCATCCCCGCTCAATCTCAACCGTGCAGTTGAGATCCCGGAGGCGATCGGACGGCTGACATCGCTGCAGCGCCTGATTCTCCCCACCAATCGCATCGAGCGCCTGCCTGCTTCCATCGGCCTGCTTACATCCCTCAAGGCCCTTCAACTGGAGAACAACCGACTGACAGAGCTGCCAAACGAGAGTGAGCACTCAAGCGAAATGACGGGTGCTTATGATATGGGTGGGGTGGGGTGGGAGCATTGATGTGCAGCGCCTGATTCTCCCCTCCAATCGCATCGAGCGCCTGCCTGCTTCCATTGCTTACCTCCCTCAAGGCCCTTCAGCTAGAGAACAACCGATTGACAGAGCTGCCAAACGAAAGTGAGCATTTGTACCAGTTGTTAGAAGGAGTTGGGAGGAGTGGTAAACATTCTAGGGGGGTGCTTGCAGCCTCCCCTCCCAGTTGGTTCTCTATCTCGCTTGCAGCGCCTATCTCTCAAGAAGCTGCAGCACCTGCCAGACTGACTCAATACATCGCCATGACTCGTCTCCTCTTCCCCGCCCTTCACCCCCGCCCTTCTCCCCTCCTCGCACAGTCGGCTCTCTATCTCGCTTGGAGCGCCTATCTCTCGCCAGCAACAAGCTAAAACACTTGCCAGACTCAACCAGCGCATGAACAAACTGTGACTGATCTTCCCCTCCCTCCTTGCCATTCTTGCCCGCCTTCCCTCCCCGCCCTTCCCTCCTCTCCCAGTCGGCTCTCTATCTCTCGCCAGCAACAAGCTAAAACACCTGCCAGACTCCATCTTCAAGCTCATAGCTGTATGTGCTCAGACTTTCCTGAGGTGTCTGAGAAGTGTTTGTGAAGCACTCTGAATCCCTGCCTCTTCTGCCGAGCATTTGGTCTCAGAGTGCTTTTCTCGGAGTGCTTTTCTCAGAGTGCTTTTCTCAGAGTGCTTTTCTCAGAGTGCTTTTCTCAGAGTGCTTTTCTCAGAGTGCTTTTCTCAGAGTGCTTTTCTCAGAGTGCTTTTCTCCCTCCCTACCCCAACATTGCGGCAATCCCTACCCTCTCCATCAAGTCCTAACCGCCCCTCCGCTCCCATCAATCATAAAACAAAATCCCATCAATCCTCTCACTGCCTGTCCCTTCAACCAATCCCTTACCACCTGCCGTGTGGTTCCATCAGTTTCCCCTTAGTCCCCTCTTCCACCAATCCTACTTTCCTTAGTTGGTCACTCCAGACATCTCTTTCAACTTCTTCCCCAGTCTCCCCAGGCGTCCCACCCACCGTTAATAGCTGCTCCACTCTTCAAGTTCTGAGGCATCTTAAAACTCTCCTCCCCCTGCCCCTCTCTTTCATGACTTCCCTCCTCGCCAGTTGGTCACTCTAGACGTCTCTTCCAATTGCCTCTCCAGCCTTCCACCAACGAACCCCTTCCCCCCACACCCCCTCCCGCCTTTCCTGTCCCTCCATTCCCCTCCCTTCCCTCTCTTCCATGAATACTCTTTGCCAGTTGGTCACTCTAGACGTCTCTTCCAACTGCCTCTCCAGCTTACCACCAACGAACCCCTCCCCCCCACACCCCCTCCCGCCTTTCCTGTCCCTCCATTCCTCTCCCTTCCCTCTCTTCCACCAATCCCCCATTGCAGTTGGTCACTCTAGACGTCTCTTCCAACTGCCTCTCCAGCCTCCCACCAACCATCGGTAGCTGCTCCAGCCTTCGAGTGATGAGGCACCTCAAAACTCTTCCTTTACCCGTGCTCCTCTCTCCCACAACTTCCCCCATTGCAGTTGGTCACTCTAGACGTCTCCTCCAACTGCCTCTCCAGCCTCCCACCCACCATCGGTAGCTGCTACAGCCTTTGAGTGATGAGGCACCTCAAAACTCTTCCTTTACCCGTGCTCCTCTCTCCCATACCTTCCCCTCTTGCCAGTTGGTCACTCTAGACGTCTCCTCCAACTGCCTCTCCAGCCTCCCACCCACCATCGGTAGCTGCTCCAGTCTTCAAGAAATTTCACTACAAGGTACCCCGTTACAAGGTGCCTCGTCAGAAGGTATAACAAAACTTACGCCGTGCCTCATGACAGTGCACCTCAGTAAAGGGTGCTGATAACGACTGCTTCGCATTAAGGATTCACAGCACTATACTAGACATGTGTGCGAACCTACACGGAATTATCCGCATGATTTTTCCTTCCTTCCCTCACCACCTCTGTCCTTGCCCAGGCAACCTCATTGCAGGTCTCCCCACCTCGGTGGTTCAACTTGCATTGCAGGTCTCCCCACCTCGGTGGTTCAACTTTTGACCTTTGCACTCTCGCCCAATTCTAACCTGATTCTAACCTCCCAATTCTATCCATCATTGCCCCCATTCTTCACCCTCTCCCCCTCATTCCATGCCCAGACAACCGCATTGCAGGTCTCCCCCCTTCAGTGGTACAACTATCCGACCTTCGCACTCTCGCCCTCGATAACAACCGACTCACAGACGTAAGTCAACTCCTTTTAACTCCTTACTCTTTCCCCTTGATAATCTCTCCCTCCCCCTTTTTTTCCTACCTGCCTTCCCTCCCCGTTGCGTTCCCACCCTCTAACTCCAAACCACTCTATCCCCTTCCTTTTCCGCTTCCTTTCCTTCCTCTTATTCACTATCACTCGCTCTCATGAGTGCTCACAAGCACTTTCCAACAACACTCACAAACACACTGCTGTCGCAAGAGATGTTATGTGTCTCCTTCCACTCTCTGCCTCCACCCTTTTGATCTGCCTCTCATCCACTCTCTTCCGACCTTTTCCCCTTATCAACCTGCAACATGCCTTCCCTCCATCCACACAGCTTCCAGCACAGCTTTTAGTTAAGTGCCAGCGGTTACAGACAGTTACCCTACGGGGCAACGCGGTTACACTGGAGCAGTTGGAGCAGATGGAGGGGTACGCTGCGTGTGAGGAGCGGCGGAAAACCAAAGTGGGCAAACTCATTGCTGCCAATGTTATCCCAAACCTTTCATCTGCCTCCACCCCCCTCCCTCCCCTCCTCCACCCCACCCCTCCCTTTCCTTATCATCCTGCAATTTTTCCTTTGCCCATTCACACAGCTTCCAGCCCAAATATTGGTCAAGTGTCAGAGGTTACACACGGTTACCCTACGTGGCAACGCGGTTACACTGGAGCAATTAGAGCAGATGGAGGGGTACGCTCAGTGAGGTGCATTTTGAGGCGCCTCAAAATGCACCTCAGTATGAGGAGCGCCGGAAAACCAAAGTGGACAAACGGATTGCTGCCAATGTGTTACTGAATGACCAGAGATTGGATATAGGCATCGATCGTACATGAGGTTGACTGAGTGTAGTCACGTATTGCTATCCTCGCGGCCAAGGCATCAACACTATCATCAGTGGACAAACAGTTTGCTTGTTGCTAAACGACCATTGTTTCGATGGAGGCATCGACGGTATGTTGACACACTCTAGTACCTACTCTAGCTACGTGTTTATATAAATTCTGTTTTCTGCAAATAGAAGTTAGCATAGCATTCCAATGACGTCACGCCCTCTTGTCCGGTTGCTGCCAATGAAACTTTTGAGGCACCTCAAAAGGCTGCTCTCAACTGAACTCAACCGCCCTTCCATGCAGTACAATTGTGCTATCACAAAAACTTGTGGCTGCGTCTCTCCCTCTAACCAAACCGACTCTTGCAATTCATTTGTATATTTTAACGCATCGTAAGTGCACTAGCAACTTTTGATTACCGATGTTGTTCCTGCTGGTACAGAGGCGAGCTTTTGGTGGATTCAAAATGCATTGCATTGCATCAGAAGTTGTATGCATGTGCCTGCTCCCGCTCCTCCTCGTATTCCAGCTGGAAAAGAGGGTGCACGGACACAGGGAAGCCGAATAGCATGGAAAAGTAAGGGGAGGGGGCGGAGAGGGAAAGGGGAATGGAGGAGGGGAGAAGGGCGAATTAGTTGGAGAACAGCACTGGAATAGCGAAGTTGTGAGAAGGAGTTTCTTCACAGAGAAGCTGATGCAAATTTGACTCTCTACACGTCTCAAGAAGAGGAAACAGCTGCTCAATACTGTTGCATAATTTCCTTCTAAACTCACTCTCACCTCAATGTGTCTTCTCCTGCCGGCTTTGCCTGCAGCAGCCCCCCTCCCTCTAGCCGCAGCAGCTGCACCACCTGCACCACCACCAGCAGCACCACCCTTCCTTCCTGCCCCTGCCCTTGCCGCTGCCCCCTTTCCTGCTGCTGCCTGCTGCTTCCCCCATCTCGCCTGCACACTCCTCTCAAATTCCAACTCTGCTTCTTCCTCTGCCTCCTCATCCTCCTCCTCCTCATCCTCTTCCCCCTCTTCCTCCTCATCCTCCTCTTCCTCTTCATCCTCTTCCTCCTCCTCATCCTCCTCTTCCTCCTCATCCTCCTCCCCATAATCCTCCTCTCCCCTCCTCCCACGTCCAGGCAGCGCCAGTCTATCCCCCATATCTTCAATCTCCTCCTCATCCTCCTCTTCCTCCAAATCATACCCCTCAACAAATTCCACCTGAGGCTCATACTCCTCCTCCTCCTCTTCCTCCTCCTCCTCTTCTTCCTCCTCGTCTTCCTCTTCCTCCATTTCTCTGTCCTCCACCCCTTCCTCCCCTCCAGCCACCCTCACTCTCTTCTTGACTGGTCCATCCTCCTGCTCCTCCTTCTCCTCCTCCTCTATCCTCTTTTGGAACTGCTTCAGCGGAAAGTTATAAAGCTCGCCGTACGTTCCGCTCTGTAGCCGCTGTAGCAGCTCCTTCTCAATGGCCTGGACAGTTGAGAACATTGCAAAAATAAAACACGACACTAATAATACAGATGCAGATGTATGTACGTGTGTCATAGATGATTGATACGTGGATGCACATACATATATGCAGTTCTAGTTTAAGACTCACGACGGTGCATCATACATGCAAATGCACATGATCAACCCCCGTGCGACTCACTCTATCAATCTTTGCTGCCGTTTCTGCCTTGGCTTCTCTCTTCTCATCCCTCTTCCTCATTTTTGTCGGCATCGTTACTAGCTTGGGCCTGATAAGAGGGTGAGAGCGGGAAGGGAAACTCGCTTGAGAAGTCCAAAATCGACACCACAGTTCTGTCGGCATCTGGACTTGATAAGGTGGTGGGGCGGACGGGGAGGGCAATGCGGGCGAGGTTCTGATTCAAACGAGCCCGAAGATTCATACATGCATGCAATTGTGTAAGAGTGTTTCTAATGTTTATCGTATGTACATAAATTCAAATTCTTCCACTCACTGTATCTTGACGGCCAGTCGGCGCATGCAATGCAAATAAGGTACTGGTTCAACCGAGTCAGGAGAGTCAATCCCAGTTCGAAAAGCGCTGTGGTAACCAGATGCTTTGGCAACTCACTGTATCTTGACGGCCAGTCGGCGCATGCGAATGCGGCACTGAGCCAACCGAGTCAATGCAAATCAAACACCACTTGACAAGAAACGAATACAGATAGTTCAAAACCACTCACTGTATCTTGACGGCCAGTCGTCGCATGCGAATGAGGTACTGAGTCAACCGAGTCAAGCGGAGCTTCACCAGCGAGACCATGCGGGGCGGCCACCATTGCTGGAGTGTAAGGGAGGGGAAAAAGAAGGAAGGGGAGGGAAGGGCATGGGGGAAAGGTTGCACATATCAAGAAGTCAAATGAAGCTCCTCCAGCAAGACCATGCAGGGCGGGCACCATTGCTGGAAGGGGAAAGCAGGGGAAGGGAGAAGAAGTAGGAAGGAGAGACGAAGGGAGGGGGGAAAAGCGGAGCTTCACCAGTGAGACCATGCGGGGCGGCCATCATTGCTGGTGCAGGGGAGGGAGCAGAAGAAGAAGGAAGGGGAGGGAAGGTGATGGGGGCAAGGTTTAAGGCCCACTTGTCTCCACTGAGCCACCAGTGCCAAATGAGTCAGCCTAATTATAACCCACTCACCAGAAACTTGTCTACGGCTTCCAGTGCCTTGGTGTAGTTTTTCGGAAGCTTCACCCGCTCCCAGAGCTTGTTGGGCATGTGTGCTCTCTCAATGGTCTTCATGTAAAGAAACAACTCGCCTGTGTGTGTATGTGGGTGGGGGAGGGGGGCAGGGGGAAGAGACCAACAAGTCAACAGGGCTTGTTGGGCATGTGTGCTCTCTCAATGGTCTTCATGTAGAGAAGAAGCTCGCCTGTGCGTGTGTGGTTAAAGAAAGTGTGAGAATAACAGAAAGAAAGGGGCACATAACAAATCTGGTGATAATACGGGGAGATGCAAGTCCAGGTCTGTGCGCTTGCTCAATGGTCTTCATGTAGAGAAACAGCTCGCCTGCACACACGTGTGGGTGGGTGAGTGGGTGGGTGGGTGGTTGCCAGAAGAGACAGAAAAGTCAACAGGGCTGGTAGGGCATGTCACATGTGTGCTCGCTCAATGGTCTTCATGTAGAGAAACAACTCGCCTGCACGCATGTGATTGCAACAGATGGGAGAAAATCAACTATGGTGATATCATTGAAAATGCGGGGAGGGCAATGGAGGTGGGGGGGAAGGCGAAGAGGAAAAGAGCCGTGGGAAGAGACGAAACGGAAAAGGGGGGTTCTGAGAGGACTGAATGAATAAATGCATTACCGTCATGTTCTCGCACTGTAGCATAGCGGCTGTTGGCCAATGGGCACACGCCACGTTTGCAGATGGCGTTCAGGTTGAACGGGTGTCTGCAAAACGTGTCCGTTTGCTGCCTGCAGAGGGGTGACACGTGGCGGACAGAGGGGTGATACACGTGGCAGACAGACCGGTTGGCCGGCACACGGAAAGTTCGTGCCGAACACGGAACAACTCAGCAATAGCTGACGAAATTCCTTAAATCGCTGGGAAACCCTGAACCCTTTGAAACCCTTGTCAAGATCTTTCTAGATCGCTGGCTTGCCGATACGTACATATTAAAGAGCGGATAGAAGGAAAAACATCAGCTTTTATATCCGTTTTACGGTTAAGGTTCAGAAGAAACGTACTTGACTCGGTAACTGCAGGGACCCTTCCCGACAAGGCCCCAGATGACGTCATCATGTTGCATGACCGCCGCGTGATCCGGCTCCTCTTGCCTGACGTGTCAGTAACGGACAGGTGCGCTGCGGCTCCTCTAGCCTGCGCGCCGACTAGCGATTACGTGCGATGACTACGAAAGTCTCAGGAATCGACTTTTGAGTTGACCCAAAACCACCTAGCCCGCGCGTTGACTCAGGATCGCGAGAGTTGACTATCGAAGTTAAAAAAAAAAAGTGCGCTCTCTACAGTTTTGCTCCGCCCCGACTCTCAGCCGTGCGCGTGCAGCGTACGAATTTCGAGGCGCTTTACTTCCTTCGCCCCTCCGTGATCCGGTACTCCTGCTGCCTGCGGCTTACGAATCACGGCGCCTCGCTGAAGCCAAATCCTTTCAAATGCTTTAATCTCTTCGCGACGGCCAAGGTCAAGGTCGCACGCGCCTATGATTTGTTGGAATAGGCGAGTGGCATATGTATGGTGTGACCGTGAGTGAGAAGCTGAACGGGGTGGACAGGACACGGAATCGACAACAGCGAATGCGAGTGCTTCCAGTGCACAACTTCGCCCCTTTTTTCCGCAGCACAACTCGGCCGTCCGCGATATTGTTGGCATGCGAGAATGGATCGGAAACCTTTTATATCCATTTAACTCACTCGTATCAAACAAAGCGCCTAGGTCAATGATTAGTCAACAGAAGTTTATATCTATAAAGAAAAAGAACTGCCAATCACATGTGCACTTGAAGTATTACTTTGAGGGCTGTTGCACCTCCTCCTTGCAGACAGGACAAACCTGCCACATGGATAAAACAAGGACGGGCATGAGATGTGGAAAAAAACTTAATTTCTTGTACACAACAGCATGATGGTAACAGCATCCACAAGCAACCAGCCAGCACACTTCCGTGTAACCAGCAACTTGAAGAAAAGAACAAACCATTGGCAGGATGAGCCAAGAAGAAAATCAAGGGGCACCCAAAAAAATGGCAAGCCTCACTTTGTTCTGTCCCAGCCCAGCCATTCTTGTCTTCAGTCAGAGCTAAACACAACATCATCTTGCTCCGCCCCCATTGATTCACTCGAATCCAAACCTCACCATGATTTATCCCTAGTACCGCTATGAAGTCAGGGACACTGCTGGCACGGCGGCAAGATCTCACCTTGTTACGTCCCAGCTATTGGAGGATACTGGAGGCACGGCGGCAGCAGCAGCAGCAACTCATCCCCTTCCCATTCTCACCTTGTTCCGTCCCAACCATTGTTCCAAAATCCGTTCAAAGGTTTAAGCCTCACCTTGTTCCGCCCCAGCCATTGCAGGACACAGGCCTCATGGTATAATGGTAGCACGGCGACAGCAGGGAAACGGCAAGCAAGGGAAAGTACGTGTTCGCTTACAGCCATGTGATTTGCAGTCTGCTCAAGGTTCGAGCCTCACCTTGTTCCGTCCCAGCCATTGCAGCACACAGGCCTCATGGTATGAATGGTGGCACGGCAGCAGCAGGGAAGCAGCAAGCAAGGGAAAATACTTTGTTCCTTCACAGCCATGTGACTAGCAGTCCGTTCAAAGGTTCATCCCTCACCTTGTTCCGTCCCAGCCATTGCAGGACGCAGGCCTCGTGATATGAATGATGGCACGGCGGCAGCAGCAGCAACTAATCTCCTTCCCATACTCACCTTGTTCCGTCCCTAAGTCAAGCCTCACCTTGTTCCGGCCCAGCCATTGCAAGACACAGGCCTCGTGATACGAATGGTGGCACGGCGGCAGCAACAGCAACTCCTCCCCTTCCTCATACTCCAGCTGGCAAATGGCACACCTGAGGGACAAATGCCACACAAGAAATGATTAAGACAGGAGTGAAGAGAGAGGAGGTTGCCGGGGCGTGGAAAGGGAGGAGAGTTAGTGGGCGGTGGGACACAACGAGCAGACAAAAGCGGCCCACACACACACACACACGCGCGCGCGCGCACACGCACACACACGCACACGAGCTGCAAATATGCCAAGGGTTAGAAAGAAATGGACCTGCAGAGTAGCCCAAGAAATGGACTTACATGTCCTCGCCTCGCCTCAGGGGGGTCCTGGTGCTGTATGCGACACGTGGCAGGGCGTCAATGGTTGCTTGTGCCAGCCCCTTGCTCTCTGTTCCAATCACCTCTCCCAGCGCAGTCAGCTCCTGCAGAGCACACACAGAGCAGAAAGAGAGATGGATGATGAAACAAGTAATGGGTGACTTTTGAGTCGACTCAAAAGTCATGATGTGTGCCAGTCCCTTGCTCTCTGTTCCAATCACCTCTCCCCAAGCAGTCAACTCCTGCAGAGCACACACACAGAACAGAAAAGAGACACGGGTAATGAAACAAGTTCTGGGATTTCCTCTTCCTCGACCCACCCTAGTGACAACAAAAACTGTGAGCTGCTCTCCACCACTTTCATATTTGGGAATAATTCATGTATCCCAGCGCCTTACACCGCACTGGAAATCCTGGCGCCTCAAATCACACATCTTGCCTGCTTGCTTCCTCACACTGCAAGATCTGATACCATACCATACCATGGCACCATGCCATACGATATCAGGCCATTCCATGCCCTGCTACATGTTGGATGGACCTACCATGCTTTTGGGAAAATATTGAAAAGGTATAGAGACAATCTCTCACCTCGTACGTCACCTCGACCACATCCAGTGCATACTCGGTGTCCTCATCACCCCCATCCTCCTCCTCCGTATCCTACTATTGAGTCAACTAGATATTAGAAGTCTCACCTTGTACGTCACCTCGTCCACATCCAGTGCTTCCCCGTCCTCCCCGTCCTCCTCCTCCGTATCCCTTTTTCCAGTCAACTAAAAATTTAGAAATCTCACCTCGTACGTCATCTCGTCCACATCCAGAGCATCCTCGCCCTCCCCATCCTCCTCCTCTGAATCCTCCTCCTCCGACTCCTCATCGCCCTGCAAGCCCAGCAAACGCCCATAATACGAGAGTGCGATTGATCAGACAGGGTAAAGGAACAGACGTGGCAAACAGCTTTCACAGCCAGAAGCAAAGAGGTCGCCTACTTGCACCTGAATGAACGCGCCCTCCCCTCCCAGCGCCCACAAGTGTCTCAACAAACCCCACCTCCCTCCCACATCTTGCCATCTCCCTGTTGTTGGAAGTCATTCTTGATTCGACTCCCTAGACACCACGCACTCTAGCCAAACCACTCTGGTAATTCATCAAAGGTCGCTCACATCACTCACAGTCAGCTCACCTCTCCCTCGCCGAATGGCCAGGCGACGCCATGCGCTGCTGCCAGCATCTCCGCTCTCCTCCTTGAGCTGGACCCTGGAAACCATAAAAGAGGAGGAAAATGAACAGGACGCATGGGGAATAAAGAGTTACCAGGTGGGATTCTCTTGTAGAGCCTACCTGACATGGAATGTTTGACGTATCGCTAGCATAGAGGCAAGCAATTACGGGCTGGTAGTCACCGTTGGTGACTGTGAGTGTGTTGCGCACCTCGACCGTCGCTCACAAGTCACCTCAACAGTGACGCGCCTCAATTCACAAGTCACCTCAACAGTGACGCACCTCGTCCGTCGCTCAGTTGCAGCCCAGCCATGGCGAACAGCCTGCGCGCCATCTTGCGCTCTTCCGAGGTGACTTTTTGAGTCGACCCAGAACTCACCTCAACTGTGACGCACCTCGACTCACAAGTCACCTCCACTGTGACGCTCCTCGACTCACAAGTCACCTCAACAGTGACGCACCTCGATTCACAAGTCACCTCAACAGTGACGCGCCTCAATTCACAAGTCACCTCAACAGTGACGCACCTCGTCCGTCGCTCAGTTGCAGCCCAGCCATGGCGAACAGCCTGCGCGCCATCTCGCGCTCTTCCGAGGTGACTTTTGAGTCGACTCAGAAATAACCTCAACAGTCACACACCTCGATTTACAAGTCACCTCAACAGTGACGCACCTCGATTTACAAGTCACCTCAACAGTGACGCACCTCGACTCACAAGTCACCTCAACAGTGACGCGCCTCAATTCACAAGTCACCTCAACAGTGACGCACCTCGTCCGTCGCTCAGTTGCAGCCCAGCCATGGCGAACAGCCTGCGCGCCATCTCGCGCTCTTCCTCCTCCTGCAACGCACGAGCAAACGCTTCGTCATCCTCGTACGCTCCCTCCCCTCCCTCCCCTGCCTCCCCTCCTGCACTCCCTTCCTCTCCTTCCCCGGCTCCCTGCCGCGCTGCTTCCCCCCTGAGGACACCTGACGTGTTCCCAGAAGCCTCCGCTTCGCTTCCACCGTTCTGAAACAGCTGTCGCTGCAGTGACGTACTTCTGGTGCTACTCGACTCGCGGCCTGGCTCGTTCGCAGCCTCGCCTCCTCTTTCGCCAGTTTCGCCCATTTCGCCGTCTTCGCGCGTTTCGCCATCGTCTTCGCTGGCTTCCTCCCATTCGCCGTACTCGTCGTCGTCCGCGTCCGCGAATTCCTCCTCGTCAGCATCGGGATCGTCTGCTTCGAGCTCCTCTCCCTCGCTCAGCAGCACAATGGGATGATCTACCGACGAGCCTGTCTGACGGACTTGACGGTCCTGACGGTCTTGACGGTCTTGACGGCCTTGAAGCCGTCTGGAACTGCCTCTAGCACCAGAGCGAGAACCGGAGGCTGACGCCGACGCTGCTGCTAGTGCTTGCTGGTGGTAAAGCATCATAAAAGCGCACTCCTGGGAACACGAAAAGAAAGAGACGGAGGATGAAAACAGGGACTGGAAGACATAAACAGATTTCCTAGTAAGGTCAAGCTTGTCCTCTTTTTCCTCAGTGCAGCCCGCCAAATCCTTAATCGCATGTTTTGAGACGTCTGAGGACGAAATCAAGGACTGAACAAACTCCCTCGTTCAATCAGCGCAGAGTCTACGGTTCCTCTTGAGATCAGTGCAGAGCCTACGGTCGTCGTCATATGAAGCCTATCTGTCCTACGCAGATCAATGCGAAGCTTACCTGCTCCTGAATCGCACGAGCGAGAGCCAAGTCCGCCTCCAACTGGCTATTTTCCGTAAACGGAGTTCGGCGACGGCTTCCGTCTTCACTTCCTGACTGACCGGCAACCTCGCCGTCTGCTTGACTGGCAGCCGTCTCGTTCAGCTCATTCCCGGCATCGCCTGATACTTCCGGCCGTTCAGCGGAGACGGGAAGCGAGGAAGATTCACCGGCTTTTGTAAGATTCCTTGAATTTTCACCGTCAGGTTTACTGAATGAAGCTCCCACTGCTCTAGTTGGACCACTCATCGTTTCAGCTGAATCTGTGGATTCGGCGAGAGGTGACGGCGAATGATCCTCTGGATGGTGATGGTTACTAGATGAGCCCATGTGCATAAGAAAAGGAAGAAAACAAAATCTGTACCCTGGAGAAGAAACACTGAGCACGTTTGCAAGGACTATGGAATCGGGAAGCCCACAGAAGGCGAACCCAAGTGCTGTGAACGTGGGATACAACAATTTAAGAAGACTCAAGACTGCGAGACAGACTTAGACTAATAGTAGACTGGCAAGAGGGAACTATGAACGCCTGAATTATGGATCGCGAATCTTTGAAGTGTAAGGGAAACGGACGTGTAGGAGACTAGAGTAGTTCCCTCGGGCCAACATCATAGACATGCAAATTAGTCTGGTAACCCTATTCGATGGTATGCAAAACCGTCGATACCCCAGTTCTGCTGCGCAAAATTGTCTGGTAGCGCCACTCAAAACACTGTGTAACAGCTGACGCAGCACAGAAAAGGAAGAAAATATGTGATTGAATCAGTTGCGTTTTCGATTTCGTATCGTCGTGGTTCTTACCGCGTCTTGTTCGGCGCCTAACAAATATTCCTGCCGGCTACTATTTTCCGCTAAATGTGACGAAAAATCCACTGGAATGAAAGGCTACGGGGTCCATTTCGATAACATTAATTTGGACCAATATATTGCTACCGGGAAATGTAGGGGCAGGGCAGAAAAACAATAAAACCCCTAGGGACCTGGACGCATTTCTGGGAGGGATCAACCCTAAACACGGGAAAGGACATTGTTTTTAGGGTTGATGCCTCCCTGACGCATCCCTTTCCGATCGGGTTTTATTTTTTTCTTGGCCCGAAGAAATCACGTCTTAGCGCGAAGGCAAGCGCGGTAAAGATCAAATTTGAATTAAAAACGAACGCGCTTTCAGGGCAGCATGTCAATAACTTGCAAACAGAGGTAAGACGGTTTTGCATACCATTGGATAGGGTTACCACACTAATTTGCATGTCTATGATGTTGGCCCTAGTTCCCTCGCTAGCCTGAGGAAACCCAAGGGTAGGCTAGCCGCCAACCTTGGGATTCTCAACCACTAAGGGATGCGAGAAGCGGATGGCGAAATGGATGGATGGATGGTTGGATAGGGTTACAGTATTTGGGTCGACCATGTGTCATGACGTGTGGATGAAGTCGCTGTTCGAGGTGACGGCCGTTGCTTCAAACGAGGACTCGGATTGGTCGTTATTGTTTTTCGCGGAGAACCACGTACGTAGCCGTCAGTGTACTGTCGCGGTTCTTCGATTTGAGTTCGTCAGCGGAGCGCTTTCTGACGAATCACCGCTCCACGCCTGAAAATGTAGTTGGCGGGAAAAACTCGGTCCTCTGCTGCTCGAACATTTTCGCCATTGGCTTGAAGGAAATTTCGAGCTAGACCGCTTTTGTAACCTATATTTTTTTTCAAAGAACCATAACGCGAAACGAAACGCGCTACATCGAGGGTCAAATCAACCAAACAATCAGTCTTCCTGCCTACCTCTCACAAATGCGTCCGTCTTTCCACATTCTCCTCGTTCTCCGCCGTTAATCCCGGCAGTATCGGCATAAGAAGATGGCTAAGGGAGGGAAAAAGCAGCAGCAAGAATATTCCGGAGGCGCGCCGCCCATAGTACCCTCCACGCGCATTTCCTGGCCGAAACTGAGACAGCACCGCGACCTGACGCCGCAACTAATACGTGGCTGCGAAGTGTTCACTGTGAGCTCCCTCCGACGTTCGTGATAGTCACAAGACCTGAGATGTCGATAAATAAGGTCCCCGCGCTTTTTGTTTCACAAATTCCTTTCTGCTGTAAAGGTTTCTGCTTCTTCAGATCCCCGCTTGCCCATTTCCGCATTCATACCCCCCCCCCCCCCCCCCCCCCCCCCCCCCCCCCCCCCCCCCCCCCCCCCCCTTTCCCCGTTTTCCCCCTTCAGGTACCAGGAGCGCTCTCCCCATTTGAATGCGCGGAGTTCATTGCGCAAGCGGAGCGCGTGGGGTTCCAGTGGCAGGGCAGCGGCGGTCCCGCCAAGGGCGAGGCGTATCGAGACAACCACCGGATAGCCGTTGAAGACAACGAGCTGGCTGGTGAGTCGGGCGGAAGACGCGGGGACGGGGGTACGGTAGTGACAGGAGAGCGGAGGTACATTAGTGGCAGGGCAGTGGCGGTCCCGCCAAGGGCGAGGCGTATCGAGACAACCACCGGATAGCCGTTGAAGACAGCGAGCTGGCTGGTGAGGCAGGAATGGGGAAGGAAGGAAGGAGGAAGAGGGAGGGGTAAGGTATGTGCGAGTCAGAAGGAACCCCCAAGGGCAAGGGGCACCGGATAGCAGTTGAGGACCCTGAGCTGGCTGGTGAGTCATGCAAGAGGAAGGACAGGGGAGAGTGGTAAGGTGAGTGAGTGACGTGTGACGGACACAGCCCTCCTTTCCCCCCGGGTGTTTTTCAGGCAAAGTAACCGTGTTTTGAGACGTCTCAACACACGAAGGACAGGGGAGGGTGGTAAGGTGAGTGAGTGACGTGTGACAGACACAACCTTTGTCGGCCCCCCGTTTTTCTTCAGGCAAAGTAGCTGTAACCCCTACAAGCTGGTTACCGCAAGGCCACGACGCTTCACCCTCTTCTCACCCTCTTCTCACCCTCTTCTCACCCTCTCTGCCTTCTCCTTTCTGCCATTTTTTCCTTTTCTTTTCAACGGGCAGCGCATTTATGGGACCGGCTCGCACCAGTGCTACAGCCGTTACAAGTTGGTAACCGCAAGGCGGTGCGTCTGAACCCCAACATGCGTGTCTACCGCTACAGCCGGGGCCAGCAGTTCGGGGCGCACATAGACGAGAGCGTGACTGTAGCAGGGGGGAGGAGGACAGAGTATACACTACTGGTGTATCTGTCAGGTGCCCCTTCTACCTGGGAGGGGCGGGAGGAGTGGGAGGAGGAGGGAGAGGGGTATCGGGAGGAGGGGGTGGAGCAGGAGGAAGCTGGGGTTGGGGCGGACGGGGACGGGGAGGAAAAAGGGGGGAGGGATGGAGAGGGGACGGCTAGGGAGGGGGCGAGGGAGGGCGATGGAGGGGAGGGGCGGTGGAGGAGAGAGAAGGAAGCACCAGGAGGGAGGGGGAAGGTCGGAGGGGGAAGGCTGCAACATCAGAAGCAGGAGCAGCTGGTGGGAGGAGAAACGGTGTTCTATGTGGGGGCACGGTCACAGGAGAGCTTCGAGGTGAGATTGCTGGTTAGGTTGAGTCGGGAAGCAGGAACATCAGAAGCAGGAGCAGCTGGTGGGAGGGAAGACGGTGTTCTATGTGGGGGCATGGCCACATGAGAGCTTTGAGGTGAGATAGTGTTTTCCTTTCATTGGAAACACATGTTCTACCTGTATGTTGTTGGTTCCTTTCATTGTCTCTTATCATTGCCTCTTCTCTTTCTTCCTCTAATCCCTCCCTTCCCTACCCTTTCCTTCAGTCAGCAGCAGTCAGGCATGTATTAAGTACCGTAATTCTCTCCACCTCTCCATTCTCCCTCCCCTTCTGCCCTTCAGGGTAGTCCAGAAGTTGGGATGGCGTTGCTGCACCGGCAAGGCGCAAGGTGTTCGCTGCATGAAGCCAGGTAGGTGAAGGCTGGGATCAAACTATTATCTCTACATCTCTGTTTCTGCCTCTGTTTCTTCCCTTCCATCTTTCTGCCAGGTGAGTCCAGAAGTTGGGATGGCGTTGCTGCACCGGCATGGGGCGAGGTGCTTGCTACATGAAGCCAAGGAGGTGAAGGCTGGGATCAGGTATGTGCTACGCTCTGATGTAGTCTTCAAGTGATTCACATAATTCGTGCCGTGTTGCTTGACACACAGGAGATCAAGTGTACATGTATTTCAACCAATCATGCACTGAAGCACAAGGAGTGATTCGGGCACACGAATACTGCAGCCGCAGCTGTATCATGCAACACGCATACATCCAATCCCACTCAGCATCACTCCTATTTACACAATATACAACACTACCACCCAAGCCACAGCTGGAACACACAGCTGCTACTGCCCTGCTGCTGCCGGCAGTGTCCATAATTCCGCTGGGGGTTGTATTGGTACCTGTATCAGTGCCAGTGGATTTCAGAGTCGTCTCAAAACCCCAAACGACATGAAATCCAGCGCAACTGCAGTCTGACAACCCCAAACAGCTACCAGTCTCACTGAAACACGTGCCTGCGCCCCGTGGTTCCACCAGTGGTATCAGTGCCCTCTGTGCTGTGCCCCACCTGTGCGGCACCAGTGGTGCCCATATGCCCCGTGCCATGACCCGTGGTAGTTCCATGACCATGCATGGGATCCGAAATGACGCCAGCGCCATGCCCAGTCATGCCAGTGATACCATACCCATGCTCCGCCCTCGCACCGTAATCGCCTCCACCTGTAGCGCCAGTGCCGTACCCGTGGCCAGTGCCAGTGCCAGCGCCCATCACGCCATGCTTCTCGTGCCGCGCCTCCTTCTCCGCGGCTTCCCTCTCCTGCGCGCCCGCGATCTTGCGCTCCTTCTCCAGCTCCGCGCGCTCCTTCCGCTGCGCCTCCTTCGCGTCCGCAATCGCGTGCGCCTCCCGGCTCCCCGGGTGCCGCGCCTTGTCCATGCTCTCCTGCACCTCCGCCTTGCCTTTCGCGACGGCTTCGCCGGTTTTCGCGCTGACTTCGGACATCTTCTCCTTCGCCGCAGACATCATGTCGCCCGCCTTCTGCTTCATGCTCGCCATGGTAACCGGGTTACCAGGTTACACGAGAAAGGAGTTAGCGGTAGCTAACAACCGGTTGACGCAAGGGTAGAGTTCGCGCGTAGCGAGCAGCCGGGTTTTGCAAGGCACCTGGGATTGTTCTGCACCAACGGCTGGATATGCGACTGGTCGTGCGTCTGGTTATACGAGATTACGTGAGAGTCGTGGCTACGGAAACGCCTGATGAAAACGCCTGCCGAGATCGGAATAGTCTGGCAGGGAAGAAGAGAAGAGAGACCTGGTCTTGTACGATACGAACTGGCTCGGGGAAAGAGCGAGGCATCGTGTCGTGTCGTGACGAGGAGGGCTCGATGGGCCGCGTCGCGCCATGCTCGATTGCGGTGGTTGGTTGTGCAAATGTATGCGACTCGAAATGTTATGGCGAGTGCAACTAATGTAGTAAATCCGCACCAGCTGGCACTACGAAAAGGACTACGACGAATACGATAACACGTGCCTTCGAAATAAGGTGCATGCTTGCATGTGAAGAACATTGGAAACGGTATAATTTTTACACTGGTTGGGAGCATCCTGCTATAGCTCAGTTGGTAGAGCGGAGGACTGTAGTTGAGCAATCCTTAGGTCACTGGTTCGAATCCGGTTGGCGGGATCGTTTTGCTTCTTTTCTGCCTATGGTTCGCGAGGTCAAGTCCGGACCAGCTGTGGTCCAGGCAAAAGAAGAGGTTTGCTCACTCTCCCCTCGCCAAAGAAATCGCTGCGGTACTGTATCACTCTTGCGATGGTCCGACGTCGAACCAGCCCCCAGACCATTTCGCACGCGCATCACACCGCAAGAAGTGATCCCTTTTGGGGCCGCGGAAGCTGGTTCCGTGGTGTGCACTTTCGCGAGCACGTCTGCGCTGACACCCCCAATTGGCGTCCGCGCTTGCCCGGCTATGTGGTCCGGTTAGTGAGACCCGACACACCAGCCCGTAGTGTCGTTTGAGACCTGGTTCGGGCCACCCGGGCCAGGGGCTCCGCGGACCAGAGTGGCACACCATTACAAGACCTCCCCATGGACGGAGCCAATCAGCACATCTGACACAGACCAACACCAACCACATACGTCTCTCCGCGTGGCAACCAGATCACCGTCGCACAAGGGGCTGTCCCCTTCGTCCCCCACACAGATTTCACGGAAAGCACCGTCGTCGTCATCCTGTCGCCAGAAATGCGCATTGGCGACAGCGCACGGTGAGTAACGTGCGGCTAACGAAAAGGCATGCGAGCTGGCGAAGGCCCGCGCGCGAGGAACCTAGGAGTTTCCCTCGCGATTTCACCCATTCCCAGGGTTTCCCTCCCCCGCCACACGTTGGCCTCCCCCTTTTCCCTCTCTTTCCACGCCCCCTTGCCTTGGAGGGAAAACCTAGGTGGCAGGGGGGAGAAATACTTTTGGGAGAACTATATCGTACTTTTTGCACGGATCAGTGATTTGGTTTATCTGTTTCAGTTCTTTTACAGCTCATGGTGTCTCGATCGTTGCGCCATGTTTTGTTACGTGATCGTCGTAGCGGCGTGAATAATAAATAGTGCGGGCGTCGAGTTAATTCGTAGAGTTTTTAGCGCGTGCCACTGGATTCTTATTTCCTTTTTTGGACTCCTCGTAAAAAGTACATTCTTCTGCTTCTTTCAGATCGTCGGATCCGAGACTATGACAGCACGCTTAGTTAGGATAAAATTCTAGGTTAGGTTTTGGCGTTCCTGTGCAACGGAAGTTGCGCGTAACGGGAGTTTCCTCCCTACAAATGCAGCTCTAGACCACCTTCGCAATGGCTAATCCCAATAGTAACCCTGCATTTATGGCGCCTAGGCCGTACATCCAGGGTGAGGGTATGGTCATGGACCATAGGACGATGGGTATGGATCATAGAGGAATGAGTATGGACCACAGGGGTGTGAGTATCGACCACGGATCCGTAGCTCAGCCTTATCCGTCGCAAGCTATGGCAGCTCACGGGATGGCAGCACAGGGCATGTCAGCACAAGGCATGGCACCGCAAGGCATGGTAGCACCACAAGGGATGGCAGCATCGCAAGGGATGGCAGCACCGCAAGGCATGGCAGCACCGCAAGGAATGTCGGCAGCACCACTTTCAGGCATCTCAACAGCCGGAGGCCTCTCAACACAAGGCATTTCAGGCCCAGGCATGTCCGGTCCAGGCATGTCGGGGCAAGGCATTTCAGGAGCAGGCATGTCCGGTTACTCGTACGCGGGTCAGCCGTACCAGGTTCCGTTCACGCACATGAGACCGGCATTCGCGGCGCCCGACGCGTACCACCAGTTTCAGGACCCCGCGGTGTACCAGGGAGGAGGGTACGCGGCGGGCCAGTACGGGAGGCAAGGGGAGGAGGAGTACTTGGTTGCGAAATTCTCCGTAAGTCCTTCGGATGACTTCTCAGGCGGGGTTGTGTTCGGTAACGTACGGTGCGGAGTCAGTAGATCAGGCAACGGGAGGAGGAGTATTTAGTCGCGAAATTCTCCGTAAGTCCTTCGGATGACGTCTTAGGGTATACCAAGCGGTGGTTTAGTCGACTCAACAGGAGTATTTCAAGTCAACTTGGAAGGACGGTGGGGTGCGTTCACGTTTTTTCCACAAACGCTTCAGCTTCTCAGTCTGATGCTTTCGGTTCCTGACGACCTGCACAGCGATTTTTGAAAGCCGCGCCCTCCTGATATAACACCCCGGTTTCCGAGCTCAGGCGTCGCGCCTGAGCCATGTTTTTTTTCCTTGCCGTTCCGATCGCCACTTGTTAACAGACTCACGAGTTTTTGCGCGTTCGTGCGCATTTGTGCTCATTCCTGATACGTCGTGCACATTCTTGTGCATTCGTGTGTTCGTGCGCTTACCAGAGCCCGCCCGTTCTCCCCTTATTTGTGTGTTGCGGGTGCTGTTTTAGGAGCATTCATTACGGCAGAATGCGCCTGGGATGGCGCCCACTGTGTTATCCGGGCAGGTACGCCTATTTTGCCTCTCCTGTGCTCTCGCTATTGCCACTCTCCACTCGCGTCCCCTAGCCTCTCATCATTGTCACGCCCACTCGCATCTCTGGCTCTCCCATCCCTTTACTAAGTTTTCCTCCCCAGGATCCATTTTACCTCTCGCTGTCATGGTAATAGCTTTTCGTTCCGCCTCGCATGTCACCGCATCTCACCTCACATTCTTTTCTGTACGGTTTGAGCAGACAACGGGGGAGCCATGGCCGCGGTTCAACAACGGAGAGGATCCCCTCACAGCGCGAGGTCGCAAGATGGCGCGTGGGAAAGGTATGTTCCGACTGTGTGATATGTTTGAAATCTCTTGATAATGAGGTTTAACAACGGAGAGGATCCCCTCACAGCGCGAGGTTGCAAGATGGGGCGTTTGAAAAGGTAGGTTTTGGCAGTGTGATTGCGTTTAAGGTTTCTCAAAACGGATTTCAGCAACAGGGAGGAACCCCTCACAGTGTGAGGCCGCAAGATGGCGCGAGGGAAAGGTAGGTGTTGCCATGGGAAACGTTTAGGACCATGGGCACGTTTTCAGCCGAATAAAGAGTTGGTTCTTTCTTCACTTAGGTTTTATTTCACTCTCTTGTTATTCTTTCCTGTGGTGGCTTGTGGCAGGTGCAGCGTGGGATCATGGAGATGCAGGCATGGGGCTGAACTCACCTGCAGGACCCATGGGTCAGCCGCAGCAGCAGTCAGCATGCCGCTACGACAACTCTCTTGGTAAGAGGCTTGGTTTGTCTTATGCTCACACAGAAGCATGCGCAGATACGATGTCCCTCCACAGTGTAATGCTGTGTCAACTCCTCCCTTCACTCTCTCACTCAAGCTCTTTCTTCTCCCCCCTTTCTCCACCCGCCCACCCTCCCTTCTTGTCCGCATCTCTCCCCCTCCTTTTCCTTCCTTCCAGGGCTTCTAACGAAGAAGTTTATTGACTTAATAAAGGGTTCAGATGATGGTACACTAGACCTAAACACTGCAGCGTCAACCCTCCAGGTACACGTGGTAGCTTCTTTGCTTCTAATGTGTTGCATGTTGCTGGAACTCGCAAGGCTTTTCGGTTGCATGTGCATCAAGCTGAAGATTTTATTAGGCGCCTAAAATGTCTGCATCAAGCTGTAGAATAGCTCAGTCGAGTGGTTGGTGTTTAAATAACAATAGGACCCCATGATTCGACATCGTGCTTTGATTCTCGTCATCGTTCTTATTCGTCCCTCTCCTTGGGTCCAGAAGCGGAGGATATACGACATCTCGACATCATTCCCTTTGGTTGTGTATCAATTTATCTAGCGATGCTTAACTCTCCATGCGTGGTGACTCGATTTGTACGCTGGGCTATTCTTCTGTCCCTCGCAGGTCCAGAAGCGGCGAATATACGACATTACGAATGTGCTGGAGGGCATTGGATTGATCGAGAAGAAAGGGAAGAACAACATCCAGTGGAAGTGAGTGGCTTGATGTATGGAGCGTTTTGTTGGATATGTATATGTTAACGTAAGGTGTGTGTTGACAAATGTCTTACGCGAAGTATGTGTGCGTGCATTTGCATGTGTTCACAAAGTATGTGAAGGTAATCAATTTCGTAATGTTTTGTGCTTTTCAGGGGTTTGGAATGTGACTCGACCATCAAAGAAGATTCACAAATTCTACAGGTAAGTCCTCAGCAAAATTTGTTCACAAATGCTAAGCCTCGTCCTCAGCAGTACATTTCGTGATAAAATCGGCGGAGCTTACTGTAAGTTTAGACAGGAGTAGCAATTCCTCGCTCACACTGAGTTCAGCCGGTGCTGCTCTCAGCTGAGCTTCATCAGCCGCCGTCCATTCGTGAAGGCAATCAAAGGGGAGCGAGTTCAGTGCAGGGCAATTCAACTAGCTCGGCGGGAGGTACCGAGCTGGTTGGACTGTCCCACACTGTACTCGCTTCCCTTTGATTACCTTCACAAATGGACGGCGGCTGATGAAGCTCAGCTAAGAGCAGTACCGACTGCTCCAAACTCACAGTAAGTTTCGCCGAGTTTATTAGCTTTGTTAACTGACTAGGGCTTAGCATTTGACAATGGGTGAGCATCAATGAGAGTTCAGCATGAGGAAAAGGCTTAGCAGCACTTGACTGGGAAGGGTGGCTGAACATGGGCAGGAGGCAATAGGGTTTATGGGAATGTTTGCTGTTATGTGGGTATTTGATTTTCTCTATTCCCTGTGCTTCCCTCCCCCGTTGTGCTTCTCTCTCCCCTTGTTCAGGCGGAGTTGAATAGGCTAAGAGAGGAGGAGTTGAGTCTAGACAATGGCATCAAGTGCGTGTAACATGGTTGGGCATGGCAGTGGGCGCGAGGTTCTTTCTGTTCTGAGAGGTTTTTGGGGAATCTGGAAAATCTCTCGCAAGGAGTTGAGTCTAGTCAATGGTATCAAGTGCGTGTAACGTAGTTGGGCATGCCATTTTTCAATCTACGTGAAGAGGGGCGTACGATCCGACTATCGTCTTACGCCTCGTTGTTGTTTCAAGGCTTCTCGTTGTCTGTGATTCCCAGCATTTTTCAAACGCCGCTGCTGCATATTAGTTTTTCTTTCTCTCTGTCTTTCTCATCGTCTTCTGCTTTTGGATTTGAAAACCCGTCATCCGTGTTTCTTTGTAAGGTTTTAGTTGCTCACAAACCACGCACATTTCTGTGTCACTTGTGTTGCTCCAATCAGGGACATGAGGGAGCGGTTCCAGTCGTTGAATATGCAAGATAATTCTGAACGCTCTCAACCATTCTTTCTGTCACTTGTGTTGGCTTCCAATCAGGGACATGAGGGAGCGGTTACGGTTGTTGAATGAAGACGACAAGAGAAAACAGTAAGGCAGCCTTGCCACGTCACCTGTTTGACATTTTTTATGCGACTGCCACGATTTCTTTTCATCGTTACCCAAGCTTATATTTCATTGTTGAAATTCACGCTACCACTCTCTAATCTGCATCCATTTGGCTCTTGTAAGTCGCTAAGTCGCTTTGCCTGTAATCCGTCCGCCATTTGTGTTCAACCTGCAGGTGAATGTTTGTGACAGGAGACATGAAGAATGTGTGTGGGTGTCATTGATTTATCTCATCTCTACCTCTACCGTTTGTGTCCAACCTCTTTCTCTCGGTGTCTGTAGGTGGATGTTTGTGACAGAAGAAGACATCAAGAATCTGCCTTGTTTTCAGGTGACTATGTTTGATACTTTGCTTTCCTCGCTCAGGCGACCTGCTCTCAGGTGCTTTGTCTTTTCCTCTCTTTTTTGCGTGTTTTTTTTTTTTTAACAAGTTTGCTTGTCGCCTACCGCAGCTTTCATCATGACCCTAATCCTGTGTCATAAACGTCTGTAATGCCCTGTTGGTGACCACGTCGCCTGTGCAGAACGAAACCCTAATTGCCATCAGAGCCCCACACGGCACCATGCTCGAAGTACCCGACCCGGAAGAGGTGAGCTGTTGGTATCATCGCCCTTTCACCTTGCCATCGTCCCTACCAGACCAGGGCTTTGCACAGCACAAGTACCAGATACTGCTAAGAAGAGAACCTTTGTGGATTCTCGGAAGTAATTCCAGTAAAGCTCATTTAAAATCTCTTCTTTTCTCCTTGCCGCCTCTTAGCAGGGCTTTGCACAGCGCAAGTACCAGATACTGCTAAAGAGCACCAGTGGGCCTATCGATGTCTACCTGGTCAGGTAGGTGCTTCTGTTATCTTTCTCTCTGTGTTGCTGCTCTTGTTGTTGTTGCTGCTGTTCTTTCTTTCTTTCTTTCTTCCTTCCTTTCTTTCTTTCTTTCTTTCTTTCTTTCTTTCTTTCTTTTTATTGCGTTGGCACACCAGTATGTCACGCGTGCTTTTTTTTTTTGGCCCTTTTTTAACCGTCTTAAAAATAGCCATGTGGTATATGTCCCACCACTGTGCTGCATTCCTCACAGCCGGTTTGAGGAGAAGTACGAAGGAGCAGCGCCATCCCAGGCAGGCCAGCCAGACCAGCAGCAGCAGGGGCAGCAGCAGGGACAGCCAGGGCAGCCGCAGCAATCCCTGTACTCGCAAACACCCAACCAAGCATACACCACTCCTGCTGTGCTGGATACTCCTGGAGGAGGAGGCGGAGGAGCAGGAGGAGAAGGGGCAGGAGCAGGGGCAGGGGCAGGAACAGGGGCAGGGTATACCCCCGGGGGAGGAGCAGCAGGAGCAGGGGGGGAAGGGGGAGCAGCAGCGGCGGGGGCGGGCCGAGCAGGGGAAGCACAGTCAGGCATTGTGCGGCTCACTCCTGCAGAGTCACATGTATGTGTAATGAGGGAGTTAGTCCATTGGAGCCTAGGGAAGTGTGATGGGAGCATGGGTCAAGTGAAGGAAGCAAAATTAGGCATTATCCGGCTCACCCCTGCCGAATTGAATGTATGATAAATGTGGCTGCATGTGGCGGGGGGAGCATGGGAGTATGGGGGCTGGTCAAATTGGGCATGAGAGTCTATTGAGTGTGATGGGATGGGAGAACGGGGAAAGAGGGGCAAGCATAGTCAGGCATTGTGCGGCTCATCCTTGCAAAGTCACATGTAGGTGTTTAACGTATGAAATGTCAGGTGGGGAGCATGGGAGCTAGTTGTTTAGCATGCGCAGATGTGATGAGTCTTATGTTTAGGGGAAGCACAGTCAGGCATTGCGCGGCTGACCCCTGCAGAGTCACATGTATGTGGAATGTGACGAAGGGAGTGCGATCTGGGGGGAGGGGGGGCGTGAGTCGCGTGAGTGTGATGGGAGCAGGGGGGAATGGGGGAAGCACAGACAGGCATTGTGCGGTGGCTCACCCCTGCACGCTCTCTCCCTTACTCTCTCACATATTCCCCCCTCTGCCCCATATCTCACTCTCCCTCCTTGTCCCTGGCAGGACTACTGGTTGTTGCCGGATCAGCAGTTGGGACTCACAGACATGTGGCGACCCGATGGTACGTGTGTGGGGGGGCGAAGGATGGGGAGGAGGGGGAATGCTGGATGGTGCAAGGTACGCGCTAAAGGTCACCTGCCGGATGGGCAGCTGGGAGTTGCAGTTGCAGACAGGTGGCGACCTGATGGTATGTGTGTGTGGAGAAGAGAGAGAGGGACATGACACTTCTGATGCCCCCTCAGGACCCATGACTGAGGGACATGACATGCCCCATTCACACACACACAACCACCTTGTTTTGAGTCGACTCAAAACTGATGCCCCCTCACAACCGATGGATGATGGACATGCCCCATTCACACACAACCCCCTTCCTGCTCTCCCCCTTTCCCCCCCGTACCTTTCCTTTCCCCCGTGTTCTTCACCCCTTCCATTCTCTCACCAGGCCCATGGGAGGACCCCACTCGTCTGAACGCTTCTGATGCAGGCATGCCTGGGGGAATCGGCACCCCGCACGCCTTTGAAACGCCACCACACACCAGCACCCTCCCCAGCATCCACTAACTGACCGCCTACACACACCTAAAAGCAACACCGCCTCTCAACGCTCTCTCAAGGATGCCTGGGGGAGGTGGCACCCCACATGCCTTTGAAACCCCACCACACACCAGCACCCTCCCCAGCATCCACTGACTGACCCCTTCCACCACTTCACAACCCGCAAAGCAACCCTCCCATGCCTTGGAATGGAAACCTTTTTCACACAGCATCCACCCGAGATATGTTTGATTGAAACACCACCACCACATGCCAGCGACCTGCCCAGCATCCACTGACTGACCACCACCTGCCTCGGTCCTAGGATTCACTGACCCACTCCGGGCATTCGTATCGAATCCAGCCCAACACTCTACCCCTCATATTGGCCACCTTCCCAGTGACCTCCATGCTTCACCATCCACATAACCCCCAGCCTCAATGCAGCCTTAATCCGCCTGCCTAACCCGTCACCCGCACTGTGCCTTCGAACACGCCGCAAAAATCGCCTCACCATCCACAGAACGCTACAGCCAGCACACACTGTTCCCTCTCCTCTCCTCTCGTGACCCAGCTTCCTTTTTCCCCCTTTAAGAAGCTAACCACATACCGGTACCTCCACCCATGTGATGGGTTGGGTTGGGTCTGTGGTGGTCCCCCTTGAAGGCTAACCCCCCTCCTGTTTGCATCTGCACGACGTTTTCAAGGCTCCTAAAGAAGAAAATAGAAAACGTGCACCTGCGTCTAACAGCAAGAGATGGAGCTGCTATTTCCTCCTTTGTAGCTCCTTCACTCCTCTAATGTCGACATTCCCCAAGGGTCTTGTGGCCTCTTGATCATTAATCATCCTCTACGACTGGCTTGGCAGTAGTCCTTCCAATTGTAGTTTTCATGTGTGTTGTTTGATTGGTACTGGGGTGTAACACCTGTGTGCTGAAGCCTTCTTTTTTCAATTCGTTTGACCATGCATTGATGCATTGAGATCATGTACTAAGCAATGTCCTAATAAAGCGCAAAGACATGTTCCACCTTTTTACATAGACAGAAATGCTGGAAAGCTAGGAAGGATTAGTAATGATATAGTTTTATGGAAAATCTTACATAAAATATATCTATATTGTGATTTTCCGCGTCACTATCAAGGTTGCCATCCACCACGAGGCTTACATATGGTTGGTTTGAGTACGGTTTCAGGCAAGAATGAAGGTTTGGAAAACACATCACCAACTGTTCAGCAAGATATGCTTTCACTCTCATCTCAAAACGTGGACAGGGCCTCTTCAGAGCACCACGCCGCATCCTCCGCCACGATTCGCGGAGCATTCCCGCGGCAGGCGCCTGCAATCGCCCCAACGCGCTCATTCACACGGGTGTTCACGGAAAAGCGACGTTGACGCGACTCACACTCTCCCCACAGCGCGTCGCGACGGGAATGGCGTAGCCACCACGGCTTCTTCTTGAGCAAGCTCCCGCCTTGGGGTCCTAAACTACGGCTTCGACTCAAACGAGCTCTTTTTTTGCCGGACAAGCTCCTAGCTTGGGGTCCTAAACTATCTCTATATAGCTCCCCTCTGTAGTAGCTCGTTGTACAGATTTAGAAAATCCACCCCTTCGATATAAGCACCCACCTGCTACGAATCCGCATTTGCCGGTTAAGCTATGGCGACGCTTTGCTCTCTACGATCCGCGGCAGCGATAGGTCTCCCGCCATTTCCCGCTCCCGTTTCCTCCCAGTTCTCCGCTTCTAGTTCTGCGGCCGGTGCTTTCGGCTCGCGGTCTCGCTTAAGCCTCTCCTCTTACTCGTGTTCTTCTTCTATCTCTCGGCTATCCCGTCTCTCGTCCGGCCATCCCACCTCTCCATCCTTCCCTCGTCCCTCGCCGTTCGTAACTCCAACCCCCGCGAGACCCGCCGCGTATCGCGCCACTCGCGCGTCCAGACCTCAGCTCCCAGTGACCTGCGCCGCGACAGAACGGAGTGGCGCCAGCGGCAGCGGCGGCGGCGGCGGCGGGGGCGGCGGGAAAAACTCCCCCAGCTGGGCGGATGCGCTGTGGCGGGGCACGCTGAGGCGCCTGGCGTCATTCCCACTGGCCATTGGATTGCTGTTCGCCGTCGCTGGGCTGTGCGCTGTGGGTGCGTGGATGGGTGCTTGTAGGAAAGGTTAAGGGATGCCATTGGCTGAGTATACGCACTGGCGGATGCGCTGTGGCGAGGCACGGCACGCTGCGGCGCCTGGCGTCGTTCCCGCTGGCCATTGGATTGCTCTTCGCCGTCGCTGGGCTGTGCGCTGTGGGTGCGTAAGTTAAGAGAAGTGAGAGGAAAGCCATCTATTGCCATCATGAAAAGCGGCACGGGTACACGCACTGGTGGATGTGCTGAGGCGAGGCGCGCTGAGGCGGTGAGCTGTGGGCGCGTGGATAAAGAGCATTGAAGGGATGCGCTGGTGGATAATGCCATTCACTGAGTGTACGATTAAAGTGCCTCGCACTGGTGGATGCGCTGTGGCGAGGCTCACTGATGCGCCTGGCGTCGTTCCCGCTGGCCATTGGATTGCTCTTCGCCGTCGCTGGGCTGTGCGCTGTGGGTGCGTGGATGGATGTTTTTAGAAAAGTGAATCTTGAACCTGACTTCAGATCATTGGTTCTATGGTCCAAGGCTCAATGGCTCAATTTTTGAGAATTCTCAAAAGACAGCTTGTTTTTATGGACCAAGGTTCAACGGTTCAATTTTCCAATGATATTTCTAGATTACATGCCACCACCTCCCATCCTTCCCCCCACTCTCTATATTGTTAATCCTCTCGTTAAGCCTCGTTTTCCCCTCCTCTACCATTCTTCTCTAAAACCCATCCCCATCCCCTCCTCTCCCTTTGCTCCCCTCCCTCCGCACCCCCCAGGCACCTTGATAGAGCAGGGAGCACGCTCGTCCGATTACATGGCGCTATTCCCTGACGGCACGTTGCTGAGCTGGCAGCTCGTGCTAGCCCTGGGATTCGACCACGTGTACAGCTCCCCGCTCTTCCTCTCCCTGCTGCTGCTGCTCGCTGCTTCCCTTGCTGCCTGCACGTCAGTGCGACAGCTGCCCATGCTCAAGGCCGCGCAGAGGTGAGGCAAGGATGGGGTTTGGATCAGCTCTTAGGATTGGCACATTCTAAGCGGACTCAATAGTCACTTTCTGCTGCTGCTGCTGCTGCTGCTGCTGCTTGTTGATGTAGAGTATTTTTGAGAATTCTAAAAAATACTCTACATCGCCAGGCACATTCTAAGAGGAGTCAATTGTCACTTTCTGCTGCTGCTGCTGCTTGCTGATTCATTTGCTGCTTGCCTGAGCATCAGGGTGTGACAGCTGCCCATGCCACGGTCGCACGGAGGTGAGGCATGGAGTCACACTGTGGTGAGAACAAGAATATGCAGCATTTAGAATGGCACGCATGCTATTATCAAGATTTTCCAAAAGAAAAAGCAGTCTGGTGAGGAGCAGAATATGTAGTATTTAAAATGACACGCAGGCTGTTATTTTCCAAAGAAACAGTCACGCTGTGGTGAGCGCAAGATTATGTAGTCTTTGGAATGACACGCACACTTCTCTCCCTCTCCCCACCCTCCTCCTCACTCGCCTCTCCCACCCCTATTCCCCCTCGTCAAATCCTGTACGTCCATCAATCAGGTGGTCCTTCATCCAACGGCCAGAGTCGCTCCGCCAGATGGACTTCTCTGATTCGCTAGAGAGGGCTCAGATTGCTGACCTGGCAACGCTGCTCATGCGCAAGGGCTATCAGGTGCGGCGTGAGGCTCGGTGGGTGTGGTACGGGGCTCGATGGATGTGGTATGAGGTTTGGTGGGTGTGGTACAAGGCTCGGTGGAAGAGTGGCGAGAGTGGTGGTAAGAGGGGTGGCGAGAAGGTGGTGGTTAGAGGGATGCACTTTTCATCTCCCCTTCCCTGCATGCTGCTACGTGGTGATGTCTCTTACCTCCCTCCCCTCTCTTTTTTCCTCCCTTCGTTCCACTCTAGGTCTTCCAAAAAGGACCTTCTACGTACGTGTTTAAGGGCCTGGTGGGACGGCTAGCCCCCATTGGCGTGCATGCTGCTATGTGGTGATGTCTTACCTCCCTCTCCCCCTCCCTTTCTTTTTCCTTTGCGCACCTGCAGGTGTTCCAAAAAGGACCATCCCTGTACGCATTTAAAGGCCTGGTGGGGCGACTAGCACCTATAGGCGTGCACGCTGATGCAGGCAGTTCCTTATCTCCCCCCTCTGCCTCCCCTCTGTTTTCCTCTGCAGGTTTTCCGGAAAGGACCATCTCAGTACGCGTTCAAGGGCCTGGTGGGGCAACTGGCGCCCATAGGTGTGTCCGCTGCCATGTGCTGATGTCTTACCTCCCCCTTGTTTTTTTCCTTTCCTATCGTTCCCCCACAGGTCTTCCAAAAAGGACCATCCCTGTACGCGTTTAAAGGCCTGGTGGGGCGACTAGCACCTATAGGCGTGCACGCTTCGCTGCTATTGGTCATGGCTGGGGGTTGCTACAGTGCGCTGGGGGGTTTCCAAGGGACTACCCTCACGCCGCAGGGGTTAGACGTGGTTGTACCCTCCGCGCTGCAGGGCAACAGCATCTTTGCCCGGCCCACCACGGCCATGAACATGCTTGTGCATGTGAACCGATTCTACATCGAGTATCGGCCAAATGGGGAGGTGAGGAGGCGAAGGGGAAGTTATTGCTACTAGCTATTACATACATGCCAGCTGTTTCTCTCTCGTCCTTCCCTTCCACAGCCCACCACACAGCCATGAACATGCTTGTGCATGTGAACCGGTTCTACATCCAGTATCGGCCAAACGGGGAGGTGAGGAGGAAGGGGATCGGGTGAAGCAATGGGTTTTGGTTGTGCGTTTCGAATTGCAAATGACGACTCAACCTTTGCCCAGCCAACCACACCACCACAGCCATAAGCATGCTTGTGCATGTGAATCGGTTTTACATCGAGTATCGGCCAAACGGGGAGGTGCGTATGTAATGAGTCACCTGTCTCCCTTTCCCTTGCCCTTCCTACCTCACTGCTGTGCTCTAAAAAAGCCAATACTTACTCCCCTTCCTACCTCACCGCTGTGCTCTAAAAAAGCCAATACTCACTCCCCTTCCTACCTCTCTGTAAACCGCTTTTAACATTGAGTATCGGCCCTTTCTCCCACCCCCATGCCCTTCTGCTTCCCGACCTAACAGCCCAAGCAAATTTAATCTGACCTCTCAGTGACAGACTTTTACGGCAGGGAGCTGGAGAGGAAGACCATCAGTGCCAACGATCTCCACCGCTGCCCCATTTGCCTCCTGTTTCCCCTAACTTTTCCACCCGCTTTCTCAGTGACAGGTTTTTACGGCAGAGAGCTGCAGAGGAAGACCATCGGCGTCAACAACACTCTGCTCTGCCACTGTTTCCTCTCCGTTGCTCATGTTGTCCCCTAGTTCCCCATGTTTTGCCTCCCTTTCCCATCACAACAGGTGAAGCAATTCTTTTCAGACCTCTCAGTGACTGACTTCTATGGCCGAGAGCTTCAGAGGAAGACCATCAGTGTCAGCGACCCCCTGCGCTGCCGCTTTGCCTCCTGTTCCACCCTCTCCTGCTTGTTTCCCATCCCTCAATTCCTGTTCACAACAGGTGAAGCAATTCTTTTCAGACCTCTCAGTAACAGACTTTTACGGGCGAGAATTTCAAAGGAAGACCATAAGCGTCAACGACCCGCTGCTTCCCCCCTTGCCTCCTGTTTCCACCCCTTCCATTAACAGGTGAAGCAGTTTTTCTCAGACCTGTCAGTAACTGACTTCTATGGACGAGAGCTGCAGAGGAAGACCATCAGTGTGAACGACCCCCTGCGCTGCCAGGGAGTCACCATGTACCAGACCGACTGGGCGATCTCAGCCGTCCAGCTGCGATCCGACGGTGGAGATCCCTTCAAGCTGCCCATGGCGTCGCTGCAGGAGCCGGGCAGCAGCCAGAAACTTTTCGGAACGTTCTTGCCGACGGGGGAGGAGGAGAATGCAGAGGGAGGAGAGGCAACCACCACGGGCATGTGAGTTGCGTGATAAAAGTGTACTTTTGAGACGTCTCAGAACTAGGCTTTTATCGCGCAGAATGAAATGCTGTGGGGGTTCAGCGACCCTGCTGTTGCAGCAATCATTTTGGCGATTTTTTAGTCGACTCGAAAGTCACCTCATTTTGGCTCACATCAAACCCCTTCGTCCCACCTTTTTCATCCCTGCAGAAGCATATTGGCCCGCAACCTCCAAAACGTGGTAATATACAACTCCAAGGGCGAGTTCGTGGGGGTGAGGCCGCCGGTGTGGAACCGGCAAATCACATACCACTTCGGATAGCTGATGCCTTTTCCCCCTTTTTTCCATCGATGCAGAAGCATTCTGGCCAGAGATCTTCAGAACGTTGTCATATACGACTCCAAGGGCGAGTTCGTGGGAGTGAGGCGGCCGGGGTCGAACCGACCAATCACAGTGGAGGGGAAGAAGCTGGTGATCGATGAGCTGATTGGCAGCACGGGGCTGGAATTGAAGATGGACCCTGGCGTGCCGTACGTGTATGCTGGCTTCGGTGCTCTCATGCTCACCACTGCTATTAGCTACCTCTCGCATTCCCAGGTGAGATGGCATGGCATGGCATGGCATGGCATGGCATGGCATGGCATGGCATGGCATGGCGTGGCATGGCATGGCGTGGCATGGCATGGCGTGGCATTGCATGGCGTGGCATGGCATGGCTTGGCGTGGCGTGGCATGGCATGGTATGGCATGGCATGGCATGGCATGGCATGGCACGGCAGGGCAGAGTGGGGCAGAGCATGGCATGTGGGTCAAGTGAAGCCACTTCCGAATGCCTGGGTAGCAGGCGCTGCCAATCAATCAAAGGGTGAATTGCCACTTACCGTAGGTGCTGCCGATCAAATGAAGGGTGAATTCTTACTTACTGGTAGGTGCTGCCGTGCCCTTCCTGTATGTTGGGGGCGGCACTTTCATAATCACCGAATTGTAGAATTTAAACCCATAACTCAACCCCCCTCCCTCACACACTGTATGCAGGTGTGGGCATTGCAGGTGGGATCGACGCTGTATGTGGGAGGAAAGTCGAACCGAGCCAAGCTCACTTTTGAGCAAGAAATATATAATTATTCACATTCCGGATTTGACCCCTCTCGCTGCATGCAGGTGTGGGCATTGCAAGTGGGATCAACGCTGTATGTTGGAGGGAAGTCGAATCGAGCAAAGCTCACTTTCGAGCAAGAGATTAACTCCGTTCTTGACCAAGTGCCCGAAGTGGTAACTGCATCCGACGCTCTTGTAACAGCTGCACCAGCATCATCAGATCGCCCTAGTGAAGAGTAGAGATGTGAAATGGATCAAATGGGTTTCACTGATCTAGAAATAGTTTATGAATTTGTGTGTTGCTTGCAAGCAATGATATGATAACCAGAGTCCCCAGTTTTGGGAGCTAGAACACTGGAGCAACAGTGCTTTGTGAGGTTTCATATTTTCAAAGCCATACTAGGGTTACAAACAAATGTTGCAGTATTATACCCATGTGCACTGAATGAATGGCCCTTTGGTGGAAAGAACCAGGGTAAATCCCATGGCTCTACTCTACTGGTACTGGTAGTAGGCGCCATGGTGAAAGTCTGGAATTGCCTGAGATATCCTGAGTGTGGAGACAATTACCGTGGTAGCTGGATATATTTCTATAAAAGAATCATACTATATTTCTTGCAGCCGAATCACTGTTTGTCATCTTGAGAGCTTGAGCTTGAAAGACTCCATCGCCGCTACAAGTTGCTCGCTGATTCCCTTCTCATTGGCCGAGTGCCCAGCGTCTGGAACAATCTGTTACGGCATGAAACAACGACAATATGTTTTCAACAAGAACTCAAGAATGCACATAAAATATGTTCATACGGAGCATGCAAGAATGAGCATAGCAGAACAACGAATGGATAGCGATACAGGCTCTGCTTCATTTCATACCTTGAACTCAGCTTCGGGCCAAGCCTTGTGGAGCTCCCAAGCCGACACGATTGGGCAAACCACGTCGTACCGACCCTGGAAGAGGGCGGGCGATCAGGAACGAGACAGCAAGTGAGCACATAGAGAAACCAAGAAAGCAGGCGTAACGTCCAGGCAAAAAAAAAACAACAAAGAAAGCAGGGTGAGGGTACCTTTAGATCTTTCAGAACCTACCTGGACAATGATGGCTGGGATGTGTGTGAACTTGGGCACAGAGTCGAAACGACTCTTGAACCGACTCAAAAGTCACCCAACTCTTAGGCCTCTCAAAACCTATCTGGAAATTTACAGCTGGGTTGTGTCTGAACCTTCGGATCGAGTTAACTTTTGGGCACAGAGTCGAGTTAACCTTCGGATCGACACATAAGTCACCTTACAGAAACCTTACACCTCTCAAAGCTTACCTGGACAATGACGGCTGGGATTTGCCTGAACTTGGGCACAGAGTCGAGCAGGAAAGAATCAGACGGTAGGAAGCCCTTGTTCACAAAGTAGTGGCTCTCTATGCGTGCGAATGCCTGTGTGGGAGGGTTGAGTATTGGTAGGGGAGGGTGGAGTGGCGGTGAGTGGCATGATATCCGAGATGCGCTGAAATCAGCAGGAGGCCTTTGATCAGCACTCTCTATGTGCGCAAACGGGTTTCCTGGTGCAGGTTTGAGTGTGGTGAGTTTTCTGAATTTAAAACGGACTTTGATAACCCATCATATACTCCCAACTGGATTAAGCACCGGACCATCAAATTTGTCTATGAAAAAAGAAACATGCTGAGCTGACCAAAAAATACTTGCCAGCGCGAATTTGTCATCCTCGCCTCGTTTGAGTGAGTCCTCGTTGGGCAGCAGGTAGCTGGTGGCCATCTCCCACTCCGTCCAGTGCCTCGCTGCTGCCACCTGGTGTGGTGGTGTGATGGCACAAGGTTGTTTGTCAGGGAACATAGGGCAGCAATAGCATGGGTCGCCTCGTTTGAGTGAGTCCTCGTTGGGCAGCAGGTAGCTGGTGGCCATCTCCCACTCCGTCCAGTGCCTCGCTGCTGCCACCTGGCGGGTAGATGGCAGGTTGATAAATGGGGAACATAGCGCATGAACACGATGAGCTGAACAAATAAGGACAGTGAAGGGCAGCAACAGCAGGCAGCAGATAGTGAGTGGCAAGGTGTTGGGACAGAAGGGAGGCATCACCGGCAGAGGTGGGTGTCAGGTAGCAGGTGCCAAGTGCCAGCTGGCAGGTGGAAGCAGACTTATACAGTGAAGTCCATACCTGTTGGTCAGGTTCGGAGTCCTCCATACCTGTTGGTCAGGCTCGGAGTCGTTCATGAGTCTCTTGTGGTAAGCCGTCACTAGATCGTGCTGCTCCTCTTTTGGAATGAACTCCCGGTACTTGTCAAACGCTGCGAGGGGTGATAATGGGTGTGACTGTAATGAGGAAGACAAGCGCTCTCAGATCGTGCTGCTCCTCTTTTGGACTGAGCTCCCAGTATTTGTCAAACGGTAAAAGTGGGGGTGTGATTGTATGGGGTGGAGCAGGAGGAGGGGAGGGGAGAAGGTAACATATAGCCTGTACAGCCTGTACCATGTACGTTTCCACCGACAGCAAGACTTTTAAACTAAACACGTGTTATTGGAACCTCACCACGCACATCCGCTCATTCACCATCATTATCCCCTTGCCTGCTGCTCACCGTCAGGGAAGATGGAGTCAGCTCCATACTGGTAGAACCACTCCACCTCCTTCCTTCTCAGCAGGAAAATTGCATCACAGCCCACCCTCCGTTGCCGCCCACCCTCCCTTGCCATCCGTCTTAGACTCACCGTCGGGGAAGATGGAGTCAGCTCCCTTCTGATAGAACCACTCCACCTCCTTCCTTCTCAGCAGAAAGATCCCCCGGAGAATCAAGCCTGTGACCTGCAGGTGTGAGAGGGGAAGAGTGAGGGCAGTCATGGAACTCGTTGAAAAGCAGGAAATTTTTACCACAGAAAGATTCAACGGCGGATTAAGCCCGCGGCCGGGAGGAATGAGAGGGTCTGGATGTGTGGGGCAGGAATACACCACCGAGAGAGTGGCCACACAGAGGAATACAAGCGAAACCTCAAAACCCTTCCCTTTACCAAGCAAACAGAGGATACAGAGGGATCACTTTTAGGGAATCTCAGAATCGCAAAACCCATGACCCTTCCCCTCCAACAAGCACACAGAGATAAGGATGGAGAATAATATGTTGGACCATACATTGCTCCCCCATAACAGGGACACGCATTGGTCACAACCCCTACCTCCCCTTCACAATCCCCCCCCCTCCCACTCTCGTCCCCCACACACGAAAACGTGCATACCCTGTCTGGATGTGTGGCTGCATACACGAGCGAGAGAGTCGAGCCCCATGACCCTCCAAACACCTGCCATGCACATACACATGAAGGTGCACGTATACATGCACATGCACGCACATGCACAAACACACACATGCACGCACGTGCGTGCGCACGCACACACACACAGAGGTACACGTGAGCAGAATGCTAGGCTGAAAAACGAATGGGTCTGAGTTGAGAAACCAAACGGCAACCACTAAGCACCTGCCTATCCAACACCCCACTCACCATCCACTTATCACAGCACTCACCAGCCACTTATCAATCCCCAGGTGTTTCCTCAGGGTCTCGATATCCTCCACCAGGTCCACGTGGTGTTCTCCTCCAGGCACGCGTGGGGTGCGCCAAACCTGCAAGAAACTGCCATTCCTTCCAAAGGCACATCACTCACCACCCACTTATCAACCCCCAGGTGTTTCCTCAGGGTTTCAATATCCTCCACCAGGTGCCGTGCCACGTGGTGTTCTCCTCCAGGCACGCGTGGGGAGTGCTCCTGCCAGCCAGCCCCCCGCTGGTTCAGCAGCCACTTGTCACTGGCCTACCAGCCGCTTATCACGGCACTCACCAGCCACTTATCAACCGCCAGGTGTTTCCTGAGGGTCTCAATGTCCTCCACCAGGTGCCACGTGGTGTTCTCCTCCAGGCACGCGTGGGGGGTGCTCCTGCCAGCCCCCCGCTGGTCCAGCAGCACGATGCGGAAGAACGTCGGGTCAAAGAACCGCCTGTTGGCCGGTGATGTGCCTCCCCCTGGGCCGCCGTGCAGGAATATGACAGGCTAGGGTAGGGTAGGCAGATAGATGGGAGCAGGAAATGTGGTAACTAGGTGTGTGGTCTGCTCCATCAGGTGGCAAGGGCACAATGGGGAGAGGTGGGGAGGAGAGGAAAGAGAAAGGTGTACAGCTCGTGCCTCACCCGCACTCGCGCTGCTGCCACACTCCTGCGTTTGACTTTTGAGTCGACTCACCTCGATGCAATGGCACACAGCTCTTGCCTCACACGCACTCGCGCTGCTGCCACGCTCTCTTCTGATTCACGTCGGGGCGTCATTCATACCTGGCCTTTGGGGTTGCCGCTCTCCTCCCAGTAGACAGTATGTACGTTAGACACAGCAAGTGTGCCGGACCGATACGGCTCGATGGGTGCATACAGCTCGTGCCTCACCCGCACTCGCGCTGCTGCCACGCTCTCGCCCATCTCCTCCTCCCACACCTCCTCTCCGTTTCCCTCTCCCTCCCCCTCCCCCCCTCGCACCCCCTCAACTTGACTGTCCGCCGCTCCGTTGCTCTCCTTTCCCTCTTTATTCCCCTGGTTGCTGAACGGTGAAGAGCGGCCGGCAGCTGCTGCGATGGGCTTGCGAGGGCGAGAATGGAAAGCACCTGAAGCGTGCGTTGGGAAATGTATGACAGATCGAGAGCTGGAATTGGAAATTCGAGCAAATTCTGTTTCGTTGCAAAACTGGTGAATGGAAGGCACGTGATGATGACAATTGAGTCAGCTTGAAAGTTTGAGAAGCACCTGACGCCTGCATTAGAAAGCGCATGCCTTTGCCGTGACTCGAGATGGCAATTCGGGCGAACGGTGAAAAGCCAAACGGGAGAACGGAGATTGTGCACGATCCTAAAAATTCAAGACGAATTTAGGTTGCGTACACGAATTCAACGATTGATAGATTTGACGCAATGATTGATTGCTCGGACTCCACGTTTATAAAAATTGGCTGAATGTTTCGGGCATGTGAGAACGCAGCGAACCCTTGAAATCGGACGGAATGGCTGACTCTATGCACGTCGGACCACAAAGATATAGAACAAAAATTAGGAGGGATACGCTCTTGCTTTGACATGATGAGGTCATTGCTGCCAGGCAAAGGATAATTAAAGCCAACCGTCATCCCATTAAAGTGTCGGACGACAGATTATTTTCACGCAGACGGGTTTCATATGTTCACGGCATAGTCGCACCTGCAATGTTGCAAACTGAAGATCGCTGCAGGGGCAGTTTCGTGATCGAAGGATAGTCGCTTGGCTTTGCAGCCTGTACTTTGCTCAAAACGATATTGCTAGCGATAGAATAAGCGTTTGGAATGGCTTGAAAGGACCTCCTGCGGAATGCAAACGAGAGCCTGACGGCTACGGGAGTTTTGAGAGACGCAGCGGCAATGGCGGCCATAAATGGTAACGGCGCCTACTAGTAAGCGCCAAGGCATTCTACAGATCGAAAAGCAATGCTGCTGTTCAGAATGTATGGCAATCAAGCTAGCGCTGCCCCCAAGACAGCAAAGAAATGGTGACATCGAGAATGCCAACGGCGGTAGGGAATGGATGTAATTCGTGCAAATAAAAGGTTCCAACTTCTATGTACACTTTCGCATTGCATATGAATTTCCAAGTTGTTCCACCATTTACCTACTTTACATTCCTCACGTTTGCCACGCAGAACAGTGTGCAAACCAAAGCTACTGTCGCTTTTGACACTGGATTCCAGTAAGGAAGCAAGCACAACTTCCATGTACATAGCAAGCAATAGCACTAAGAAGCCAAACGAAAAGGGCATAACGCCCATCATTATATTTAATGTCTTCTAGCCTTTCACACATTGGGGGGCGGCCAGATCTTCTTGAAGTGCTTCTCCACCTTTTCCACCTGAGACACAGCGGAATCAATCTCGGCCTGAAGCAGCTGCTGAGCACACGGCCCAACGTCGGCCTTGAACCTTGCCATATCCCAAGGCTTGGCCTGCGGTTAGTCGAAACAAACGGAGTAGCACATTTGAAGCGAATGATAGAAAACGCACAACCTTGAAAGGTCCTCGCTGGAAGATTTGAGTAAAATAGAAAACAGGTGCTGAGGTGTACGGGACTCGGCATGATTTCCAAACCACATGCAAAAACAAGTAATGATTGAGCTCGTACGTACCTTGTCAGCTGCTGAACTGAGTGCTGCAGGTTTGAGGTCAGGGGAGGCGGGAGTGTCTTTCAAAGCCTCCATCACCTTGAGGGGTACCACCAGGTAATCAGTGCTGCACGTGAAACACAATCGATTGAACAGGCACAAAGCAACATAGAGGTCAGCAGAAATGGGAGTGTCTTCAGAGCCGCCCGCAACATACAATAAAAAGGCAAAGTAGGGCGTATGGGACATTGTACCCCCCCCCCCCCCCTTGTTACAATTGAGTGCAGATGTGACAGCGGCATATCCATGGCCGCATGTGTGCATGTGAGAATGTGCATGTGTGCATAGTACCCAAGCAGGCTGAGTGCGTCGTCCTTGCTGCGGATGTTGGATGCCATGACCTTGGTGGGGAAGTTGTTGCGGGTAATAAATGCACACGCACGGCGCACCTGGTGGGGGATGCGAGAAGATGAGAGAAGATGAGAGAAAATATGAGAAAATATGGGAAGATATGAGAGAAGATGAGCCGAGATGGGCGATGGTGAGAATGACAGGGATTGGGGCCAGTTGTTGAGGCGCAACCACAATGCCGATCCCCCACCAGCAGATTCATTGCCCAAGGTTGGGATTGGAGCAATGTCAACATCAAGAGCATGAGCGCCTTACCAGGCTGACGCCAGGGTCCTCGCCCTTGGCTGCTGCAGCTTCCACTTCCTTGTCGCCTGAATTCGTGCGCGCCCAGTCCTGGTGGGTGAGGGACGAAGAATAGGAGGAACGGAGGCAAGAATTAGAACGTGAAGATGCACTGATGTGTGGCTCTTTTTTGCCGGCCGAAATTCGTGAGAGCCCAGTCCTGGAGGGACAGGACGAAGTGGGGAGAGACGAAACTGAGGATGACAAAGAATTCGATCCCAGTGTGTCTCCCACAGTGGAACTCCCTACAGTCTTGGTTGAGGTCCCCCGTACGGGCAGTCGAAGGAAGCATGATAGGTCACGAGGAGTGATGATATGCCATGATGGGTGACACATGTGCTTGAGTGTGCTTCGTACCTTGATGCGGCCAACGGGGATTTGGATGACTGCAACGTTGGCCTGCGCACATGCTGATGCCTGGGCGAAGCTGCAGAGAGGGGAGAAGATCAAAAGTGGTGTATTTTGAGAACACTTTAGGAGGGGCGAAGGGGGTTGGCAGGGGGCGAGAGGAATGGCAGGTAATAGAAGCAGAAGAGTAGAAAGAGATGGAATGGTGCTCCCACCGTTCCCGCAATCCTCACTCACCTGGCAACGCCAGTGACGTGCGTCTTGATGCCCTCTGCCTCCAGCTGTCTCGCAGCTTTCCTTAGGATCATCTTGTGCTCCCATTCCCCCACAATCTCATTCCTCAATGGCCCCTCACCTGGCAACGCCAGTGACGTGCGTCTTGATGCCCTCTGCCTCCAGCTGCCTCGCCGCCTCGATGCCCTCCCACGTGGCGGGCAGCTTGAACAGCACGCGGTTCACACCCACGTCCACCTCCTTGTAGAGCTCTGCGAGGTTTCGCACCTGGTAATGGGGAGAGAGAGTAGGAGATAATGACATCGGGTGGGATTCTAAGCGGTTCAGGGGAGTCTAAAGACAACAGCACTCGGTGCACCGGCACGTCCACCTCCTTGTAGAGCTCTGCGAGGTTTCGCACCTGGAATATGGGGAAAGGGAGAGAGAGAACAGATGTAGAAGCAAACCCCAAGGGCTCCAGGGGAGTCGTATGGAGAGAGAGAGAGAGAGTCCCAAACGACCAACCCTTGCATACATGATACACCCAATGAGCACGATGCTCGACCATTTGGACGTCTCACCCGGTCGACCATGGCGGCCGTGTTGTGCGCGAGCCGGGGGTCCACCTCGGTGGACACGTGGCTAGAGAGACCCCGTACAAAGACCAGGATGGGATGCGCTGCTCACCCGTTCGACCATGGCGGCCGTGTTGTGCGCGAGCCGGGGGTCCACCTCGGTGGACACACGCCCGGACACCTCGAGGCTCAACTCCCTCCCCACGTTCACCAGCGCCTGCACATATAAGCACAACACGTACTCGTTATAGTAAGCACCATGATAAAAAAATCAAGCGACCTAGAGTAATGGATCAGGCAAAAAGAATCTCTGCATCGTTCAGTTGGAAGTACGTTTTTTTTAAATATATCTTACCAATTTCTGATTGCTCAAAACTCGGAATAGTTCATCGTAACCCTTCTCATTATCAGCGACATCTAGTCAACTAATGCTCGCTTCGAAATTTTACGCTTGAGATGATACCACACTGTCAGGAAAGATTCCCCATTGTCATCTCAATTTCCCCTATCATAAATTAAGACTGGATTTTCCAGTTCCATAGCGAGTCTGACCTTATCGAGGAAGCAGGAGAACTTGTTTGCTTCCGGCGCCACCATGCACTTGCCGTACGCCAACGCGCTCTTGATCGCTCCCTGCACGGACGCGCGGGAGTAAGGGGGACCGTCAGTAAAGAGTAAGGTTGAATTCTGAGTCGACAAAGAATCTTAATCGCTCCCTGCACGCGCGGAGTAAGGGGGTCTGTCAGTAAGGGCGGCCAGAGACTGACTGACGGCATATGACCGACGGCCAGGGACTGACGGCCAGGGACTGACTGTGAGCATAAGCAGATAATGCTACCCGACAAGGAACATATTCCCCCCTAAACACCATTTCGCAACAAGTTCCACATTGAATCACAATTTCATGCGAACAGAATCCCAAACAAACTCAAACCCGTGCGAGAACACTCACGTCAAACTTAGCCTCCCCCAAGGAGGAGATGCCGAGGATGAGAGATGACGACACGGTCGCTGCAGTAGGCTTGAACCTGAAAAGATCGTTTACAATGACACAATGAAACATATAGCTAAATCTTGTTATGGTGAAAGACTGGGTGAATCCTTGGTTTTAAGCGGAAAAAAAAAATAGGAAAATTAAATATTGTAAATTTGCTCGGCAACAGTGTTTCACCTCTCAAATTGGTCGCCGACAATCGTGTCGGGAACAATCTCGCTGCTCCTCGAAATCACGTCCAGCTCCGATGGGGTCACTGTAAAAGAACCACAATGTAATTCATGCTTTTAAGCGAATCCCGAAAACAAACAAAAGTATAGGTTGTAATGAACGAGGAAGCATCTTGTTGCACGGTACGTGAAGTATAATTGACATGCATACCAGCCATAGCAGCATGAATTGAAGCTGAGCATCGCGTCGCGACGCGGCAGCTGACGTTCTTAGAACCAGAAGTGTAAGCGGTAGGCAGCGGTGATGGGATGAACGCCGTCTTTGACGCCAAGACCAACGAAGGCTTCTGTGCAACGCGAATATCGAGAGGAAGAACAATGAGACACCATAATTTTTCTTGGATGATTCCGAAATCGAGTTTCGGTACGAGAATGTATGAACGCATCAAATTGTAGCGAGCGTACCTGGAATGTTGACGGGTTCAGCCTGATGCCGCAGGACACGCTGACAGCAGACGCAGAAGCCATGATTTCGTGAAGACAAACACAATGATGCTCAGAAAGGGTGGCGAATCGTCCAGCCACTTGGTCGCGAGGAGGAGGGAAGGCGACAGGCGAGAAAACGCAAGCGAGCAGGAAACGGAACTCGGAGGAAGAGCTGCTCTTCCTCCTGAAGTTACAGATGCTTCATAAAATACTGAATTTCAAGATTGGGCTGGACTCCAGGAACTAAATGGGAACAGCAGGGCTGAAATTCCAGCCATCCTATTCCCTCCCCTGCTCGCGCCATTCGTTCCGTGCGATATTCACGATCTCGTGTTACAGAAATGCTGCCATAACGAATAACACGTGATCTGGCAGCAATTCACGATACTCGTGTTATTCGTGTTACTTCCGGAAGAATGCTGCCGCTTTCGCTTGTTACGACGTGAGCGGGGCGCCCCTTGATGTTGGGTTGGGGATGTTCGGGCCGAGAGCTTTCGGGATCTGGGATCACCAGGTTCTTACGACCGTCGATTTCGATAGATGACGTGGTCGATGCAGTGCCGAGGTGGGAAATTTCGCAGACACGATTTCTGACGTAGGAAATATGCATACTGACCTGGGAAGCTGCCACCTAGGATTTTGCCCAGATTTTATCCAGGACACAAACCAGCACGAGTTCTGTATCGAAATCATATGCTACATAGTACCCGTAAACCATACCCTGAAGCTGATCATGCTATATCATGAATTTCATTCAATTCAATAGTGATGTGACCTAACTGTCACAGCCACGCAGGCACTCATCAAACCGCTGCCAGCCGTCTGTTCTCCAGGCTCTGGATCTGACATCAGATGGCTAGTGGATTGACCTTGGCCCTCGAACCACTCACAAGACAACATGACACGGCGGACGATCATCCCCGCTGGCGAGACGCTTTTGCGGGAGAATTCCATCCGCTAACGTCGACAGTCTACGAATGAACAAACCGGCAGGATGGACTTGCATCTGCCTTCACCATTGGCCCTGAACTTGCCAAGGAGATCAACATGACGGCCTCCACCTGTCTGTCCGTCATCGTCTCCGTCAAATTCTTGGGATCCCCTTTCGCCCAGAAAACCAGCTAGTGCTGCTGCAGTGACGCTTGACTTCCTGCACAAGTCGTTTTCCGGATGCACAGTATGACTACGGTTTAGTTAGTTTTGCAGGTTTTTAGAGCGCTCTAGTGTTTGTTTAAGCGGTTGGGCATGGTGATTCGGCGTGAACCTGAAACCTCCTGAATCCGTCTACTGTAACCAGTGATCCTGAAACCTCCTCCTCAATCCATCTACCGTAACCAGTTTGCAGAGAAAGCCGTGAGCCTGGCTTCAATCGGAATAAGTTGGTCATTTCAGTCAAGAGCAAGCTCCTCCTGACCAGCAGCAGTTACCCAGCTCTCGCTCCTACGATCTCATAAGCAGCCGGCTAAGAGCCTGATCGCAGCTGCAGCGTCAACTTCCGACAACCTCCACGACCGATATAATCACAATGGCGACCATCGCAGCTGGAACAGGTACAATATACACAAACCCTGCAGTATGTGCATCAGTAATACTTCCGTTCCAAGTTCGCTTATGCGTTCAAGACAAACCCTAAAGTCCTTCTTGCGTAGAGTAGCCCTCCAACGCTTAGAAGCTTACATTTGCATTCTCTCGTGCTCGTGACTCCATTCTCGCCCAGCTCTCTCAAGCACTCTCACAGCAGACTTCCTCATTATAAAAACAACCCTAGTTCTTCCGATCGTACCATTCCGTTTCACCATCCGTATCCTATCCCTCCATTTCCCACTCTCCTTCATGCTGTCTCTCTCAGCCGTTCCCACAGCAGCGCTCACTGCCGGCAGAGCAGCTTCCGCTGCTTCCACCTCCACCAGCTTCGCCCGCTCCGTCGTCCCCGCGCCTCTCCCCGCTCCCCTCTCCGCCGCTCCCCGCGCGGGTCGCGCCCACCTCCTCCGCTGCCGCGCTGCTGCTGTCGAGGACGGTAAGCACACGTGCAACCGCTCGTCCGCATTCACAACCGCTCGACCGTATTCACAACCGCTCTACCGTATTTACAACCGCTCTACCGTATTCACAACCCCTTGATCGCATTTACGACCGCTCGACCGCATTCACAACCCCTTGATCGCATTCACAACCTCTCGATCGCATTCACAACCGCTCGACCGCATTCCCAACCCCTTGATCGCATTCACAACCTCTCGATCGCATTCAGGAGCCGTGAAGGAGGTTGAGGCGGAGGAGCTGAGCAATGGCGCAGCCGTGGCCGCGCCGACTGTGGACGAGGTATGTTCCCTCCCACTCCTCGTTCCGTCTCGTTGCTCTCCTCTCCTTGCCACCTCGCGTCACTCACTCTCTCCTCTCCTCATTCCGTCGCGTCACTACCCTCCGCCGCGGTACCCTCGTCTCCTTGACTTCTCCCGCCGTGCCTCCGTCGTTCCCCCGCGTCATTCCACTTCTTGTATCAATGCACGGAAGGTTACAGACAAGCCGTCGCTTCTGACGGAGCTGTGCGGCGAGGCTCGGAAGTCTATCGAGTGCCCCAAAACGAGATATATTCCATCTCTCAATCATCCCTTCACCACATGGCACGCATTCCTCATGCCCCACACCCCCATGCCCCATGTCCCCATGGTTCATCCCGGTGCCCTCAAGCGCAGTCGCTGTGCGGCGAAGCTCGGAGGTCCATCGAATGCCTCAAAACAATATCTATTTCATCTCTCAATCATCCCTTCATCACATGGCACGCATTCCCCATGCCCCATGCTCTCACACCCCCATGCTCTATGCCCCCAAGGTTCATCCCTGTGCACTCAGGCGCAGTCGCGGCTGATGGAGCTCTGCGACGAGACTCGGAGGTCCATCGAAAGCCCTGGGGCGAGACACGGTGTATCCTAGTACACCATGTCCCAAGGCCTGGTGTTTTCATCTCGTGAAAAATCCTCATTCCTCATGCCCCGTGCCCATGTCCCATGGCCTGCCCTTTCGCCCGCAGGTGCAGTCGCTGCTGATGGAGCTCTGCGACGAGACTCACATCGCTGAGCTTAAGGTCAAGGTACGGTACCACCGAAGCAAACACTCAGGTACGGAAGCACCGAATCAAGCACTTGAGACACGGTAAGAGAGAACCGACGGAAAACACCAAGGTAAAATTGCCGAAGCAAACACTCAGATATGGGAACGTGAAGTACGTGAGGGGGCGACCGTTGCAGTCACTCAGGTATGGGAGTACCAAGGCAAAAACTCAAGGTACGGAAGCGAGAGGATTCGCTGGCAATACTTCGCACTCACTTTCTTGTGTGATAGGAAGGGCTTGACGCTTTCCCCTGTACGTCCTAGTTGTCGTAAAGAGGGACGCCCATGCACGTCAAGAGGGACGTGGATGGCAGCACGGGCAGTGCCGTGGCGGCAGCATGGTCAGTGCCGTGGCGGCAGCTGTTCTTCCAGTAACCCCCGTAGCTCCCCTCCCTCTCCTCCCTCTTCTGCCTCTCCTCCCACTTACACCACCCACAGGTCGGCGCCTTCTCCCTGCACGTCAAGAGGAACGTGGACGGCAGCGTCGGGAATGCTGCTCATTCAGTAACCCCCCCCTTTCACTCTTCTTCTTCTCCCTCCCTCACCTCTGTCAGGTCGGCGCCTTCTCGCTGCACGTGAAGCGCGACGTGGACGGCAGCATCGGGCATGCTGTGGCTGCAGCTGAAGCCTCCGCCGCGGCCGCCGCCGCCCCTGTGGTGTACGCCGCGCCAGTGCCCGCCTTCCCCATGGCGGAGTCCCTCCCCCCCGCCGCTGCCCCCGAGCCCGTGGCGGAGGTGGCGGCGGAGCCCGCCAAGGCGAGCGACGAGGGGCTTGTCTACGTCACCTCGCCGCGGGTAAGAGATGAGTGGGCTGCCCCTTCTTTGCTTCGTGCATCTGATCTCTTTCCTCCCCTTCCCCCGCTTCTGCCGTGGATTTCTGCCTCTGCTGCTGCCCCCGAGCCCGTGGTGGAGGTGGCTGCAGAGCCCGCCAAGGCCAGCGACGAGGGCCTGGTCTACGTCACGTCGCGCGGGTAAGAGCTGGGCGGGCTGGGTGGAAGCGTACAGTCCCTTCGTATAGTAGCTCTACCCCTCCCTTCCCCCCGCTGTTAACGCGGAGCCTGTGGCGGAAGTGGCTGCTGGGCCGGAGAAGCCCAAGGACGAGGGCCTGGTCTACGTCACCTCGCCGCGGGTAAGAGCTGGGTTGAAGCGTACAGTCCCTTTGTATGGTATCTCTACCCCTCCCTCCCTCCCTCCCTCCCTCCCTCCCTCCCTCCCTCCCTCCCTCCCTCCCTCCCTCCCTCCCCCCCGCTGCTGCCGCGGAGCCTGTGGGGGAGGTGGCGGCGGAGCCCGAGAAGGCGAGCGACGAGGGGCTTGTCACATCACCTCATCCCCACCCTCATTCCCATCCTCCTCCCCACCCTCGTTCCCACCCTCGTTCCCATCCTCCTCCTCACCCTTTTCCACTCCTCCCTACCCTTCTCCACCCCCCTTCCTCACCTACCAGGTGGGCATCATGCGACGTGGCAAGCTGTACAAGGGCAAGCACGGCCGGCCGATTGTGCTCGAGGTACAGTGCAGTGCAATCCAGTGCAATACATTGATGTGCGGTAGTATAGAGTAGGGTCATGCACATTATGTTACGAAGTGGCAAGCTGTAAAAGGGCACACACAGCCCGCCGTTGTGCTCGAGGTACAGTGTGGTGCAATATGGTGCAATACGGTGCACTGCTCTGGGCTATGGTGCACTAGAGGAGGCTGGTATACAGATGAATCTAGAATGGCATGCTTTGCAAGATAAAGCGCGGCCTGCCGATTGTGCTCCATACACAGTGTGGCGTCCTTACCGTAGCATCAGCTTTTTGTGTTATCGAGGTGGCTTTTGAGTCGACTCAAAAGTCACTCCGATTGTTGTGCTCCATATACAGTGCGGTGTACTTTCTATGGAAGCAGTTTTTCTGTGTGGTGATCTCTGCAGTGTGGGGTGCTTCAATGGAACGACCAGAAAAGGTGCAGGTTGTTTGTTATAGCGCACATATGCACACGCACTTATAGAACCAGGAGCATGGAGCTTGGTAATGCACGCACATGCACCTTATCCAATCCTGCACGCTCCCCACCCCACTCCGCCTCATCCCACCCATCATCCCACCCTCCTCACCCCACCCACCCTCTCCCTCCTCACCCCATTCCTTACCCTCAACCCACTCCACCCCACCCGGACAAACAGGGCGAGGCGGTCAAGAAGGGACAAGCTGGACAAGCCGGACAATCCATTTGCTTTTTGGAACAGCTGGGTACCAACCTTGCATCTTTCCCTCTCACTAAGAAATCTCCCTCGTCACCCCATTCTTTCCCTTCCACTCCCTTCCCTCCCACCCCACGCGGGCAAACAGGGCGCGGTGGTCAAGAAGGGGCAGGCCATTTGCTTTTTGGAGCAGCTGGGAACCAACCTCACAATCGAGGTGCGTGTTGTCAGGGTGGGAGTTACGAGGTGACTTTTGAGTCGGCTCAAAAGGCAGGCCATTTGCTTTTTGGAGCAGCTGGGAACCAACCTCACGATTGAGGTACGTGTTGTCAGGGTGGGATAGGAGTGAACAAGTGCTGTGAGGCATATCAATCGGTGGTGCAAGGGGGTGCAAGGGGTGCACGGGGTCGGAAGAGGGTGCAAGGGGTCAGAGGAGGGTGCAAGGGGGTGCGAGGGGGTATATCTGCTGATGCGCCCATGCTGGGGCCCAGTGGTCCTCAGAGGGTGCAAAGGACTCAAGGTGCAGACGTTTTCCTTGGCAAAGAACTAAATCGCACTGTCACCTTCTTCCCATGGTCATATCCCTTCCTGTCTTCCCGTCCCCTCTCTCTGTGTGTTCTCTACCCCGGCCCCGTTGTTCCTGTTGTTGCTGCACCTTTGCTCTTTCATAAATCACGTGCTGCTAAGTTTCTTGAAATAAGCGCCCGCTGAACCCTTTTTTGTTGCCAAGCTTGTTAACAATAACTGCTCCCCTGCAACTCATTTGCTGCTGTTTTGTTTCTGTACAGACGGAGCATGCGGGCACAGTGGTCGATTTCCTGGTGGACGATGGAGGTGCGTGTGGTGTCCTCCATGCTAGTGGTTCGGTTGGGTGGGGTTGGAGGGGAGGAGAGGAAGGAGGAGGGTGGGAATGGTAGAGGAGGGGCGTATATTTTTCATTCACCCCTGGCGTCTGGTGTCCCTTGTTCACTCCCCCATTCCTCTCTACCCCATCAAAGCTTCAGATGCCTGACAGATACAGCTCCCTTCTTCTGCTACACCCTCCCCTTCCCCCACCAGCAGTCCCTGTGGGCTACAGTGAACCCCTCGCTGCCATTCGGCCATCTTTTCCTGGCATCATCGATCTCACTTAAACTCACTCCTCCATGTCCCCTCTTCCTCTCTTCCCCTCCTCCCCATCTCCCACTGCCAGTCCCTGTGGGCTACGGTGAACCACTGGCGGCCATTCGCCCGTCTTTCCCCGGCATCATGAAGCTCACCTGAGTGGGGACGGACAGGAACCTTACGTCCTCTCCGTTTTCCAATCCCCCTCTCTTCTCTTTCCCTCCCCTTCCTTCACAAACCAACAGTCCCTGTGGGCTACGGAGAGCCCCTCGCAGCCATTCGCCCGTCTTTCCCCGGCATCATGAAGCTCACCTGAGTGGGGCGCCTAAAGAATCAACATGTCTTTTCCCTTACCCCCTCGTCCAATACTTCCCCCCCCCTTGCTCTCCCCCCACCCCCCCCCCCCCCCCACCAACAGTCCCTGTGGGCTACGGAGAGCCCCTCGCAGCCATTCGCCCGTCTTTCCCCGGCATCATGAAGCTCACCTGAGTGGTGACGGCAACCATAAGTTTTGATGCGCACTCCACAGTGCGCAGTAATGTCATAACAAAAGGAACTTCTGCATAAAACCATGGTTCCCCAGCTGGCCTGACATGATTTTTAAGAAATACGGTAGCATGCCAGGCCTAGGGGGTCCGTAGTTGTTTTTTCCTAGCCAATGTGGGTCCGATCATTCTGTAAGCCCAGAATGGCCAGAATTGCTTACATGTGGTGTAATTTTGTAGCCTTTTCCATAGCTGTTCTGCGTTACTCTCATGTGGTTGCATTGCACCAACACAGGTTTTGTACACAAGCAAGCACACAATGCAATATATATCACATGAGTAAGCTATCATGGTACAAGCAATAATGATAACACAAAGTGTATGCACTCCCAAGCTGAGGTAATACACTGCTCAACACAGCAGGTGCACCCCACTACGCTGCTGCGTACTTATTACAGTCGAAAAACTTGTTTCCGTATAAGTGAGAGGAGCAAAGAGGTGGCCTGTAGTGCAAACTAGCGCTTTCTGAGTTTAGGGTTTGGCTTGAGCAGCTGCTTGACTCCATCTGCAGGGGAAATGTCCCACCGCTCCACATGCCTGGTGAGAGGGAGAGGTGGAGAGATGGGAATGGATATGTTGGGTGAGGAGGAACTGTAAGGAGGAACTGTACGCCAAGACACTGGCAAGTCAGAAAGGCAGTTTCCACGTTGGAAAGTACAGTAGTACAGTAATATGCCGGTTGAGTGTTTCGTGCTTACTTGTATATTTTTCCTGTTGATTCGCTGAAGAAATGGTCTGTAGACCCGGATGCTGTAGAGGGAAGAAAAGAAAGGAAGGCAGCGAGGGGAGGCAGAGAAAACAATGAGCGGATTGCAGATAATAGGGATGGGACGAGAGGCACACAAGAGCGGAATCAAGAATAAGTAATAAGCACAAGAAAGAGAGTGAAGAGGGAAAATGTGCAACACCAGTCTTATACACAAAGATGGGAAGGAGAGGGCTCACCAGCAAGAATGGGGCGCCATGGCAGGCCCAATACGCAGCTGAATCTCCACTTGGTGGTAACCGTACCCTGCGGTTACAATGACATGACAAAGATAAGTTACGGTAATGCGATATAAACATGTAATTCACGAGAAATGCTGCAACCAGAGGGAGCTTATAAACAGTGTCATCGGATTTCAATACCTCTGACTCCTGCCAGTCGAGAATCTTTAGGGAAACTTCCTCCATAAACGACCCGAGGTTGGACACGTTCTGCTTGAAGCGATCTCGGCCGTTGAACGACACAAAGGGGTCGGCGAACTCGCAATCTGGTTCGTACAACCACATGGTCATCTCGCCTAGGGGAAAGATAGGTGCGATGTCATGTCAGTGATGCGGGAAAATGTGCGGGGGTGGCAAGGGACAGGGTTAAAAGAGGGGAAAGGAAAGGGAGAAGGAGGCGGGGAGGAGGGGAAGATGGAAGATAAGAAACACATGTCTCACCATCTGCCATGTCCGTTCCAGCCAATCACCATCTTCCAGGTCCCATCAATTCCCGTTTGACACCCATCCCACCAATCACCTGTCACAAAGTACGACTTGTCATAGTCTTCTCTCAGCGCTTTAATAGCCGCGTCGCGGTCAACCACCGCCGGCTCCCCTTCCGCCGTTGCGCCTTTTCCCCTTCCGCCATCCGCCTCCCCCCCGCGCACCGCCGCCACCGCCTTCCCGAACGCCTCTGACGCATACCACGCGAAGCGCACCAGCGGGGTAGTTTCCGCCGTCGGCCCCGCGCGCTCCGCCGCCTTCCCTCCTGCGCTTTTCCCCGCGCCTCCCGGTTCCCCCCCGGCCACGCGGATGACGCTCTGCCGGCCGCCTGACAGCCTCGGCGTCGCTGTGCCGCAAACACCGGCAGAAAATCCGCCGGAGAATGTGGCTTTACTAGTTAACAGCGAGGCTGGAGTCGCCACGCCGTCGAATCCTCTGAATTTCGGTCCTGATAAGACGACGCGCGGGGTGCTTCTAGGAGGTGTAAGACGAATTCGCGAAGAGCTCTGTAACGAGTCGATGGCCAATGAGTTGGACGGATAGGTCATCGCGAAAGGAGTGACGGCGCCGCCTGCTGCCGCCATGCCGGCCGGCTGAGTTATGGAAGTTACGAGGTGATGGAGACAAACAACTACCGAGCCCGTGGGAACTTACAGGAATTGATAAATTCTGGCGGGATGCTGCCAGGTATAGGGTGGTGTGAGAATTTATACGCGCTCTATGAAGCTCATACACTCTCCAGCGAGAACAGGAACAAAAGGAGTCTAGCTGTTATTATTAAAAGAATTATACAATGCTACCACCACCTGCTACAACAATTGCTCAGGGTAGGACTATTTAACCAGGATGATTTATCAAGGTTTCGATGATAAGACAGTTGATCCACCTTCAGCATTTCAACAAATTACGGGTAGGCCACTCTGCGTCTCAGCCTCGACCTGAGCTCGGCATTTTCCTGCAATAATAGAGCAGAGGCAACAAAAAAACGCATGAGCATTTCTAGCATGGTAGTATGGTACTTTCACTTTGATAAACCCCACAGTAACTAAACGAAAGATTAGGATGCGAGAGCCAAGAAAGACATGTGCATGAATCCTCACACTAACAAAATTCCCACCTTTGTAAGAGCGGCAATAGTAGCCTCCAATGCCTCATTCTCCACAGTAAGTGATGCTTCTCGTCCTTCCAACCCCTGCAATTATGAAATATGTACTTGATAATTAGCTGCCTGGAAGCGGCAGACACCACCAGACAATATACATCCAAACACCCAACCAGCCTGAATGAAAAATGAGGAGAGCAAATAAGCGGGTTGAGGACTCGTATCACTAGTTCTTGGCAGGTTTGAGAAGAACAGTAGTGCTTACACTGATGTAACACTTTTTCTTCTCTCTAGCCTGTTGGGCACTGACTCTGTTGCGGAGCAACCTGTAACGCAAGCAATCAGACGAACCAATCATCGCAGAGTCACATCCCCAAACCATATCCACACAGAGGTACGCAGCAGGAAAACCCTAGAGTTTAGGTTGGACGATAGGTTGGGAGTATAGTCGTTTCGAGTCGCGACGGAGATAGGAGGAGAAAAGGGACGTATTTACGTTTCAAGGACAAGCTATTAGGAATGGCGATGACGGGGTGGCTTAGGCTGGACTTGAAACTGACTCCGAGTAAGACGTCACATCGGCTATAAGCTCACAATGGTACGGACAGACACTTGGGACTTTCAAGAGCCCTTGATCAGTTCGGAAGTAACCAAAGGACACACGCACCTTCTTCGCTTTGGATCGACTGTCGCCGGAATACTCGCAGCAGCGGAAGGCGCGGCGGAAGGCACGACGGGGGATGAAACCGCAACAGGTATACGCGGAACAGGCGGGAATAAGAGAGCGGGTGCCGCATCGTCGCGGTCTCCGGGTAGCGAAGAATGAATGGAGAAACGACACGGGCCCTCGCGATCGGGAACAAGGGCCAGCGACGGACGGCTTGAAGCAGCTGGAAACGCAGAAGCAGTTTCGGCGGAAGAGCGGGTTAGTAACGGGACAGACGGTGACGATGGAACGAGTAGGTCCGCGGGAGAAGGGGGACGATCAGCGCGCGACGGGACGACAGCACACGGCTCGTTAGCCGCGACAGCGACGCCGAAATGATCAAGCTGCTCGTCGAATTCCAAGCCGTCGCCGAGCGTGTGCGGGTCTGCGACGCTGTCGCCTCCCTTTCTCTTCCCCGTCGCCTTCGCCTGTGCGACAGCTGGCGATTTCACGTTTCGCCCTGCGACGGATTGCACGCCGTTTCGCCCTGCGAGCGCCTCTCTCGTCGCCGCCACTCGCGCTTGCCTCGCCATCGCGGCGGCTTCCGCGTGCCGCTGCTTGTAGAGGTGATGACTGTAGAGCGGATGAGGATGATGAGATGGATGAGGCTGGTAGTACGCAGCCGCGTGATACGGGCTTGCCATTGGAGGATAGTCCGGCGCCGGATGCGGGTAGTATTCCGAGTAGTACACATCATCGTGCGTCACGTGCGGCGCGTGATCAGAAATCGCAGTCGGTTCCAAAGATAACTGCAAGTCAGAATTTCGCGCGTTAGTCGTCGCCATCGCCGCGGAGTCAAGCTTTGGCTTGAACTCAAGATCAGGGAATCCCCAGGAAAGTTCGTCGAACAAAGGATCGCCGCCGCTGCCGCCGTTGCCGCTGCCGAACCGCGCTTTATCGTCTCCCGCCTGCTTATCAGCACCGTCGATCGCGACATCTACCGGGCTCTCGTTGAAAAAAGGCGTGGGGATGTGACCCATACTGTCCAGATCAAACCGGCCGGTGCGGCGGAGTCTCTTCGTGGGTCCTGATGCTGCGGCGGCATGGAAAGTTGAACGATGTCGGGCGGACGGCGGAGGGGGGAAGCCGTAGCCTGGATGCGCCGCTGCAAGCGCCCTTCCGTGCGCTGCTCCGTGCGCGGATGCGTGCGCGGACCCGTGCGGAGGCATGTGTGGCGGAAGCGGCATGTGCATGGGCGCGCCGTACATGGGGGAAAACGGCGCGCCGAAGTGATACGACGACTGACCGCCATAGGCTGCGGAAGCGAAAGGAAAGAAAGGAAGGAAGAAAGAAAAGAAAGATAGACGCGACGACTCAGGTACGAGGCACGCAGAAAATATCGCGTCACGGTGGATTGAGCGTGATATGGCCTTGGTCGCACAGGACGTGACGCGGGAAAATAATCAGTCTCGGGATACATAATAATAGCATCATATTATACATGGGGAGGGGGATCCATTTCAGGAACACGCACTTGCGAAAGGATAGTGACCCGTTAGATATGATGGGATCCCGTGAGTCATGCCGGGGAAGCCGGCCTCGGACGACGACTCGCACACACTCATATCGCGGATGTTCTCTCCTTGGGTCGGTATGAGTGGAGAGGAGCGGAAAGAGCAGATGGGAGTTCAAACACTATGATCGTCCGTACTACGTAGAACGCTATGTGGAAAGTACGACCAGTGATGAGCGCTCTACAGCGAAAAAGAGTTTGTACTTCAGGGTATGATCTCCGGCCTCTCGTACGATTCACAAATGAAAACCAAACATTGGTCAAAACTGCGAAACACAAGGGGAGGAAGAGGGATGGGACGAGTGAGGGAAAGGAATGTGATGGGTGGGTCGGTGTGTGCGGCGGTATTTGCGCCAGCGATCTCCCCCCTCGCTCATCCCTCGTCCGTGTTTGCCATCCATCCATTCGCCCAACGCATCCGGCCATCTTACCAATCTGCGGCGTTTCCCCCCACCACTCTCCCCCCCCCCCCTCCTCCCCTCCCTCCCTCGTCTCTCCCCCTCCTGCGTCCTCTCCCCACCAGTCACACCAAGCCTGGCCTCACCTGCCTCCCGTCCTCTCCATTTCGACTTCACCAAACGAAACTGTCATGTGAATGGGCCTGTGGTGCACAGTGGATGAAGTTCAAGAACGGCTGTGTGAAGCAGATCCCACACCCAAACGTCGATATGTCTGGAGCCAACCGCTGCTCGAGCTATCAGGGTAAAAAACCACATACAGTCGATGCCCATACCTTTGAGCAAAAAATCAGCCCTTCGTTGCCTGCAAAATTCTATCTGCAAGCAGATAGTGCTGTGTTGCTTGAAGCTGGGAGAAACTCTCTACTAAAAGTCCAAGATAAACGGCTATCTTTGTGCATTTGCCAGGCCGACCAGTACGGGTCTTTAATTACGCCTCGGAAAGCTACTTTGTGAACCATGATCTGCACACAAAAACGATTTTTACAGGAACGAGGAGTTTCGGAAGTCCCGTTTACGAGGTGTTTGAGGGTTTTATCCATCCACAAGATCGGCGAGAGCCAACCAATCCGTGGCGCTTGATGCCAGATCTCACAGCCAGCTTGCGATTCTGTGCACTGCACGGCGTATCCCGTACTGAAATCAATGTCGGTTTGTGAATGGCTTGTGTGGGTAGGAGTCGGTCCACGGCGTGCCACCAGTCACCGATTAACATTTGTCAACGACCTGGCTGTAGGCTGTAAACTCCACTCGATCATTGGAAAACACTTCATAAATGCAGGCTTCGTACTTCCTGCAGTACAGCAACGGGGATAATTTAGTGGCCACGGTATAATCATCGTAGTCGATATAAGGTTTGTATTAGCTCAAAATATACTTTCCCTGCTCCTCACTTCTTAATATTCTGTCCTTCGAAAAAAAGACTTCACACCTCCTGCTGCTCCTTAGAGATAAAAAGTAACGGAGCTATAAGTAACCTTTTCATCCAACGTCTCTTGCTTTAGATTTCCAGTGAAATATGACCACCATGTGGAGGCTCCTTGCTATCAGCGGAACAATATGAGCTACCGTATGCCTTATATCTGCTCCACATTCACACCATTGCTTTCCGTCTTTGAGCAGCAGATTCCAGATACAAGGATACACCCGGTAGACTTGCTTGATCCTTCGAGTCCCCTCTTCTCTTTCTAATCAGCTGCATTAGCAAACATAGCAAAAATATTAATTCGAAGGTGAATGAATCTTGAGCAATACAATTGCGCAAACATGCGGGAAATAAAACAAGAGCAAAAAAAAGTTCAGCAGTACAGTGCATTCGCACCTTGGAAGCCCAATGCCGCTCTGTTTGCTCACAAACATCGCGGATATCTCTCCCAGACATGCTGCAAGCACACGAAGAAGAGCAGGGAGAAGGGAGGGGAAAAAAAAAACACAAATGAAGCAGACTCTTTTGAATATGTGATATAAAGCGCCTTCACGTTTGTGTCAAAACATGTGGCTCTGGTGTGAGGTGGAGGGCAGACTGGGTGATGATCAGCGCATGGGTGTGTGCACCTGGTGGATTGTTCGAAGATGCCTAAAGAGAACAAAAAACAGTACACTCACTTGTCGCACGCCTGTGCAAGGAGTTCCCTGTCCCCTGGTGTGAGGTGGCGCACGTATTAAGCGATGATCAGCGCACGGGTGTGTGCGCCTGGAAGGATCACTCTAGTATGCCTAAAAATAACAGAAGTGCACTCACTTGTTGCACGCCTGTGCAAGGAGTTCCCTGTCCCCCGGTGTGAGGTGGCGAGCGTATTGAGCGATGATCAGCGGACGAGTGTGTGCGTCCGGGAGGGAGAATGTGATGGCGGCATCAAAGCGACTGCCACACGTGGGTGGGGCATAGGCGGGCATGAGGAGGCATGGGCGGGCATGAGGAGGCATGGGCGGGCATGAGGAGGCATGGGCGGGCATGAGGAGGCATGGGCGGGCATGAGGAGGCATGGGCGGGCATGAGGAGGCATGGGCGGGCATGAGGACTCATGGGCGGGCATGAGGACTAATGGGCGGGCATGAGGACTCATGGGCGGGCATGAGGAGTCATGTGAATAGCGATCAAGCATGGTGGGGCATTTTAATTCGGTAGTTTGAGCATTGCTCGGTGCACTTGTGCGTCCGTCCTGCAGGGAGATGTGACGGCTTGTAACAACAATTGGACTATGTTTGTGGGGCATGGGTCGGGGCATGGGTCGGGGCATGGGTCGGGGCATGGGTCGGGGCATGGGTCGGGGCATGGGTCGGGGCATGGGTCAGGGCATGGGTCGGGGCATGGGTCGGGGCATGGGTCGGGGCATGGATGGGGCATGGATGGGGCATGGATGGGGCATGGATGGGGCATGGATGGGGCATGGATGGGGCATGGATGGGGCATGGATGGGGCATGGATGGGGCATGGATGGGGCATGGATGGGGCATGGATGGGGCATGGATGGGGCATGGATGGGGCATGGATGGGGCATGGATGGGGCATGGATGGGGCATGGATGGGGCATGGATGGGGCATGGATGGGGCATGGATGGGGCATGGATGGGGCATGGATGGGGCATGGATGGGGCATGGATGGGGCATGGTTCAAGGAGTTTCTTTCTGAAGGGCTCTTGAAAACAGGAGCAGGGGCAATTTGATGATGGATGCAACTCGAAAAGACTCACCTGATGAGTACCAGTTGCTGAGGGGTTATCATAAGTCGCCCCACGGGAAGGCACGCAGTTACCGCTGACTCAGGACGACACAATTATGCGACAGAGTTTAAGTCATGTAACATGTGAATGCTCACTTGATGAGAGCCTGGCCAAGGTCCTCTATTCTGTTAATCGCAGGAATGACCACGTTTGAGGCGCCTCAATAATCGCATCATTACATGCATACCACGGGAAAAGAAGCTCACCTGACGAACGCCAAGTCTGAATCCTCCATGCTCGTTGCGCAATGACCACACTTGAGTGGCCTAAAACAGTTGTGGGTAATGAGATGACTTTGAGGCGCCTAACAAGACATGCAACGTGAAAAAAGCTCACCTAATGAGAGCCGGATCGAGGTCCTCCTTTCTGTTAGTCGCGGCAATGACCACACTTGAGGGGCTCAAGAATCATCTCATTCCATGCATGCAACTGGAAAAGAATTACCCGATGAGAGCTCACCTAATGAGAGCTCACCTGATGAGAGCTCACCTGATGAGAGCTCACCTGATGAGAGCCGGGTCGAGGTCCTCCTTTCTGTTAGTCGCGGCTATGACCACGATGCCCCGATCGCGCTCAAACCCATCCATCTGCACGCAACAAGGGAGTTGGTGGGGAGGCAAGGCAACGTAGGTAGGCAGGCATCGTGAAGGGGGTCCAGTCATAAAGGGTCCTGATCGCGCTCAAACCCATCCATCTGCACAAAGCAAGGGGTATGGAGCAAGGTGAGATATAATACACATCTTTCTCAGCAGAACAACGAGGTCATGTTGCTGTGACTTTCCCCCTTCAATCCCATGTCTCCCTCATATTGCAGACCGGGAGGGAAAGGGAAAGGCAGGTGCGCAAGAGGGCAACGACGGTGGTGTGTATGTGAAAACCTCACCAATAAGCCGGTCAAAATGCTTTGCTGACGTCATGAAGCTTATCCAAGACGTGGATTTGCACGCATCTGTTCAAATGAGGTAGCCTGCCAACCCACGTCTTGGATGAGCTTCATGACGTCAGCAAAGCAACTGACTGGCTGATCAGTAAGGTCTTCACATACACACCACTGTTAGTGCCCTCTAAAAACATGCCTTTCCTTTCCCTCCCGTTCTGCAATCTGAGAAAGAAATGGGAGGTAGACACGGGAGGGAAGGGGAAAGGCCAGGCAGGTGCGCTGGGCAAAACAAAACAAGCGTCGTAAGAAGACACACGCAAAGGGAAAGCGCTGGGGATGTGCAGGCAAGTGAAAAATCTTTATTCCAATACAGTCGAACGTGTACCCTTGCTAGTACTACGTAAAAAATATATGAAATCATGTTTGGAGAATCACGTATGTGACTTGAGTCGCCCCAAGCAGCACACCTCTCTGAGCAGCACGGACAGGACTCGCCGTGTCGCTTCATGCATGTCACTGTCCCTCGCTGTTGCCAATGCATCGACCTGAAACATGCATGAAGCAATGATGAAGTCAAGTAATGTGATAAAATCGAGGTTTGCTTGAGACGCATCATAACACGTGTGGCTTCATGCATGGCGCTGTCCCTTGCTGTTGCCCGTTCATCATGCATGTGCCAGTGCATCCACCTGCCACGTGGATGATGAAATGTAGTGAACTAGTTGAGCGCTAGGAGGTGTCAACTATTTTGAGACATTGAAAGTTTATATGAAATAACCTTATCCAACCCTCGTATCAGCCCCAACCTCCATATTTCCCCTCTAATCTCCTTCCCCACCCTCTGCTCCTCCCCTTCTCCCCTCTCAACCCCCCCATTTCCCAATTCCCTGGCCATTTCTCCCTTTCCCCTGCCGGCCTTCTCCCCCCGCCTTTTATCCTCACCTCATCCAGGAATACAATAGCGCCACCTAGGTGCAGCAGATTGGCCCTCATCCTTTCCAACCCTCTTACGCACTCTCTCTTCCTGCTCTCACCTCTTCCCAACTCCTCCTCCATCTCCCACCTACACCCTTTCCCAACTCACCTCATCAAGAAACACAATGGCGCCACCTGGATGCAACTCATTGGCCCCTCGTCCCCCTCAAACCCATGCACACCCCCCCCCCCCCCCCCCCGCACCCCCGCCCCCCCCCCCCAACGTCCTTCCCTCCTCTTCACGCACCTCATCAAGAAACACGATTGCGCCACCTGGGTGCAGCTGATTGGCCAGCGCAAACACGGTCGACAGCTGCCGCTCGCTCTCCCCATAGTACTTGGATGCAACAGACTCGAGGGGCACGTACACCAGAGGCACGCTCTGGCGGGGGTGGAAGAGAGGAGATGGGGGATGGAATGGCGGGTGGAAGGGGAGGGGCAGAGAGTGCAAAAATACTCCCAGGGCTAGCAACTGGCGCTCATTCTCTCTCCCCATAGTACTTGGATGCTACAGACTCGAGGGGCACGTACACCAGGGGCACGCTCTGAAGTGAGATGGGGGAGGAAGGGAGTACGAGACAGTGAGATGGATGAGAATGTGAATGTGGAGGCGGAAATGAGATGGGGGAGGAAGGGAGTACGGGACAGTGAGATGGGGGAGGAAGGGAGTACGGGACAGTGAGCGCCAGAAAACCCATCATAGGATTTGATAAAGTGCCTGGCGCTTGCTCTCTCCATAGTACTTGGACGCTACAGATTCTAGGGGCACGTATACCAGGGCAGGGCAGGGCAAGGCATGGTGTGGTATGGCATGGCAGAGGGCATGACATGGCGGATGGCATGGCAGATAGCATGGCACTCACCGCTCGTTTGGCCATGGCTCTCGCACATGATGTCTTCCCAGTGCCTGGTACAGATTGAGGGGAACAGACATAAGGGAGAGAGGAACAGACATATACGGGCGAGGAAAATGGACAGGAGTCACCCGTGTAATGTTAGCATGGCTGTCAAAGCCTCAGCCTCAACTCCTCACAGCCCCTCACAGCTTCCCCTGGAGCGTCTGACCCGTGACAAAAGTCTCACTTCCTCACAGCCTCCCTCACGCCTCCCTCACTTCCTCACAGCCTCACTTGGTGGGGCGTGGGGCGCCCAGGACTCAAAGTGGGTGCACGTGGTCCTGGCAATGCCGCTAGTAGCACCGCAGGTAAACACAGGTCACCACATGTAGCACATAGGTGACCTGAACTCTCCCAAGGCACCCCAAGCTGCCTCACCTGGTGGCCCGTCAAACAGCACGGCACGTGGGCGGTTGGACTCAAAGTGAGTGCGTGTGGCCCTGGCAATGCTGTCGTAGACGTCAGGGCGGAGCAGTGCCAGCAGCACCGTATCCTCTATCTCGCTGCAAGGGAGGAGAGTGGGTAGAGCAAGGGAGCACATGTGCAAGTGAGTGCGTGTGGCCCTGGCAATGCTGTCATACACGTCAGGGCGGAGCAGTGCTAGCAGCACAGTGTTCTCTATCTCGCTGGTGAGGGGAAGGGGGGATGAGGTGAAGGGAGGGGGAGGTGGGAGCGGGGGGAACAGGTGGGTGGCACATGCGCAAGTGAGTGCGCGTGGCCCTGGCAATGGCAATACTGTCGTAGACGTCAGGGCGGAGCAGAGAGAGCAGCGCCGTGTCTTCTATCTCCCTGGTGAGGCCAGCAGCGGGAGCATGGGGAACGGAGGAAACAGAACGGGGGCATAGTGAGCAGCATGGCTGTGGCTATACTGTCATACACGTCAAGGCGGAGCAGTGCCAGCAGCACCGTGTCATTTTCCACTGCTTCTCACCGTTTCTGCTCGTCATATCCAACCAGGTTGCCCCAATCCATCCACCTCCTCTCATCCCCCTTTTTCTCCTCCTCCCCTTCCTCCTCCTCCTCCTCCTCCTCCTCCTCCCCCTCCTCCCACTCCCCCTCTCCCCTCCCACCTTCCTCCGCTACCCCAGGAGCGTACACCATCACTCCCATGCGCTGAAGCTTCTCAGCAATTGCCTGGGACATGCCTGTGTGCCCCTCCCCCCCACCACCACCAGTACCACTTCTACCACCACTGCCAATGGCACCCCTGCTGCTGTAACCACCACCACCACTGTCACCACCATAGTAGCTCCTACCATCGCTGTGCCCGCTGCTGTAACCACCGCTGCTGTAACCACCACTGCTGTAACCACCACTCAAGCTCTTGCTACTTGTGTTTCTCTCAGGAGCCCTCTCAGGAAATCTATCAGGAGATGGCAACAGAGAGCCACTTCTGTTGGCACGGCCACCACCAATGCCACTACCACTGCGGCTGCTAGCACCTGAACCAGCCTGCTGCTGAGGCCGGAAGGGCGCTGAGCTGTCAATTGCTGATTGGACGGTGCTGACTATGATGTCCAGCTCAGCAGGTGTGAATGCGCCTGGCTTGAGAAACTCGATCTCCTGGTTGGAGGAGGCAGAGAAGGAGGAAAGAGGAAAAGGTGAAAGAGAAGAAGGTGAAAGGGGAAGGGAAGCACGGCGGAAAGAGGTGCAGAAATCCATGATGTAAATGGTCCGGAAGAAAAAAAAGGAGTGGCATAATAGCAAAATAGAAGGATTTAGGGGTACAATGCAGTCCTAAGGAGTGCATTTTGAGGCGCCTCAAAATACAATACACCTCACTGCGCGAAAACCAGGGGTACAATGCGGTTCAAAGGGGTGCAACTCACCGGAGTGCCAGGGCCCACAAGCGGCTCGAACAGCAGCACCTTCACTGCCCCACCACCAGCCACCACCACCGGCTCTGTTGAATCCCCCTGAGGATCCACCTGAGATTCCAAATGAGCCCCTGCCTCCGCTTCACCTTCCTCAACCCTCTTCTTGGTCTCTGTGCCTACGTGTGCTTGTGCGGGCAGGTGCGCGTGCGGGAGCAGTGGCATGAGCACCATCTGGCGAGCCACAGGGCTGAGAGGTCAGTCAGAGGGGGAAGGAGGAGGGGAAGGGGGAAAGGAGGACGGGAAAGGAGGACGGGAAAGGAGGACGGGAAAGGAGGTGGAACGGGGGAAAAATGGATAGGGGTGGTAGGCACGGGCAGGTGTGCGTGGGGGAGCAGTGGCATGAGCACCATCTGGCGTGCCACAAGGCTGAGAGGTCAGGGAGAAAGTTGGGTTGGGCGAAAAAAAGGGAGAATGGGCGCGGATGGTGTGGACAGGTGCGCGTGGGAGAGTAGGGGCATCAGCACCAGCTGCCGTACCCCATGTTCCCTCCTTCCTCTCCCGCTCACCTGTCCCATGCGTACACCGCCATGCCGCCGGCCCCCACCATATCCCCCACGTCATCCACTGTCGATGCCTTTTTCTCCACCGCACTCCCAGGCAGGGACGAGTTGAGCGAGGGAGTGATGGCCGGGTGGCAACCCAGGTGAGCAATGAGGCGGGCGAGCAGAGCGGAGAGATCGCAGGAGGCTGGCAGACGCAGGCGCACGGAGACCTGGTGGTGGGAGCACAGAGACGGCACGTGTTGGACATAGAAAGATAGATTCGACCTGGATCCAACAGGTAACTCGTCCTTAGTCAAGTAATTCGTCTTAATCTCCTTCTAGGCTGAGCTTAGGCTAGTAGGGATAGAATAGGTAAGAAATCGTTTATTCAAACCTGAGCGTACGCGCGTTTCGGCCGGTGGCCTTCATCAGCGCCCTCAGAGTTACATGAAAGAAACTACTCCTTATCTACTCCCATCTACCGTGCCCCACACTCAACCAAGAAACAAGAAATCCAGTGCGGCTCGTCATCGCGGCCCGCTAGCTGGCTGTACAACATTTACAATGTCATTCACACATGCAAGTTGGTGGGACGAATTCAATCCCATCAACTTACGGGGTTGGTGTATCCCCGTTTCTGAAACCTCGCTTTCACCAAGAGGTTACGTATCCTCATTGGTAAACGCCAACACACTAACGTTCGTGGGAGGGAAATTTGTTGCAGCACGTGTTTTTTGAGAATTCTCAAAGAACACGTGTTGGACAGGATGAGAGCATGAAAGACCCGGGGTGATGGCAGGGTGACAGCCCAGGTGAGCAATGAGGTGTGTGAGCAGAGTAGAGAGGACGCAGGAGGCAGGCAGACGCAAGCGCACTGAGACCTGTTGGGTGACAGGTGTGCAGAGGGCATATGGGATGGCATGCGCGCATTGGAATGAGGGACCTAAACGTGCCCCACCCACTCCTCTGCACCGCACCGCACTCCCAGGGAGCAGGCCTACTGAGACCTGTGGGTTGGAATTGGAGGATACGGGTGGCGAATCAGGGAAGCAGTGGTAACCACATTACACATTCCAGCAGCCATGCATGCAGGCATGTACGTACCTGATGGCCCTTGCAGGTGACAACTGGGTTAGGCAGTATATACATCTCAGCACCCACACTGCCCCCCCCACCTCCATCCTCCGTCCTCCTCTTCTCCTCCTCCGCCTCCCGTTTCTGTCTCATTCGATACAGTCTCACCAGCAACCCCCTCCTTGCCGCCCGCACCGCCAGCTCTAGGGCTTCTGCCCCCCCTGCCGCCGGATCTCCCCCAGATTCTCCCGGATTTGATTTGATTGATTCTGATGCTACAGCCCCTGAGTCTGTAACTCCTGGTGTAACCCCTGATGCAGGCTCGGATGTAGCAGGGTTGGAATCGGAAGGTTCTGAAGGGCCAGAGTCACAACAGGCGTAATCTGGTTCTAGGGTTGATGCTGATACTGCTGCTGCAACTGCTGCTGCGGAGGCTGTTGCTAGGCCTGCCAACGTGGCAGAAGACCATTGGACCCTGCTGCTGCCGGTGCTTGCTGGGATGGACTGGGATGCTGACGTGGACGATGCGGGAAGCTGTGACGATAGGTGAAGTGCTGCTGCATGGATCCAGCGATTTCTTCCTTCGGTGACGTGGCCAGATCTGTGCAGATGTGGAAGAGCAGGAGTATGCCACGTGGCACTATCCAGTCGACTCAGGAAAAGGCGTTGGAATGAAAATATATGCTTCAGATTCTGTCGCCAAAGGGGCATATGAGGTGGCCCCATAGCAAGAAGTCAAGAGATCCCGCAGCACGAGACGTACCACGAGGATCGCAGATCCTAATTACTGGTAGAAGACAATATTCCTAGTTTAAGACTACGCTCTATTTACCGGGTGGACCACGGAGAAATAATAGGCGGAACTAACTCCGAAGAAAGCTCGTAGAAAGCGTAGGGAACACGCTAGACAGAACGGGTTGGTGCTTCTTCACGAGATGACTCGCTTTTCGAATTTCAAATGTAACAGTGAAGAAGTTGGCGAACTTTATCATGGGATATGAATATATTATTAATTTGGCCGTTGCCTTCCGCAGTTTCTATTTGGTTGACGAAGCTTCACGAAATTGCTGATTGCTGTCGCCAGGATGAATTGCTGTTGTTCGCAATCTCGACTATGCCGTCGACCAATCCAAACCTCGTACAGTACGACCTATTCTGATCGCGAATCGTAGAAGAGCACGTCAAGCCAACCAGAGCAGGCGCGCCTCGTGATACTCAGTCGACTCCGTCCAATCAATTTTCGTCGTAGCCTGCACCACTCATTGGGACGGACGAACAAATCATCAAGCTGCTGAATCACCCAGAACACGTCAGCCCACGTACTGCCTACGCTGGCCGAAGAGCATATTCTGCCCGCGTTCTTGAACGCGACTGCCCCAAACTGTCGGAGCCTGATTACGTGTGCCAATCCGGAAGAACTTCAGATTTCGCGTCGGCTTCCCCCCAACCTGGCACCCACAAAGTTCCCCGCCAAACTGCCCCGTAACCGAGTCAGTGCGGTTCGTGTATTTTCGCAGAGCGCAATTCTCCCCATCTCGTCACACCTCCTGGCGCTTGTCCGAATCCTTGATGGGAGATCGCAACTTTGGTGGTCGCTCGAGAACGTTGAACCGTCAGATGTTTGCGATCCCAAATGGCTTGAGCGTGATCACCGTAGATTTTCCACAGTGTAGGTTTATCATCCAATGGAACAGTCCCCTCCGCCAGCGCTGTCTACTCTTCCCCCCCGCCAGACTCCATTGCGGAACCAGATTCCGAGAACGCAGGGGAACGTTGGTGTGTAAGCGACTGTCAGCGGAAGACCTGGCGCATAATTTGGAAGGTCAAAGAGTGCGCGGTGTGCGCGGAGTGCCTGGAGAGCTAGGATTCGGAAGGAGTGGGAAGGGGGAAGCCGCGCACGAGAGCGAATAGGGAGGGAGGAGCGGGCGAGAAAGGGGACAGCATGCCGAAAGGGCAGAGGCAGAACCGACGAGGGTAACTGCCTGAAGCGGCAACTGCTATGTTGGCTGCTGGTGGTGCTTTCATTGGTGCGATCTTCTTCCTCATGTCACGGGACATGGGCTAGTGATTGTCAACGCCAGGAACAGATGCAGCTTTCATGTCCATGCAGCACGAGTCATGACTATGGCTCTGGCGCATGGCTGTTGGCTTGCAGCTTCGTCTAGAAGTTATTCTCTCCGACCAAGCCATCCTTGTCATGCGCAGAGGATTCTAACTTAGTTACCTTAGGGCGATACTAATGTCGCAGAGGCTGCGCGCCGCCGCGGCAAGCTGATTGCTCCTCGTTCAGCGACTACTAAACGTCATCTCTGTTTTTCGGATCCCAAGATTTAGGCCACGACAGACCAAGTTCCCGTTTAAATTTTATTTAAATTCGTTGTTACTGATCGCGCAGCGTATTTGACGTGCAACTTCGAGGAGAGAACCTGGACCGTACGATACGATCCATGGGAAAGCTAAGCCCCGCGGGGCCGAGGCTCGGACACTACTGCGGCGCGCAGCGGGAGGCCGCGCGACCGCAGCTGCTATCTCCAGGCGCTTATCAGGTGCTCCTCTGTCGCTTATCTGAATCTTCAATATCTATTTCGGCGCGTATGCTGTAGGTCCCATGATACGCCAATTTTAGCGCGTTTTAATTTAAGCCTTTATTATCTGCGGGTTTTTTTCTTGATAGGAGACGTCGCACGCACTGCAGACGTGCGTGGCGACGGAAAGCTAGGCCGCACCGCGGCTATACATGCTCATTTGAGCCGTTTCGTACTGAGGCAATCGTTTTGAATGTATATTACGACGTGCCTCGTCGTACCGTTCTCTGCTCATATTTTCTCACTCGTCTTACTTTGTCGGCTTACTCTGTCGACACTGCAGTCGTGATGCTTCCTTCCCATCTAGTTCCTACAAGCGTCGAGCCGCGCTTCTTCGATCTCTTACCCTCTTTCCGTTCCCCCGTTTAGTCGGCTAGAATTTTGCTGTCAGATCTCCAGTTTCACCCGCTGCCCCTGCTTTTCCACCCCTCCCGCGCCTCTCTTCCTTACCCCCGCCGCACTTCCCGCTTCCCTCCCTTCTCCTTACCGTTCCCCCCCCACCCTTTCCTCCTCCCGCTCTCACCGCTTTTCCTCCTCCCTTTTTGCGCGTTGCTCCTCCAGGCCTCGTCTCCGCTCCCCTCGTTGCGGTGTTGCCATGCCAGCCATGCTTCAAGAAGTTCTTCCGCCCTTCCCATTCCGCCGCGGACCACGTCAGCGACGGCGGCGGCCAATCAGGGCGATCCACGTGGCAGCGGGCGTAAGAAACTGCTCCCGTGTCTCTCCGCGCCTCCCCTGTACATATCCTCCTTTTTCTATAAGAACGTCGTAACGCCTCTGCGCTCCGCCCGTTCTCCCTCCGCCCACTCCCCCTCCGCCCGCACTCCCGGTTCCCCGCACTCCCCCGGACCTCCGACTTTCCGCCGCGCCTCCTCCTCCTGCTCTTCTTCTTCCTCCGCCAACCGCAAGCAGGGGAATCCTTCCCGCCTGCCGCCTCTACTCCCCGCCTCCCCGCGACACCCTTCCGCCTCTTCCCCGCCGTCGTCCCCGTTCCTTCCCCGCTCCCCCTCCTTCCTCCCCAGATCCGCGTCACTCTCCTCCGCTTCGTCCTTCCCCTCCTCTTCCTCCCTCTCCTCCCCCTCCCTTTCCTCCCCCTCATCTCTTCCCCCCTCCCCCGCGCTCACATCCCCGCTCTCGACCCGTCCGCGGACGTCGTCCGGCAAGACTGCCGGCGGAACAACCGGCGCCGGCAAAGTGGAAGCGCGCGCCCTGCGCTCAGGAATCCCGGCGGCTAGCCGGCGGTCGCGACGGCAACCGGCTGACGACGAGGAGGAATATTTTTATTTTCTGCCCGATATTGAGGACGACTGGGAGGAGGAGGAGGCCGTGCAGAGGCACCGGCGGGAGGGGCAGCGGTGGCGGGGGGACATCGGCGGAGAGGCGCAGGGGAAGCGCGCGGATGCGGAGCGGGGGGAGCTGGGGGGAAGTCCCGGGTACGGGATCGGATCTGGGTCTGGGAGTGTGTATGATAGCAGCGGAAATGGCGGTGAGGATGGGCTGAGCAGCTACGGACAATACCAGGAGTTACATCAACACGAGTTTCATCAGCCGTTACAGTATCAACAGCAGCCGCAGCCACAAAACTGGTACTCGTATGGCCACCCAGATTCACAACTACAGCAGCCGCTGCAACCGGGGCAGCTAGAATGGCAGCAGCAGCAACAGCAGCAGCAACAGGAGCAACAGTGGCGGCAGCAGCAAACGAACGATCAGGAGAATGATTTTCAACGTCAACGAGAGCAGCTTTGGGGGTGGCAGCAGCAACAACAGGAGCAGTTATGGCAGCAGCAACAACAGCAGCAACAGCAACAGCAACAGCAGCAGAAGGAGACGCAGTGGCAACAATCGGAATTGCAATCACGGCTGCAACAACAACAGCTACAGCAGCAGAGGCAACAGCAGAATGGTGACGTGGCAGTGCCATCGTCACAGAACCAGGAGCAGCAGCGACACGTCAGCAGCCGCGGCCAGGAGCAAAAACACCACCACCACCACCACCACCACCACCACCATCACAAGCACGGGCACGGGCATGGGCATGGGCATGGGCATGGGCATGAGAAGGGCAAGTGGCATGGGCAAGAGAAGAGCAAGACGGTTTCAGGATGGCTTCCCCCCTCTCAGGCGCACGTGCGGAGGCAGGTGGCGCAGTGGGCTGTGAAGGCGTTGAGAGCGGTGAAAGACAACATGGCGCTGTCTCTGCCGCCTGAGTCGCTCATTCTCGTGGTCTCGTGCCTTGTGGGCGTGCTGACCGGCTCGTCCGTGGTGCTATTTAACGATACGGTGAGTCGTGTCAGGTTGATCTCTCCTCCCAGGCTGACTCTCACATCTGCCACTGGAGTCACTCATTCTTGTTGTCTCGTGCCTCGTGGGCGTGCTGACCGGCTCGTCCGTGGTGCTATTTAATGATACAATGAGTCGGCTTGATCTCTCCTCCCAGGCTGACTCTCAATCCTCCATAATCTCTTGTGCAGCACGCTCTTCAATCCTTCATAATCTCCCACGAGGTCCCATCACTCTCACCACTCCCAACCGCTCTCAACCGCTCTCAACCGCTCTCAATCACTCCCAACCACTCCCAACTACTCTCCACCACTCCCCACCACCTGCAGGTGCACATAATCCGAGACACGCTCTTCCAGAACGTGCCTCACGAGGAAGGCTCCGCGTGGCTGAGGGACCAACCAGTGGGCGAAGTTTGGCACCTTTTCCTGGTGCCACTGGCGGGCGGCATTCCACTGCCCTCACCACTCCCAACCTTTCCCCACCACTCTCCAACTCCTCGATGACCCCCAGGTCCACATCATTCGGGACACGCTCTTCCAGAACGTGCCTCACGAGGAGGGCTCCGCGTGGCTGAGGGATCAACCGGTGGGCGACGTGTGGCACCTCTTCCTGGTGCCTCTTGCGGGCGGCATTGCCGTTGGCATTCTCAACTCGCTCAGGTCTGGGCTCAAGGATACTGCCCCCACCCGCAGCAGCAGCAGCAGCAGCAGCGCCAGCAGCAGCGTCAGCAGGAGGACGAGACAGCAGAGCTGCAGAAAAAGCCCCCCAAGCAACCACTCCTCTCCCTGCCATTCCTCTCCCCGGACGACCTCGCCGAGCTTAACAGCAAGGCTCGGGCCGTGGCTCGGCCGGTCCTGAAAGCCCTGGCAGCCGCGGTCACGCTCGGCACGGGAAACAGCCTCGGTCCGGAAGGCCCGAGCGTGGAAATCGGGTCCAGCATCGGGAAAGCCACAGGGAGTATCGTCCGGGGGAGCCGCGAGCGCACGATCGCACTCGTAGCAGCGGGATCCGCTGCGGGTATAGCATCGGGGTTCAACGCGGCGGTTGCTGGGTGTTTCTTTGCTCTGGAATCCGTTCTTCGGTCTTCCACGCAAGGCTCTCCTGCGAGCCTCACCACGGCCATGATCCTCCTGTCTTCGGTTCTCGCCGCGGTGGTCTCCCAAGCTGGTTTGGGCGCCGACCCATCCATCCACGTCCCCTTATACGAGCTACGATCGCCGGCGGAGCTCCCTCTCTATCTCCTCCTGGGGCTGTGCTGTGGAGGGGTGTCCATCTCGCTTACCCGCTCGGCGGCGTTCTTCTCGTCGGTGTTTGATGGGTTGGAGGCCAACACGGCTGTGCCGCCCGTGCTGCTGCCGGCGATTGGAGGGCTGGGGATCGGGGTGATCTCGCTGGTGTATCCCGAGGTGCTCTACTGGGGGTTTCAGAACGTGAATGACCTCATCACATCACACCCGCTCGTGGCCTCCCCTGCGGTACGTGCTGTGTTGCGTGACACTATACTGCATGCATGGCTCTGCTTTGCTCTGAGGGCTGGAAATCGGGGTGATCTCGCTGGTGTATCCCGAGGTGCTCTACTGGGGGTTTCAGAACGTGAATGACCTCATCACATCACACCCGCTCGTGGCCTCCCCTGCGGTACGTGCTGTGTTGCGTGACACTATACTGCATGCATGGCTCTGCTTTGCTCTGAGGGCTGGGGATCGGGGTGATCTCGCTGGTGTATCCCGAGGTGCTCTACTGGGGGTTTCAGAACGTGAACGATCTCATCACATCACACCCGCTCGTGGCCTCCCCTGCGGTACGTGCTTCAATGGTCTGCTTGGGGTTTAGGTGGGATTCGTGCCTGTCTGCCGGTGGTCGGAGGGCTGGGGATCGGGGTGATCTCGCTGGTGTATCCCGAGGTGCTCTACTGGGGGTTTCAGAACGTGAACGATCTCATAACATCGCACCCGCTCGTGGCCTCGCCTGCGGTACGTGCCTCCTTTTGGGTACGCGCACATGCTCTAAATGTTTTGCTGGACTCCCCTGTGGTACATACAACTTCTATGCACCGCCACCTTTGATGGGGCGGCACAGGAGGGGCTTCTGATGCTCGCCTCTTCATCTCCTCTTGTGTCATCTTCCCTCCCCACCTTCTGTCTCCCTTCCCAATCACCAGCCGGGTTTCCTGCTCCAGCTAGTGGTAGCCAAGGTCCTCGCCACGGCCTTCTGCTGTGTCAGCTTCCGCCACTCATCTCCCTCACTTGCTCTCTTGTGGCCTCCCTCCCCCCATCACCAGCCGGGCTTCCCCCTCCAGCTGGTGGTAGTGAAGGTACTCGCCACGGCCTTCTGTCGCTTATCGCGCCTGGTGGGGGGCTTCTATGCTCGGTTCCCTCATCTCCTCATCTCTGCTCACATCCCCACCCTCCGTTTCCCTGATTCCCCCATCACCAGCCGGGGTTCCTGCTGCAGCTAGTGGTGGTGAAGGTCCTCGCCACGGCCTTCTGCCGCGGATCGCGCCTCGTGGGTGGCTTCTACGCGCCCTCGCTCTTCATCGGGGCAGCGCTCGGGGCGGCGTATGGGCGGCTGGCCAGTGACGTGCTGGCGTTCATTGACCCGGACCTCACCCTCACATGGATCCAAGTGGCCGCTCCCCAAGCTTATGCCATGGTGAGTCAGTACCTCTCGCGTTGCCATCTTTCTGCCTTTAAGGTGTCTCAGACTGGCGTACAGGCGGCTGGCCAGTGACGTGCTGGCGTCTGGATAAATCTCTCTCATGCCTCGGTGCTCCTTCTCTTCGAGCTCGCACGCTATTACCGCATCATTCTGCTGCTCATGGCTGCTGCATCCCTTCCTATTCCCCCTCTTCTCCCCCTCTGTGCAGGTGGGAATGGCAGCAACCCTAGCAGGAGTGTGCCAAGTTCCCCTGACCTCCGTGCTGCTCCTATTCGAGCTCACACGGGACTACCGCATCATTCTGCCGCTCATGGCAGCAGTCGGCATCTCCTCCTGGCTCGCCTCCACTGCTGCCAGGAAGCCCCGCCGGCCCGCTCCCGGTGGCGTCACCGTCTTTGCTCCCTCCAACTCGAATTCCCCCTCCTCCTCCGCTTCATTCCCTTCCTCTTCATTCCCTTCCTCCCCTCCTTACTCCTCCTCCCTGCCTTCCTCATCCTCCTCTCCCTCCTCCTACTCCTACCCGGCTTCGTACTATCCCAGCCCTCTCTCCCCGTCGCTATTGCCGGTGCTTCCCCCGTCGCCCGTGCCCCCCTCGCCACTGCTCTATTCTGGGGCAGGGAACACAAGCTCCTACGCGCCTGGCACTGCTCCTGCTGCTGCTGCACCTGCTCCTGACGCCGCTGCTGCTACTGCTGCTGCACCTCGCCCTCCCTCCATGTCGTCGCAGCTCCCTGGTCCTTATCCAGGGGCACTCTATACAGGGGATATTTATTCTGGGTCAGGGCCTTGGATGGGTGGCGGCGGTGGAGGTGGGGAGGGGATGAGAAGGGAGGCTAGAAGAGAGGAGGTAGGAGGGAGAGAATGGGAAGGTGGTGGTGCCGGTGAGGGTGGTGGAGGGAAGGGGGCTGAAGATCTTAACAAAACTCCACCTGCTACTGCTGCTTCTGCTGCTGCGTCTGCTGCTGCTGCAGTGGCAGCAGCAGCGGCATCTTTTTCCTCTCCCCCAGGATACACGGCTCCTGCTTCTGCTGCCTATGGTCCACCTGTTTCTGGTCCTGGCGCCTATGCTGCACCCATCTCTTCTGCCTACGAATCACCCATGTCCTCTCCACACTCCTCCCCTTTCGCCTCGCCTTCCTCCTCCCCTCCTTCCTCTCCTAAGCGTGCTACCCTCTCCAGAACCCCCTCCTCTGGACCCAAGGTTGCGAGTGCAGCAGCCGCGGCTGCAACAGCAGCGGCAGCAGCAGCAGCAGCAGCGGCGGCGGCAGCAGCAGCCTCTAGTGCACAGGAGAAGGCCTATGATAATCCCGAGGCTTCGGCGTTCATGCCGGAGCTAGATCTAGCTGCGGAAGTGGCTGCCGAAGCTGCAGGCGTGGCCGCCGAAGCTGCAGCCACGGCTGCCGAAGCTGCTGTGGAAGCAGCAGCGGAAGCAGCCGAAGCTGATAACGCTGCTCTTACCACAACAGATGGTGATTCTGCCCTTCCTCCTGCTACTTCTGCCAATCCGCTCGTGCCAGCTGTCATATTAGACGTGGCAGGTGGGACAGGTGGAGGGGTTTCCTCAGGTGGCTTATCAGGTGGTTCAGCAGCAGCTATGGCGGAGTCAAATGCGACTGTGATTGTACTGGAGAGAGCAAGTGGACTGGTGCCCGACCGTCTACCCTCTTCTCCCCTTCCTCCACCTCCTGCAACCAGTGGTCAAGGCACGGAAGCCAAGGCAGCTCAGGCTGATGCGGCTGCAGCAGAAGCGGCAGCGGCAGCAGCGGTGGCGGCAGCAGCAGCAGTTTCAGTGGTGGTGGATGCAGTAACTGCAGTTTCGGGGTCACCAGAAGCAACAGCAGCTGCAGCAGCAGCAGCAGTAGCCGCAGCAGCAGTAAGCAGTGTGACGGGAATCGCACCCGCTAAAGGAGCAGCAGGAGCAGGTGATAGTTCATCAGAAGCAGGATCCACTGAAGTGGGTGCTAGCTCTATCCAAAGGCAAGAAGTAGCTGCAGCGGCAGGGGCAGCGACAGCGGCAGCAGCTAAATCGCAATCAGAATCTAGATTAGAGGGCCCAGAGGGAAGCAACTATGGGCTCTCACAAGAGACCCCATCTGCTGCCTCCTCCTCTCCCTCTCCTGACCTCCCAACCCCAGACCTCCCTCCTCTTCGAATCCCTTCCCCCACCAACCCCCAGTCCGGCTTCATGACGCCTTCTCAACCCAGCTCTCCTCCTCCTCCTGCTGCTCCGCCCTCCTCCCCGTCGTTCGCACCCCTCCCCCCGCCGCCTCCCCTGGTTGTCGTCTCGCGCGACGACGGCGTGTCTCTAGACGTGCGCGACGGAGTGTTCTTAGAGGAGCAGCTTTTAGAGGAGCTGCCGGTGGCAGTGGCCATGAACACCTCCTTTGCAGCAGTGGGAGTGCGAGCCATGGTGCGGGATGCTGTGGCGTCTATGGTCGCGCACAGGCAGTGGTGCTGCTTGGTGCTGCAGGATGGGGGGTATCTGCATGGGCTGTTGACGCTGGTGGATGTGCAGGAGGAGGCGGAGAGGCAGCTTTCGGCTGGGGGGGCTGCTGCTGACGTGGAGGCCCTTCCTGTGATTGCCATCTGTCACCAGCATCCTGATTCCGAAGCGTTCCTCCGCTTGCCGTCAGAATCAAATCTTTTGCCAGATGCCAACGGCAACCCGTCGTCCTCTTCCTCGTCTGGCATTGCCGCCCGGAGCCGGCCGTCCGAGGCTATCGAGGTAACCTTCCCTGATACTACACTCCGGGCAGCACGCGACCGAATGACAGCTCGCGGGCTTCGGCAACTTCCCGTGGTGCTGCGAGAGGAAGTGGTTGTGAGGAGGGAGAGGGTGGGGAGTGATGCTTCTGGGAGTGGCAGCAGCAGTGGAAGTGATAGTGACGGGGGGAGTGGTGGTTACAGCAGCAGCAGTGGTGGGAGCGGGAGTGAGAGTGAGCGTGGAAGCGGGAGTGAGAGTGAGAGGGAATATCGGACAGGAAAGAACGGATGGGGAAGTGGAGGGGGGAGCAGTGGGAGTGAGAGAGAGGAAGGTGACATGGATGGGGAGAGTGGTTCGGATGGCGATAGCGTCAGCAACAAGGATGATGACATGGCACCTGTAGTGCGTCTTCGGGTGCTTGGGTTGGTGGATCGAGATGACATCTCACTTGCTTGCAGGTAGGGCTAAGAATTGGATTCAGAAATCTTTGTCTGCCCAGTTGCCTCCTTCCTGTTTGGTTGCTTCTTGCCTGTTGCCCCTTTGCCTGTTGACTTACCTTACTTCCTGTCTGTTCAGCTACCCCCCTTCCAACCTGCCTTCAATCCACCTCCACATCCCTCCAATATCTCTTCAACGCACTCACCCCCCGCTCCCCCCTCTCTCCAATACTGCCTCTCTTCCCTTTCAGAGCGGAGGCCACTCGTCGCCTGCTCTCAGCCCTCCCTCGGGATTTCCGTTCCTCTGGTGGTGGCAGTGAGGGTGCGGGCACACAGCAGACGCAGCTGGACAGCTCTCTCTTTCCAGCTGCCTGAGCCTTACGTTGTCAGCAATTCTAAGTTGACAAGATATCAGCATTGGGAATTGGAGCATAAGCGAGCACCATGTGACAGTTCCTGCTCTTGATAAGCTGGGGCTTGATAGTGGTGGATGGTGGACTTTTTCGTTGGGTCTAAGCGGCAAATCTGGGGTCTGAGTGTTGATTGGTGCTAGCTTGAGGATGTTGTACCACGCCATAGCCTTGTACCATTATTGTAGGCAATGATTATGTGGGTACCTGCATTGCACGTGTTGCTGTTCAGAAATGGTATGGTAAGGCACTGTAGCGACCGGAAGTCGTCTTTATGTGTATCTTAGCTCCTGTGCAAGACCTGCATAAAAGGGAGTGCTATTGAGTTGGCATCCAGATGAAAGGCGAGAGATGGCATGCCTGCCAGGTACCATACAGACTGTATTGTGCAATTGTTTTCCGTCATATAGCATCTCGGACCAACCATGGTCACTCAGATGTAAATAAATCTTATGCATCACTTCCAGAGACCTTGGATCTTCTTCAACAATGCCTGAAAAAAAAGATGGCTTATTTAGCAGCAGAAGCTGAGAGAGATCAGGAGGGCTATGTGTAAACGTGGTTCCTCCCAGGAAGGTGGTGAGGGGCCAGGGCTAGGTAGACAAGCATGAACATCAACATCACTGGGATAACCAGCAGCGCAGAAGGCGGAGGGGAGATGCTCGGGAGAAGCGCTGGCAGCACTATAAGTAGAAACAGGAAGACTACCACCACCAGGATCGCACGACGAGACATCATCCGAGCGGCTGGGGGGTTCGTCCCTCCAATTAGTTTGCTTCGCGTCCTTGCTTGACCATCAGATTGATTAGTGTCTTGAACATCTTGCTCGGAAAACCCAAGGAGCTCTTCCGCGGGTGGAGCTCTCGTTGCATCGAGCTCCGAAACGGCGTGAGCTAGATGAGCCTCGACTGAGTTACCGTGTGACCGAAATTGGTTGCTTTGATACGACATGCCGGGACGATGACGCTGCTGCTGTCCTCCGCGATAATGGCCGCCGGATATTGAGGAGGAAGAGGATGAGGAATATCGATTTTCTGCTGAAAAGGGTTGATCGGCAGATCGTCGGCGCTCGTAGGAATTTTGACGTGACGTTCTTCGTAAAGGGTCCGAAGAAGGAGACGACGAGCTCCCGGATGGCCTTCGCTGAATCGGTTTATTGCCGCTGGAATGGAGAGGATGATCGTAGTAGGGAATGAGCCGGGAAGCAGAAGATATGTCGGATGGGGATGTGAACGTAGACGGGTTAGGCGATGCGTGCAGATCGACAGCGGCAGGAAGAAGCAAGTAAGGGTTTGAAGTAAAGCGGGAGAGGTCGAACACTGACCTCTTCCAGCTCTGGTCTCCACCGGAATCCATAAAAGAACGTTAATCACTCTTCCAGCGCAAACAAGCTGGAAAAAGAAATGAATATAATATCGTTTCGGTGTTTCGTTTCGAAACAGGACAGCTGTCCCTTCGATAGAGGCGACGATGGAAAAAAGTTGATCAAGACAGGAGCTCGATCCTAGCAAATCAAAGGAGATCGAGATAAGGCTGAGACTAGAAACTACTCTAAAAAATAATCAGCTTTGCCAGGAGAACTTTATTGGAAGATCGTTGCGTTCCCTAACGGTCAGATGCGCGTATAGAATGGTTGAAAAAGGTTCAGGGCAACAACAAACGTATTAAGTAACGCCTGTAGTCACAAGGGAGAGGAGGGAGAGGAAGTCTGCCCAAGAGCAGCGAAACAATCGATGAAAGATTCTCGGAATTGCAGAATGGTGCACGGCGTTTTGCGTGGTCAGGAAGAAACCACCATGAGGCACTTTTCGCCTGAAAAAAGAGCCAGGTGCTGGTGGCACTGGGAGATGGATAGAGTGGCGAGGCGAACCTCAGGTTCTAGAAAGATGCTAGAGTTCAAAATGGTTTTGCTGTTTATGAAGACGGTCTGATACGGTTCAAATGTTGAGCCACCTTCCAGCCTGGAAAGCCGCGCGTCGTCAGGTCCATGACATGAGCCGCGGCCCTCCCGCGGCAAGCTCAGAGAGCCGCGGGGGAAGGTGTTAATTTCAAGCAACTTTGACCAGGGTGGCGCCAAAAACCTTCATGAGGAAGACATCCGCGCAAGCTCCAAGCAAAGCAGCTAAGGGGGAAGATGATGGGTGCAGCGCGGAATCGAAATAAGGTGCGTGCAGCAGACAGCTTGCGAGGGGACCACTGCCTGCTCTCTCAAGCTGTCATGCCGTGCCACCGTCGTTGTGCCAGGTCGAACCGAGCAAAGTGAGAGGTTCGTGCAACCCAAGCCAGCAAGCCAGCCTTGATGTGCACACCTGTTGATCGTTTAGGAGTGCATCATACTATTACACTAGAGTGCAACCATCAGCTCATTCCCGTGGGTAACACCATCAGTAATGCATCAATACTTGATGTTGTAAGTTTGCATAAGAAACGATGAATGAATTGATTTTGACAAGAAGGTTAAGGTTAAGGTTATATTAAGGTCAAACATGCATAGAGCACGCAGGGAATATGGCCAAGATGGCCAACAGCCTATAAGGAGTACGTTACAACACGTTATTCCCCTATCCCCGGAGGGGATATCCCCCGGCTATCATGGGGGAGCGCTCTAAGATGCAGATAGCAACTAAGGCGGACGGAAGGGGTTGCCAAGAAGCCACGAGGCACGAAGGGCAGGGTGGATGCAGGGGACGCCTGTGTCATCAAAGCAGATGAAACGGAGGCGAGTTGCGGTCTTGATGCGTGAGGCGGAACGTTGCTGTTTCTTAGAAGATTGAGATGACCTTCTCCACAGGAAAATCTTGAAAGCAAGAAGAAACTGTGCAAGGATTAGTTGAAGCACTTCAAACTTGGTGGCAGACGTGTCGTGAAACTTTCTTTCACATCTCGCATTCCAAATTCCCTTGGCAGCAGCGCCGACAAGGAGACTCCACGGAGCGCGTTGTCCAACTCTCGTGTGGAGAGGAAAAAGAAGAATCTCATCAGGAGGCGAGCAACCAAGATGACGGCGTGCAACCGACCCCAGCGCCGAGATAACAGCGGGAGCGATACCACAGCGGAAGAAGATGTGAGAGATTGACTCTATGTCTCCAGATGCGCAGAGAGAGCAGCGACCTCTATCAGTGGCAAATTGAAATCGTGCGCCCGAAGGAAGGGTACGGGTGTAGAGGCGAAAAAGAAGGTCTCTCTGCAGGCTGGGTTGTTCCCGGAGAAAGTCATGGGTGAGGTTAGGAAGAAAAGGTGGAGGAGAGGATGTGAGAGCGCGTGTCCAACGAAGTTCGTGATCCAGCGGCTGTCGTGAGTAGAGAAGACGGCGGATGGAGGCGAGATCTGGGAAGCCGTCGTGAAGAAGCTCCAGCCGTGCGCCTAGCCCTGCACCTGTATGAAACGGCCCTGCAACCCAACGGTCATAGGTATGCACGGCCGCAACGTTCTTAATGTGGACAGTGCCAGAACCAATGGGGGTACGGTCAATGAGCTGGTGTGGAAGGATCCGGAAGAAGGTCACAGAAAGAGTGTGCGGCGGGGTAAAGGAGGAGACCTGTAGTGCTAGCGTAGGTGTGGAGTGTAGTTCATGGGAGAGGATGAGCCAGTCCCCAGGTGATGCTACAGCGTTGGTGGGGGCCCGGAGCGCAGTCGACCATGAAGGGGGGATGGCCGCAACGAGCTCGCGCAGGACGCGACGGCCGGATTGGAAACGGGATGGCGGGAACTTAACTGCGAAATCCTCATGGGAGATGGGTTCCAAGCCATTATAGGTGGCATTACAAATGTCACCAAGACGGACCTGCTGTGTAAGGAGAAACTTTTCACGACGGATAAGGCCGAAGGGTTTTCCATTGGGTTTGAGGATAAAGCGGTTAAAGGCCGTCGGTTCGGCGAGCAGGCACAAGGGAGCCATTCGTGGAGGGAGGATAGTGGGGGACAAAGACAGAAAGGCACGGAGTTCAGCGAGCGCTCGTTGGGGGGTGGACGGGGACAGAACCTTAGGATGGAGAATTGCCGGGTGAGATAGGAAAGCATGAGTACCGAAAGGGAGGGCGTCGACGTTTCTAGCAACCTCCTCTGAGGGGGAAACCCCGAAACGTCGAAGCGAGCGTTGGATGGAGAGAGCGCGTATCTGTGTGGATGGCGCGATGGCGCCAAGTTCCCCGTCACGGGGGGAGTTGAAAAGAATTCGGCGAGGAATGAGGCGAACCGCAAGACCAGAATCCTTGAAGCGGGAGGAGGATAGGAAGTTACCAACAGTGGTGTCAAGGCGAGTGAGGATGTCAGGCGGAGCAGGTTGGAAACGACCGGGGAAAGAAAGAGTAGAGTTGAGGAAGACCGACGCAAGCGATTTACGACACGTGGCCGTAGCCCGCAAGGACACAAGGTATCTGGAGGAGCGTTGGATTCTGGCAAGGGTAGTATTCCAGGTAGTGGCGCCGGGGTTATCTTTCTCAACGAAGATCCCGAGAATGCATTCCGCCTCGTTGGGGGCACGAATGGGAATAGGCCCTGCCTTAGAGAGGAGTGACGAGGAGATGTTGAAGGGGATAATGGAGCATTTGTTCCAGTTTGGGGATTCGCCTGACACTGAGGCGAAGGTCAGGATGTGCTCGACTGCCGAACCAAGTTCATCATTAGACTAGAGAAAGATGGTTACATCGTCCGCATAGCGGGCCATAAGACGGCGAGACAGAGGAGATAGGGGGAAGCCAGACAGGTATAGGGACATGTGCCGATGGAAAATCTCAATGACGCAGACAAAGAGGAGGGGGGCTAATGGGCAACCTTGACGAACACCAGTGCGGACCGGAAAGAGCAGACCCGCCAAGTTGTTGACGGCAATGCACGTCGAGGTGCCAGAATGCATGAGGCGAACCCAGTCGATAAAAAGCGAGGGTATGCCTACGTGGGAAAGTGACTGCAAGAGGAAGGTTCGGTCAACTTTGTTGACAAGAAGGACGAGAAAACTTTGTTCAAGTGTGGCGGGGTGAGACAGAGTCGTATGTTTGATTCATTCAAAACGACTACGAACCTGGGGCGATTGAAATGGACATACAATGTACCTCATATTGCGAACAGAAATCCGAATCAAAATCTGGTTCGGTCAACGACGTTCACAACCCCCGTTCATTTTCAGCGACCATTGGCCGCGGCCCACTACAAATAACGTGACATGATCCGTATCTCTATTGGACAACTGCGGCGGGTTTGGACAATAATACATCTGGCATACGGCAAGTTTTGTCCCTCTCTTGCAACACCAACATACTGTACATGAGGTCATCCTCGCCAGCAGCTTACTGTTGACTCTGCAGGGGCAGTGCGAGGACATATTTTGGGTCCTTCCTTTAACCTTATTTTATAATGCACACCGTGTATAACAAGCGTATCATAAAAAAATCAGTTGTTTTCAGAGCATGCACACCTTCATTGGCGTGCCCGTCATGAGATCATGAACTTTCGCGAATGTTTTTGGGTTGCCTGTGATGACATTCGCGGAAATGAACTTTCGAGGGCAATGACGTCTGACCAACAGATGTGCTTTTTTACGATTGACGTGACGAGGTGCGCTGGAATCCACGACGAATCGAGGCTGGGAGGCTGTCACCAAAATGATGATTACGGGGTTCACGGGGCAGCAACCGCCAGCCACCCCAGCCAGCCTAATCAGCTCCATGCCTGACCCAAACCCCACTCCCCCTCCCCCCCCGATTCCCCTGCTTTGGGCAAGCCAGAACAAGTCACCGCCCACGCCCTGCCAACAGTTGCCCCAATCTTCCGCATCCCCTGCCAGCGCATGGATGTTGTTTCCGCGGCTGTGACAGGTCGAAGCTCGTGCGGTGGCACGGGAGGGCAGGACTCAGGTCAGGTCAGGAGGCATGTGTGTTTTGAGTGCCCAACGGCCATCTGCAGCAGCAGCACTGCCGCATAGGGTTTGCTTTTCCAACAAATTCCATGGATGGATCCTTCGGGAATTGCTGTAATCGCGTACAGAACCGTGCTGGCTGACACGCACCACACGCCACGTGCCCCGCTGTAGATCTCACAAACAACCAGCTCTTTCCGATAATCATTTCCTCGTCACACATTTGAACGACCCGCTCCTAAAGCCACTAAGTTGATCCACTTGAAGCAGAATCTCGACTTTCTCGTACTTAACTCGTAATCCATCAGAATGTATCGACATCGAGATCAAGAAGACGTATGCCTAGCGCCACAAACAATGTCAACATATAATCCTCTTCACGCGGCCGACGAATTTACCATCCGCTCCCCCGACAGCATTTCCGACGCGTCTCTCGACCGCAATAGCGGCGGTGGAAGCGTTCACGGGGAAGATCCCGCCGATCGCCTCATTTTTAGCTCCTACGCGGAACGATCAAGTAGCATCGGCGGAAGCGGCGATGGGGGGAGTCGTGGAAGCGGGAGCGGCCACGGAAGCCCTAGCAGTAATAGCAGTTACTTGCAGCACCGTGATTTGCATCGTCTGCAGCAGGGAGGGTTCCCTCCGTCTCTTGCGGCGGAACGGCGGGATCCGCGGACGAACCGCGTCGGGGGCGCCAATGACGGACGCGTATACGCAGCCGAGATTGAGTACGGCTACGAGCGTTACAGCCATCCCGGCGCCAAGAGCGGCGCTATTGCCGCCGGAGGCGGAAACTACAGCCAGGTCGCTTCGCGCGGCGGCAGCGGACGCGCGAGCGGCTTGTGTACGCAACGCTGGAGCTACGATAGCCCCGCCACATTTCGCTCTTCAGAATATACCGCCGGAAGCGGTTCGAGAGCCCCCGCCGCCGCCGCCGGAAACCGCGCGCGGTACGGTAAAGCTGGTGCAGAGACTGGGTCGTCGTCCGACCTTCGTTTTGGAGCGAGAGGGGGAATTCAAGGCGCGGGGACGCGGAGAACGGAATTCAGCGGCTCCAGGGGCGTGTACCCGACGGCTGAGCACGGCCACGCTACAAACGACACGGAAGGTTGGTGGAGGGACGGGAACAGGTACGGAAGGGAAGTATCCTGCGGCGCTGGGGGGACGGAGGCCGTCATCATGACGGGGCAAGGAGGACGATATCTCACTGCACAGAGTCCGGAAAGCAGTAGAGAGGCTGCTAGGGTAATGGCCTTGTTGAGCGCTGCGGTGGAGGACGACGAGGATGCTGCACATACGGGCGTGGATAGCAGTGGTTCAGGAGGCACAGGGCTGGCTAAAACGTCCCATATGGCATCAGCAAAGTCTGTGGTGGCGATCATGGCTGCGGTGATAGTGGTGTTGGTGCTGCTTCCCGCTTGCTTGTCGGATGTGGGTCCGCCACCCGCAGAGTTGATGTTGGTTCCTGTGGTTGTGATGCTCCTGCTGCTCACGCTCATCCTCACGCCCACCATCTCTTCGTTCCCTGCTAGAAGCCACCCTTCCTGAGGGGAAAAAACCTCGCATTCAGGCCAATTTTCTTCATACCGTAAGGGATGTAGGATGAGATATGTCATTTTAGATGGACATGTATGGAGTCAATATCCTTTTTGTTCAATGTACAAATTGTATGCGTAAGAAGCTTTCTAGTGAAGCCAATCAGCTCTCTGCATTAAGCTCACAATGAACTGACAACCATCCCCACCCACGTTGAAAGCAGGATCAGCACCCAACCAAAAACCAACCAGCAATGCACAAAAATTTTCCCGTGAATTACTGTGCACTTCTGGTTGATTGGCACTGTTGGGTTGTCATGGAACCAGCAACAAACCTGAACTCAATACGAAACTGGTTAGGAAAGAAGTTCGGCAATGCGACCAATCGTAGGAGATAACTACACGTCACCATGAGTCAGCTGGCGTGCCGAACCTAGATTACTGTTTGCTTAGTTCGATTAGTGGCTGGTTGTTGTTTGGTTGTGGCCGCTTTCTTGTGCAGCCGAACAAGGCCATAATGACAGGTGACGGCGCCGTGGCGCTTCATCCCTGCGGTTTCGCCTTTCGCAGAACTCCTCTTGCATTCTCGATGGAGCGAAACCAGAACTGGAACTGTACATTTCGCCACACGCAACAGCAAGCTCCTCCAGCAAAATGTGGGGCACGTGACCCAAGCGCTTTGCCTCCCAGTGTCGAACCGAACGACTCGTTCGGTTCGGCCCACACCTTCCCTGACGTACGTACGTTGCCCCCCCGGCGACAGGGGACGGTGGAGGGTGTTCAGCCAAACAGATGGACAGGGTAAGGGAGGTGGAGGGATGTTCCTGACTGGAGAGCATGACACCGTCCAGCGGCAATGAGGGCCCTACACTTTCTAGTCTCCGTAGGACATTGTCACCTTGAACCTCTGGCCGCCGATTGCCCGCCAGAGGGAATCACGCGAGCTGATCATTCCGTCAATTGACGGAACCACGGAACCGAACATGCCATCCCCGTCAATGGGATACGGGTCACGGGAGAACTGCTTTCATCAAGTCTAGCGGATCGAGCATTTTACAGATACAGAAATTCCGACGGGCCGACGGATTTCAAGGCACTAGACGGAGACGCACTGACAGCCGCTGTCGGCTGTAATTCTCTTCGCGCGTCTTTCTGGCTTCTGCCTTCAACCAGCCAGTTGATAACTGCTGGGAAAAGACGCTAAATGGCATTCAGCGGTGCTGCTCTAACAGCAGCACTAATAGAAATTCATAGCTGGCCAATTCCGCAGCGGTACTTTAGGTATCACTCGGTAGTAGTACCTCGTTTTTGTGCGAGTACCTTCTTACGGACGTCAAGGCAGTACTCTCCTCGCCGCCGACCTAGTGATGACAATGGCTGAGGTAGAGACGGCTCAAGAGGTTCATGATCAGGCTTCAAGTGTCTGCAGTGATGAAACTGCCACTCTCAGTGACACTGACTCTGGGAGCGACGTGATTCTAGTTCAGCAGCAGATTGATGTTTCCCAGATTATGTACGGTCCTCATACTGTGTGGGTCGTCGACCCGTCGGCATTATCTGATCAGAACGCTCTATCATTTATGCAGTCGTTCCAGGGTTACTCTGCGGAACAGATCGCATCCCTCTATCAGCAGTATCATGCACTGAGCGCTTATGCTGCCGTACTCCACCAGCCATACCTTGGCGCGATCACCAATCTCGGTGATTCATATCAAAACGCTGCTTCAGAACTTCAGGCGGACGCCAATCAGCAGAACATGATGGACATTGAGGCAATGCTACAGCGCCTCAATCCAAATGCGGAGGAGTATGTCCCGTCGTCAGTGCAGCACAGGCCGACTGCTATTGTTCGGACCATTCCATCCAGATTCGCTTCTTCCAAGAGGAACTCCATGAAGAAGGTGAATCTTCCTTTCCTGAACTGCCTCATTTTTCTGAACGTCTTTTGATAGTTGGACCCTTGAATAAAATTTCATCTTCTGTCATGCTTTGCAGGCGCATAAGGTTCCTGCTTGTGCTGAACGTTGGCGACGACAGCCTAGAACGTCACAGATTTCCACCGAAGAATCCATCAAGAGGACCGTTTATGTCTCTGACATTGATCAGCAGGTATTGACACCACCCAGTTTTCATGAAGCACATGCCTGAGTCGACTTTTCCAGCGTTGATTCTTGTGTGGTATCACCTGATTTCTTCTAAAATACGGTTTTCTTGTCATCCTTTTCCCTACGCAGGTTACAGAAGAACAACTTGCTACACTTTTCCTGTCCTGCGGCCAGGTATAACATTCTTGCTTTTCTTCATTATCAACCAAGCATTGTTAATTTCAACTAAAACTTTTTTGTGTGACTCTTTTTCACAGGTTGTTGATTGTCGAATCTGTGGAGATCCGAATTCTATCCTTCGATTTGCTTTTGTGGAATTCACAAACGAAGGTAAATCATGCTCTAGTATCTTTAGCTAGAGTGTTGGCCCCTTAAAGCATGTTCTAACGCTACTTTACATTGCACTGCATGCTGTTTTCACGTTTCAGAGGGAGCAAAAAAGGCCCTGGCTGTAGCAGGAACCATGCTGGGTTACTATCCACTCCGCGTCTTACCTTCTAAGACTGCCATTCTGCCAGTCAACCCCAACTATCTACCCAAGGTACGAACAAAACAACCCGTTTTCTCCGTTGCTAAGTTTATCGGCCCGTTGCCTCCGTTGCTTGGGGAAGTTAATAATATGTATTTCCCTGCGATGTTCAGAGCCAGGGCGAGAAGGAGATGTGTGCTCGCACTATCTATTGTACCAACATTGATAAGAAGGTGAGCTGTATGTACGTGATTGTTTTCCATGTCCAGGGTGTATGCCATGAGTCTCTTGACTGACGCCCTTGTGTTTTTTCAGGTTGCTCATTCTGATATGAAGCTCTTCTTTGAGTCACTCTGTGGAGAGGTATGTGTGCAATGCAAGCTAAGATGGACTTTAAGTCATCACTACCGAGATTTCGTTTTCTAAAACTGTTATCATTTATGCACCAACAGGTTTCACGTCTTCGGTTGCTTGGAGACTCCCAGCACCCCACCAGGATTGCCTTTGTAGAATTTGTGATGGTAAGCATAATTCTTGCCTAAGGGGGTGAAGGAGTGTCCCTGTGGAGTTGTGAAGTTCTAGAAGCCTGGCATAATCTGCGGACTTCTAACACCACTAGCGTCTGTTTGCAGGCGGAGAGTGCAATGGCTGCTCTGAATTGCAGTGGAGCTATATTGGGTAGCCTGCCAATCAGGTATGAAGCTGAACAACCTGTATTTTGCTGCAGCAGCAATCTCCTTAAATATTTCTAACCAAGGTCATTTTTCCATCCAGGGTCAGCCCTTCCAAGACGCCCTTGAGGCCAAGGGGTCCACGTCACCATATTCTACGCTAGTTATGCGTACTCGTGCCAACTTCCAGGCGCAACTGCATGTCACTCTTTTAGTGTACATAAGTTCCACTTGTCTATGCTGTGCTTGCTGTCCAGCCTGTGTTCGGTTTAGAGCCTGTTTATTTTCATTTCTTAGCGTAAGCTAATGAAAACTCATTTGGTAAATGGTTGATACGGATAATCTTAGATTCCATAGCCATAAACAAAACTCCACAAGCAGGAAAGATGAATCCAACTAGTGGAACACATTTGATAGTGGAAGTCTAATAATCAAGGTGCAGATGTTACGAGAATAAACATGAACCTCCTTAACGAGCTCCACGTGGTCAGCCACGTGGTGGATACACTGAAGTCGCAATTTCCAAGCTCCCCCACTTTGAGCTTGAAATGACTGGCGCCACATCATGCTCACGCGGCAAAAATCTTTCTGTGGGGACCACTGGTCCACAATGCACACAGATTGGGAATTGATCAGACTGGGGCCCCGGGTTAGCAGAAACAGTGCCAACTTGGGGCCTCGTGAGTCGCGACCCTACGAAATAGGCCCGAAGCAAATCACAAGACTGGGCAGCAGGTCCGAACCTGGCAAACTCGCCAGGTCACCACCTACTGCCTTGGGTTTGACGGAAATCGCTAGCACCCCACACCGCTGGAAGCACAACAATCCGTCAAACCAACACAGTCTGATCGAGATACAGCACAAGCAGCATGTAACAAACAACTCGGAATTATTACGGAAACATAAGACTGCCAGAACACAAAGAGCTGAAACATGAAAATTAATAAAATGAGTGGGCACAAAATGGGGAGGTTCATGACCTTTTTCTGTTAGAGAAATTTCAACCAACCTACCCACATTCTTTCAGAATATGTATACATACATATATGATTTACATGCAAGTGCTTCCCTTGTAAAATCTTCGATGAAAAATCTTCTACCGTATTCCCCCGGATATACCACCCTAGGGTGCTATGATAACTACACAAAAAAAAGGGGGGGTCTTGTCATCGGAAAAAGCTTCATTGCACCCGGGTCTTTACATAATGTGTATTTTTTTTATAGCGTAAAACGATTAGTACTAAATGTACATCTGTATTTTTAGAAGATACCCCCTCGCTATACATTTGCCCCTAACTCCTACACTTTCTTAACTCGTACACACAAATAGGTGTCTTATAATGAGGCTAGCCTGTTTATAAGAGACACCCGTATAATAGACAACCCCTGTCTACTATTCAACACTGTCTTATATCCGGGCGATGACGGTAGGCACATGAAAAAAACACCACGCATTTCGTTATTGTATCGCTGATAGCAGGTGCGGGTTACAAGAGTTTTTTTGGGGTGAAAGAAGGATTTGAGGTGCCAGAACTGAAGGGCTGTCAAGGAGATGCAGACAAGGAGACAAGCGAGACTCATGCACGTTATTCTAAAGTGTGTTGCGTTGACCACTCGCTGCAACTCCAACTCCCTGCGATTCACACGACAGTAAGGGAGGAAGGAAAGACAGGTTCTGGCACAATTAGTGCAGATGCAGTAGAGGAAAGAAGCGAGACTCGTGCCCGTCACTCTCAAGTGTGTTGCATTGACCACTCGCTGCAACTCCAGTTCCCTGCGATTTGAATGACAAGAAAGGGCAAGTGGGTCTGATGTGAATATGGGGTGTCAATGACAGTGTTGGCATGGCTTGGCTGTCAGGGAAATGCAGGCGAGGAGAGGAGTGAGACTCGTGCACGCCACTCTCAAGTGCGTCGCACTGACCATTTGCCGCAGCTTTGTTTCCCTGCAATTCAAAGTACAGCAACGGAAGCAGGTCAAGTGAAGTAAAGAGGAGGAGCAGGGCAAAGCAAAGCTGACGCGTTGACCATTGGCTACAGCAAGATGGCAGTAACATATCACCAAGATGGTGATACCGTAAGACAATCGGCCTGTACGACAATTTGTGAGTTGACAAGAACATCGACGCATGACACGCAAGTTATATATCACCAGCATGGTAAAGCGAGGGTTGCCTCTCACCTCTCGGCGGGGTATGAGGCAGCGCCGCAGCGCAAAGATAATCATGAGGGGTTTTAGGGTTTAGTGTTGTTGCCACTCACCACTCGTGGAAGAATTCTAGCTTATCCGCCACAGAGGCAGCCATGGTCTCTAAAGTTTGGAGCTCCGAGTCAAATGACTGCGAGCAAAGAGAACAGAAGAGAAGGGGTGGGGGTGGAAGGGGGATAATTGAAGTCTACTCCAGACACAGCCGCCACAGAGGCCGCCATGCTCTCTAGAGTTTGGAGCTCCGAGTCAACTGTCTGCGAAAAGGAAAAAGCGGGACGGGAGGGGTGAGGAGGGGGCGAGACGGCACATTGTCTTCTGCCCTCCCCTCTTATTGCTTCACATTGTCTCACCCCCACCTGCTCCTTCTTGGGTGCTGCTAGGGATGGACTTCAAGTTCCCAGTACACAACAAACAATCTCCTTCCCTTCCCTCCACTTGAAACACACCATCCAACTCCATTCAGACCCTTCCAGCATAATCGCGCACACTCTCACCTATAGCAGTGCTTATGCCGGGGTAGAATGTCCATCTCTTCCTCACTCAGACCGGATCTACATCATGCCGTCTTCTTGCACGGCTGAGTTGCAGGAGACGCCGTCTTTCTTGGCGTCGCAAACGCTGTCCCATTAAAACATTGGCTCGTTCGTTATCAGGGACGGACAAAAACTGGAATGGGGCTTGGTTAGCCCCGGTAGCCATGCCGTGGTGTTGCATTGGATGCATTAGGGGATGACTTTGGTCTGTCCTCAGATGTTGACCCTGAAAGAAATTAGGAAACGGGAGTTCATATGCTTGATGCACATGTGTTGCCGCTGCACCCGAAGTAGCTGTGCGTTGCTGTTGTTGTATTTGCTGACACCAGACGCTATGAACCTGTTGTTGCTGGAGTAATTGCACTTGTAGAACGTGTATCTGCTGCTGCAAATCAGAGGTGTCTGTTGGGTTCTCGTGGTGAATCGTCGATTCCCCCTGCCTATTCTGCACCCTTTGTTGCATGCGCCCTCGTCCAGTACCGCGAACCCTAGACCCTTGAAGTGCTGTTCGTTGTGCTCTGATTTCGGTGCCTCCCCGACCCCTACCACGACGAGCCATTCGTGAACGTGTCAACTGTTCAGCTCCATTAAGTTCATCATCCTCCGGCTCCTCACCGTCCTCGGGTACCACTTCCGTTTGCAATCGTAGTCGTTGGCGTCTTCTTACACGACGTGCCGCCACCGCATCCTCTTGTGACAGGTCTTGGCCTCTAACCCTTAAATGACCCCAGTTTTGTGCCACCACATCTCCCTCTAAGGGAGATGGAACATCTATTCCCTGCTGCATTGCGGCGGTGTTCAAGCCAGTAACCCCTAAGCCTACATCTGCCCTTGCCGACATGATACCACCCGACCTCTCGATTCCCACCATGGCTTCACCTAACATGCTCATCCCTTCTTCTCCATCCACAGTAGCCTCTCCACCGCCATTCTGTTCTGGATTCACACTCTGCTGCCATCTTTCAAGCTGTATGGCCGGCTCACCCAAAGTCATAACTTCCCAATCCCCATCACCAATGGTCTGCTCTTCAGTCCTAAGCTGGTCTTCAGTTCCTCTCTCCGACCCGCTTGAACTGCTATCCCCCCCGTCATCAGAATTCCCGCTATCGGAAGTGTCATCAGCCGTAATCTCATCTTCAGCCTCAGGTTCCTCTGAGCATGATGAATCACTGTCCACATCCGCGCCCTCTGGAAGATCTCTAATGTGTACAATCCACTCATGTGGCGGTGTATTTCCACGTTGTGATGCATGCTGACCCTGCTGCCGTACATGGCTTTCTCTTTGAGGCTGCTCAACATGCCCATGCCGCTGAGGCTCTTGAAACTGCCCTTCCCTATGAGGCTCATGAACTTGTATCTGCCTCTGTTGCCCCTGCACTTCTACATGCAGTTGCTGTTCATGATGATGAACTTGCGTCTGCAGTTCCACAAGATGCCCGTGTCTCAACTGCCTGTTCCAACCTTGCATCTCGTCCTGTTGCATGCGCGGGCCCCCTTCCCAATGCTCCCAAACGTGCTCAATGTTTAAGCGTTGCTCCTGCAACTGAACCCTGGTACGTCGCCCAGATGCCTGCCGCCCACTCCGTTGAGATTGTTGATGCCTCAGTCCATCCGGTTGCATTTGCTGCCGCTCATCCCCTTCATGGGCCCTATCCTCTTCCTCCCCCCCGTCCAACTGCCGCTCCCCTTGCCCCTGGTGGTGCCCATCTCCTCGATGCTGCCTCTGCCCTTCTTGCTGCCCAGTCCCTTCCTGCTGCCAAGAATCTTGCAGCTGCTGAGTCCCTTGGTGCCTATTCCCTCCCTGCCGCCCAATCCATTGCTGCTGCCCAGTCCCTAGCTGTTCCTCAGTCCCTAGCTGCTGCCCAGTCCTTTCCTGTCGCCCAATCCCATCCTGCTGACCTCGGTTTTGGTGTCGCCCAGTCCCTAGCTGCTGCCCAATCCCTTGCTGCGGCCCAGTCCCTTGCTGCTGCCGAAAATCTTGCATCTGCCAAGCCCCTTGCTGCCTCCTCCCTCTCTGCTGCCCAATCCGTTGCTGCTGCCCAATATCTAGCTGCTGCCCAATCCGTTGCTGCTGCCCAATTCGTTGCTCCTGCCCAGCCCCTTGCTGCTGCTCACTCCCTTCATGCCACCCTGTCCCTTGATGCTGCCCAGTCCCTTGATGCTGCTCAGTCCCTTGCTGCTGCCCAGTCCCTTGCTGCTGCCCAGTCCCTTGCTGCTGCCCAGTCCCTTGCTGCTGCCCAGTCCCTTGCTGCCTATTCCCTCCCTGCTGCCCAGTCCCTTGCTGCTGCCCAATCCCTTGCTGCTGTTGTAGTTGTCCTTGCTGCTGCCACTGCTCTTGCTGCTGCCAATGTCCTTGCTGCTCCCCTTCCCCTTGTTGCTGTCTCTGTCCTTGCTGCTCCCCTTCCCCTTGTTGCTGCCCTTGTCCCTGCCAGTGCCCATCCTCTCGCTGTTGCGGCCGTCCTTGGTGCTGTACATGCCCATGCTCCCCACGGCAAGCTCCCCCCAGCCTATGTCGAGTTTGACATCCCTCACAGTGAACATAGTTGATGGAGATCCGAGAAAGTGTTGTGGTTTGGAAACTAAGATGCTCCTGGGGTGTTCTTTGAAACCCTTGCTCGAGTCGCTCTTCCTCTCTATCCTCGCACGTGCTAATGTTGTGGCCCTTTAACCTACACCTGCTGCACCTCCGCATCCGTTGTGGATCGGTTTCACCACCCGATCGCATCCGTTTGTTCTTTCTTCTTCCAGGTCGTCGCTTGTACTTAGGTGGAAGAGTAACCCCATCTCGCACGATGGATGTTGGGTCAATGTGCTTCATGTCCTCGCCATACATGGCCTTCATGGTATCGAGATGAAACACGCGATGAACCATGTCAAAAGGCAAGCGGTTGTTCTCCCCTGCTGCGGCAAAAATGTGAACACATGGCAGCCCGTACTCCCTGCAGTAGCAAGGAGATGGTAGAGGGGTGACGGGGAAGGCCGAAGGGGGAGAAGGAAGGGTTAGGACAAAGGCGAAGGTGGAAGGGGGAAGGAGGAGGGGGAAGGAGGAGGGGGAAGTTGAGCTTGATGGGGGCTGAGGGACAAGGAAGGATACTTCAAACATGTTCAGATTTCTGCCAGTTTGCACAAACATTCCCAAGCTTTCAAATTTGGTGCATGCACGTAATACAATAATGGAGGTTGGCAAGATCTCGACCATATACACATGATAACACATGTACGTACTTCGTGTAGTTGCAGCTGCATTCTCGCTCCCCGAGATCCACCACACGGGATTCCCGACGTCCGGTGTGGGTAACCGCAAAGGTCGTTGTCCCGGTGCTTTCCACATCGTAGCTTAACGCGTCATCCTTGTTGGCTGAGATTACCACCGTTGCATTCTTGGTCCACGTGCCAGGCATTTGAGAGTATTCTAGGAACCGACGACGCCTAATCTTTGGTAGAGTCTCGATCCATCCAAGAAGCACTTGTGCAATGGTTCTATCGCGCAAATGATGCATAGATGCATGTTGTGACTCCACGGGGTTTGATGTGAGGACCCCGAACCTAGACCTAGGGAAATGGACGGTTGCCCACTTTGAGAGCAACTCACCTCTTTCCCCCGCAAGATAAGCCCTACCACCGGGACACGCATTCTCTATTTTATCCATTCGAAACTCAAACAGCTCGATGTTCAGTGTTTCAGCGGCCTCCTTAATGGACGAACTCAGGTCCTTCCCAAATTTCTTGGTGAAGTTTCGCCCAATGTGGGTAATGCAGTAAGACTCGTGTGCATGCTGAAGCAACTCTGCACACGAACTCCATCCAGAACCACGGTCATGCTTTATGACCCACTCCGGGGAATTGAGCTCGGGAAACACCTTCAAAAGCTGCCGAATTGGAAGGGCGCAACTTTCATTGCTCTCGGACTCGACGAACGCAATTCCAACTGAAACATAGTGACCGTCACCATCCAAAACAACAAGGTTGATCGTCTGACCCCCCCACACCGTTTTGTTGTGGCACCCGTCGATGATTAGTATCGGCATGGCGCTCAACATTGTTGAACGGGCTACACTCGGGATAGCGCATGCACTGTAGAAACGACTATCGCGCTTGGATAGCGACACAATACTTCCAGGATTGTCTCGCACAAAAACCTCAAGAATACTCCTCACATACTGAAATGAAGTATCATTCTGCTGAGGGTCCGCGATTTTGATGTCGTGTATTGCTCTTCGTGAAGTCGTGTAGGACGACCTCTGACCCGTACGTTGCTGGACTTCCTTGACCAACGTTTTAGGATCTAAGGCCACATTGGGAATAGTATTTGCGAAACCAATTAGATCTGCTCGTGTAGCTCCTTTGGGATGTACCGTGCAGTACGCACCATGTTGCAGGTTTGCCGTGACAACTCGAAGCGAGCCATCTATACACAACCTAGCACTGATCATGAAAGGGCAAGGCTCTTCCGTTTCTGGTTCATTACTGACAGCAGCCCTTCCTTTCTTCCTATACGCAAAAGATGGACACCGTGCCTCCACCCTATGAGGTTTGTTTGCAACGAACTTGAAAGCGCACCTTGTCGCCCCGCATTGCGACCTTATGTCATGTTTCGCATCTTCCGATGAAGCATACCGCTTCCCCACAGGGAAGTCCAAAGCAACCGAGGAGTTGTTCATCTTGACATGATTCATGAAGAAGAGAAAATAAGAGGATTGAACAATCAACCAAACAAAAAAAAGGAAAGAACGAGGAGTTGGGGAACTTCGGACTGTGTTGTCGTTTGTAGAATGGTCTAGAAACAGCTGATAAGGAGTTACAGTACTATCAATGCCACGTGACACAAAAAGAACTAATCATGGGCGGAAGAATGATCGATTTCGCAAGAGCATTGAGGCGGTATGACAAATACTAACTAAATAATCTAAAAAAGGAGGAAATCGTCGCGAATACATCGATGCATAGGAATCTGAGCTCACCTTAGACTAGAATGTGACGCCTCTCTCTCTCCAGCAAGATGCAGACACTAAAGCGTGACGGTCTAGGGGTTGTGAGGGAGGTCCCATAAGTCAAACTCTCGATGTGCGAATTGCTCTTAGCGAAAACACCAGGGTTTGGCGAACTTTAGAAAGCAGAAACACTTCGTGTTGGTTTGACGGATTGTTGTGCTTCCAGCGGTGTGGGGTGCTAGCGATTTCCGTCAAACCCAAGGCAGTAGGTGGTGACCTGGCGAGTTTGCCAGGTTCGGACCTGCTGCCCAGTCTTGTGATTTGCTTCGGGCCTATTTCGTAGGGTCGCGACTCACGAGGCCCCAAGTTGGCACTGTTTCTGCTAACCCGGGGCCCCAGTCTGATCAATTCCCACACAGATTCCAGCAGATGCTCTGGCAGGCGTTTTGTAGGAGGTTAGGAGAATGGATCAGTCCATGAATTTACAAATTTGGTTTCGGCCATGGCTGATTCATTTTTTGAGAAGTGCAGCTCCAGGAGAGGATTCAAGCATCGTTTAGCCAATTTTCAACGCTGTTCCCGTGGCGTTGCGTATAGCTCCCTGGCTATTCTCATCCCTTTTTTACTTTCAGTAGCCTGGGTTTCGTTCTCCGCGCTTTACTTCGGTGTCGCCCAGGCGCAGTTACGTCAGGACGGTGCCGCTTCAGATTCTTTTGTGACTACTGCGGATTTGGCAGCCATGGCGGAGCTTAAAGTCAGCAAGCCCGCGCTAGCGACGACGCCGCTAAGCCTTCCTAATAGGATTCTCATGGGTACGATTTGCGGAAGCGTTTTTACATTCTGAGCATCTGAAGGAAATTGGAGACGGTGGAGAACCATCCGAACGTTTTCGTGGTGGTTGTCTGCCTATGGAATCGCATCGAATTTACCAGTTAGTCCTCGGCAACGTAGTTTCCTCGATGATGCTTTTGGACGACATTGCACCGAATTTGTCCCTGATTCTGTTTCTGTACGTTAATTGTGTTCATGGCGTGGGATGTGCTGTGTTTTCGACGTTCAGGTCCTGGCCCGGCAACTCCCCACCCTCGAGTCCTTGCCGCCGCATCCCTGCCTCTCGTCGGTCACGTGAGTAATTTCTCTTTATGCGCGACATCTTCTAAGTCATTCTTGGTTGAAAATTTCCCATCACTTCATTTTTTTCCCGCTGACATCCATCGGCATCTGCTCGTCATGGATGAGATAAACGCATGGCTGCGGCTCTTTTTTCACATTATCGGCTCCAGTGCATCTCAAATCGTCATTTGACCCAATCGTCAATTCGTCAAATCGTCATTTGACGTCGTCCCAACTTCTTGATGTCTTGAGTGCATCCTCCATGTCAATTCTTGTACATTCCGACTTCCTCTCCGTCGCTCTTCTTGTAACAGATGCACCCGGAGTTCCTCGCAGTCATGGACGAGGTGAAGGCGTGGCTGCAGTACACCTTCCAGACGCAGAATCCGTTCACCATCGCCGTCAGCGGCTCCGGCCACGCCGCCATGGAGGCTGCCGTCGCCACTGTGAGTCTTTTTGGGGGGGGGGGAGCTGAGGTGTCTGGGGGGAGCTCAGAGGGACTACGGGGCCCTTGGGGGAACCATCGCCGTCAGCCGCTCCGGCCACGCCGCCATGGAGACTTTTGTCGCCTCCGTGATTCGCAGACGCTTATCTTAGGCGCTTGGGGGAGGCTCGGGGGGCTGGGGAGGGTCGGGGGTGCTAGGGGGGCCTCAGAGGGGACTTGGGGGGGAGGGTGGGCTCGGAAGGGGCTGTTGATGCTCGGAGGAGCCTGGCGAATGTAAGAAGTCGTTATCTTTCGATGTGGTCATAATCATTACATCTATCCCCTGTATCAGGTGGTGGAGCCTGGCGATGTGGTGCTGGTGGGGGTGAACGGCATCTGGGGCGAGCGCATGACGATCCTGGCCGCTAGGTACGGTGCTGACGTCCGGAAGATGGAGGCGGCACCGGGGAAGGTGTTTTCCACTGCTGACGTGGAAAAGGCTCTGGCGGATAACCCGGGCGTGAAGGTGGTGTTTGTGGTGCACGGGGAGTCGAGCACGGGGACGCTTCAGCCGCTGGAAGGTCTGGGAGAGCTTTGCCACAAGAATGGTAAGCAGCTTGCTGTTATCATTTGGGCGTGAAGGTGGTGTTTGTGGTGCACGGCGAGTCCAGCACGGGGACTTTGCAGCCTCTGGAAGGACTGTGGGAGCTCTGCCATGAGAACGGTGAGACCATGGCTTTGGGGATGCTTGGAGTGAAAGTGGTGTTTGTGCTGCACGGCGAGTCGAGCATGGGGACACTGCAGCCCGTGGAAGGACTAGGGAATCTCTATTGAGCTCTATTGTAACCACGGTGAGGGAATAGAAGATACACTGGTAGGTACGTCTGCTTGGACGACATTCACACAGCGTTGCCTCTCTGCCCCAATCTCCCTCCCACACATCTGCCTGTCCCCTGTGCTTTTTCCCCTACCTGTGCTACCGTTCTCCCAGGCGCACTTCTGTTTGTCAACGCTGTGTGCACGCTGGGAGGAGTCCCCCTGCACGTGGACGCGTGGGTCATCTACAGTGGTGGCTCCTACCACAATCCCCTGGCGCTCATCCGCCTGTCCCCTGTGCTTTTTCTCGTGCCTGTGCTTCCGTCCTCTCAGGCGCTCTTCTGTTCGTGGATGCAGTGTGCACGCTGGGAGGAGTCCCTCTGCACGTGGACGCGTGGGGAGTGGACGACATTTACAGCAATGCCTCTCTGCACATACACACACACATTCCCCTCACGTGTGTGCCCCTTTCCCTGTGCCAGACGCACTTCTATTCGTGGACGCAGTGTGCACGCTGGGGGGGGTGCCTCTGCACGTGGACGCGTGGGGCGTGGACGTCATTTACAGCGGATCTCAGAAGTGCCTCTCTGCGCCCGTCGCCCCCTCGCCACTCTCCCTCAGCGAGAGAGCCCGTGCGAAACTCGCCAACCGTTCTACCCCTGTGAGTCTGGGATACGGGCGAGTAACTACTGGGAAGGGAGTTGGAAGGGATGTGGAGAGATGGGAAAGGGTGTGGGGGAATGGGATGGGATGTTGGGGAGTGACGGGTAAGGGTTTGTGGGGAAGGGGTAGGCTTGAGCTGAGCTTGCCAAGCTTTCTACCTCTCTTAGCCCTCCCAGCCCTCCTCTTGTTTTTAACTTACTCTTTGCCTACCATAGAAATTCAGTGCTCTTCCCATCCCCATTCCCCTCTGCCCTCTTATGCTGGTTCTTGGTTGTTGGTTGGTGGTTGTTAGCGGTTTCAATTATTTTATTTGGGCAACCAACTCGTTGAGACAAGACCTGTGTATAAATTCGAGTCCTCTACTTTTCTTTGACTTGATTGTGCTGTGCTCTCTGCAGGTCCAGTCCTACTACTTTGATATGAACCTGGTGAGATTTGAACCCGTGGTTCCATGTTTCATGACTCGCCTACCTCTTTCATCCTTGTGCATCATCTTTCAACGCTTGCTCTTTCCTTAAAGCCACTGCAATTCAAATGCACCAACAATGAGTGACCCCGCTGCTGATATGATGTGCTATGCATGCAGGTTGGCGAGTACTGGGGGGTGGACGGCCAACCGCGCAAGTACCACCACACAGGTATGCCCTGTGCTCCACAATTGCTGGTAAAACGCAGCTAATCACAAACAACTAGTAACACACAGGTAATAACACACATCTAATAACACACAGCTAATCACACCACGTCGGTAATTCAGACATCTGTTGGCCAATGACCAAACCATGGCATGATCCCTTCAAATATACAAACATTCTTTTTCTACTCACCCCTCCACACCCATTCAGGTGCCTGCCTTTCACTCCCTGCACCTCCCCTCCCACAACGCTTTTGCCTCAGGTCTGATGATGAGCGTGAACAAGCATGAACACCACAAGGGAGGCTTTTGCTTGCAATGCTGACACTCTCGCCTCACTTACTCTCCTTGCCACTCTTCCCTTCCTTCCCCTCCCCCTCCCTCCCATCCCTTCCTTCCCCTCCCTCTCCATCCCATCCCTTCCTTCCCCTCCCCGTCCCTCCCATCCCTCCCTTCTCCTCCCCCTCCCTCCCATCCCTTCCTTCCCCTCCCTCCCTTCTCCTCCCCCTCCCTCTCACCCCTTCCTTCCCCTCCCCCTCCCTCCCATCCCTTCCTTCCCCTCCCCCTCCCTCCCATCCCTTCCTTCCCCTCCCCTTCCCTCCCTTCCCTTCCTTCCCCTCCCCCTCCCTCCCATCCCTTCCTTCCCCTCCCCCGCGGCCTATCATGCCTTCACCCCAGGCCTGGTGACCAACGTGAACGCCATGAGGGAGGCACTCGCGATGCTGGCAGAGGAGGTGAGTTGCCGTGGCCTGGCTAGCCTGTGAAGCCATTCCGTCTTGTGCTTTGAACAAAAGGGGTGGGGTACGAGCAAACAGATCCCTTTTGACAGACTGGCGTGCTGATTTTGAGTTGTCTCAATAAATTTTAGTCGACACACAAAGGGGTGGGGTACAAGCGAACAGATCACTTTTGACTGGCTGGCGGGCTGATTTTGAGCTGTCTTAACAAATTTGAGCGACTCACGAAGGGGTGGGATACAAGCGAACAAATTACTTTTGACTGGTAGAGGGCGGATGTGGTACAAATTTTCTCGAGACTTTCTCACTATCTGCTTTCCTCTGGAGAATTTCTGTCCTCCTCGTTTGAGTGAGGCCAGGGGAAGCACTGGGACATCAAGACTGTCAATGCCTCTCCTCTTTTCTGCCTCTCTTCTTTTGGCTTCTCTGTTTTGCATGACAGGGTCTGGAGAATGTGTGGCAGCGCCATCGCAGCCAGGCTGAGCTGCTGTGGGCAGGGCTGCAAGAGGTGAGAAACGCTCTAGGGTTGAACTGGATAGCTGGTGGTTCTGTCTTTCGTCTGTTTGGCATGACAGGGGCTGGAGAATGTGTGGCAGCGCCATCGCAGCCAGGCTGAGCTGCTCTGGGCAGGGCTGCAAGAGTTGAGGGCCCATCAGGGTTGAGATGGCTCGCTGCATGGGCAGAGGGCTACATGACTATCATTTTGAGTGTTGACTGTTTGTTGGGCGTGTGGTAAACTGGAGAGTACCTGCGGACTTTTTCTTTCCCGTGTTTGCTTCCCTCCTCTGTCCTCTGCCTCCCTCTTAATTGGGACTTGAGCTGTTAGGATCACGATTCCTGCCTGCGCACCTACCTTTCTTCTCTCTTCCCTTTTGACTTTCCTCCTCTGTCCCCTGCCTACATCTCAGCTGGGGCTAGAGCTATTTGTGGAGGACCACGATTCTCGCCTGCCCACCTACCATTCTCCTCACCTTCCGTTGTTGCTTCCCTCCTCTCTTTCTCGCTTCCCTTTTTTCTTCCCTCCTCTGTCCCTTGCTCCACTCTCAGCTGGGGCTCGAGCTATTCGTGGAGGACCATGATTCTCGCCTGCCCACTGTGACAACAGTGAAGGTGCCTGAAGGAGTGGAGTGGACTAAAGTCACAGGTGAGTGCAAGGCACTTTCCCCGGGGAATATGCTAGCTTCTTGTCAAGCTTGCTTGTGCCTTGGTTCCTAGCTAGAAGAGCCACATTATTGCTTCTTCCACTGGAAAGCATGGCCGTGCTGTTTTGCCTGCCTGTCCCATGTGCCATTGCAGGCCATCTCATGTCCAAGTTCAACTTGGAAATAGCTGGAGGGCTTGGTCCGACCGTTGGCAAGGTATGATTTGGAACTGTGCTGTAAACGGGTATATTGTGCTAGAAACTTCGCTGCAATTACGCCATCCGTTGTTGCAATGAAGTGCAACATCTCTCATGGTTTGTTGAGTTTACACTAATTGGATGTCTTTGTTATTGTGGCAACCAGGTATGGCGAATTGGTCTCATGGGGAACAATGCTCGCCCTGCGAATGTAGCTCTGCTCCTGGAGGCCCTGAAGGACGCACTTGAGCATGCAGGGTTCACTCCCAAGAAGGCGACTGCTTAGGTAGTACGCTTTTTGGTGCATTTGTAACCACCATGAGATGAGCCTGCTTCAGTAAGTTGGCTTCTCTTTTTATAACGAGTTATCTCCAATGTGGAGTCGTGACCATCTGAACAACTTTTCTCTGCCCACCTGTCCCGCGCACCGGCCACGCAAGTTACCATCTCGGTGACATTGCTGCTTTGCTTTGCCACGGCACGGGTTTGTCAGCACGGAATCAATCATGCGAAGGGTCCAGCGATTCCTGACATTCGCAGGGGCTAACTTTTCTTCGTTATTAGTTGCTCGCAACGAATCACGTTATTGTATCCATCGCAACTGGTCCGAGTCGCGCGTCGGGATTGATTTCGTCTCCATTGGAAACATTGCATTCTCCCAGATTTCTTCCTCCACCAGACAAGCAGACGAGTCAAAGGGGTTAGGGGGGCTGTTTCTCTCATCACTTCAACCTCGAAAGCTCAAACTTCGGGAACTCACAGCTGGAGAAGTCACACGAACCTTGGGAGCTCAGACCTTGGAAAGACAATCTCTACGAAGCACAAGTCTCGGGAACTGCTCTCCTCTCTCGTGCTGAGCTGTTCCGTGCATCAAACGCGGACCACATTCTTTGCTCCAACCGACAACCTAGGTGTCTGCGCGGAAAGGGATTCAACAAATCAGAGCTCCCGGGTCCGAGGACGCGACTCGAACTTTCAAATCATTGCGCGGGAACGAGAGCTTCCTATTACACGCGACGCGAACCGACCGAGGCCTCGTTGGGTCCAAGTCAGAAAGTACATAAAGCGAGGGCCTTCCAAGTCGACGAAGTACCACTGAGCTGTGCAGCAATCCGTCCTTCTCATTTCGAACAACCACCTCGATAACTTCGACCGCAACTTCCTTTCCAACGCTCAGCAGCAGCAGTCCAGTTTCCCTTCTGACACGTGCTGTGCTGTGTATGCTATGCTCACTCAACCTTGCTAGTACGCAAGACGCTCCCAGTGCCAGCGCATCACAGCTCTCGACTCGTGACGCTGTACATAACTGTACATAGCGGTACATATCATATCTCTCACGGCCTCTTGCACATAATTCGCTGACAACATCCAGACACTCCGGAAAAAGATTGCCGAGAACGCCACCGGCTCACCTACTTCCTTCGAGGCTCTCTTTCGTGCCTTGACGCCTGAGGAAGATACCCACGCGCCGCCAATTTCGACCATATTAGCGGCGCTGCTGACGTGGTCGAAAGTCTGCGTACCTGAACAACCCTCAGCCAACGCCGTGGACATTCAGCACCTGAGTCAGAATCCTCCCTACCAGAATCCTCGCTATCAGAATCCTCAGCCACCCCTGGCTCCGTCTCTTCACACAAGCCTCCATTCCTGTTCTGTCGCGGGATAGATTCATCGCATCCCAAGCATCTCCGTATTGAATCAAGATTGCCGCAGCATAGTCAGCTTGACTCAGCAGGGTAATCTCCACAATTGCCTACACGGCTGCAATTCCACCACCTCACCATCTCAGCATCGCGTTCATTCGTTCCCGACGAGTGGCTTCAAATTCGCCCCCTCCTCCGCCATCGCTTCGAGTAGAATACACCTCAGCAAGTCCATTCTCCTCTCCAATTCTGGATATTTCCATCACAACTTCGCGTTCACTTTGCGTCTCTCCTCTCCAGCAGATCTGCTGAATCTCCAAGGTGCACTGCTGGTAGTATCCCGCTCCGCCTCCTACGCGACCTGACCGGACTGTGAATATTGTAAATAGACTGGTTCAACATTCGTTATACTCGCTTCAGACGTGGATTTAGCTCACGCTATCATTGCACTGTTGCCTCTTGTGTTGGGTGGCCCTCGCGCCGCGCTGCACTTAACTCCTTCTTGAGACCTCTTCAGACGCCTCAAGAACCCAGCTTCCGCTGCCATTACCATGGCTCCTTTGGCTCCTCTGGTTGCTTCCCCAACGGCCGCTTCGACGAGGGTTGAGAGGCCAAGCATCCCCACCACGCCTCTGACGCTCCCCAACCTGCTGCTCATGAGTGAGTCGCTTTTCTGTTCACGGGAGTGTTGAGAGTCAGTACTGCTCATAAATGAGTGGTCGAGACTCATGAGTCGACGAGGGTTGAGAGGCCGAGCATCCCCACCACGCCTCTGACGCTCCCCAACCTGCTGCTCATGAGTGAGTCGGTTCTGTTCACGTGTGAGTTTTGAGAATCAGTGAGTGAGTGAGCGGTCATGAGTGAGTGAGTTCTCTTGAATGAGTGAGTGGGTGAGTGCTCATGAGTGAGTGAGTGAGTGCGCATGAGTGAGTGAGTGCTCATGAGTGAGAAAATGCTAAGTCCACTCACCCCCACCCCAAATGCCCTGGCACCACCTCACCAACCTCTCTCTCGTTCTCATCCTCCTCACCTCTCACCACTCTGCCTACTCTCCCTTACCCCCTCCCTCATCAACCTTACCCCTCCACAGGTCCTGGCCCATCGTCTCCCCACGGACGCGTCCTCGCTGCTGCTGGTTCGCCAAAATTTCAGTCAAGTGAAAGAATGCCTCCTCTTTCCCACCCCCTCCCTCATCACCTTACCTCCTCTCTCCCACCCTCTCCCTCATCAACCTTACTCCCCACAGGTCCTGGCCCATCGTCTCCCCACCCACGCGTCCTCGCTGCTGCTGGTTCGCCCCTTGTCGGACATGTAAGCATTTCCATGATAGGTGTCAAGCCCTGGCGTGCCCATGCTTCCATACTTAGCACTTCCTTCATTTGTAGGCTTGATGCTTTTGAGACACATTCTTAACCACTAATGCTGCTCACCTCCACCATTCACCCTCGTCCGTCACCCACGGTACATCCTTGTGTAACATTCTTCTGTCCCGCCTGCTTGTATCGCGTACAGATGCACCACCTAAACCCCTGCTTGAATCACGTCCTTATCCCTTTATCGCCCAACCATGGCGTACAGATGCACCCTGCGCTGCTCGGTGTGGTCGATGGCGTGCGCGAGTGGCTCAAATACGTCTTTCAGACGCGCAACCGCTCCACCATGCCACCCCCCCTGTTCCCCCCTCCACCCTCCTTCACTGAAATCCCCTGCTTGTATCGCGTACAGATGCATCCTGCGCTGCTCAGTGCGGTCGATGACGTGCGCGAGTGGCTCAAGTACGCCTTTCAGACGCGCAACCGCTTCACGCTCGGCGTCAGCGGCTCGGGTCACGCCGCCATGGAAGCTGCTGTGAACGCCGTGAGTCGCACACTCGTCTCATGGGTGCTTGTGTGGGGGAGGCTCGGGGGATTGGGTGGGGCCGGGGGGATTGGGGGGACTGGGGGGACGTCAGCGGCTCGGGTCACGCCGCCATGGAAGCTGCTGTCAATGACGTGAGTCAACTGTCGACGATGCTCGCGATTCTTAGCCAACTCTCGTCAATCCTCGTGAATTCTCCTCGAACTCTTAACTATGACCCTCGCTAACAGCTCCTCCCTGCGTTTCTCCTCCCGCTATTGTCACACCTCAGGTTGTAGCCCCCGGTGGCGTCGTTCTTGTCGCGGTAAACGGAATGTGGGGCGAGCGAATGGCGCTGCTCGCGCGGCGGCACGGCGGCGACGTGCGAACGATCCAGGCGCCTCTGGGGGAGGTGTTTTCTCTTGACGACTTCGCGCGCGCGCTCGAGGCGAACCCGGGAGTCGCGGCGGTGTTTGTGGTGCACGGCGAGTCGAGCACGGGCACGCTGCAGCCGCTGGAGGGGTTGGGGGATTTATGCCATAAGCACGGTGAGGGGATGCGCTTGTAATGAGTCTGTGCGTAACGCGTCTGGGAGTCGCGGCGGTGTTTGTGGTGCACGGCGAGTCGAGCACGGGCACGCTGCAGCCGCTGGAGGGACTGGGGGAGCTTTGTCATAAGCACGGTGAGCATGCTTTTGAAGCAGGGTTGCCTGCAATGGGGACTCTGGGCGTGAAGGTGGTGTTTGTGGTGCACGGCGAGTCGAGCACGGGCACGGGCACGCTGCAGCCGCTTGAGGGGTTGGGGGACCTGTGCCAAAAGCATGGTAAGGGGACGCGCTTGAAACGAGTCAGTAACGCATCTGCTTGTAACGGAGGTTTGGGAGTTGAGGGGGTGTTTGTGGTGCACGGCGAGTCGAGCACGGGCACGCTGCGGCCTCTCGAAGGATTAGGAGAGCTCTGTCATAAGCACGGTACGGGGAGGTGTTTACTCTCTTGAAATAGGTGCGCGCGCGCTCGAGGGCGGCGGTGTTTGTGGTGCACGGCGAGTCGAGCACGGGCACGCTGCAGCCGCTGGAAGGGTTGGGGGATCTCTGCCATAAGCACAGTGAGTGAATGGCCTTGGGGCAGGTGGGGGCGTGTTTTGAGGCGGTGTTTGTGGTGCACGGCCAGTCGAGCACGGGCACGCTGCAGCCTCTGGAGGGACTCGGGGAGCTTTGTCATAAGCACGGTGAGCATGCTTGTAAAGCAGGGTTCCTTGGAATGGGAATGCTGGGCGTGAAGGTGGTGTTTGTGGTGCACGGCGAGTCGAACACGGGAACGCTGCAACCTCTGGAAGGTCTGGGGGAGCTCTGCCATAAGCACGGTGAGAGGGTGTGATTGGAACGAGTCTGCATGTACCGCGTATGCTTGGGGTGTTTGTGGTGCACGGGGAGTCGAGCACGGGCACGCTGCAGCCGCTGGAGGGACTGGGGGACCTCTGCCACAAGCACGGTGAGAGCATGGCCTTGGGGCAGGTGGGCGCGCGTTTTGAGACGCCTCAAAAGCCTCTGCAGCCTCTGGAGGGGTTGGGGTAGCTCTGTCACAAGCACGGTGAGGAGATAAAACGTCTCTGCTTCTCACGAGGATGGGTCTGCTTGTGAAGGTGGTGTTCGTGGTGTACGGCGAGTCGAGCACGGGCACGCTGCAGCCTCTGGAAGGGTTGGGGGACCTCTGCCGTAAGCACGGTGAGTGGAAGCGCTTGAAACGGGTCGTCCTGTAACGCGTCTGTTTGTGATGGAGGTTTTGGGGAGTCGCGATCGCTCTGAATATCTAAACGTGCCGTTCTTGAGGAGCCTCAGAACAGAACTTGAGCACGAAAGTCGCCCTGAATTCCTAAGCATGTAATTCGATCTAATGCCGCGTGAAGCAGCGGTCTCGCGTCCCATGGCGAAGACTCCTCGACAGCGCGCTTAGGAGAAATTAGGGATTTGTTATTAGACCCCCAATCCTAGAGTTCCTGCCTACTATTTGCAGCTGTGACGGACGGGCCACCCCGCGTGCCTCTGAACGCAAACGCCAGATCTAAAAAAGCTCTAACGTTTCCCCAGAATTTCCCTTACGTTCTCTTCCCTCGTCTCCAGGTGCGCTGCTGGTGGTGGATGCGATTTGTACGGTGGGCGGGGTGCCTGTTCTGATGGACGAGTGGGATATCGATGTGTGCTACAGCGGGTACGTGGTACACTGCTATTGATAAATGTCAAATGACATCTTTCTTTCTAAATCTAATGTGATGTGATTTACTTCACATGAGGCTGTAAGCATAGAGTTATTTGTGTTTTTGTTTGTATTTGTTTCGATTCCAGGTCTCAAAAGTGTTTGTCATCGCTTGTATCACCGTCGCCGTTCTCCATGAATGAGCGTGCAAGACAGAAGCTCAAGAGCAAGGCACACCAGATCCAGACGTACTACTTTGATATGAATGTGGTAAGCTATACTGCTTAATTGTCCATGCTTTTTTGTTTTTTCTTATAACCCGAATTGCCTTGTTGCCATGGATGCAATCACACGTGCATTGAACTTGTATACTCATATTTGCGCACTTGTTTTAAAACAGGCCGGAGCTTTCTGGGGCGTTGATGGCAAGCCACACGTGTACCATCACACATGTAAGTATGAACACAATACCGGCATCATTAAATCTAGTCTAACCTCATAGTTCGTTCTTTTGCCCTCCACCGCATTTGACTTGAAGCACCAATTGCCAACACCGGAGAATGGTCATTGGTGCCTAAGAATGTTTGACTTGCTGGTTCCCCCCATTGCGTTCGTTGGTCTCAATGCAGCGATCGGCAGCAACATCATGGCTATCAGGGAGGCACTAGCCTTGGTGGTGGATGAAGGGCTAGAGAGTGTGTGGCACCGCCACCGCTCCCTGGCTGATAAGCTCTGTGCTGGGATCGAGGAGGTGAGCTGGAGAGAGATTGGGGTTAGGTAGCTCTGTTGCTGCTAATGGTGGTGGTAGTGGTGGTGGTGGTGGATGAAGGGCTAGAGAGTGTGTGGCACCGCCACCGCTCCCTGGCTGATAAGCTCTGTGCTGGGATCGAGGAGGTGAGCTGGAGAGAGATTGGGGTTAGGTAGCTCTGTTGCTGCTAATGGTGGTGGTAGTGGTGGTGGTGGTGGATGAAGGGCTAGAGAGTGTGTGGCACCGCCACCGCTCCCTGGCTGATAAGCTCTGTGCTGGGATCGAGGAGGTGAGCTGGAGAGAGATTGGGGTTAGGTAGCTCTGTTGCTGCTAATGGTGGTGGTAGTGGTGGTGGTGGTGGATGAAGGGCTAGAGAGTGTGTGGCACCGCCACCGCTCCCTGGCTGATAAGCTCTGTGCTGGGATCGAGGAGGTGAGCTGGAGAGAGATTGGGGTTAGGTAGCTCTGTTGCTGCTAATGGTGGTGGTAGTGGTGGTGGTGGTGGATGAAGGGCTAGAGAGTGTGTGGCACCGCCACCGCTCCCTGGCTGATAAGCTCTGTGCTGGGATCGAGGAGGTGAGCTGGAGAGAGATTGGGGTTAGGTAGCTCTGTTGCTGCTAATGGTGGTGGTAGTGGTGGTGGTGGTGGATGAAGGGCTAGAGAGTGTGTGGCACCGCCACCGCTCCCTGGCTGATAAGCTCTGTGCTGGGATCGAGGAGGTGAGCTGGAGAGAGATTGGGGTTAGGTAGCTCTGTTGCTGCTAATGGTGGTGGTAGTGGTGGTGGTGGTGGATGAAGGGCTAGAGAGTGTGTGGCACCGCCACCGCTCCCTGGCTGATAAGCTCTGTGCTGGGATCGAGGAGGTGAGCTGGAGAGAGATTGGGGTTAGGTAGCTCTGTTGCTGCTAATGGTGGTGGTAGTGGTGGTGGTGGTGGATGAAGGGCTAGAGAGTGTGTGGCACCGCCACCGCTCCCTGGCTGAAAAGCTGTGTGCTGGAATTGAGGAGGTGAGCTGGAGTGGGGGTGTGGGGACGCAAGTTGCTCTGCTGCTGCTGATGGTGGTGGTTGTGATGGTGGATGAAGGTTTAGAGAGTGTGTGGCAACGCCACCGCTCCCTGGCTGATAAGCTCTGCGCTGGTATTGAGGAGGTGAGCTATGGAGGTAGGGGTGCGAGTATCCGTTTTGGTGTTCGATAAGGGACTGGAGAGTGTGTGCCACTGCCACTGCTCCCTAGCTGGTAAGCTCTTCCCATCACTTGGGGCTAGAGGTGTTTGTGAAGGACCCCTCTAATCGCCTGCCCACCGTGACAACCATTAGAAGAAAAGCAGGACCCTGACCTCCATTCCTCCCCACCCTTTCAAACCCACCCTCCCTCTCCCTATCCACCCCTCACTTGGGCCTAGAGATGGTTGTGAGAGACCCCTCTGGTTCCCTGCTCACCATGACAACTATCAAAGCAACAAGCCACTTCCCTCCTCATACTCCTCCCAAACCTTTCTCACCCTCCTCCTTTCCCACTCCACCCACCAGCTGGGGCTAGAGCTGTTCGTGAAGGACCCTTCCATCCGCCTGCCCACCGTGACAACCATCAAGGTGCCCCAGGGAGTGCAGTGGGCGCAACCTCCTGTCCTCCTCTATTCCTGGTCTTTCTAACTCATCCCTTGCTCGTGCCCTTCCCTCACCTATCCTCCATTACCAGCTGGGTCTGGAGCTCTTTGTGAAGGACCCCGCCATCCGCCTGCCCACCGTGACAACCATCAAGGTGCCCGAGGGGGTGCAGTGGGCGCAGGTGACGGCTTACCTCATGGAGAAGTACAACCTCGAGATTGCCGGGGGGCTCGGACCCACCGTTGGCATGGTGAGTGGGAGAATGATGGAGTGAGGGAATGGGGTTTGTAGTGAGGGGGGTTGTGGATGAATGAGAGTGGTAGTGAGGGTGTGAAGCGGTGCAGTGGGCGCAGGTGACGGCTTACCTCATGGAGAAGTACAACCTCGAGATTGCCGGGGGGCTCGGACCCACCGTTGGCATGGTGAGTGGGAGTGTAAGAGGAGAACAAGGGTGGTGGTGAAGGGGGGTGGATGGGTGAAGGTGATTGCGAGAGTTGCAAGGGGTGCAGTGGGCCCAGGTGACGGTTTTTGAGGCGCCTCGAATGCAGTGGGCGCAGGTGACCGCTTACCTGATCGAGAAATACAAACTCGAGATTGCCGGAGCGACTGGGACCGACTGTTGGCATGGCGAGTGAGACAATAAGAGATTGGAGGTGGTAGTGCGAGGGGGAAGTCATGAATGAGGTTGCAGTGAGCGCAGGTGGTAGTGTGAGGAGGTGCAGTGAGCGCAGGTGAATGGAGGTGGTAGTGCGAGGGGGAAGTCATGAATGAGGTTGGTAGTGAAGAGTGTCAGGGGATGCAGTGAGCGCAGGTGACGGCTTACCTCCGCTCTTCCCCTGCCATTCACTCTCCATTTCCCCTCATCTCCCCTCTACTCCTCTCTCTCATCTCAGGTATGGCGAATCGGCATAATGGGCAACAACGCTCGCCTCCCCAACGTGGCTCTCGTGCTGCGAGCACTCAAAGACGCGCTGCACCACGTTGGCTTCCTGCCCCGCCCCACGCCTGCTGCTACAGCTTCTGCTGCTGCTACATCCGCAGCTGCTACATCCGCTGCTGCTGCATCCGCAGCTGCTGCATCCGCAGCTGCTGCTGTTGCTACGTCCCCGGCTGCTGCTACCTCCACGACCGCTGCTGTTGCTGTTGCACCTGCTAGCAAGCCTGTGGCGGCCTCCGCTACAGTTGCTGCCACGCCAATCGTCGTGCAGTGACCCGCTCGCACCTTCTGTCTGCATGCACCAGGGAGGTTGCACTTGGTTGGTACTCCTGCGTGCTTCTGCTGAGGTGCAAGTGGTTCTTGTATGTGTTTTTAAGAAGTCTTGAATGAAACGCTATTGCACATGCCTTTTCACTCTGCATGCACCATGGGGGTTGCACTTGGTTGGTACTCCTGAATGCTTCTGCTGAGGAGCAAGTACTACTGTCACCTTGAAGTGTTCTGAAGAGTTGAAGGAGTGAAAGCTGTACTTGTGTCATTTCTGAAACCTCTCTGAAGTGAAAACTGTAAGTTGTAAGTACCCTTGAATAACAACACAATTAATCACAAGAGGGGTTGCTGTAACAAGCAGGTTTCTATCTACCACCTACACCACCTGTCCATACACTACTAGCTTGAATATTGTGGTCATCCCGACTCCCGAGGGTTTGTTGTAACAAGCGCAATTCGTAGTACCACCAGCTCCTACACCACGTGTCTGTCTGTAAACTAGCCTCTAGCTTGTACAATTATCGAGCCATCGTGACCCACAACAAGTGGGTTGCTCTCTTCCACCTCCCCGCCACACCACCCGCGCACTACCCTGCACGATCGCTGTGCAAGACCAGCCGACCAAGTGCAGGCACCCTGCAGCACTGAACAGCCACTGAAAATCCACAGCAGAACAAGCTGCAGCAGTAAATCCAGCAGCTTCAGAAGCAGAAACAGAGGCTTGGCATGCAGCAGAAGCCACATCCTCCTCTTTCTCACACCAGGAATGCAGTCAAACAAAGATATGGCTGAATCGCCCCCCACCCCCTCCAAATCCAGATGCTTCAGTTTAGGCAGCTGCTTGCTGGATAGGTCCAGGAGATTATTCAGGTTGCCCAGGGAGTGCAGGGTGAGCGTGTGCAGGGCAGGAAAGGAGAAGTTTTCCGGGAGGGAAGAGATGAGCGGGCAGTAGGAAATTTTTAGTTCGGTGAGGGATACTAGGCCTGGGCGTTGCTCGGTGATGTTTGGTGTAGAGTCCAAGAGAGGGATAGATACACAGACAGAGGCGGAGGCAGAGGCAGAAACTAGGTCTGGGTGTTGTTCGGTGGTATTTGCTGCAGAGTCAACGACAGGGATAGATACACCGGCAGAGGCAGGGGCAGAGGCAGGGGCAGGGGCAGAGAGCGAGGCAAGGGAAACGGTAGAGGCAGAGGCAGGGGCAGAGGCACCGGCATATAAAACGGAGCACACCAGCAGTGCAGCAGCAAGCAGCATGGCATGATAGAGCCAGGCAGTGGGGACCAGAGAAACCAGCAGCACCACCACTACAAGGAGCATCGACACAAGGATCGCGACAAGGCTCTGGCTTTTAGCGGCAGCGGAAGCGAGCAGCGCAGCAGGGACAAGCATCACCGGACGTCGGATGTGCAGTGCGGTGGAGGCCGGTGCTATGATCTCTTGCACGGTGAGGAGCGGTACGGAAATCAGCAGCATCGCGGCAAAGACTGCAGCCGTGCCGAGTACAGCCGTAAACACCATTTCAGGCAAACTGAGCGATTCCGACTCGCTTCCAGATCCTTCAGGGGTGTTTGGAGATGTCAGCGGCTTCAGAGACTCTATAAGGGAGCATGACTCGATATGGAGTGATTCTAAACGAGTCAGCTTGTACATTGCAGGAGGAAGCTCCTGTAGCTGCTCGCACCGCGTCAGAGTCAGCTTTTCCAGGCATGCTGGCAGGCTCCCTTCACAAAATCTCTCGGGCAGATGCTCCAGCGCGGGCAGATCCAGCTCGAGCGTTTTCAACCGGGGTAAATTACCCAGACTTTCGGGCAGCGCCTGGATATTCTCAAGGTAGAGGAGACTTAGGGTTTGCAGATGGGACAAGGCGCCGATGTGGTGAGGGAGTGCGGTGAGGGAGTAGCAGGAGGAGATGAAGAGGGAGGAGAGGGGGAGGAAGCAGATGCTTTCTGGAAGAATCTCGAGGGAAGCACAGCCGTTGATGGAAAGATGCTGCAGCTGAGTCATCCCCGCCATGGCATTTTCGGGCAGGTATCGCAGAAGTCTGCATTGGAGCGAGAGGGTTTTCAGCCCGGTCAGCAGTTGAAAAGATTCCGGAATGCTCTCTAGACCATCCAAGTCGATTTCTAGGGTTTCCAGAACAGCCAAGTCGCCAATGGCGTCGGGAAGCTTCGTGACAGCTTCCGACCAGTGGTTACCGTTACCGATGCTCAGTGTGCGGAGGTTACCAAGAAGGCCCACGCACTCGTCGAGACCGCGGAAATTCGCTCCCGCGCAGATCCGCAACTCGCGCAGCTGCTGCAGCGCGCCGATGCTCTCACGCGGCGAAACGAGCTCCTGTAACGAGTCTTCGCCATAGCGGGGATGCGAGCACACGTGGAGGGTTTGGAGATCCGTGAGGAGCGAGAGGGACGCCGGGAGATGCGGGAGGCCGTTGGTGGTGAGTAGGCGGAGATCCCTGAGCTTTCGACATCCATGGAAGAGTGACGCGAGGCCGTCTACAGTAACCGGCATGCGAATCTGCTGCTCCACCGTCAGATGCGTCAGGCGCGGACACGTGGCGGCCAGACAGTGGAAGAGCGCGTCTGCTGCTTCACCGTCGCCGTCGGCGGATAAGATGGAAAACTCGCCGAGAGACACGTGCGTGAGGGCGGGGAAGCGGCGCAGCGCGGAAACAAGGCGCGGAAGCGGAAGCCACGCAAGCTGTACGTTGCGGAAGGGCTCAAAAGGATTCGTCTCCGTTATAGAATCATTCGATTTAAACCCGCGGTGCTGAACGGTCAAATGGGAGAGTGCAGACGTGGTGAGGCAGAGCCAGCGCTTCGACACGAGCACGTGGCGGAAGGATGTCTCCGCGAGCGAGCGGAGGACGAGCGCGAGAACGTCGTCGGGGAGGCTCTCCAGGGGGAAGGGCGGCTCGGTGCGCGCGGGTGAAACCATGGCTTTTAAGCGGCTAAGGAAAGAGACTAACGCCATTGCATGGATTATTGAAGCGGGCGAAAATACCGTACTGCGAGCACTCAATCTAAAAATAAACGCTAGAAGTGTGATGAAGAAATTCGTGTGCACGAAAAATATGGACTGGCACTTCGGTTGGAAATTGGAACGGAATAAAACATCGATCAGGGCAGTAAGCTTGAGGCAAAAGTAGGTGGGGTGGTTGCGGGAAGGGTGAAATGACGTGGCAGTCGGTCAAGTCAATCACCCGAGATCCCGCCCGAACCAGTGACAGCGGTGCTTTGACTTCGAGTCAAACATGTTTCTCTGTACAAGACCACCCATTTCAAACACGATTCCAGTGTTTCGCGTGTTTCCTGGACGAGTAAAAGCATCCTTCGAGAAAAGTTTCTCCTTGGGAAATCCTTGTATGTACTCATTGGGACGCTTACTGGCCTCACTGCCTGTCCACTTGTAATTGAAATGGTGCACTCTGAAGCAATGGCAGCACATGGTGAATCTGGCAGAGCCAAAAGCATATCGTTCTTCTGTGAATGGTTGAGATATGGCAGTGCTACTTCAGACTTTTCTATCAACGTGCAACGGGCAGACTTCTCTCAGCAATCACTTGCGGGCTACTTTCCCTCCACGTGCCCGCTTCAGTGCTGTGAGAGCATCCGCTTGCCTCGACCCCACCACTCCCGCCATCCTCCCTGCCCCACCTCCCCCTCCCCTTGCTCCCCTTCCCCCTGCTCCCCCTCCCCCTCCCCTTCCCCCTCCCCCACCACTCCCCCTTCCAGGTGCCTGGCCTCCTCTCCCCCCACCCCCGCCCCTTCCCCTGCCTCCTCTACTTCCCATTCCCCCGCCACGCCTCCCCCTCCCTCCCCCCCCTCCCCTCTGCTGCTGCCATGCCCCTCCCCTTCCCCCTCCTTTTCCCCCACCACTCCACCCTCCCCTTCCCCCGTGCTGTCCTCCTCGCCCCCCACCTCTCTCCCCTCCTCCCTGTGTCCCCCCTTCCCCCCACTGCTTCCCTGCTCTAGCTGTTGCCAGGGAAGCAAAGGGATTGGCGAGGTGCTGGGTGTTCCCAGGAGTGCCTGCTGCTGCTGACATGGCGGCAGCCGATGGGGTTGCTCGCAGCTGATTGGCCAGCTCGGTTGTCATGCCGGACTGATTGGATGACGAGGTTAAAGTCAGAAAGCACAGACAGAAAGAGCAAAGGTTGGAATAGTGGCGGGGGGCAAGATGAAAGAGATTGGTTGAGAGGAAGGATTGGTGGATAGAACAAGGAATGGATAGGACCAGGAATGGATACTGAGAAATGGAAGTCGGCATACAATAATCACAGCAGCAAGAGGAGCATCGGGTAAGGAGCCTTCAACAATGGGCAATGAGCAAGGAGCAACGGAGATCATGCACAGCATACAGAGAAACACAGCAGAAAGCGAGAGGCAAGGAGCAAGCAGCACTCACAGCAGCAATGAGTGAGCGCAGGTTGGTTGGCCTGAGCGGCTGTGTGATATGAGTGAGTAAAAAATTCACTCATATCAAGAGCAGCGCAGGGTAAAGCGGGTTACAAAGAGCAAAGAGCAGGACTCACAGCAGCAATGAGTGAGCGCAGGTTGGTTGGCCTGAGCGGCTGTGAGACTGCTTGCTTCAGCGCCTGGTAACCCATTCATGGGAGGTGCAGTGCGGTGCAGTGGGAGGGAAGGGAGTGGCACACGGGGTGTGGGATGAGAGAGTGCAGGTTGGTTGGTTGGCCTGAGCGGCTGTGAGACTGCTTGCTTCAGCGCCTGGTAACACATCCATGGGAGGGCAACACATTGGCAGGTGCAGTGCGGTGCAGTGGGAGTACGGGGATGGCACACGGGGTGTGGGATGAGTGAGCGCAGGTTGGTTGGCCTGAACGGCTGTGAGACTGCTTGTTTCAGTGCCTGGTAACGGATGGAATGGAAAGACAGAGGGAGGCGGGAAGTGGAGTGGCATGCGCAGCATGCAAAAAGAGTTAATTGGTGCCACACGGTAAGAGAACGACACGAATGAAGGTGCGCTAAAGAACCAAAACGAGCCGGTTCATTATTACTTGATTACTATCCATTATTTAACTCAACTTTGAGGACGTCGTGGCATTGAAGTAGGTGAGCTGCTGGCGATGGGTTGGTAATGCCATCCCTGAACCGAACTCACCTCTTTCATCCTTGCCAGTTCGATCGCCTCCTGCTTCATCTGCTGCCGCCCATCCTCCCCTGTCTCCCCCGGCCCCTCCCACCCACGCTTCTCCCCTCGCCCCACCAACCGCCTCACATCCACCCCTCGATCCACATCCCCTTCCTCCCCCTCCTCCTCCTCCCCGCCTCGCATTCCCCCCCGTCTCCTCTTACTCCTCCGCTCCTCTTCCTGCTGCTGCCGCTGTTTCTTGTTCTTCTTCCCTCTCCCTCCCCTCTCCCCTCGTCGTCACTCTCCCCTCCTTCCTCGTCGAAAAGATCTTCCTCCTCCTCACTCTCCTCATCTCCTTCTCCCCCCTCCTCCTCCTCCTCCTCTTCCCCCCCGTCCTCCAGATTCACTTGAACCGCCTTGGAAGCGCGCTGCTTCCAGGAAGTTTCTGCTTTCTCCTTGGAGTGCTTGCGGGAGAGCGTGTCGACACTTAAAGCCAGGCTCACGCACTGCTTGAGGTTGGGAAGGTAGTTGTGATCAACCGGAAAGGTGGGGAGGGGGCCAGTCTGCATAGGGAGGGGAACGGGATTGAGAGGAATGGGGAAAAAAGGGATCGAGTAAGAAAGGGAGTGTTGGCACTTAAAGCCAGACTGACGCATTGCTGGAGGTTGGGCAGGTGGTTATGGTCGACCGGGAAGGTGGGGAGCAGGCCGGTCTGCATAGGGAGGGGACAGGTATGGGTGGGAAAGGCAGGGGAAGAGTGGAAAGGGTTAGAAAAGGCAAGGGAGTGTCGACACTAGAAGCCAGGCTCACGCATTGCATGAGATTTGGGAGGTAGTTATAATCGACTGGGAAGGTGGGGAGTGGGGCCGCTCTGTGGAGGGAGGGAGAGGGAGGGAGATGGATAGGAAAGTGATGGAAAAGGGATGGGAAAGGGTTTGGAAACATAAATAAGAGAGGAAATTTAAGGAGAGAGTGTCGAGTCTTAAAGCCAGGCTGACGCATCGCTTGAGGTTGGGGAGGTAATTGTGGTCGACTGGAAAGGTGGGGAGCGGGCTGGTCTGCGGAGGGAGAGAATAATGGGAAGAGGGGAGAAGGGCGCCCACAATAAGAGCCAGGCTGACGCATCGCTCGAGGTTGGGGAGGTAGTTGTGGTCGACTGGAAAGGTGGGGAGCGGGCTGGTCTGTGGGGGAGGAGGTGGGAGAGAAATGGAAAAGAGAGGAAGAGGACAATAGAGGGGACTAAGAGTGTCAGCACTAAAAAGTGCGATCACCTGACACTCACAAGTGTCACCACTGTTGCGATCACCTGACACTCACAAGTGTCACCACTGTTGCGATCACCTGACACTGTTGGGTGTCACCAGAGCCACGGAGCACCCCTCAGAGGCAGTGCAGCACAGAGTTAAGGAGTGCGCTGATGATAGCCCGCACCTTGTTCAGCTTCCTTAGAAGCGAAGAGTATTTGATGGAGTCTTTGGGAAGTCACCAGAGCCACGGAGCACCCCTCAGAGGCAGCAGTGCAGCCACAGGAGAGTCAAGACTCACACTCTTCAACCATGCACGCACCTTGTTGAGTTTTCTCAGCAGCGACGAGTATTTGATGGAGTCCTTGGGTGTCACCAGAGCCACGGAGCACCCCTCAGAGGCAGCGCCTCGGGCCGTGCAACTGCAGCTTATTTACGGCTAGGACTAGCTGCAGTCCCTCGCACTCACCTTGCTGAGTTTTCGCAGCAGTGAAGAGTATTTGATGGAGTCCTTGGGTGTCACGTCACCAGCGCAACAGAGCACCCTTCTGAGGCAGCACAACACATAGACCAAAAGCAGTGTGCTTCGGCCAAGGCAACCCAATCCGCACCTTGTTCAGCTTCCTGAGCAGCGACGAGTATTTGATGGAGTCCTTGGGTGTCACCAGAGCCACGGAGCATCCCTCAGAAGAAGCGCCTCGGGCCGTGCGGCCGCAGCGGTGCACGTAGCCCTCTGCCGTGTGGGGTAGCTGATAGTGCACCACGAGACGCACCTGAAGCAGCAGGCAATGGCAAGCACAGCAGGAAAACAACAGTTAGAATAGTCTGGCATCGGGAGTTGCTCCCCTCTCGGGCCAGGCTGTGCGGCCGCAGCGGTGCACGTAGCCCTCTGCTGTGTGGGGCAGCTCATAGTGCACCACCAGATGCACCTGAGGGTGGAAAGGGGCAGAGAGCATATTATGGAAACGGCAGTGAACACAGCAGCGAAGGTTTTCGCCGACCAATGGCAGCGGCAGGATGGTATCAGGGCGTGCGGCCGCAGCTGGTAGTGTACAGTTAAAACGCACCCACCTCTGAAGCTCACACACTCAAATCGAGAACGTCGTTCCAACGCCTCTTGAACTGAAGCACTGGGAAACTATTTCCCACGATGCTGGTGAGGGTGAGAAGAAACAACAGCAGCAGCTCACCTCAGGAACGTCGAGCCCTCTCGCTGCCACGTCTGTTGCCACCAGCACGCCACTGGGGTGCTGCCTGAAGCGATCCAACGCCTTGAGACGCTGCCGCTGCTGCTGCTGCGCGTGCAGGGGGAAGGAGGGGACCTGTGGGAAGAAGGGCGCAGAGGGTTGCATGGAGAAGGGGAAGAAGGGGAAGGGGATCCGAGCAAGGGAACGAGTAAGCAAGCGACACGTGCTGCAGTGGTACAATGCCTCGACAAGCAAGGAGAAAAAGGAGAGAAGAGGCCCTTACTTGCAGGAGGGAGAGACCAGAAAACAAGCGTGCGACCAACGGTTGGGAGAGAAGGGCGCAGAGGGTTGCATGGAGAGAAGGGAGAATGGAGAGAGGCAAGGAAGCGAAGCTTACTTGCAGGAGGGACAGCAGGGAGGCGAGGCGGCGAACAGACGAGATGGCAGAGCAGAAGACGAGCGTGCGACCAAATGTGCCGTGCATGCGCAGGAGGTAGAGGAGAAAGACGTCCCTCATGCTGTCGTCACACCTGGGAGAGAAGAGAGGAAACGAGGGACAGGGAGCGGAGTAACAAAAGTTAGATAATGTCACACGGGGGCACAGAGCGAGTGTGAGGGCAAAGGTGCCATGCATGCGCAGGAGGTAGAGGTACGTCCCTCATGCTGTCGTCACACCTGGGAGAGAGGGGTTGGCGAAATGCAACAGGGGACAAGGAGCAGAGGGCCAAGGGATGGTAGAGGTCACAAGGGGACTTGGACTTGACTAAATGGAGGGTAATCAGTAGGATTTTCGTCACTTGCATGTTTCTACCTTTCCACACACAATCCTTGCACCCTTTTTACACACAATCAGTAGGATTGTGTTTGTATACAAACACTCTCAGCTCACTCTAGTGCCGCCACTGGTCACCACATTAGCAGTGGTCAAATCCACAATGGCAGGGGACGATAGCACTGCTCTCTGATTCTCTGTCTCCCTCACATGCACTGATCAGTCCGCGAGAATATCAAACTCACTCTAGAGCAGCCTCTTGAACCCCACTCGCCACCACATCAGCAGTAGTCAGATCAACAATGGCAGGGGAGGGGCGCATGCCAGTCAGCTGCATAAGTGCCGCCACCACCCTATCCCTCTCCAGCCCCTTCTCCCTCTCCTTCTCCCCCTCATCCTCCTCTCCCCCTTCCTCCCCCTGCGCTCCCTCTCTTCCTCTTTTCCTCCCGGTACGCTTCTCTGCTGCCCCGGGTCCTCCTGGCGTTCGTTTTTTTCCTTGCAGCTGCCCGCGCGTGTCGTCGGTCAGAACGAGGGTTGCGGAAAAGACCAGAACCTGCCGCTTCTTTTTCGCGAGGGTGGGTGGCTGAAGAGAAAACGTTTCCTCCCCTTCTCCTTCTCCTGCTTCTCCCTCTTCTCTCTCTTCTCCCTCCTCCCCATCCTCCCTACCGTCTTCTTCTCCCCTCTCCCCTTTAGTCTCCTCTTTCTCCTCCTTTTCCTCCTCCTCTTCCTCTCCTTTCCCTTCCTTTTCAGCCTCTTCCATCCCTGCTTTCCCCTTCCCTTTCTTTCCTCGTGCCGCATCCCTCTCCGCAGCAATTTTAGCTGCCCGAGCTGCCTTTTTCGCTGCCCGGGCAGCATCTCGGGCAGCCAGAGCAGCCTCCTTGGCCTTGGCAGCAGCGAGAGAAGCCGCAGTGGGGGGCAGCATTCCCAAGATGGACGAAAGCTCCTTGAACCTTCCTGGGTCCGCCATGCGATCAGCCTCGTCTAGAACGAGAAAGGAGAGGTACTCGAGCTGCGGGACGGGGAGGGGGGCAGATAACGGGGTGATTGGGCAGGTGGTGAGGAAGCATGTGGGGAAGGTAGGGATGAAAGGAGCCATGCGGTCAGCCTTGTCGAGAACGAGAAAGGAGAGATACTCGAGCTGGGGGATGGGGGAAGGGGGAGGGGGGGAGGACGGGAGGGAGGAGAATGGCAGGAGAGTTATGCAGACCAGCCATGCAGTCAGGCTCGTCGAGAACAAGAAAGGAGAGATACTCGAGCTGGGGAATGGGGGGAGGGGAATGTAGAGGAGTGAGGGGGTGAGTGGAGCAAGGGGGCCATAGGAGCAGAACAGAAAGGAGGATCAGACCAGCCATGCAGTCAGCCTCATCTATAACGAGAAATGAGAGGTACTCGAGCTGCGGGATGGGCGAAGGGGGAGGGGTAGTTGGGGGAGGAGGAAAATGGAGGGAGTGTTACTGGGGTAGTTGGGGTCGGCTTTGTCTAGAACGAGGAAAGAGAGGTACTCAAGCTGCGGGATGGGGGCAGGGGGAGGGGTGCGGGAGGGAGAAGGGGGAGGAGAATTGGGGAAGAGTTATGAGAGTGAGAGGGCAAGAGGGCAAGGGGGGAATTGGAGGCCTCTCAAAAACCAGCCACGAGGAAGGAGACATTAGAACGCACCTGCACCAGATGCGCCTCCCATGTGGAGTTTAAATTTTGAGAATTGTCAACAATAACTTCACCAGCCACGAGAAAGGAGATATTCGAACCCACCTGCACCAGGTGCGCCTCCTTACCTGCACCAGGTGCGCCTCCTTACCTGCACCAGGGGCGCCTCCTTACAGGTGCGCCTCCTTACCTGCACCAGGTGCGCCTCCTTACCTGCACCAGGTGCGCCTCCTTACCTGCACCAGGTGCGCCTCCTTACCTGCACCAGGTGCGCCTCCTTACCTGCACCAGGTGCGCCTCCTTACCTGCACCAGGTGCGCCTCCTTACCTGCACCAGGTGCGCCTCCTTACCTGCACCAGGTGCGCCTCCTTACCTGCACCAGGTGCGCCTCCTTACCTGCACCAGGTGCGCCTCCTTACCTGCACCAGGTGCGCCTCCTTACCTGCACCAGGTGCGCCTCCTTACCTGCACCAGGTGCGCCTCCTTACCTGCACCAGGTGCGCCTCCTTACCTGCACCAGGTGCGCCTCCTTACCTGCACCAGGTGCGCCTCCTTACCTGCACCAGGTGCGCCTCCCCTTGGCTCATCAGCTCCCACAGCCGCCCGGGCGTGCCGACCACAATCTGCGGCCCGAGGCTCAGCACCCTCCGCTGCTTCACCTCCGCCATGCCGCCCACTATGCCGGCCACGTGGACGCCTGTGTGGCGGGCCGCGTCTTTTATGTGCGACACGATCTGCAGCGCCAGCTCGCGCGTGGGCGTGATGATGAGCGCACGCAGCGGCCCCTTCACTCTCTTCCGAGCCCCGCTGCCCGCCGCCTTTCCCCCCTTCTTCCCTCCCCCCTCCCCTTCCCCCTCCCCTTCCCCCTCATTATTCCCTTCTTCTCCCCCGTCCCCTTCCCCACTCCGCTCCTCCCCAACCCTCTCCCCCCCCCGCGCCCTCCCCCCCCTCCGCCTCCCCACCTCCTCCCCCGTCCGCGCCCTCCCCTTCCCCATCTCCCCCATCTTCCCCCCACGCCCCGCCCCCCTCCTTCAACCTCCTCTCCTTCTCCCTCTCATCCAGCAGCCTCTGCAGAATCGGGATGGCAAACGCGAGCGTCTTACCCGACCCAGTTTCAGCCGCCCCCACAACGTCCCTGCCCCTGGACGCAGCAGCGGGGATGCATGCTCGCTGAATGGCCGTGGGGGAGGTGAACCCCAGGTCGCGCAGGGCGCGGAGAATGAGCGGGTGCAGACGAAGGGGTTCCCATTCCGGCATGTCTATGACCTCGTCTCCTTCTCCCTCCTCCCCTTCTCCCTCTTCCCCTTCTCCTTCCACCCCTCTGCTGTGCCGTCGATTTCCATGCCCAATGCTTCGCCTTCTGCAGTCTGCTCCTCATCACTCTCCCCATCTCCCTCTCCCTCCTCTCCCTCCTCCGCCTCTTCCTCCTCTTCTCCCTCCCCTCCCTCCTCCCTCTCCCTCTCTTTGGCCTCCTTGCCCTCCTCTTGCCTGTCTCCTGTGCCCGCCCGCTTCCCCCGCTTCAGAGCCCTTTTCAGCTGCTTCCGCTGCAACTTCCGCCTCTTGCTCTTGCTCATCTTCCCCTTCCCCTCGGCCTCATCCGTTAGACCCCCCTCTAAAACCCTGTCCCCTGCCCCCTTGTCCCCCAACCCAGATCCACTTCCCCCCCCCTCCACCGCAGCCCCACATTCAGCTGCTTCTCCTGCTTCCGCTTCCCCCAATTCTTCCCCGCTCTCCTCAATCTCTCCGCCCTCCACCTCCCCGCCAGCCACCAGCCCCTCAAACTCCGCCGGGTCAATCTCCTCTAGCCCCATGAAGCCTGACAGGGGGGAAAGAGGAGGGGAGGGAGGGTGTGGGGTGGAGGGGGGGGGGGGGGGGAAATGGGGGAAAATGGGGGGTGTGTGGGCGGGCAAGTTTTCGCCCTACATCTCTGCGCCCTTTATCTCCCCGCCAGCCACCAGCCCCTCGAACTCCGCCGGGTCCATCTCCTCGAGCCCCATGAAGCCTGACGGGGTGAAAGAGGAGGGGGGGGGAGGGGAATGGGGGAAAATGGGGGGTGTGTGGGCGGGCAAGTTTTCGCCCTACATATCTGCGCCCTCCATCTCCCCGCTAGCGCCCAGCCCCGCAAACTCCGCCAAGTCCATCTTCTCCAGCCCCATGAAGCCTGACGGGGTGAAAGAGGAGGGGGGGGGGAGGGGAATGGGGGAAAATGGGGGGTGTGTAGGCGGGCAAGTTTTTGCCCTACTTATCTGCGCCCTCCACCTCCCCGCTAGCGCCCAGCCCCGCAAACTCCGCCAAGTCCATCTCCTCCAGCCCCATGAAGCCTGGCGCGGGGGAAGATGGGGGAAGACCGGGACAGATGGCGGAGAGGGAGGGGGGAGGCGAGGGATTGGGAGGAGGAACAGACGATTGGAGTTGCGAAGAAAGTGGTGACAAGGGGTGGTATGCCTCCCGCTGCAAGGCTGCGCAGGTCCAAGAGCGATTCTTCCGCATGCACGGTGAAATAATTCACTTTTGAGAATTCACAGCAGCATTTTCACAGCCAGAACTTCGGATCCCGGAAGTTCCAGAGAAAGAACGGCTAGGTCGCAGATAGGGTTGCAAGGAGGATGGCAGTGGCGTACCTCCCGCAGCGGGGTTGCGCGGGTCCATGAGCATGTGCATGCCTTCAACAGGCGTCACGTCCTTCCATTTCACATTCTCAGGCACTCACGCAGCAAATTCAATACCTCCTGAGGCACGGAGGGGGTGCATACCTCCCGCGGCAGGGTTGCGCGGGTCCATGAGCATGTGCATGCCTGCCACGGGCGTCACGTCCTTCCATTTCACATTCTGAGCCACCTACGCCACGCGAAAAAGGGGTGGCACCATGGCGTACCTCCTGCAGCACGGAGGGGGTGCGTACCTCCTGCTGCGGGATTTGCGCGTACCTCCCGCAGCGGGGTTGCGCGGGTCCATGAGCATGTGCGTCCCTGCCACGGGCGTCACGTCCTTCCATTTCACCATACTGAAATTCAACCGTCCTCCGCGGATCATCTTGCCTCCGCCAATCACCTTCCCTCCGCGTCCCCCGAAGGCCTTTCCTGATCCGCCTCGCCGCGTACTTTCACCCTTTCTACCGCTCACTGCTCCCTTTTTCTTCCCCGCCAATCCATTCCCTTTGCCGCCTGCGCTGCCTGATGCCCCTCGCGACGCAAGCTTTGTTGCGCCGCCTCGCGTGCGTGTGCCGCCACGACCGCCTTTCATGACTAATAGAATCTCGACAAACTCCGACAAGGGAGTTTTGTGAGAACAGGCGAGGTAAGCTTATGCCCTAATTCTCGCGAAAGGGGTTTTGGGTGGCTGTGATGGGCCGGTCTACTTTGAAGGGCCTCGATATAGGAGACATGCCTTTTCTGTCCTGAGCTGATAGAAAATACGAAATGTTTACCAACTTCCACCCTGCACTAAACAAAATTATCGCGTTACAATCAGGCTCCGGTGTTGTGCGTATAATCGCTTCAGATTTCAGTCTCGTCAAATGTAGAACTGCGTAACCATGATCGAGCAAATATTGTCTTGACGAATGGGAACTCTTGATGGCGTGTCACTTGCAACGAAAACTGCCACATCAAAAACAAGATCTCCGCTCCAGGCGCTGGTGAGGCAGGCTCGTGCGGCGCGGCAATCTCGGTGGTTCTTGGGAGTTACGGAATCTCTTCAACACCGATGGTTGAGCAAATCAGAGGAGCTTTCAGCGATTCTAGACAGGAATCACAGGACAAGCCGAATTCAGATGCGCTCTCAGCTCAACAGCAAGGAACTGTCAGTATGTTTGCTCATAGCCTTCCTAGTGGAATTTACGTGACATACATTCAGCAACATTACGAGTTTCAGATCTCCACAATTTTCCAGCCTGTACCTTCCATTTGACAACAGTTCGTTGTTGAGACTTGAGAACTATGGCCGCTGTTGCCGTCGCTGCTGCGACCACTAGCGTTGCACTGAAACTTTCAGCGTCACGCAATGGTGTCGTTTCCTCTCGAACTCCTGCTCTAGCCTCGTTCTCCGGAATCTCCAGGACTAGTAAGATTATGTTACACGTTTCTATAACCGTTTTCGAACTTTACTTTCCCGGACAAGACTTACCCACAGGCTCACAAATGACTGAGCATTCGCAGGTGTTGCGGGGAAACGCAAGATCGCGGTGAGGGCCACTTCGCCTCAAGTGGAGGAGTACAAGGAGAAGGCTTCTGAACTCGTCGACGTTGCCAAATCCAAGGTTTCAATATTGTCGCAATCCGCTTCGTACTGTTCCTGTCCGCATCTAAATTGGACTTCTAATTTAGTTGTTATAATTGGTGATGCAGTGGGAAACAGTTGAGAACAAGCCTTTGGTGGCTTTATATGCCGGTGGAGCCGTTGTTGGCTTGTGGATAACATCTGCAATCCTGGGTGCTATCGACAGCATCCCGCTGGTGAGAAACTTACACCATGCTGTTGCCGTAGCCGTCATTCCTCGTGTATCAAAGCGTGTTTTGCATATTCTGCCCTCCTCTTATACCACGCTGCAGGTTCCAGCCTTCTTGAAGCTCGTCGGAACGGTCTACACTGGGTGGTTCACCTACCGCTACCTGATTTTTGAGGTCAGTTGTTACTGTCGAGCTAAAGAGGTATCGTCATCACCTTTTTCTCACGCTAATGACTCGGGCCTTCTTGCACTGCAGGCTTCCCGTAAAGAGCTTTCCGACAAGGTGGCGGATCTGATTTCCCAGATCAAGTGATGTTATATATGTTATTACGCTTGGGATCAACTCCCACAGCATATGTAAATTTAGATGTAAAAGCGTTGATGAGAAACTAGTAAGATTGTGCTACTACCAATGTTGGTGCAATGCCAGGCTGGAAAGGACTAATTTTCTCGAAGGAGTCCACAAGACAAACCCCACATGAGACTCAAGGTACCCAGAAATGCTAAGCCTAAGATCTAGAGGAAATCATTTGAGCCCGGAAAATGTTGCATGTCGGGATGAACACCTCCACCTGGAGGACCTCGAGGCCTTGGACCGCCATCCCTGTATGAAATGATAAGGTAGAGATTCAGTGTGTATGCTAAGTGACGGAGGTCAGCTGATGAGATTCAGGGTGCATAGCTGCCTATTGGGTTTGCCAGTTGTCTGTCCGCATAAGCGAACCTTCGATTAGGTCGAATCAAACCCACTACGACTGACACAGGCAATGACGTGCTTACCCGAATCTACCGGGCTCGAAGCCCGGGATGCCCGGAGGACCAAACGGATCAAAGCGAGCTCCTGGTGGCATCCCCCTGAAAACACACAAAAGAACTGAATCAGAGCTCCAACTGCAAAAATGATACCAAGAAGATAACAAAGGCCCAGAAGTCCAGAGGGACATGCATGCCCAGGAAAGGTTTAGGGATGGAAGCTTACGGCGGCAAGGGTCCCACGCCTCCAACTCCTCCTGGAAACGTTGGGCCCCATCTCGGATCATGAGGCCCTGCACATTACAGTAAGAGAATGAAATCAATGAGAGTAATTGAGATGGTATTTGAGCACCGACGCATGCCTTGACACCCTAGACTCTAACCCTGCCTTCATAACAGCGCCTTGCAGTGGGAGATATACATACCTACAAGCATGCTTCCTCCACCGAAACCAGGTCTGCATGCACCAAGGAAAGCAATCAGTGTGAACACCATCATGAAAAAACACACGAGGACAAACGAAATGAGGACTGGCCTACGAGTTTCTACCTTGAAGGCATGATCCCCGCTCCTCCTCCTGGATGCAAGTCATCGTACGGTGGCCCTGCAGGAATGGGAGGGTAAACAATCCCTTCCCCTCCCCCCAAACCACCAACCGAGCCAGGCTGAGGCTCGTCAAAATATACCCCTCCTGCTCGCTCTCCCTCTCTCCCAGAACTCCTCCCCGATTCCTGTGCTGCTGTGCCTGTGGAAGTGGGTTGTGATGCCGCAGCACCAGCACCAGAAGCAGCACCAGCAGCAGCATTCCCAGCAGGAGTCGCTGAGGTGGTGCTGGAAGTAAAGGGCACGATGATGGCTGATGATATGGATGACACCAGTGCTGGAAGATTAGTAAAGATTTTACTGTAGTCCGTTGACGACGGAAGGGTGTCTGCTGACGTGTTTTCAGAGACCCTGGTGAGTGGAAGCAGTCAGAGAACGCAGTCAGTAGAAAATATTGCTACATGCAAGAAGATATCATGGAAACAGAGTGATATTGAATGCAATTCGTTCACAAACCTGATTTCAAGATGAGATACAGAAGCTGAAGCCCCTCCTGAACCTGCTCCACCCATCGCTGTTGCATCCACCATAAGAAGCTCGCCGTCTGCAACAGATAAGCACTGAACCACCAATCTCTCTTCTGTACCAGTCTTCTCTGCACTTGCTTCTGCTGAAGCTAATGTGCTCTCGCGAGCATACGCGAAATTATAAACACCTGAAACTGTGTTCCAGCCCTCAATTCCAGCATCCGCGTTTGAAGCTACATCCTTCGACCCTGCCATCATCAAGAAACCCCGAATCCGTAAAACACACAAAAATTACAAAGAATCTCAGCGTGGTCCAAAAGAACGCAAAAATATTTGTCCGCCGAAGCTTATCTGTCCCTTTTCGTCATCCCACCTGCAGCAACCTCAGCGGCTTCAGGTCCGACTGCGAGACACCTGAATCCAGACGCCAGGAACGTCGCATGGATCGCAAACGCAACGCTATCTTGCTTGGAAGTGAACCTGGGTCGATATGCTCTCAGCAGAGCTAAGACAGCCTCGGAAGTAGCCATCTGGGCAGGATTTCAGGAGCTGGGCGATGATGAGATCGCGGAATCCAGGAAAAAAACCACGACGCTTGGGGTAAAGTGGGACGAACACGCAGTAGCTGTATGCAAACTCAGATGCGAGTACGAGGACTGCGTGATAATGAGGCGACTAGGGAACATATGTATGAGCAAGGAACGGCCATGCAGGGAAACTCTTCAGAAATCCAGAATCTCATGGGGCTCCATGCGGAAATTCGTGACCTGGGTAGGAGATGCCCTACGCGGAGGATTTTCGTGACAGTGTCGTACAGCTCCATGTATCCAGTTCGCTGACCTCGTTTGCCAATCACAATCCTTGATCTTGTCCTTCTCTGATGGGAACCTGTGTTGCTCGGTTGCTCACTGCTAGTGTCAGTAGAATGTGGAGTACACTCAAACTGTTGATGCAGTACTATCTCGATTTATTGGGGGACCGAATTTGAAGGGCTCAGAAACTGTGCGGACGTGCGCAGCGTGAGCCGTTTCCAAACCAGAATTGCTGCTTTGCCATCCGTTAGAGTCATCGACTCGAACTTGCCGAACAAAGAGCTCAGACTCGGCCTCACTCAATTCCCAACCACCGAGCTCCAAACCTGCAGCTTCCCAACCACATGACCAAGTCTCGAGCTTGCGCCGCGTCCGCCGACTAGTCCCGCTGCCCTGGAGCCCTGAAGTACAGTTCTGTTGTTAGTCGGGGGAAAGGCGGAGAGTACAGTCTCCACCAGCGTACACACCCAGGACTTCCGCCTTCGTAGGGTCACTTTCCGCCATTCCTGTCACCTTCCACCAACTTCTAGGACCCTCCGCCAGGCATTACCTCCGCCTATTTTAGAACAGCTCCAGCACCCCCCCACCCCCCCCATCTCCGCGCTAGCTCCCCCATCCGCGCTCCCAATCTCCCCGCCCCTGCCCCCCGGCTTCCCGCAAGTCCTTCCCCATCGTTTTCCCATACCCCAATCATCCCGCCAGCCCAGCTAACTGTTCCCCCACGGCGATTTTCAGCCATGGCGGTTGCTCCTTCCCTTTCACGCCCGCACCAACCCTGATTATTCTCTGCTCACCTCGCCTCGCCTCGCCTCGCCAACCCCGTAGTTAGGACTTAGGAAACCGCCTTACGGCGCCGTAACATCACTCTGAACATTGTCTGGTTCTCTAATATATACTGAGTGCCCCGCATTGCGTTACCATCCGCTGTTCCTCTCTCACTTTCACGACTCGCGGCTTGATCAGTAAACGCACTTTATTTAGTTCGCCTTCCCCGATACAGAGTCTCGTTGCGTGCGCACCTGATTTTCTATCTGCGAGACACATTAAGTTGCAACTGTTTAGCAGTGGCCGTGTTCTCCGTTGCGTAGACTCGTGCAACCCTAATTGCATAACAGACCCATGGGTAGTTGTTAAAGCCGTATTAACTGCTGGGCCAGCGAGGCAGGTGGACCCATGGGTGGGTGCCTATCTAGCGAGAAGGCGACGAAAGAGGAGCAAAGACCCAATAGTAACGCACCCCCTTTAGGTGAGTCGCTAACGGCTAGTAATGCATGGCTTTGTATCCCTCTATTTTATCAGTTTGTATGTCGACTTATGTAGCGGTTGATGCATTGTTTGTAAGAAGGCGACGATAAAAGTGCGACGAACATAGTGTCATATTCACTAGCTTTCGTCCTTCGTACGATTAGTTAATCGCTTCGTTTTCGAGTCATTCGTCCATTAGCAAGCTTACTCTTATCAATGTCTGCATGCCAGCATCTGTTTTCTTACATCGGCTAACCGTCTGTTCAACCTCGCTAGACGAAATATAGCCACCATATGGAATCGTACTCGTCAGAACTCCAGAAGCGAGATACTTTCGTTGTACCCGTTATCGTCTGATTCTGTAGTCCTTTTTAAAAACTCGTACGGGCTACTCTATGAACGACTTTCGACTTGCTCAGGTTTCGTTTCAAGCCGACCATCTCCCGTTTCTTGCGGGTGCATTTTTACTCCTCCTGCTTATGCGTCGAGCCACCTAGCACTCATTTGTCCCCCCCTCCCGCCCTTCCTGCTTAGGCGGCGACGGGCCTAAAGTTTCCGCGGGTGCGCCCGCTCCGGAGGCGGGAAGCCAGCAGCAACAGCAGCAGCAGGAGCAGCAGCAGCAGCAGCAGCAAGCGGAGGAGCAATGGCGGTTGCAGCAGCAGAAGGAGCAAGAGGCTCTTCAGCAAAAGCAGGCGTACGAGGCTCAGCAAATGCAGGAGCATCAGCAGTTACAGATGCAACAGCAGCAGCAGATGCACTACCAGCAGCAGCAGATGCAGATGCAGCAGCAGCAGCAACAACAAATGTACATGCAGCAACAGCAGCAGCAGCAGCAGTATGGGGTAGATCAGCAAGGGTATAATCCTCAATACGGTATGCAACAACAAGACCCCAGGTACATGCAACAACAGCACATGCAGCAGCAGCAAATGCAGCAGCAGCCCCCGCCTATGAATCCCTACCAGCAGCCCCCGCACCTATACCGCCCCCCCGCTTCCGCCAGGCTTCCAACAATCCGCCGCGCCTATTCCCCCCCGCGGGTTGCGACAAGTGAACGAGGAGGAGGAGGTTAACGACGCGCAGGGGGGTTGGGGGGCGGAGCGCCCGCGGGAGCAGCAGGCGGGGGAGGAGGCATCGGGTATCAGGAGCAGCCGGCGGAGCTACAGGAATATTCGTACCAGGATTTAGTCGACGCGACGGAGGATTTCCAGGAGCATTCTGTGCTGGGAGAGGGGGGGTTCGGGAAGGTTTATAAGGGGTACGTTTTGGACCGGTTTCCCGTGGACGGCGGCCCGCCTGTGACGGCGACGGTGGCGATCAAGAAACTTAACCCGTCGGGTTACCAGAGCAAAGTGGAGTGGATGGTAAGAATTTCGGGATTCTTTTTTATCGCTTGAGTGCTCGTCTTTCCGCCTTCCTCTCGCCCTCCTACCCCTACACCCACCCTCCTCCTCCCTTCCCGCCATGCTCCACCGGCCCTCGCCTCGCACTTTCCCCACCCCCCCTTTTCCCCCGCCGCCATTCGCGCTCTTCCGTTCCTCTCCTTGCGCTCTTTAACACTCGCTCTTGCCTTGCTCGTCCTCTCGTCGCCGTCGCGCTCTTCCGCCCGCCTGTTCTCTAATGTGTTTCCGTACTTGTTCCCGCTCGATAAGTGTCGATTCATTCAGGGGTTTACGTGAGGACGCTTTTTGTATTTTCCGGCCAGGTATATTGGAGTCACTTTTGCGCCGGATAGGATACCTTGAGACCTTGATTCCTCTCCTCATTTCCCTCACCCCCTCCGCCCCTTCTTCCCCTCCCGTTCTTCTGTACCCTGCCTTCCCTCTTCCTCCTCTTTTTCATGCGTGCGTCCGTGCATGCGCATGTGCGTGCGCGTGCGCTGTGCGTGTGTTTGCGGATGTGCTTGTGCGTGTGCATGATCGTGTGCCGCGTGCGTGTGCATCTGCGTGTGTGTGCGTGCGTGTTGAATATCAGAGGGAAATTTTGGTGCTGGGGAAGCTGAACCACCCGAACTTGGTGCGGCTGATAGGCTACTGCGCAGAGCTCGAGGAAATGCTGCTTGTCTACGAGTTCGTCCCAAGAGGCAGTCTCGACTACCACCTCTGGCCTGGTAAGCTTTTATGCGGTTTTCTTCCTTGCGCGTTTTCTCAAGGGAAGACCTCTGGAAGGGCAGGTGCGGACCTGGAGCGGCTGATAGGCTACTGCGCGGAGCTCGAGGAAATGCGTCTCGTCTACGAGTTCGTTCCGAGAGGCAGCTTTGATTATCACCTCTGGCCGGGTAAGGTTCCCGTGTGAGTCCACTCGAGAAAGAGGGAGGGCCACTCGAGGGAAGGCCACTCGACGGTGTCTGCGCGTCTTCCACAGCGGTGTCTATGCGTCTGTGCTTTCGGTGCCCCATTGCTTGCGCCTATGCTATGCCTCCCCGCTGCTTGCCCCCCCACCGTGCCCCTTCTCCCTTCCGCCCATCACTCCGCCCCTCAGCCCCCGACGTGCCAGCGGACCCCCTGCCGTGGCATGCACGACTGCGCATTGCCCCTCTGACCCTCGGTGTGCCCCTCTGCTTGTTCATGTGCTTTCCTCCCCTCCCTCCCGCCCGCCTCGTCTGTCCCTCCCCTGCGCGTGCCTTCCGCCCCTCAGCCCCCAACGTGCCCGCGGATCCTCTCCCATGGCAAGCGCGACTGCGCATCGCCCACGACGCTGCATGTGGGTTGGCGCATCTGCACGCCAGCAACTTCATCCATCGCGACTTTAAGGCGCCGAATATTCTCATTGCCGAGGTACGTATGGGTATCCCTGGGTACGTATGGTTGCGTCTGGGTTCCTCTGGGTACGTGTGGGTGCGTCTGGGTTCCTCTGGGTACGTCTGGGTGCGTGTGGGTATGACTGGCTCGCAATGCGGCGTGTGGGTTGGCGCATCTGCACGCCAGCAACTTCATTCACCGCGACTAGGTGCCGAATATCCTCATAGCTGAGGTACGTCTCTCAAGCACTACTCACCCAAGCTGGCTGTTTTGGGCTGGCGTTACGCGGGCCTGGTGCTAAGGAGCCTAAAGGGTACTCCGACCCCTCCCCTCTAACCCATCCCCACCCCCATCCCAACCCCCACCGCCTCTCTCTTCACCATCTCTACCCCCGTCCCCCATACTTTGCAAGGATGCTGATGCGGACCTTATGGGTACTCTGAGCCCTCCCCTCACTACAACCCCCCGCCCTTCAAACCCCCACCCATCGGCACCCATCCTCACCACCCCTGTCCGCCCCTCTCCACCCTTGACCACTTCCACCATGATTGAGCAGAATTACGCGGGCAAGTTGACGGATTTCGGGCTGGCCAAGGATGGGCCGGATACTGAGGTGCCTTAACAGTCCTCTAACCTTTCGTCAACCCTTTCCACCCCCCACCCCCCCCCCCCCCTCCACCCACCCGTAACCACTCCCACCGTGCCATTGCAGAATTACGCGGGCAAGTTGACGGATTTCGGGCTGGCAAAGGACGGGCCGGATGCGGGGCAGACGCACGTGTCGACTCAGATCATGGGCACCATGGGGTACCTTGACCCGCGATATGCCGAGACAGGTAGGCTAATTGCTGGTACGCTGAGCTGTGGTGAAGCAGGTGTGCTGCTGCTTGTATTACGGTGTGAGGTAGGTGGTATGATGAGGCACGGGTCACATGGGCATGGCAGACGCACGTGTCGACTCAGACCATGGGCACCATGGGGTACCTTGATCCGCGATACTCTGAGACAGGTGTGGTTCTGTTATGGTATGGTGAGATAGGTGTGCTGGTGGTTACATCGTGTTGATACATACAGGCCACATCTACAGGGCAGATGAAGGTGTCGACTCAGATCATGGGCACCATGGGATACCTTGATCCGCGATATGCCGAGACAGGTAAGGTTATGGGTCTGGTATGGCAAGGCAGGTGGTGTGATGGGGCATGGGTCACGTGGGCAGGGCAGGCAGACGCACGTGTCGACCCACGATACGCCAAGACAAGTATACTGGTGGCTTGGATGGGTTGAAACAGGTGTGCTGCTGGTTGTGATAAGGCAGGTGGTGTGACGGGAAGCAGGTCATGTAATCAGGGCAAATGCACGTGTAGACTCGGATCGTGGGCACTGTGGGATACCTGGACCCGCGATACGCTGAGACAGGTGCGTTCTGGTTGGGTTGTGATGAAATTGGTGGTGTGATGGGGCATAGGTTGCACGCGCGGCGCAGACACATGTGTTGGCACATGTTATGGGCACCATGAGGTACCTGGATCCCCTGTCACTGTCTCAAGCGCCCACTCATGCCCCGTGTCACTGCCTCTCTGCCCATCTCTCTGTGTGTTCAACACTCCTCAACCCCCACAGGTCAGCTGACAGTGAAGAGTGATGTGTATGCCTACGGGGTGGTGCTTCTAGAGCTTCTCACAGGCAAGAAGGCGATGGGAATCAGCCCCGGGGGCAAACCCAAGACCCTCACCTCCTGGGCGCGCCCGTACCTCAACAAGGCTCGGCCGGACCTAGAGTCGCTTGTCGACCCGAACCTGATCGACCCGTTCCCGGAGAAGGTGGCTCGGACGCTGGCGATTTCGGCGAAGCACTGCATTCAGGACGACACGAATATGCGACCCATGATGAGCGATATTGTCGACACGCTCCGGCCCCTCAACACCGCCATTAATGGCCGTCGCTAGGCGTGCTTGCGACTCAGCTGGGGGGTTGGGAGAAGGAGGCGGTAACGAAGCACTGCATTCAGGATGACACCAGCATGCGACCCATGATGAGCGATATTGTGGACACGCTCCGGCCACTCAACACGGCCATTAATGGCCGTCGCTAGGCATGCTTGCGAGTCGAGCGGGGGATCGAGAGGGAGGGGGCACACATTCATGACGACAGCAACATGCGATGAGCGTCCGGACGGAAAGCATATTGTTGACGCTTTCCGGCTGCTCAACACCGCTACTAACGGCCGCTGCTATGCACGCATCGATGGCTTGGTTTTAAGTCGACTTGGGGGGGGGGAGGGGGGGAGAGGGGGGGCAAGGGGATCCTGAACGTGGCTACTGATCAGCAGGGTCCACTAAGCAGAGACTTGGAACGATGGGAATCATTGCGCATGGGATCAGCAAGCACGCTGATGTTTCTGGATGGCAATAGGCACCGTACGGGGTTTGAGCATGGAGCAGAGACGAGAGGCGAGTCGGTGGGGTTTCTACAGGATTTGAAGACGCTGAGGCGAGGTGGCTTAGGCATGTGGGCAAGGCGAAAAAGGGTGGGGTGGGGGGGGGGGTGGAAGGGGGGGGGGGGGAGAAGACAGAGGGGCAAAGGGCGTTGGGAAAAGTGTTGAGGGCTTCAAGGGGATGCTTTACAAAGTAGAGAATCAGCAGGGGATTGATGGGACGTAACAGCTGGGAGGGGGAGCGGCTGGGAAGAGGAGCAGCTAGAGAAGAGAAGTTAAGGAAGGGGAGCAGCATCTGGATTAGCAGACTGTGGAGTAGGCCTTTGTGCATTCTTGAAGTTAGCTGCACTAGTAGACTCTGTAGCCTTAAGTTCTGTGCTGAAAAGGGTAAGTGATCTTAGGGGGGTTGGGAGTGGGGGTGGAGTGAAGAGCGGAGGGGTGTCATCTCGGGTGATGATGTTTGGGGTTTTGAGTTAGGGAAAACTACTAGGAGTGGAATGGCAGTAGTTCACCTTGGTGACAACGAGAGGTGGCACTAAGCTGAGGGCAGTTAGTAATCAGGAGCGTGCGAAGGCTCAAAGGTTTGATGGATATCCTACATTATGAGAGGACTAGGTCTCTCTTTGTGAGGCTCGTTGGGTTGTGGTTAGTGTGTGGTGGCTAGCATTAGCTAAGTAGGCAACAAGTTAGGCTTGCTTGTTTGGCTTACGTTTGGGTTGGAATGGGGGGACTAGTGAAGTGAGCGGGGTACTGAATGGGGGGACTAGTGGCCGATGTCACTAGTCTGGAACTGTGCTAGCATTCCAATTTTCCAAACGGAATAGGTATTGTAGGAGATATATTGAGAGACTGTATTTCCTACACTGTTATGTGAGTGTTTGGTTTGCTGTTGCACTTCTAACGAGGTATCATCTGCCCTCGATCTTGCCGAGCTCGCACCCCCGGGACACACCACTTTGGGCTGTAAGGGGAAAAGAGGAGAGACTTGGTTGGCATTCGTCAATCGTGACGGGTGCTCGCCCTTTTCTCCCCCACAGCCAGTTCTCTTCGTCTTCTCATGCCCGTCAAGCGGCTGGTCAGTTCAGGCGTGCTTTGCCGCTGGCTCCTCTGATCGGATCATCCATTCCAGCCTTTTCCCGATAATGCCGGTACGTCTGTCACGTTCCATGTACTAGTAGGTCTCAGCGTGGCGCTTGTTCTTCGCGTATTCGATGCACTGATGAACCGTAGATCCCTGAATCTTATTTGAATTCGTAGGTCACTGATCCGTAAATTGTAAGAAGATTCAGGAATCATAGCTCTCCGTCTACGAGTTATTGCAGTGGACGGCCTTTTTTGTTATCGCTGCTTTACCTTTCACGTCGCTTGCTAAGATTCGTCTTAGCTCTTTCTAGCTTTTGACTCGCCTCGCTTCACGCAAGAGTCTCTTCAGTTGCTCAGACGCGCCTGTTCATTCGCCCGATTCCGTGCTCCCTAGGAGTCCTCACTAGAGAGTAGATCCGAAGTTTTCCAAGAACTTTTAATAACGTGCTTCCGTATAACCTGATTCGTTATTCTCTTTCAGGCGCGTCGGCTGCTGGAAATAGAGCCCCCAGGCCCGTTTCGCTACATCCTGGGCGCGGTGCTGATGCTCGTGGGGGTCGTGCTGCCGCTCACCTATTTCATGTTCCGATCCAAGCGAACCCCGCCTCCTTCGTTCAAGCAGACGTAGGTGTGGTAACCCTATACACTCGCTATAAGCATTCTCGTGTGTGCTGCCGCTCACCCTCTCCATGTTCCGATCCAAGCGAACGCAGCCTCCCTCGTTTGTGGGGTAGCCTGTATCCTTTCTCCGTGTGTTAGGGGCGTTCTACTCGCTCTTACTACTTACCTGCTTACTTCCATCACCTCGTCCGCCCGAATAGTGCTTAATCCTGCCTGATACTGCCTACTCCGGCGTAATATCGCTGTTAATGTGTAATCAGCATCTAGTTATCGTAACTAGATAGTGACAGCTTCTTTTGCTAGATCCGTCAAAATCTACGGGTTTTTTTTTGTACTGGTTTCCAATCGCATGACAGGTGTTCGATTTCTGATGCTCTATTGTCTGTTCAATTCAACCCAACCTTTTCCATCAGGTTCTAGCCACCCATTTCTCTTCCCGCCGAAGCTTTTGTAGAAATCAGCGACCACTGTGGAGCGGGGCTCATCCGCCAATCACTGTTGACTGTTGAAACAACCAGCATCCAATCATGGCTCAGTCGCTTGCAACCACACGCCTACCGCCGCTGCTGCGGCTGCTGCTGGTAGTAGCGATGGTGGTGTTGTGTGCGGGAGTGGCGCGGGTGAGCGGGCTATACGAGGACCAGGTGGGCGCGTACGACTGGGTGCAGCCGCGCATAGGCGGGGTTCGCTTCGCGGCGTTCCTCACCTCCTCGCAGCGCAAGCGCGTGCTCGTGGGGACCGACAGGAACGTTATTGCGGCGCTGAACCTCCGCACGGGGGACATCGGTGAGTGAGATAGGGGGGATACTGATGGTTGAGCGAGGGAGTGAGGGGGAAAGGGGGAGGGGAAGGGGGAGGGGGGTTTGGGGGAGATTGTGCAGCGCACAAGCGCGTGCTCGTGGGCACGGACAGGAGCATTATGGCGGCTCTGAACCTCCGCACGGGGGATATCGGTGAGTGGGCCAGGGGGGATACTGATGGTTGAGCGATAGGGTGGGGTGGGGGGAGGAGGAGGGGGGGGGGGGGGGGGGCAGCGCGCAAGCGCGTGCTCGTCGGCACGGACAGGAACGTTATTGCGGCGCTGAACCTCCGCACGGGGGATATTGGTGAGTGGGCGAGGTCTTTTGAGGCGTTGCAAAAGTCGCACGGGGGATATCGGTGAGTGGGCGAGGGAGTGGCGGGAGTGTGCAAGCACGTGCTCGTGGACAGGGGCGATCTGAATCTGATTCGCGTCAAATCACCCTGCACATCTCTCCTCGTCGCTTTATGCTCGTCTCTGTCGGGAATCCGCACGGCGGGATCACCGATTCTCGGTTCCCATCTTCACCTTTCCTCTTTGCTTTCCTTCCCCCTCTCCGTCCCCCCACTGCGTCTTTTCCCCCTTGCAACGCCCGTCCGCGCACTTGATATGGCTGGCAGCGTGGCGTCGTGTGCTAGGGGACAAGGACACCCTCCATGCGCTGGATATGGGCGGCAGATGTGAGTGCATGGGCAATAATGGGCGGCAGATGTGAGTGCATGGGCAATAATGGGCAGCAGATGTGTGTGTGCCTGGGCAACAAATGTGAGTGGGCATGGCAGATCATGCGCTGCAGATGTGGGAGGATGAAGGAAAGTGGGCACATGAGTGAGGAGGGATGTGGGAAAACGTGTAAGAAACCCGAATCCTTCTCATGCGTCGGTATCCCCATTGTCTTCTGTTCTTTCCCACCGTCCAGACCTCGTCACACTGTCTGGCACCGAGGCAGCAGCAGTGCGGGCGTGGGCTGTGCCAGATGGGACCCTCGCATGGGAAACCATGTTGCCACTGCCTTCCGCTGCAGAAGGGGGGGGCGTGACTGCGAAATTTATCACCATTCCGGTGAGTGAGGCATCGGGGTGTGGCGTGGGCTGTGCCTGATGGGACCCTCGCATGGGAGACCGTGTTGCCACTGCCTGCAGCTGCAGCAGCAGCAGCAGCAGCAGCAGCAGCAGCAGCAGCAGCAGCAGGAGGCGAAGTGGTGGCGAACTTATCACCTGAGTGTGGAAAGAGTGTACGGTGCAGGCATGGGCTGTTCCCGATGGGACCAACCGTGCTGCCTCTGCCTTATGCTACTGTGTGGTGTGGCATATGAGCTTGTTCCTTTTGCCCGCCCCTTCCCCCTCAGGCCACTGACAGTTCCTCACCAGACCGAGTGGTGGTCCTGCTTGGATCAGCATCAGCATCAGCAGCAGAAGCAGCTGAACCAGCAGCAGCACGAATAGCATCGGAGGTGCATTGTTTGTCGGCTGCTACAGGCGAGGTGCTCTGGTCTGCTACCCTGTCCACCCACGCCCACACCATCTCCCTCCTCCCGCATGGCCCCATCCTCCTCACTAGCCTCTCCCCCTCGCTCTCCTTCTCCCTCACCAATCTCGACGCCGCCTCTGGCAAAACCACTGCCACTGCTGCTTCTCCTCCCTCCTCTTCCTCCTCATTTCCTCGCCCTGCTGCGTATGTTACGGCTACTGGCACTTCAGTGGCTGTGGATTCGGCTTCTGGTAGTATTCTCACTGTCTTGCTGGTTACTGCTGATGCTAATGCTACAGCCGCTACAGTGCAAGTGCACAGCACCCCCCTCGCCTCTCTCTTACCCAAGGAGCACTACCAGTCAGGAGTCTCTGCTGCTGTGGTGCCAGAAAAAGCCCCAGGAAACTTCTTCTGGCTGTCTGTGCCAGGAGCTGTGTTTCTGCTGTCGGCAGGGGCGGCAGACGGGCAGGCTGGGTCGGCAGGACAGGTGTCGCTCGTTAATTCGTTCCCTGGGTTTAGCGCTGTTAGTGCGAGCGTTGCAGGAGGTGCGACAGGGGCAGGAGCAGGAGCAGGAGCAGGAGGAGGGGAGGGAGCGGAAGGAGGAAGTTTTTATTCCGGTCTTGTGGGGTCGCAAAGCAGTGGTGATACCTTGAAGTTTCACACGCAGGTGAGAAGAGAGGCGAGGAGTAAAGGACGTGTGTGATTGTGTGGGCGTGCACGTGTGCTTTCATCCACATGCATGCATAAGTCGAGAGGAGTGTAAGCTCCTTGTGGGGTCGCAAGGCAGCGGTGATACCCTGAAGTTTCAGATGCAGTGAGATGCGAGGAGAGTCGAGACTGTGTGCATTTGTGTGGGCGTGCATGTTTGTTTGCCAGTGTGTGTATTGAGGAGTGTGAGGGCCCTGTGGGACCGCAAGGAAACGGTAATACCCTGAAGTTCCACATGCAGGTGAATAGATTAGGAGAGAAGTAAAGGATGTTTGTAATTGTGTGGGCGTCCACGTGATTTTGCCTGTGTGCTGCTGCTCACATCCGCGTCTCCCTCAACGCTTTATTATTTCCTCCGTTGCTCTCTCCATATTCCCTCGTCTTTACAGGTGAAGCAGCTGCTTCCCTCCTCCTCCTCCTCCTCTCCTCCTGCCCTCCTCTCGGACTCTGTGCCATCCCACCGTGGCTCCCCTGCACGCGTTTTCCTCAACTCCCTCTCTCTTGCGCTTCCCTTCTTCCCGCATCCTTCGTCCCTCGTCCCTGCAGGTGAATCAGCTGCTTCCCTCCTCCTCCTCCCCCTCCTCCTCTCCTCCTGCCGTCCTATCAGACTCTGTCTCTGTGCCATCCCATCGCGGCCCCCCTGTTCGCGTTTTCCTCAATGCCTACTCAAGGGCAGCAGGGGCAGGGGGCAGGGGGCGGGTCAAAGATGAGAAGGCGGCAGGAGAGGGGACGGCGGGTGCGTTTGGGTTCAGGCTTCTGGTGGTTGGAGAGGATGATTCGCTCTCTCTGCTGCAGCAGGTGGGTTATCTTATCCCTGGTCCGTTTGCCTTCTGGCATGGTCTTTCGTACTGCTGGTGGATGACAGGGACGATAAACGCGCTGTCTTTGCTGCAAAGGTGTTCCAAGCGCAAGGGTGGGGAAGAACGAAATGCTGGTAATTCTGGGTTCAGGCTTTTGGTGGTGGGGCCAGGCTGACACGTTGTCTCTCTGTTTCAGCAGGCTATCCTCATCTGACCTCCTCTCCTTCCTCCCCTTCCGGGCCCCTTTCCCCCCCATCCTGTACGATGTTTGCCCCATTACAGGGAGAGGTGGTGTGGGAGAGGGAGGAAGCTCTAGCGTCAGTGGTAGCAGTATCAATAGCAGAGCTACCGGAGGAGGAGGAGGAGCTGTCAGTGGCAGCAGTGGAGCATGACATCTACGAGTGGGCTCGCACGCACGTCCTCAGGGCCAAGGTCTCTCTCAATCTCGGTTCAGCGGAGGAGCAGGCGCTGGTGCATCGCCTGCGCACCGCCTCCCCTGAAAAGATCAAGCCTTTCCGGGATAGGAATGGGTTTCGGCGCATTCTCCTGCTGCTGACCGCGCCAGGTGGCGGCAACAGAGGGGCAGGTGGCGGCAGTGGAGCGTCAGGTGGAAACAGCGGAAGGGGGATGGGGAAGCTGTTTGCGTTGCATTCAGGGGATGGCCGGGTGCTGTGGGCTGCTGCGCTGCCGTCAGGTGGCTCTTCAGGTGGAAGGGGCGCATCTGTGTTTTCACCTGAAGCGCTGGTGCTGTGGAGGGACCCTCACCGCATGTCACCTGACCAAACACCTGAAGCTCTGGTGCTGCAAACCAAGCAGCAGAAGCAGGAGCAGCAGGAAGTGGGGGATAGGGAGGTTGCGCATGCGGCGTTGGTGACTGTAGTGAATGGGCACACGGGGGATGTGCTTGAGTCGAAGGGCTTGCCGTTTGTGCCCCGTCTCGTTGCCCCCTTGCCCCTGGTGGGGAAAGACGAGCGTCGGCTGGTGATGCTGGTGGAAAAGGCAGAGAGGAAGGAGGAAGAGGGGAATGAGGGGCAAGTGAAGAAAGAGGAGACAGGTGGGAAAGAACAGGGACAGAAAGGGCAGGAGAAGGGCGGTGCAGCAGCAGCAGGAGGGGGGAAGGCGCGGCTGTATGAGCCTGTGGGAGTGCATGTGTTCCCAGGGACGGAGGAGGCGAGGAGCCTGTTTGAGGGGCACAAAAAGGAGGTGTTCTTTTACCAGGTGGACACTGTAACGGGGGCTGTGGAGGGGTATAGCATTGGAGAGGAGGTGAAGGATGAGGCTGGGAGTGGTGGGAGCGGCGGGAGGAGCGATGGTGGGAGGTTGGGAGGGGGGTTGGTGTATGGAGCAGTGTTGGTGTGGCAGGTGGTTCTGCCTGCTGGCTCGGAGGTCATTGCAGCCATTGCTGCGCCTAAGAGAGAGGAGGTGAGTGCATAGGTATGCATGGGCGTGCATGGCATGGGTGTGCATTCCCCATCACCCTCCATCTCCCACCTCCTCTCAGTCCCAGCATACTCCAAGTGCTAACCCTATATTTCCCTGTCTTCGATCTTGAATTCCCCCAATCCCCTGCCCCACGCCCCACACTACTCACCCCCACGCCACCCCCTCTCGTCCCAGCACACGCAAGTGCGAGCCCTGGGCAATCGCAGTGTGCAGTTCAAGCTACTTTCCAAGAACCTTCTCTTCCTGTTCGTGAGTTATTGTTGCCCACAAAACAAGCCATTTCCTATCCCCTCCACATCCCCCTCCCCTCTCCCGACCTTCACCCTAACCCCCTCCTCCTTCTCAGTCTCAGCACACCCAAGTGCGGGCCCTGGGAGATCGCAGTGTGCAGTTCAAGCTACTTTCCAAGAACCTTCTCTTCCTCGCCACCACCACTCCTCCTGCCACCGCCGCTGCCTCTGCTTCTGCTTCTGCAGGCGCAGCAGGGGCAGGAGGGGAGGAGGCGGGAGCAGTGGTGGTGTATGTGATTGATACGGTGGGAGGGATGGTGGTGGAGAGGGTGGTTCACGAGGGCATGCAAGGGCCAGTGCACGCGGTGAGTGTGGGGGCCCTTGACGTTGTGTGTGTGTGGGCAACTGAAGGGAGGGCCTGGCGTTCTGTGTGTGCTCATTGAGGGCACGTGTATGGAGTGAGTGGGGTGAAGCTTATTGAGTAAGTGGAAAGGGGGCTCGTTGAGGAGGTTGCCACTGAAGGGTGGGCAGGTGGTCGAGGGGGATGGGATGAGGTTTGACGGGAGGTGGGTGTTGAGGGGAGGTGGGTGGTGCATTGGAATGGTCGGTGGTTAGGGTAGTGTGTGGTTAGCCTGGAATCTGTAGTGTGGAGTTAGCCTGGGTTTGATTTAGACCTGGAACTTGATCTTTGGGTTGTTTTTGCTCCCTTTTCCCTCTCCTTCCCTTTCCTTCCCTTTTTTTTTCCTCATTTCCTGGGCAGGTCATGGCAGAGAACTGGGTGGTATACCATTACTTCAACCCTGCTGCCTCTCGCTACGAAGTCTCCACTATAGAGCTCCTCGATACCTCGCTTAAGGACGTCCCCGTTATAGACTACCTCAAATACGGCCTCAGCATCCCCGGAGCGTCCAACCTCACAGCACCGATCTCCGCAGCAGAAATTCCCTGGGGAAGGGTGATGCGACTGAGGCAGAGTTACTACTTCCCCTATGCGTTGAGGTGTATTTCGGTGACTTCCACGCTTGCGGGAATCACAAACAAGCATGTGCTTTTTGGTACAGCGCTCGATCAGGTGAGGGTGGGGCGAGACGGGAAAAATGTGGAGAGTTCGATTGAGTTGTCCCCTTAGTCTTCAAGCCCTACCGCCCTTCATTCTTCTTGTCCCCTTATTCTTGTCCCCTTATTCTTGTCCCCTTATTCTTGTCCCCTTATTCTTGTCCCCTTATTCTTGTCCCCTTATTCTTGTCCCCTTATTCTTGTCCCCTTATTCTTGTCCCCTTATTCTTGTCCCCTTATTCTTGTCCCCTTATTCTTGTCCCCTTATTCTTGTCCCCTTATTCTTGTCCCCTTATTCTTGTCCCCTTATTCTTGTCCCCTTATTCTTGTCCCCTTATTCTTGTCCCCTTATTCTTGTCCCCTTATTCTTGTCCCCTTATTCTTGTCCCCTTATTCTTGTCCCCTTATTCTTGTCCCCTTATTCTTGTCCCCTTATTCTTGTCCCCTTATTCTTGTCCCCTTATTCTTGTCCCCTTATTCTTGTCCCCTTATTCTTGTCCCCTTATTCTTGTCCCCTTATTCTTGTCCCCTTATTCTTGTCCCCTTATTCTTGTCCCCTTATTCTTGTCCCCTTATTCTTGTCCCCTTATTCTTGTCCCCTTATTCTTGTCCCCTTATTCTTGTCCCTGTGTGTATAGTGCGTGTTGACTGCCTTGTTTCTCACCTCTCTCACGCACCTCCGCTCCCCGTTCTGTTCTCTTCTGTTTCGCTCCTGTTGGATCGTTTCAGGTCTTGGCTCTGGACCGTCGATTCCTGGATCCCCGTAGGGTGCCAGAGCCGTCACAGCAGGACAAGGAGGCGGGAATCATGCCTTACAGTGACTCGCTGCCTGCTCCTGGACAGGTGAGTGGGGGATGAAGGGGTGGGTAAGCTTGGGTGTGTGGGGTGAGTGGTGACATGCATGCTGCTGCTTATAGTGCCGTCACAGCAGGACAAGGAGGCGGGCATCATGCCTTACAGTGACTCGCTGCCTGCTCCGGGGCAGGTAAGTTGGAGATGTTCAGATGGGTGACAGGTTATGCAGCCATCTCAGCAGGACAAGGAGGCAGGCAGCGTGCCGTACAGTGGCTCGCTCCCTGCCCCTGGGCAGGTATGTCATGCGTAATAACAAATCACCACCCCATACTGACCTGTGCTTTACTGGGGAACATGAGTCGGAGGGAGCGCAGCAGGACAAGGAGGCAGGCAGCGTGCCTTACAGTGGCTCGCTCCCTGACCTACCGCTACTTGTACAAGAGCCTCAGAAGGCCTCTTACAGCTGCAGCAACATCTTCCCCTTCGTGAGCACCTCGTGACCACCACCCTTGTGACCACCACCCTCGTGACCACCACGTCGTGACCACCACCCTCGTGACCACCACCTCGTGACCACCCCCTCTCGGGTCTTTGACTCCCTGGTAGAGGATTTTGTCTTCTCTTTGCCACACGAGTCTCACTTCTCTCCCTGCATCCCCCTGCCCCTCCTCCTCCGTTCCGTTCCCGGCTCTTCCTGTTATCTCCAGGCCTATCTGACCCATCGCTACCGCATTGAGGGACTGAGGCACATCTTGTCCTTCCCCACACGGCTCGAGTCCACCACCCTGGTCCTAGCTCACGGCCTGGACCTCTTCTTTGTGCGCACCGCTCCGTCTCGAGTCTTTGACTCTCTGGGGGAGGATTTCAGCTTTGCACTGCTGCTGGGAACCATTGCTGTGCTGTCTGTTGCGATTCTGGTCACCTGGGGGCTGTCTAGGAAGCAGGAGCTCAAGCAGCGGTGGAAGTGAGGAGTGGAGGATGAGGGAGGGGATGTGAGGGAGGCGGGGGGGCGTTTTCAGTTCCGCGCTGCTGTTGGGAACGATCGCTATGCTGTCTGTTGCCATTTTGGTCACCTGGGGGCTGTCCAGGAAGCAGGAGGTAGAGCAGTGGTGGAAGTGACGAATGGAGGATGGGGGAGGAAGTTGGACGGGGGAGGACGTGTGGGGGAGTTGAGTGTAGAGGATTTAGCAACGGTTGTGGGGAGTTTATAGGTGTGCTCCACCTTCATTCTGCTGCTCCTGCCCTGTGCGCTTGGATGCGATCGGGGAGCAGGAGCTGGAGCAGAGGTGAAAGTGGAGTGGAGTAGGGCATGCCCATCTGAATGGAGGAGGAAAAGTGAGTGATGGATTTCACTGGTGTGAGGAGGAGCGGAGAAGAGAGTCACCTCAAAACCCTCAAAACATAAACTTGAAGGCCTTTTAGAAGTAATATTTTTTTACTATGGAACACTCGAATTTGCCTAAAATGGGTGGCCTTGAAGAGAGCTAGAGGGTTGACTCGAGGTCAAAGCCCTGCTGTCAATAGTTCGGGACGGGATTTCGGGTGATTGACTTGACCGACTGCCACGTCATGTCACTCTTCCCGCCAAACACCCCACCAACTTTCGCCCAGGAGCCTACCAATTGATATCCCACTTCCCACACAGACGATTTTCTCCATCGAACGTAACCTTTCGTCTAGACTGGGGCAGCTGAGGTGCTCGCGCTCCGGTATTTTCGCCGCTTCAGTTCTGCACGCAATGGCGTTAGTCCCTATCCTTAGCCGTTTTAAAGCCATAGTTTTGCCCGCGCGCTCCGAGCCGCCGTTCCCCCTGGAGAGCCTCCCCGACGACGTTCTCGCGCTCGTCCTCCGCTCGCTCGCGCAGACCTCCTTCCGCCACGCGCTCGTTTCGCCCTCCCCACTGGAGCGCCTTCCCGACGACATGTTCGCGCAGACCTCCTTCCGCCACGCCGCGCTCGTGTCGAAGCGCTGGCTCCGCCTCGCCACGTCCGCGCTCTCCCACTTGACCGTTCAGCACCGCGGGTTTTCAAATGATTCTAAAATTGAGACGCATCCGTTTGAGCGCGACCGCTGCGCGGAGCTTGCGTGGCTTCCGCTTCCGCGCCTTCTTTCCGCGCTGCGCCGCTTCCCCGCCCTCACGCACGTGTCGCTGGGCGAAATTTCCATCTTATCCGCCGACGGCGACGCGCTCTTCCACTGTCTGGCCGCCACGTGTCCGCGCCTGCTCCATCTAACGGTGGAGCACCAGTTTGGAATGTCCGTTACTGTAGACGGCCTCGCGTCGCTCTTCCAGGGATGTCGCAAGTTAAGGGAACTCTTTCTTCTCACCACCAACGGCCTCCCGCATCTCCCGCCGTCCCTCTCGCTCCTCACGGATCTCCAAACGCTCCACGTGTGCTCCCGTACTCGCTATGGCCACGACTCGTTACAGGAGCTCGTTTCGCCGCCCGAGAGCATCGGCGCGCTGCAGCAGCTGCGCGAGTTGCGGATCGGCGTGGGACTGTGTTTCCGCGGTCTCGGACTCGATCAGAGCGTGGGCCTTTTGCGTGGTACCCTTCGCAAGCTGAGCATTACTAGTGGTGAACTCTTTCCAGAAACTATCACGGAGCTTCCTAACGCGATTGGCGACTTGGTTCTGCTGGAAACCCTAGAAATTACAGTGGATGGGCTAGAGAGCATCTCGGATTCCTTTCAACTGCTGACCGGGCTGAAAACCCTCTCGCTCCAATGCGAGAGTCTGCTATGCCTGCCCGAAAATGTTATGGCGGTGCTGACTCAGCTGCAGCATCTTTCCCTCTACCACTGTGCTTCCCTCGAGATTCTCCCAGAGAGCATCTGCTTCCTCCCCCTCTCCTCACTCTCCATCTCCTCCTGCTACTCCCTCACCGCACTGCCACACCACATCGGCGCCTTGTCCCATCTGCAAACCCTAACTCTCCTCGACCTTGGTGATATCCGGGTATTGCCCGAAAGCCTGGGTAATTTAACCCGGTTAAAAACGCTCGAGCTGGATCTGCCCGCACTTGAGCATCTGCCCGAAAGATTTTGTGAAGGCAGCCTGCCAGCATGCCTTGAAAAGCTGACTCTGACGCGGTGCGAGCAGCTACAGGAGCTTCCTCCCGCTATGTACAAGCTGACTCGCTTAAAATCACTCCATATCGAGTCATGCTCCCTTATAGAGTCTCTGAAGCCGCTGACCCCTCCAACCTCCCCTGAAGGATCCAAAAGTGAGTTTGGAAGTGAGTCAGGGTCTTTCACCCTGACTGAAATGTTCCACTGCGAGTCTGGAAGTAAGTCCAGGCTCTCTGCCCCTGCCCCTGCCCCTGCCCCTCCCCCTCCCCCTGCCCCTGCCTCTGCCTCTGCCTCTGCCTCTGTCTCTGCCTCTGCCTCTGCCTCAGCCCCTGCCTCTGCCTGTGTATCTATCCCTCTCTTAGACTCTACAACAAACATCACCGAACAACACTCGGGCCTAGTGTCCCTCACCGAGTTAAAAGTTTCTCACTGCTCGCTCATCTCTTCCCTCCCGGAAAACTTTTCCTTCCCTGCCCTTCACACTCTCACCCTACACACCCTGAGCAACCTGAATAATCTCCTGGACTTATCCAGCAAGCAGCTGCCAAAACTGCAACATCTGGATTTGGAGGGGGTGGGGGCCGATTCAGCCTTGTCGCTGGTTGACTGCTTTCAAAGTGCGTGCTGAGAGAATGTGGCTTCTGCTGCATGTCAAGCCTCTGTTTCTGAAAGAGGCTGCTGGTTTTACTGCTGCAGCTGGCTCTGTTGTGGACATTGAATGGCTGTTGGGTGCTGTGGGGAGTCTGCAGTTGGTCGGCTGGGCTTGCACAGCAATCGTGCAGATTCTCGTACGGGTGGTGTGCCGGGGAGGGGAAGAGAGCAACCCGCTTGTAGCTGGCTCGTGACTCCGTATGATGCGGCTGCTGGATTTACTGCTGCAGCTGGCTTTGTTGTGGATGTGGGAAGGCTGTTGGGTGCTGCAGGGTGCTTGCATGTGGTTGACGGGTCTTGCACAGCAAATACCATCTGAGACTTGTCAGAAGCGCGCTGCAGCTGGCTTTGCTGCGGATGTGGAAAGGCTGCTCGGTGCTGCAGGGTGCCTGCACTTGGTCGGCAATCGTGCAGGGTAGTGTGCAGGTAGCGTGTGCGGGTAGTGTGTGTGGGAGGTGGAAGAGAAGACTTCGCTGCTTTCGAGTCCTGATGATAGTACAATGTACAGGCCAGAAATGCTCAGTTCGCTTTGTATATTTCCACAAATCCATCGCTGCAAAGTTCCACAAACGGGGATTCAGAGCGTGCGATGCGGTTCGATTCTTTCGAGCAAGCTTGGTGTGGCGCCAGGTGTCAGGAAATTGTCGTGGCTGACTTTGGTCGCGATTCGGGTGAAAGCATCACATCGCATCGCATTCCAGCCAGACAGACATTTTCGGTCGTGGGAAATTCTTATAACAGCCCAAACCACACCGTTGCTTATAAGGACCGAACCAAATTCCTCCAACTTCTATTGTTCCTTTAACGTAGAGGGAGTACGGGACTAGTACTAATTTCTAGGAAACGAGTTTGCATAACGCCGTTCTTGTACATCGAGGTTTCTTAGTCTAGGCTCGTAGAATCTGGAATAGGCTTCTCGGAGCCATTCTTGCACAGCCGAAAGCATTACTATAGACTGAGAGCTACAGATCTGTCCGCACTTCAATTCCTCTCCCTTTCGCCTGACGACGTCTCCTAACATCTATGCAATGGCTTTCCTTCGCCGCCTACTACAAGCCATCATCTCGCCAGCGCGTTCCGAGCCGCCCTTCCCCCTGGAGAGCCTCCCCGACGACATTCTCGCGATCGTCCTCCGCGCGCTCGCGCAGACCTCCTTCCGCCACGCCGCGCTCGTGTCCAAGCGCTGGCTCCGCCTTTCCACGGCCGCGCTCTCCCATTTGAATGTTCAGCGTCGCAGTTCTAATTACTCGTCTGCGGGGGAACTTTATCTTGACAGCAACGCGCTGCACAAGTGGCTCAGGTTCCCGCGCCTCGTTTACGCGCTGCGCCGCTTCCCCGCCCTCACGCACGTGACTCTGGGCGAGTTTTCCATTTCTTTCGTCGCCGTCGACGACGACGACGCGCTCTTCCACTGTCTGGCCGCCACGTGTCCGCGCCTGCTCCATCTAACGCTGGAGAATCAGCTTGGCATGAGGGTTACTGTAGACGGTCTCGCGTCGCTCTTCCATGGATGCCGCAAGCTCAGGGAACTGCGTCTACTCACCACCACATGCCTCCCGCATCTCCCGGCGTCCCTCTCGCTCCTCACGGATCTCCAAACCCTCCACGTGTGCGCTGCTCGGCACTTTGGCCACGATTCGTTACAGGAGCTCGTTTCGCCGCCCGAGAGCATCCGCGAGCTGCAGCAGCTGCGCGAGTTGCGGATCTGCGCGGGAGCGAATTTTCGAGGTCTTGATGAGTGGGTGGGCTCCCTGGGTAACCTCCGAAAGCTGAGCATCAGTAACCTCTCTTCCGACACTGTCACGAAGCTTCCTGGCGCAATTGGCGACTTGGCTCTTCTGGAAACCCTAGAAATGAAACTGGATGGGCTCGAGAGCATTCCGGATTCCTTTGAGCACCTGACCGGGCTGAAAACCCTCTCGCTCCAATGCAGACGTTTGCGATGCCTGCCCGAAAAGTTTATGGCGGTGCTGACTCAGCTGCAGCATCTTTCGCTCCGCGACTGTCCTTCCCTCGAAAGCCTCCCAGAGAGCATCTCCCTCCTCCCTCTCTCCTCCCCCAACCTCTCCTCCTCCTCCCCTGTGACCCCGCTTTCACACCACATCGGTCCCTTGTCCCATATGCAAGCCCTAAAGCTCCTCTACCTTGATAATGTCCAGCCTCTTCCCAAAAGCCTGGGTTATTTACACAGTTGACAACGCTTCAGATGGTGCTGCCCGCGCTGGAGAACCTGCCCCAGTGATTTTGGGAAAGCAGCCTGCCGGCATGCTTGGAAAGGCTGAGTCTGACGCGGTGCGAGAAGCTAAAGGGGCTTCCTCCCTCACTGTACTCGCTGACACGTTTACAATCACTCAATTTCGAGTCATGCTTGTCAATTTAGGTAGAGTCAAGGCATCAGATTTCCAGTGATGCCTGTCCCTGCTGCCATGCTTGCCCTAGCTGCCGCGAGAAGCATGAACACAGTTGCCATCTTCCTGCAGGTTAGTGCACGCAAGGGAGTTGTGTGGGGTGGTGGAAGAAAACAACCCACAATGTACAGAATTTAGTGTTCATCCACGTGGTGTAGGAGTTAATAGATAATAACATGCTGGTCTCCACATCCACTTGTTATGGATATACCGGTACCCCTACCATACATTTCAAGGGCTGGGACAGTACTAAAGAGTCCAAACCAAACCTGATTGAGCCATGAAAGTACATGCATTCAGCATGAGCGGCTGTTTGAAAATGTACGGTATTTCTCATTACAAATATAGGATGAAATGAATCTACAATTGTTCTGGTAGAGTCCTGCTTGCTATCTGCTTCTATTTTCCCTAACAAGTGTTTCCTCCATTGGTTCAAGGCAGCAGCAGCTGGCAGTGCCACTGACAGCAGGGGAAACGCATCAGTGCCCGTGCCAGCAGAAGCACTCATCAATGCGAAGCAGCAGAAGCAGCAGCAGCAGCACTCATCAATGCACAGCTGCAGCAGCAGCAGCACGCATCAATGCGCAGCAGCAGCAGCAGCACTCATCAATGCACAGCTGCAGCAGCAGCAGCACGCATCAATGCGCAGCAGCAGCAACCTTCAGTGGGCTGCTAGCACTCGCTCCACCACCAGCGCCAACAGCCATGGAGCTTACAAGCGCACTTACGGCCTCCTTACCAGCAGCGGCCTTGCAAGAACCTGCCCCTGCAGCAGCTGCCCCTACACGAACAGCTCGGGACTCGCTGCGTGCCTTGGAAAGCATGACAGAGCGCTGAGGGAGTCTTGGAAGGGCAGCAGACTTGAAGCTGCTGCTGCTGGTGGTTGCAATGCTGCCACCGGAAACGGTGTCTGCCAGCTCAGCACCCTCCGCACCTTCCTTGAGCTTTTTCAGACGTCTCCGCTCCACCCTCGCTCCGATCGCCTGGCCAATAACGGATGCCGCTATAGTGAAGGCCATGGCGTATTTCGGCATAAGCGCGGCCTTTCGCAGCACGGCGACCAGCGGAACGGACGCGTGCACGGCGATGATCCACTGTGGAGAAAACTTTTCGCAATGCTCTCGCCAAACTCCCAGCGGGATGTTGAGCATCATGCCGATCGTGCCTATAGCGAGTGTTCTTATCGGGAGGGCCTGCGGCCGGAGGGCTTTCATAGCGGGAGTCTTGGCGACGGCTGCGCGCAATGCGATGATGGGAGCCGGGCAGCGATATTGGATGCCGGCCGGGGGACGGATCGCCGCTGCGATGAGCGGCACCACTCGCGAAAACGCTCGGTAGGACTTCGCGATCGGACAGTTACCCGTCGTGAGCCATTCTTCGCCTTCGGCTTCGTGGACAGACTCTCGTTCCTGAAAAGGATGATGGGGAAGGGGATGGGCGATCCACGGTTAAATTCCAGTTCGAGAGTTATAATGAGGACGGAGGAAGATCGCAATGTTGACGACGTAATATCGCATGAAACTATTGCTGCCGCTGGCTCAACGACAAGGTTCCCGACTAGGGCTATCAGAAAAGCCAACAATCCATTGACCATTCACCATTGTACAAGCTATCGAGCCTAAGAAATGCTGCGTAGCAGCGGACACGGGGATACAACCATCAAGTGTAAGTCAGAACATCCTTAGACATCTGAGCAGGGTACACACCTTTGAAGCTTCCTCCTCGCGACGCCTCTTCTCCTCCTGCTCCTTCCGTCTCTGCTGCTCCTTGCTGTTCTCCCCACGCGATCGGAAAGAATCATAACTGAACGGTCCGGATGGGCCGAACACCGACAGGCTGATCGTCGCCGCTGACGCACCCAGACCGCCTGCGAACGTCGCAGCGTACGGACAAACGTCCTGATCCTGCTCTTCTGCTGTCTCATAACCCATCATGGAAAAGGCGTTAGTGGTGTCCTTCGCGGTTGAAATGCTCTGTGATGACTTCTTCTCGGCGGTAATCCCGGAAGCATGGAGCGCGGGAATGACGGAAAGCGACTGGCTGATCTGGCCATCGTTGCTTTCGCCTGACTTAACAGAGACGATGTTGGAAGACTTCGCGAGAGGGACAACTCCCGTTTCGCCGTGAAAGAGCCTGAAAGCGACCTCGAAAGAGGACGAAGTTTCCTCGAAGATGGGCTTCTTTCCGGGGAGCGCGGCGGAAGCGGGACAGAGGTCCCCGAGCGAGTGGGAGAGGGGAGATGAAAGCGGAGCGGAGGACGAGGAAAGCGACACGTTTCGGAGGAAAGGACACATCTGAGCGGCATGCTCCATGGCGAGCTTCTTCATATCCATTTTCACGTCAAACGCTAGCAAAATCACACACTGATCGGCTGAACAGCAACAGGTTCAGAGAAACTATGGCAGCTGTGTGGAAATATGGCAACGAAGGGCGAACCAGACCAGGCCACCAGGCAGCAGCTGGAATTAAACCCTAGCTCGGGTGAAAACCGGCTTGAGGAGTGAAAAGCTGGTTTCAGAAGCTTCTGTTGAGGAAGGGGTTTCTTGTAGGGAAATCCCCTTGACGGTTGCTTGGCATATTCAAAGGGCCAACGGTCCCTCCCGCCGAAGGTGCCATGGGGTTGGGTGGGTGGGTAATCCAACCTGGTAATTTTTGTAAATCCAACCGTAAAAAGAAACATATACTTCGGTCAGGAAGACGAGTTGGTCTGAACGGTTCCGTCTGAACAGACGACGGGTTGCCCGACGCTGACACAACTCGTGTTGGGATGCGACGACACACGATGCTGCTGGTGTTTCGCGGCTAACGTTTACCGCGCGAACACTGCTGCCGTATTGGTCAACGTCCACGCACGATACTGTGCACGGGCAGAGTTCCACGATTGACGGGTAAACGCTCTGAAATTCCGGAAAGTTTCCGGTTTCCCAACGAAACCTTCCTGGGGCTGTACCCAACGCTTCGTTGCCCATTCATTGAACGAAAAGACACTCGTACGGTTCGAAGAGCAGAGCAATTCTGCCTGCTGCATTTTTCCTGCGTTTCCTGGCAATAGGGGAGGGCTAGCGAATGGAAGCACTATGCGGTGTTGTCGTCATTGCCAGCGAGGCAAAATGCGAATCGAAAATGTGGAAGGTGGACCTGCTAGGTGCGTGTGTCAGACAAGTGCGCGGCTGCGGTGGTCTGATGATGTCTCGGGACGGGAGGGGCGAGATGACTCGCCTGTTCAGTGTCGGTGCCACGCGAGCGCAGCGTGCGACTTGGTTCGGAATGGATGGGAGTGGTCGGTCATGTGCTGAGCTGGTCAATAATGGAAAATGGAAGAAGTTCCACGGATAGCTTCAAGCACATATTTCGTTATAATGATTCTGATTCTCACATTCTTGGCTTTTAATGCATACCGGTATCAGAAGCCCCCAAATAACCTGATATGTTTATTGCATGCACACTCTTTCAAGGGTGAGTTTTTTGTAATGGGCAATTACAATAAAAAACATCAGTCAAAGTAAGTATCCTTAAATCACATTGCAGCGACCCGTGTTAGCATGCGGTTTTTGCCCCTTTCAAAATGTCAATATGGTACAATCGGAACATCATACCCCATGCCAGTGCCCAAAGATTACTTCCAACAATAGAAGCTTAGGCAGGCTGGCAGGCTGGGAGCTTGCTGAACTCGCCCCTTAGGATCAACTCTTGTCAGCAGCCGAAGTCCACACTACCTTCAAGGCCGCCCCATAAGAAAAGCGGTAACCATTATATTGCAGCTCCTCATCTCGTCCCCTTTTGAAGCAGGGCAGCCGCAGCAGCCCAAAGCACCTTGGGATAGTCCACCATCTCCATTGTCAAATCGATATGCGCATCCGCTTCCAAGAAATCAAACTCACATGGAATTTCTTGACTGGCAGACCCTCCACCCACTCCTTGACTGTCGGCTTTCTCAGACCCGTACGCCTGCAGCATGGCAAACGCCAGGTCGATCTGCATTCTAAATGGCTTGGTAGCTCGGGGATCGTTGGCCAATGGCGTGCCGACAAGTGGCAGCGAGATTCCGTCGTCGAGCGACCCGAGCGTGCCACCTAGGCACGACGAGCTCACTGCAATTGGCTGGTCCCTGAGCCCTCCAACAGTCACCATCGGGACGTTGAATTTCCGTTTTAACATGTGAGTCAAAACCGCGCAGGCAGAGAAGCAGGTTCCATCGGAAACCACCACCATGGGCAGCCCGCTGAAATCATCCGATTGGTCGTATAGCGTCAGCATCTCCGTCAGCTTCACCCGGGCAGAATAATTTCCAGGCTGCCCGTCCTCCGTATACTGTATCTCCTGAAACGGCCCGAAATCAGCTGGTCCTTTCAATCCCGCAGTCTCCGCCACGTTGCAGTAATTCGACGCGTTATAAAAGAAAGTGGCGCTGCTTTTAATGAGTCGCGCAGTGTACTCGTTTCCAATCATCAGCTGCTGCGGCATCTGCAGCTGCCCGGGGGGAGTTTTAGCAGGCCCGACCAGCGCCCTCACCACTCCATAGGCGGTCTGGATAATGCCTCCGCTGTTCCCCCGCACGTCCAGCACAATGCGCTTGCCACGCCTGTGAGGGGATTCAAAGAGGGGGTAGTGTGACAGGGGTTGAGTGCGTCAGCGGTTGTAAATAGCGGCATTAGAAACACTTATTCTCAGGCGTAGACGTAATGCGAGGGGGTAAGCCCCTCCAAGAGGGGGTAGCAGAGATGTCAAGTCCCTTGTTGCTGTGGGTGTGCAGCCACATGACAGCCGTGTTCGTCCAGCAGCAGCAGCAGCAGCACTCGCAGCGGAATCAGCAGCATAGGGGACAGGAAGAAGAGGTCTCAGGCTCACCATGTGGCAAGGCTGAGAGCACGCATGAACTCCGCGAAGAGGTACTGTGAAGGAGTAAGGCCCGTAGCAGGAAATCTCAAACCCTTTAGTGCTGAACGTGCACAGCCACACGACGGCTGATTCATCCGGCAGCAGCAGCAGCACGGGGAGCAGAGAGAAGAGGGGAAGAGGGGGAAGAGGGAGAAGAGGGAGAAAGGTTCCCCTGCTCACCTCGTGGCAAGGCTGAGGGCGCGCATGGACTCGGCGTAAAGGTACTGCGAGGGGGTGAGGCCGGTAGCAGAAATATCCAACCCTTTTGTACTAAACGTGTGCAGCCACACGACAGCTGTCTCGTCCGGCAGCAGCAGCACGGGGAACAGGTCGCCCTCCGCTGACAGCCGCACTGGCAGCAGAATCAGCACAGAGAAGAGGTTCCAGGCTCACCTTGTAGCAAGGCTCAAAGCCCGCATCGATTCTGCATAGAGGTACTGTGAAGGGGTGAGCCCAGAAGCGGAGATGTCCAGCCCTTTGGTGCTGAACGTGTGTAACCACACGACTGCTGTCTCGTCCGGCATCAGCAGCACGGGGAACAGACCGCCCTCCGCTGACAGCCGCACTGCCAGCAGGAAGAGCATAGGGAACAGGGAGAAGAGGTCCCAGGCTCACCTCGTGGCAAGGCTGAGGGCGCGCATGGATTCGGCGTAGAGATACTGTGAAGGAGTAAGCCCCGTAGCCGAGATGTCAAGCCCCTTGGTGCTGAACGTGTGTAGCCATACCACCGCCGTTTCATCCGGCAGCAGCAGCACGGGGAAGAGATCGCCCTCCGCTGACAGCCGCACTGTCTGCTGCGGGGCGGCGGCAGGGGCGACCGCAGTCGCACCCGCCCCAATTGCACCTCCCCCAGCAGCGGCGTCACCCACAGTCGAGCCCCCGGCACCACCAGCAGCCGCGGTACCATCAGCTACAGGGTTAAGTCCTTCCCTACTTCCTCCTTCCTCCTCCACCACCCCCACCTCCCTCACCCTCAGGGGCGGAGGGTCCAGATCCCTCCTAGGCGCCAGCATCCCCACTACAGTCGCATCCGCTAAAGGAACTCGCTTTTTTTGCCCTCCTGACCCTACTGCTATGGAAAATCCTCGAAGGCCACCCGCCTTGCTGATCCCCAACTCCCCCTTTTCCTTCGCCAGCTTGTCACCCCCGTTACTATCACCACCGTTATTAGCAACGCCGTTATTATCACCTCTTGCCTTCCCACTAACAATACTGATATCATCAGCAGCATCAGCGCCACCACCACCACCGCCACCATTGTTAGCAGCGGCGGAACCTTCCGTGGTGCTTCCTCCCACGTCATCCCCTTCCCCAGCTTTCCGGCAGAAGGCGAGCCAGTAACTGCGGCTGTCGCTGAACGCGCCTCGGGGGAAATCCGCGATCCACGGAACCACCACCCGCTCAGCGGGAGCGGCGGAGCTGCGGCAGGGGGGAGATAGGGGATGAGAAGGGGGAGGAGGGGGAGAGGAAAAGGGTCAGCATATTCAAGAGGAGAAAAGGCTGGTATTCGCTCGCTCATTCATAATCCCCGTTACTGAGCGGTTAGCTAACAGGATATGCAGAAATGGTAAATGTCGTATCTCCACATTTCAAGAGGGTAAATTCAGATTTACTCACTTCACTTGAATTTGCATGACGAGCGCGTCTTTCCGCGGCGGGATCGCGCGCACCGTGAACGCGCCCTGGCTCCCATCAATCTCCCCGAGCCCCTTCACCGTGCGGTGCGCGAGCGCCGCGTTCAAGCGCGCGCCCGCGCTGCGGAACGTCCCCACGTACTTGTCCGCCCACCGCGCGATAAACGGGAGCGCCGGCTCGCCCTCTATAGTCACAACGCCCTTGCCTTCGTAGCGGGAGAAGTTGAATCCGAAAAGCCCGCGCGCGATAAGGTCCGGGCGCCCGCGGAGCACTGGGGGGAAGGAGGCGCAGAAAAAGCGCAGGGGGAAAGCGGGGGAAAGAGGTGAAGGAAACGCGTAGAGAGGGTGGGATTCAGGCAGGGCAATTCACAGAAAATGAACAAAACCTTTGGACACATGATGTATGCTGAATGCGAAAGGAAAACCATACCGAACCACGAAGAGACCGAACCGCAGTGAACCAAACCGAACAGAACCAGATTTGCTTACATTCCATGCTTCCGACTCGGATGATTTGCTCCCCGTCTTCAACCACCGACACGAGCGGCAGCGGGAGAGTATAGAGCCCGACGCCGTAGAAGCAATTGCTCGTCATGGATGTATGGCCGTCATTCAACGAGTCGATCGCGCGGAAGATAAGCGTGTGGAAGCGCAGAAGGCTGTTGATCCCCTCGCCTTGCTCGGCCGTTGCGCGAATCGATTTAAGATACGTTATGATATCGACGTCGCTCGGGAGCTTCGGGTCGGGTGATTTTACCGCGAGGTGCTTGTACACGTAATGATTGTCGAGCGCGTTAATGATTGTGTCTAAAGCGGGGATGTCGCGGTCTGCACGGAAGCGGAAGTTACGTAGGCAGTTTCGCGCCTCCGTAGGGGTGGCGAAACCGACGGACCCATCGACGATGATGTTCTGTTTCGCCAACGCCGCCACGCTCGCCTCTAGTTTATTCGCGAGTGTTGCACACGGATCAACTCCGTCGTTTGGATCGCTCGCGGGAGATGCAAAAGGAATTGCAATAAGGAGAAGGAAGAACAAAACTAGAGGCTGGGCTGAGAGACGACATACGCCGGCCTTGGATTCCGATTTCGTTCCGGTTACGCCATGGATCGACGCGGGCGGTCTTCGGCTCGCCATGGATCTAGACGCGACTTTGTTCGACGTGTAACTATACAAATGCCTAGCTCAAATACCACTGAGATTCGTAAGGTAAAAGGATGTTTCAGATGCTTGCTTTAAAAAAAATGGTCAGCTGATTCGCGTGAAAAGCGCTAAGTTGGGAGCGTTTGAAGGATGCAAGTGACTGGAGCTTCGAGAAAGTACTAGCTCACGCTGCTTTTGCTCACAATGACACCGTGGAGTGATATGTAGCAATTGCGAATTCACCAGATTCGAAGGCGGAGAACCGGCAAGGTGATGCAAAACCAGTACGGGAAACTGATGCATGGTCATCAACAGAGCTGCCGCATATCTCGCACGAGGGGCTCTTGATAGCATTGATGTTTCATTTGAGAGAGGAAGAGGGGCGGGCGGGAGAAATGAGTGGTCAGGTTTGGGCTGGACTTGACTGGGCTGGGCGCAGTGGGGGGAAGCAGTGGCGCTGGAGGAGAAAACGGGCCAGAAAGAGCCAGAACCGACCAGCACATCGTCGAATCGCGAATCCTGCTATCGCTGCGCGGATGCACATGGAGAATGCCAGACCACATCTGCCGAAAAGCGACGCGACAGACTGCTCCTTGCGAAACATCAAGCAGAAGCGATATTGGTTACCACTGCTCTGACCACACGCATTTTGCAGTTTCCTGTGCCACTGTGTTCGCTAATGCGTCCAGCGGGAGGCCTGCAATTGCAGAATTCGTGCCACAAGGTCATGCGACAAGATGCGACACGCAATGCTTCTTGTCGGATAGAACCTGCATAAATTCCTCTATTCCATCTTGATTGGTGCACTCGTGCCGCATTCTGTGGTGAGGTTACCAGTGGGCGGCAGTTGAGGAAAAATCTGAACCGCGAGTGGAAATTTATGCCAGGTTGAACTGATCGAGACCGTCGATGGGCAACTGTCAAGAATCTCAAGTACAGATAATTGTGTTTCACCAGCTTCCATTATTAGTTCCATGGACGTGTATATTCTAGCTCTCAAATTTACAGCTTAGGAGAACATAGATTCAGAAGTAAAATTTGCTGACCAAATAACACTATTCGTTCACTGAAAAACTTTTTCTTTCTTGTTAATTACATAGCTTCCGATACTTCTGATTGAACCTTACACATATAAACCGCTGTTGCCAGCCAAAACCCTCCGAAGTGGAGTGGGACTAAATCAACCCCCCTAAGCACGCTTCCCTGTGCGCGACGACGCCTGGGGCACAAGCACCTTACGGCCGCGGGCACGGCGGCGCTTGAGCACATTGAGTCCGTCCTTGGTGGCAATGCGCGCGCGGTAACCAGACACTCTGGCGCGCTTCTTGCGTGAGGCGTGGCGCTTGGTGCAGCCGATGCTGGTGCCTCCTGCCCGCACCACCAGCCGAGAGCCCCTTGACACGGGGAACACCATGCGCCCTGAGCTCTCTGGGGAGAGACGCAGGCCTGCAGGTGGGGAGGGAGTTACAAGGGAAGGGGTTATTAGGTCGGGCGCTTGGTGCAGCCAATGCTGGTGCCTCCTGCCCGCACCACCAACCTAGAACCCCTTGACACGGGGAACACCAGCAAGAAGGGATGGGAGAGATAGGTTTAGAAAAAATCACTTCGGTTTTTTTTTTTTTTTTTACAAGCGCTTCTGCAGCCAATGCTGGTGCCTCCTGCCTGCACCACCAGCCAAGAGCCTCTTAACGCGGGGACCACCAGGCGCTCTGGGGAGGGGCGCAGACCCGCGGACAATGGGGGGGGGGGGGGGGGGGGGGGGGGGGAGAAGTGGCTTGCGAACGGAGAAGGGGAGGAACGGGAAAATCAATGCGTGGAAGATGGGAGCGGGAGTTGAAGAGAGGGTTTGATGCGTGCGAGAGACAGGGTGCGTGATGCCACCAATGCAGGTGCCTCCTACACGATCCAGCCCACAGAGAGCATTCGGCGCTCCGCAGTGCGTGGAGGTTCAAGTGAGGGTGCGATGCGCGAGAGAGACATGGTGCTTCATGCCACCAATGCTGGTGCCTCCTGATTGGTCTACCCCCCAGAGAGCACTAGGCAGTTGCAAATGTGTGGAGAGACGAAGGCCAGAAGTGGCGGGAAGGTGAGGTAGGATGTGGGGAGGTGTGCGGGGATGCGCGTGGCTAAGCGCACGGGGACGCGTGAGAGGAAGAGTGTGAGGAAGACTGTGGGGAAGAGTGTGGGGAAGCGTGTGGGGAGGTGTACAGGGAGGAAGCGAGAGAGGAAACTGGGTTTTAAAGGGAAAAGGAGCTGTGCCTGCAGCCATTACTTCCTATAAGGATCAAGTTAAAAAACGATGGGCGAAGCGGGACATTCTCCGGCTCCTATCAGCGAATGTTACACTGATCAGATTGGAGAGAAGTGGAGCTGATGTCGTGGTGGAGAATGCCTCCATCAATGACCCACAAAACCACGAACCCCCAAAGACTTCGTGACTTCGTGCATTAGTAACCCGCATTCGTGAGCCCTCGCAAAAGCGAGCATATGTGCTTAGCGCGCAGACTTGAACGCGCATCATGATTTATCACCTGCGAGCGAGCACGAGAGGGAGGAGACGGCGGGGCGAGCAGATACGAGGTCTGATCGCAGCGCGCTGGGAGCGGCCGTCCTAACAGCCGCGAACAAAACGCGGCCGGCGGGACGAGCGGCTTGTAGCGACGCCCGCGCGACGACGGCGGGCGCGCACGCGACGGCGCGGGAAGAGGCGAGCGCAAACATTGTGGCGGGCAGTGACGTTCGGCGGGAGGAACTGGCTACTACTGAAATACTTGCTGAGAAGAGCAGCTGATGAGCCCGAGAAAGCAGGAGGATGAGCTGTGTGGTTGAGGGAGGAGGGGCAGCAGCAACCCTTCGAGGTGGTTTAGTAAGGCTTTGCTCGTTCTTAAGCGGTTGAATTGCATTTTTTGGCAGCAGGAGAATCGGATGAGGGCGCGGGGAGGGAAGCGGGGAGAAGCGGGAAAAGGCGTTGGTTAGGCCCGCGCCAACGTGGCGGAAGTTGGAGCTCCAGGCCACGCAGAGCCACGTGGAAGCAACCCTGGGAACAGACACGCCTGCCTGATGGCACTCGCGAAAATCATCACGAAGGCGAGACTCGTTACCAGGCCTGGTTTTTGTCGTAGGAGTTTGGCGGGCTTTGTGTTGTAACTGAATTGCTGGTTTCGTGCAGCTCGCTACAACTTGACCGAACATGTTACGACGAGTTGGGCAGTTCGCAAATTTAAAACGTCCACACAACCACAAACCTCCCTCTAAACCCTGTGGTTGAGGGTTGTTAGTTGAGCTTGGAATCAGCTTCCCTACAAAAGCTTCCGCCATAGATTTTCATCTCCCTTTCACTGATAGGTGGTCTTATTCAGTTCACCTACACTACTGCCGTTTCGTACCGTCGTCTTCCCGCCCTCCGCTTCGACTCATAGCCCCTCGTTCGCGGTGTATCCGTCGATTTGTTAGAGCTTTCGTCTTACTAGCGTGATTCGCGGCGATGAAGGGGAAGAAGCGGGGTCGCGTGGCGGCACAGCAGCAGCAGCGCCTGCACCTGAAGGCCAAGGGCATGAAGGTCTCCGCAAAGCACGGCGGTGGCGGCGGCGGCGGAGGCGGCGGCGCGGCGCACGCGACGACGCTAGAGCAGGAGATGGACGACGAGTTCCTCCTCGAGCAAGCCGCCAAGCGGCGGCGCGCGCCGAAGCAGCGGCGGCGGCAGGGGGAGGGGGAAGGGGACGAGGAGGGCGTGATCGGCGCGGGGATGAGCGCGCGGATTCTCAAGGAGGCGCGGAAGCAACAGCAGGAGGTCGCGCGGGAGATGTGAGTTTCCCCCTACTCACCATATGTGATTTTCCGCAATAACCAAAATCTGTGCAACTCGATCTTAACCCTGAACCCTGATACTTCAACCGTAACCCTAAATCGCAACATCGCCGTGTCCTGAATCCCGAACCCCGGAAGCCCCATCTGATAAAACACCTGTACCTGCATCTGAGCTCTTGTTTTACATTACATTACGCCACTCTCACGAAAGACAATCCCCTCCATCGCAAGTTTCGTCGCAACACCTGAGCGCGCGACCTCTGCATCACATGTTTTGTCGCGACCTGCAGGGAGAAAGAGCGCGGCCTGGACGGGGCGCGCGAGGCGTTCGACCTCGCCGCCGCCGTGGCGGCTCGGGAGCGCGAGCAGGAGGAGCGGGAGGAGGAGGCGGGGGAAGCGGGGGAGGAGGGGGAGGAGCGGGATCCAGAAGCGGCGGCAGCGGCGGCTGCTGACGTGGAGAAAATCCTAAGCGACGCGAGACGAGGGCGGGAGTATATAGAGGGGGGGGAGGAGCGGGAGGAGGGAGAAGCGGAGGAGGATGAGGATGATGACGAGGATGGGGAGTATGGCGCGTTTTCAGAAACAGCGAGCATGTATAACGATGCTGTGGTGAGTCGGGGGTAAAGGTAAAGGAGGAGGGAGAGGATGAGGATGGGGATGGGGAGAATGAGGATGAGGATGGGGATGGGGAGGATGAGGATGAGGATGAGGATGAGGATGAGGATGAGGATGAGGGAAATGGCGCGTTTTCAGAAACCGCGAGCATGTACAAGGATGCTGTGGCGAGTTGGGGGGACGAAACCGTGTCCAAAACTTAATCCCCCACCTCCATTCACTCCCGTCCCTTCTCGTTATCACCCCTCCCTCCTTCCCCTCTCTCTCCTCTTCCCCTACTCCACATTCTCTGACACCTTGTTGTGACGTGGCACCTAAGTATGCCACGTGTCCTCGTGTGATTGGCTCCGTGGCAGGCGGACGAGGTGACGGAGGAGGACGAGCGGGCGATCGCCGTCTTCCTCGCAGGAGGAGGCGCGGCGCCACGTCAGCGCACGCTGGCTGACGTCATCATGGCGAAAATCCAGGAGGCGACAGCTGGCGGGGCGGCGGGCGCAGTTGGGGGTGCTGGCGGTTCAGGGGGTGTAAGAGGAGGGGAGGGAGGAGAAGAAGCAGAGAGGCGGATTCCGGGAGTGGATGAGAAAGTAATGGAGGTGTATCGAGGGTGAGTCTGACTTGAAGATTTGCCCTCACCTCCCCTCCCCTCCTGTCCTCGCCTCCTTCCCCTTTTCCTCCCCTCCCCTCGCCCCACCTTTCCTCCCCTTTCCTCCCCTCTCCTTGCCTCCCCTCCCCTCTTCTCTCCTCACCTTCGCTTTCCTTGATGACAAAGTAAGGAGGTGCACCAAGAATGAATGTGCCTTGAAGCGGTGTCTTCTCCCCACCCACTCCTCCTCAATCCCATGCCACATCCCCTCTAGCCCTTTCCCTGCATTTGCCTGTCTCCCTCCCATTTCCGCTGTCACCTTATACCATGCAGTGTGGGGAAGCTTCTGAGTCGGTACCGGTCCGGCAAGGTGCCAAAGGCATTCAAGATCGTGCCAGCACTGAGCAACTGGGAGGATGTGCTTTTCCTTACAGACCCTGACAGCTGGACGCCTGCTGCTGTCTTTGCCGCCTCTCGTCTCTTTGCGTCGAATCTCAACGCTCGTGCCGCCCAGAGGTTTTACCGGCTGGTGCTGCTGCCGAGAGTGCGGCGGGATATTAGGGTTAATAAGAAGCTGCACTTTGCACTGTACCAGTCGCTAAAGAAGGCGGTTTATAAGCCTGCCGCGTTCTATAAAGGGGTGTTGCTGCCGCTGTGCCAGTCCCAGACTTGCACGCTACGTGAGGCGGTCATTATAGGGAGCGTCATTCAGAAGGTGTCCATTCCAGTTCTACACTCCAGGTGATCTTTAACGATTTTTCTTCCTTCCTTCCTTCCTGTTCTCATGCTTTCCATTTGCACAGATCATGACCCATATGTGGCTTGACTGAATCAACCTCCGTTCTTCCTGTCACATCTTGCAGTGTTGCTCTGATGAAGATTGCAGAGATGCAGTATGCCGGCACAAACAGGTGAGCACTGAGCATTATTAGCCATGGCAGTGGAATCAATCTTTGTGGAGAGGCTCTTGAGGCAACCGTTGAGAACTGTGATCATTTCATTGGTTGGTGCACATTGGAATGACTGCTGCTGTGATCTGCTTGTGAAAACTGTTGAGTAAGACCTTGCAATAAGCACTACAAGCCAATAAGCTACAACCATGGCATGTGTCATAACTTCTCCCCGCTTGAACAGCTACTTCATGAAGCTTCTGCTGGACAAGAAGTATGCCTTGCCATATCGAGTCATTGATGCGGTGGTTGGACACTTCCTGCGTTTCCACTCTGAGACCCGCGAGCTGCCAGTAATCTGGCACCAATGCTTGCTCTCCCTCGTCCAAAGGTGTTTCTCATGCAAAGGGTTCAACGCTTTTTTGGTTTGTTGTTATCTTGTTTGTGTGTGCTTTTGTTTGTTCTAAGATCGTTGATTTTCTGTTGCCATCTTCTGCTGATTTTTGAACAGGTACAAGAATGAGTTGACCCAAGAGCAAAAGGCTGATATCAAGTCTCTCATCACCAGCCGTCAGCACCATCACTTGGTACAGATTCATGCAAGCCATTGTTACTCTGTTGCTGCTGCATCACTTTTTGCTCAAAGCAGGAGAACATCAATGTCCTACCCTCCATCTGCTTCCTGTTGTATGCAGATGTCACCAGAGGTTCTCCGAGAACTCCAAAGTTCTACCCGGTCCCGAGGGCAGCCTGATGCTGCAATGTTCACGTTCTCATCCAATGCCACAATGAGTAAGTTCACGTGTGCATCACTTTCTAGTCCCCATGATTGCACAAATGACAGGTGTTCATTCTGTTTTGTTTCGAATGATGCAGGACCATTGGTTGTCACAAAGCCCTTGGAAGATGACTACCGTAATCTCCCTGAAGTCCACATTGGGATGGATGAAGACTATTGAGGGGCACTGCTGCCCATGAGAGTAGCTGAATAGGGACTTGACGGTCATCATTGCCTCTGCCATTCCAAATGGTGTCAAGCAATCTCTATTGTGCAAGAAAGAGATTTCTCTTTGCGTTGTAGCCTCCATGTTGTTTGTTACTATATAGTGTAAACATCCAGCTGTTTCCACGGGCTATTCAAGAATGGCTTGCAGAATAAGTCTTGTGAGGCCTTGGATCTCATCCTGGTCCTGATTGTTCATAGCACAAACTGCAAGGGGCAGTTTAGAGGTCAACCAGAGGTTCAATCACACAGCTTGCCAACTGTACCATCTTTTGCCTTACCCCATTGGAGCACCGGGAACAATGCTTGCTTTTTGGGTACGGAAATAAGGTAGGCAACAACCTGAAGGTTTTATAAGTGAAGCAGGTTTTCTCAAATGACATCACTGTCCATGACATCAGACTGGTTGCAGTACTCACAATGATGGAGGCAGGCAGGGCTGCTCTAGAAAGATGTTGACGTAAAAAGGAATCAGAGTGCATCAAGGTGTAAATAGTGAAGCATGTACTTAGTTTGATGAAGTCACCAACACGAGAAACTCGCCTGAAACAGAAATTGACGCACCGTTGAAAGCAGCACCAAGCGAACATAGAGCGGAAAACTGGCAACTAACCTGAGCTCTCTCAGCAGGTCCTCCAGGACTGAAGGGCACGACCTTCCTGTCTCAATCTCAAAGTTTATTGTCTGCTCAATGCAGCCATGTCTCGTCAGGGAGCTCAAGCTGCCAGAAATTAGCAATGAAAGATCCTTACCCCCAGCAGCTCGATCTCCTGAAATCAGTATTAGGGCGATAAGAAACAATGTTATAATACCAGGTGAGAGCATGCATCGGTCGTAACTTACAGCCTTCACAAAGTCCTTTGCAGTGTAAACTTTGTCGCTGATAATTCTGGATGAACAAGCCTTCAGCTCCGTCAAGGAAATTTGCTGAATTTCAAACATCTGCAGTATTGGTGCGTAAGACTCGTATGGGGAAGACGGTCGTAATTATCAGCATAATAGGCGTCTTACCTTGCTTCCGACCCACAGTAAGACTAATGTCAGAAACAAGAAGTCTGAACGGTCGGGCTGAAGGACGGTTGACGCATTCAAGATCCTGGTCGACGGAAACGTGATTACGTCAGTTATAGACCCTCTTAACTCGCCATGTGTTAGTACCTTTCAGGACTGTCTGCGCATTCAGCCTCAATTGTATCCAGACGTCTCGCGAGCTTGATGAACAAAGAAGCAGCGCACCACCTTGTACATTGCGATATCGGGTTTCCGCTTCTCGTTTTTATCTGAGAATTCAACGTCAGGCTTCATGCAAGCCTATACTAGGAATGCGAGGAAACAGTACAAGATATTACCTGCATTTGGAAAATAAGCGCCAGGCATTCATTGGCCACCGGCTCTGGTACACGAGCAGTAGCCATGACGGCTTCTGCTTTGATGACAACCGAATCAAAAAAAGGTGCTAGCCACAGAATTGTGAGGGAAAGGCAAAATGAGATCCAAATCTCTTGGTCTGTCAACAAAAGTGCTTTTGCGAAAGGGCCACGTCTTTCCGGTGATATGATTGGTTCAGAACCTTCTCTTTCGCTGGTTTCTGCTGTCCACCGAAGGGAATTTCAGTTCGTCGAATCAACGTGGCGTTCGCGAAACCTCTTCGCCTCCTCGAGATCTTCCTTCTGGCATTTTTCACTGCACTTGACGCTGGGTGAATGTGCCCACCCTGATTTTGGTTTCATATTTGCCAGCTCTCGTTTTCCCACGTCCTAGTAGGCATTCCTAGGTATTGCCTGAGAGTTGCCTGCTATTACACCAAGATTGTGAAGTCTTTCCTGATCAGATCGCCTGATCGCACGCAATTCGTTGTGCAGAGTGAGCTGTGAAGCCAGAACGCCGACCATGGGTCCGCGTCGCAATAGTTCCGAGCAAATAAGATGGCGACTGGTATTGGGGGCAACTCTCACACTTCTAGCGCTGGTTCCGTTCGTGAGCGGAGCGGTATTCACCGTTGACCTCGGTTCGGAATCCATGAAGGTCGCTGTGGTCAATCCGCGGCCCGGTCAGAGCCCGATCTCGATCGCGATCAACGAAATGTCAAAGCGGAAATCTCCGTCTGTTGTGGCGATATCCAACGGCGATAGGCTCCTGTCAGAAGAAGCCGTTGGAATCGCCGCTAGGTATCCCGATCGCGTGTACACACGAGCGAGGGACATGGTTGGCCTTCCAGTAGATGAGGTAAAAGAGCTGCTAAAAAGCAGCTATCTTCCGTACGATGTCGTCGGAGGGGATGGGAGGCCGGAAGAAGAAACGGAAGACGACTCAATGGAGTCGGAAGTCATCAGCGAGGTGACGTCAGAGACGGAAGGCGACGCGGCTTCGGAGCATTCGTCAGGCAAGGACAAGGCGAAGAAATTGAAGCGGAAGCGTCCCGTGAGGATTCGAACCCACGACGGCTCGACGGAGTACTCCGCTGAAGAGCTGCTCGCGATGCAGCTGGGCTACGCTAGGGAACTCGCGGAAGCCCACGGGAAAACCGGGATTGTGGACGCTGTCGTTAGCGTTCCCGCGTACTTCTCCCAGAGCCAGAGGCAGTCGATTATTGACGCTGGCGCTCTGGTCGGCGTGAATGTGATGGCGTTAATTCAGGAGCATGCTGGGGTTGCGCTGCAGTACGGCATGGATAAGGACTTCAGCAATGGCAGCAGACACGTGGTTATCTTTGACATGGGTGCCACGTCGACGTATGCGGCCGTGATTTATTACTCGGCTTACGCGTCGAAGGAGCGCGGGAAGAGCATCACTGTGAACCAGTTTCAGGTCAGTCGAATGCACCAACATCCTGTGACCTGTCTTTCTGATTCGCAAGCAGAATCGTTTCAGCTCATTTGACTTGATTGGCCTACACAGCACGTTCTTGACCACTGAACCCAGTTCTTTGGCGTGATTGTAAGCTGTTAACCATTTTCTTCTTGCACGCATTGATTGTGACCTGCGCTGGACAGGTCAAATCCGTGAGATGGAACGCGGACCTGGGAGGGCAGACACTCGAGGCACGGCTGCTGGAGCATTTCGTGGACGAGTTCAACGCGAAGCACAGCGGCGTGGACATCCGCACGTCGCCCAAGGCCATTGCGAAGTTGAAGAAGCAGGTGAAGCGCACCAAGGAGATCCTCAGCGCCAACTCCGAAGCCCCCATCTCCGTGGAGTCGCTCTATGACGACCATGACTTCAGGTGCGCCGCTGAGGCTTGAAAGGGTTTTCTATAGACGAGTCAAGAGTTGTTTGAGACAAGCAAGGAGATCCTCAGCGCCAACTCCGAGGCCCCCATCTCCGTGGAGTCCCTCTACGACGACCATGACTTCAGGTGAGGCTGGTGCTTGACAGAGGTTGGGGTGTCGATTTCATTGGCCGCTTATGATATGGTCGTCAAAGAGGCCCTCATTGCGAACATCTGAGGGATTTCAGGCTAGAAATTGCTGGTCTAAGAAGGAGGATGAGCATTTTCATAAATGTGGATCCAAACAAGGAGTGCTTTGTTCGCTCCATATCATGAACTTGCTGTATTGCGTGCATGGCACATGGCAGGTCGTCCATCACAAGGGAGAAGTTTGAGGAGTTGTGCGCGGACGTGTGGCCTCAAGTGGTGGCACCGCTGCAGGCAGCGATAGCAGACGCCAACATCACCATGGACGACGTGTATGCTGTGGAGCTCGTGGGGGGAGCCACACGCGTGCCTAAAGTGCAGGTGAGTAATGGGCTTGAGAGTTGTAGATGAATCGCTGCATGCAGTGCAGACGCCAACATCACCATGGACGACGTGTATGCTGTGGAGCTCGTTGGGGGAGCCACACGCGTGCCCAAAGTGCAGGTAGGCACCTGGCTTGAGAGTGTAAGGTGAAGTTGCTGCATGCAAAGAGGCGATCGCAAATGCCAACGTTACCATGGACGACGTCTATGCTGTGGAGCTCGTGGAGGGAGCCACACGCGTGCCCAAAGTGCAGGTAGGCAGATAGGCAACTGGCTTGAGAGGTGTCGGTGACATCGCTGCAGATGCCCACATCACCATGGGTGACGTCTATGCAGTGGAGCTCGTGGGAGGAGCAACACACTTGTGCTCAAAGTGCAGGTCGCCAGTGTGGCTAAACCAACCACCAAATTTTTGGCATTGTATGACTCAAATCAACTCGTGTCACTTCATATTCTAGCTCTGTTCCCATCACATCTGTGCCGTCCTTCCTTGTCCCCGCCGCTCACGGGTTGACCTTGTTGTGTCTTTACTTATTGGATCCTATCTGGCTTGACCTGATTTGTTTGAATGCAGTCTGTGCTGATGGAGGCACTGGGTGGTAACCGCACGTTGGACCGTCACCTGGATGCTGACGAGGCACTCGCTCTGGGCGCGTCCCTGCTGGCGGCGAACCTGAGCGACGGATTCAAGCTCAACCGTCGGATCGGCATGATCGACGGGCTGCCGTTTGCTGTCAAGTACCGGGTGGAGCCGGTGCCTGTGGATGGAGGTGCTGGGAGTGATGATGGGAGTGACGGTGGGGAGGGGGAGGCTGCAGATGCATCAGAGGGGCCTGTGGTGGAGGAAATGTTGTTTCCTCGATTAAAGAAGATGCCCATTAAGGTATGCTGTCATGTCATGTACTTTGCTGCTTTATTTGTTCTCACTTCCACAGCTTGTGACGTGATATCCAGTAGAGGGGCTAATCAAAACCTGCTGCACTCCTACCCCTCCATTGCTCTGCAGATCATCCGGTCACTGAAGGAGCAAACGAGTGACTTCACTCTCTCGTTCCTGTACGATGAGGCACAGGGCTTGCCCTCTCGGTGGCCCAAGGGCGATATGATATGCAGTAGAGGGGCTAATAAAACCTGCTGCATTCCTCCTACCCCTCCATTGCCCTGCAGATCATCCGGTCGCTGAAGGAGCAAACAAGTGACTTCACTCTCTCGTTCCTCTATGACGAGGAGCAGGGCCTGCCCCCCCGGTGGCCCAAGGGCGCCCCCATCTCCACTCTGCACGTGTCTGGCGTGGCCAAGGGCATTGCCAAGTGAGTGCAGGGAGGGTAGGGTCGAGAGGAAGAAATTGGCTCCCAGAATGAATGTGTGACGGGTTATATTCCCTGTATGACGGGGCACAGGGCCTGTCCCCCCGCTGGCCCAAGGGCGCCCCCATCTCCACTCTGCACGTGTCTGGCGTGGCCAAGGGCATTGCCAAGTGAGTGGGAGGGGTGAGATAGGGTCGAGTGGAGAAAGAGAAATGGGTTTATCGAAAGTGGATCTAGCATGGGGCACACAGCCTTGCTTCGGCAGCCCAAGGGTGCCCCATCTCCACTCTGCACGTGTCTGGCGTGGCCAAGGGCATTTCCAAGTGAGTGTGGGGCGGATGTGGTCGAGTAGCGAGAGAGAAGAAGGTTCGGGAGAGTGGATTTGGCAGGTTCTATTCCTTCTAGCAGGAGGCACAGGACCTTGCATCCTCGCTGGCCTTGCTTCCTCGCTGGCCCAAGGGCACCCCCATCTCCACTCTGCACGTGTCTGGCGTGGCCAAGGGCATTGCCAAGTGAGTGGGAGGGGTGAGATAGGGTCGAGTCGTAATAGAGAAATGGGTTTATCGAAAGTGGATCTAGCATGGGGCACACGGCCTTGCTTCGGTGGCCCAAGGGCGCCCCCATCTCCACTCTGCACGTGTCTGGCGTGGCCAAGGGCATTGCCAAGTGAGTGGGAGGGGTGAGACTGGGTCGAGTGGAGAAAGAGGAATGGGTTTATCGAAAGTGGATCTAGCATGGGGCACACAGCCACAGCCTTGCTTTGATGGCCCAAGGGCGGCTTCATCTCCGTTCTGCACGTGTCTGGCGTGGCCAAGGGCATTGCCAAGTGAGTAGGAGGGGTGAGACTGGGTCGAGAGGAAGAAATTGGCTCTCAGAATGAATGTGTGACGGGTTATATTCCCTGTATGACGAGGCACAGGGTCTACCTTCCCGGTGGCCTAAGGGCGCCCCCATCTCCACTCTGCCCATGTCTGGCGTGGCCAAGGGCATTGCGAAGTGAGTGCAGGGCGGATGTGGTCAAGTAGCGAGAGTGGAAAAGGTTCTGGAGAGTGGATTTTACAGGTACTATTCCTTCTAGCAGGAGGCACAGGGCCTCACATCCTTGTCGTTTTAGAAGGTGAGTGGGACGGAAGAAGGCAGATCTCATCGTTGACTTCTCTGAATGAATCAAGGTGACGGTCATTCCTCCCTCGCTTCCCCCCTCCCCCCCTCAATCCCCTCACCCGCCTCCCCTCCCAGGTACTCGGGGTACAACCTAACACACCCGATTCAAGCGAGTCTGCACTTCCACCTGACCCGCAGCGGCACAGTGGGGCTGGGGAAGGCAGAGCTCGTTGTTGACTTCTCTGAGTGGATTGAGGTGCCTGTTGTCATCCCGCCCCCGCTCCCTCCAAACCCCCCTCACCCTCCAGGTACTCGGGGTACAACCTCACGCACCCCATCAAGGCGAGTCTGCACTTCCACCTCACCCGCAGCGGCACGGTGGGGCTGGAGAAGGCAGAGCTCGTTGTTGACTTCTCTGAGTGGATTGAGGTGCCTGTCATCCCTCCCCCTTCCGCTGCCAACGCCACTGCCAACGCCACAGCCAATGCAACTGCGAATGCCACAGCTGCCAACGGAACTGTTGACGGCGCTGCGGGTAGTAATGCTACAAGTGATGGTGCTGCTGGTGAGGATGGGTCAGAGGCAGCTGCTGCAGAGAAGGATGCTTCAGCAGGAGATGGCAGCAGTTACGCTGGGAGCGAGGGTGCAGGAGAAAAGGGAGAGGCGGAGAAGGGTGGAGAGGAGGTGGGGAAAGACGGGGAGAAGAAGGGGGAGAAGGAAGGGGAGAAGGAGGCGGAGGTGCCTAAAGTGCAGATGAGGAAGAAGCTGAGGAAGAGGACGATTAGAGTGCCTCTGCAGGTGTCTGATGTGACTGAGGGGTTCCAGCGCATGATGACAGACGAGGAGATGACAGATGCCGAAATCCGATTGGACAAGCTGAAGAAGAGGGACGAGGAGAAGCGCGCTGTTGCTGAGGCGAAGAACACTCTAGAGGCGTATATCTACTCTATGAAGGACAAGGTGAGATGCGAGTAGGAGGGCGAGGGTGTGGCAGAGGGTGAGGGTAAAGCAGCATTCAATGAGGCAAAAATCCACTTTGAAAGCGCATATCTTCTTCATAAAGGATAAGGTGAGAGAGTAAAAGGAGGTACAGTATTAAGGCGAGGAGCACCTCCTCACCTTCTCTACCCACTTCATTGGCCTCGCTTCTCTCTACCTCCTGAGTCTACTTAGTCACTTCCTTGTGCCCCTATTTCCCCTCCCCTCTCCGTCCCTACCCCTATTCACCATGACCACGCAGATGGAGTCAAGGAGAATTTGATAAAGGTCACCACGGCGCAGCAGCGGCTTGCTGTATCCTCACCTTCCTCTCCCCTCCCTTTCCTCATTCACCCTCACGTTGTGACACACGCAGATGGAGTCAGAGGAGGATCTGATCAAGGTCACCACGGAGCAGCGGCACGACTTGATGTGCCTTCACGTTCCCCTCCCCTTCCCTCCCTCTGCCCATATTCACCTTCACCATCATAACACAGATGGAGTCAGAGGAGGATCTGATCAAAGTCACCACGGAGCAGCAGCGCGACTCCTTCCGCACCCAGCTTGTTGATGTACGTCTCCCCATCTCCTTCTCACCTGCCATTCTGTGCTCTTGCTTAATACCCGTGGCTACTTTTCTAGCCGATCCAGTAAGTTGTCTGCTGCAACAGCTGCTCTTTTCCACTTTCACACTTCGCCTGCCGTTCTGTGCTCTCGATATTCAAGTCGACAAGGTCAAACGCTATTGATTACAGTGGAATCGCCTAAATGGTCGCATATTGCTTCGCATGCATGTGCACGTGTATATGCATGGGCATGCGGATGTGCATGGGCATGGGCATGGGCATGGGTATGGGCATGGGGAATGGGACATGGGCACGGGCATGCGTGCATGGGCATGGCAGGCGGAGGACTGGCTGTACATGGATGGGGAGAACGCCAAGGCAGCAGAGTTCAAGGCCAAACTAGCTGATCTGAAGAAAACTGGAGATGCCTTCATGTTCCGGTCAGTGATTGCATGGGGAGGGGATGAGCCATTCCACTCTAGGCATTATCTGTCGTCTGTTCCAGTCAGTAATCAAACAAGAAAAAAAAAAAAAAAAAAAACTTGCTTTATTTCGGTCACCCGTCTCCTGATTCCCCTGATGCCCTGATATCCCCCTTTTTGCCTCGCAGCAAAAATGAGCTGACTGCTCGCCCTGCTGCTGTTGGTGTTGGCCGCTCCTTTGCCGACTCCACATATGATGTACGTTCACCTCTTACTACCTGCTCAGCACCACTTGGCATCGCTCAGCACCACTTGGCATCGCTTAGCACCACTTGGCATCACTTAGCACCACTGGGCTTTGCTTAGCACCTCTTGGCTTTGCTTAGCACCGCACACCACTCCCGCCGTTCATTGCATTAGCAGGTGATGGCAGTTAGCTGTGGACCAGCAGTACACTGGAGTATTGCAGTCAGTGCTACAATCAGACTGTGTGTAAGGTTTAGGGTCATCATGACCAGCAGTCATGATCATAATATTGCTAACAACATAATATTGCCAACAACTTGTCCTTCCTCTCCTTCCCACTCCCCTCTCCCCCCCTCTTCTCCCCCCACCCCTTTTCATCCATCAGCTACTGGAGTCGTGGAAAACCGAGAAGCCATGGCTGAATGCCACCACTGACATTGACCCGGTATGTGCGACCATGAGAAATACTCTTAGCTCAAACCTAAAGTTCATGTCACGTATGTTCTGGTGATAGGTTTAACAAGTGATAATGGCTCTGTAATCATCAATTTTGGAAAGTCATGGTAATCCAAGAGGTCTTGAAGAAATGTCAACATTTTGACATTGAACTGGTGTGTGAATGGACATTCCACTTTTGAAAGTCATTCGAGTGTGTGCTAACAAAACTTGACAATGTGCCGCAAAATTCCCCTCTGATTTCTTCTCACTCCCTCGCTCTCCCCTTCTCACTCCTCCCTCCCCCTTGGTCCACCCAGGTTTTGGCTGACGTGGAGAACTTTATCAAGTGGCTTGACGAGAAGACCGCAGCTCAGGCCAAGTGAGTTCATCGGCCCTAAATGCTAGCTCAAACAAGTGTTTTTTGTTGTCAGTTATGTCTAGGAAAGTCAGAGCTGTAGGAGGAAAAGGAACCTTCTTCCTCGCCCCCCCTTCCTCCATCAGCCTCGAATGCCAGCTCCATCATAGTGTTTGATGCATGGCCTCTCTTCCACCACTCTCTTCCCCTTTTCCTCCCCAATCTCCCTTCCCCTTCCTCCTTCTCCACATCCCGCCATCTGCTGCTGCTGCTGGTTACAGAAAGAAGGCTCATGAGGATCCAGCCTTTTCTTCCAAGGAGGTCTACAGCAGAGTCGACACCATTGAAGCCAAGGTACTTTGCCACTCAGGTTCACTGCACCTCGCACTCCCACTACCTGCCATCAGTGAACCATTCATGATGCTGCAGGGTGTTTTTGAGAATTCTCAAAACACCCTGCGCACTCCCACTACCTGTCATCACTGCACATCCCTCGTTTCCTGACTCAAGATAATGCCTCTCCCCCTCCCTCCTTCTCCCCCTCCTCCCTCCCCTCCAGGTGAATCGCCTCAAGCGAATCCCCAAGCCCAAGCCCAAGAAGGTCCCTGCTCCTCCCTCTTCCCGCAACGCCACCACCAGCAACACCACCACCAGCAACAACACCACTGGTGCCTCTGATTCTACCACTGATACCCCTTCCTCCTCTTCCACTAACGACAAAAACGCCTCCCCGCCGCCAGCTGGCGGTGAGGAGAAAGGAAAGGGCGAGGAGTGGAAGGATGTGCGGGATGAGTTGTGAGACTCGGAGCGACACATCGGCACGCCTGCTATGGTGTGGTAATCACGGAGACTAACGTTCGCCTCACTAGCCTGCTTCCTCAGTAATCAGCTGTTGTCTTGGTAGCATTCCAAGTTGACTTGAAAAACACATTGCTGTCTGCAGAGTCTTAGGGATACTTGGCGACAGTGATGTTTTTTCTCTTAGAATCTTAGGCATGAAGTTGTGTGGAATTAGGGTTTGGAGGGGGATACAAAACAAGTGTACCCCCATATGTGTACCCCCTAAGGCTAGACCCAGTACTATAGCCTACATAAATGTTACACATATAATTTGACACACCCCCATAGGCGAAGTGGGGGATAGCCAGCACAAGGGGTCACAAGACCAGTCAAGCAAAGCAAACCAAAGCAAAGCTCAGGGTGGATCACAACGTCACCACACATTCTGAGCAAAGGTTCAAGGCCTCAAGGCCGGTTCACATGCAGGATGATATATAGAGGTAAACAAACAAGAGCAGATATATATAAGACACAGTACAAGTAAGGTCAAGAAGTGAGCAAGTGAGGCCAAGTAGGCACAAGACCTAGCATAGTACAAAAGCGCTGATGATCGCAAGGCGGAAGAGCCTTGGTGAAGATATCAGCAGTGTTGGCCCGAGTGGCCACGTAAGCAAGGCGCAGCTGACCACGCTGCTGCAGCTCACGAGCAAGGAAGTAGCGAAGAGCGATGTGCTTCGTTCTGTGCTCCAGTCTGTGCTCCTGACACAAGGCGAGCATGGCCTTGTTGTCTACGTACAGAACTGGAGGAGAACGAGGCGGCTCTCCAAGGTCAGTCAGCAGGTAGGTCAGCCAGCGTAACTCCTGTGCAGCCATGGCTCCTGCGTAGATCTCAGCCTCACAGCTGGAGCTGAGAACAGAAGACGAGCGAGTAGACCGCCACGAAACAGAGCCGGAACCAAGGCTGAAGGTGTAACCATGTGACGACCGCTGCGTAGCCAGGTCGTCGACCCAAGACGCGTCTGCGTGACCAGTGAGGACCACTCGACTCCGCCCTCCAAGCACAAGCCCCATGCCCGACGTACTGCACAAGTAGCGCAAAACCCTCTTCGCTGCAGCCATGTGCTCTGGTCGGTGTCTCCCAGGAGCAACATAGCGTGCCAGGATGCTAAGAGGGTAGGCCAGGTCAGGTCGAGTGCAGGTCATCAGGTACATGAGGCAGCCAACAAGCTCTGGGTACGGGCCACTCGGCTCTACAGACTCATCCGAAGGCAGAGCTGAGAGCGAGTGGCGAGTAGACAGAGGAGTGGCCTGAGGCGAGGAGTACGTGAAGTCGAAGCGCTGAAGGACCTGCTGCACCATGTGTGACTGAGTCAGGGTAATGGTGCGGCGTGCTCTGTCCCGAGTGATCTGCAAGCCAAGATAGCTGCGCAGTTCACCCAGGTCTGTGCACGTGTGTCGCTTCTGCAGCTCGGACTTCACGTGGGCGAGTCCAGCAGTGTCAGCTGTAGCAAAGACCAAGTCGTCGACGTACACGAGGATGTAGAACGGCGGCAAGGAGGTGTCGGTGCGTAGAAACAGCGACGGGTCTGCAGTAGAAGGAGCAAACCCAAGAGCCGCAAGCGTAGTCCTCAGTGTGTCGTGCCACTCACGAGGCGCCTGGTGGAGACCGTAGACTGGCCGCCGGAGGCTCCACTGGGTGCCAGGAGGAAACGTCCCAGTGAAGCCAGGTGGGCGGCGCAGCCAGATCTCCTCGTGCAGACTGCCCTGTAAGAAGGCTGTGCTGAAGTCCAGAGAGTGAAGCTCGTAGTCACGGTGAGCGGCTATGTGTAGCAGCACCCGAAGAGTAGTCATCTTCGGGGTGGGAGAGAAGGTCTGAAAGTAGTCAACTCCCTGCCGCTGACTGAAGCCTCGAGCCACGTAACGCGCCTTGAAGACAGGCGGAGAACCTGGCGGCCGCTTTACCCTGAAAATCCACATGCCACTGACGATGTTCGCCCCAGGTGGGGGAACCTCGTCAACGTAGGTGCCTGTGGACTTCCAGGAAGCCATCTCTGCGTCCATGGCTGCCTGCCACTGAGAGGAGTAGGGACCCTCTATCGCCTCCGCGTAAGATCGCGGAGTCGGGATTGTCAGAATATTATGCTCTAGCCTGTAGTGGGGTGCTCTGTAGCGAGTACAACCCTTCTAGGGTTTGCTATTTGTATCCCCATTCTTGCTAGTTCAGTCCTCTCTTTTTGCCTTCATTCTCTCTTGCCTAGCTAGGTCAACCCTAGCTATGGCTCCTCAGTATACCTACTATCACGACATGGTATCAGAGCTTAACGTTCCTGGCCTGTGGGCCCACTTCACTGCTTCCGCTGCTACTGCTACTCCCTGTCCGCCGCGCGCCCCGTGGTGCGCGGCGTCGAAACTAGGGTTTTCAGCCCGCCGTGCGCCCCGAGGCGCGCGGCGGTTTTCTGCCCGCCGTGCGCCCCGAGGCGCGCGGCGGTTCTCTGCCCGCCGTGTGCCCCGAGGCGCGCGACGGGTTCCTGCCCCGTCACTCGGCACGTCGCCCCCGGGAGGCGCTGCGACGGGCGACGGGGACCCGCGCGTCGCCCCCCGTCGCCCGTCGTGGCCTGCACGCGGCCCGTACACCCGGCACGCGGCCCGTACGGGCTGCGCCAGGCCTGCGCGCGGCCCGTACGGGCTGCGCCAGGCCCGCGCGCGGCCCGTACGGGCTGCGCCAGGCCCGCGCGCGGCCCGTACGGGCTGCGCCAGGCCCGCGCGCGGCCCGTACGGGCTGCGCCAGGCACGCGCGCGGCCCGTACGGGCTGCGCCAGGCCCGCGCGCGGCTCGGACCGCCTGCGCGCGGTTCGGGAGGCGGTGCCAGGCCCGTGGGCGGCCCGTTCTTCGCTTCCCCTGTCCTCCCCGCTGTCCCCCGTGCTTCTGAAGGCGCCCCACCCCTCCTTCTGCCCGTTCTCCTGGATTAGGGTTTGGGGTGGGGGGTATGGGGGTGCAGCTTCAGTGTGCCGTTCCCTGCTCCTCCTCCTCCCTCGTCTCCCTCTGCTACAGCTGCCGCTGAGGGGGGTGGTGTGTGGGAGCCTAGGGTTTGGGGTCTAAGGGGGGTACCGTCGGAGTGGAGCTAGGGTTCCAGCAGGGGGTGTGTGAGAGGGGGGTGGGACAGTCGGGGGAGGTTGACCGGAGGCTGCCGTCTTGTCGTCAGCAGCACCTGTAGTCCGGGGCGCTTGTTCCGGTAGCCCAGTCGTAGCCAGCTGCGCCAGTCGCCCGTGGGTCCGTTGCTCGTCTGCCGCTCTTCTTAGCCGCGGAGCCAGTTACTCCTGTAGTCCGGGGCGCTTGTTCCGGTAGCCACTGAGCCAGTTTGACTCCTGTTGCCCGTGTGTCTGCAGCTTCAGCCGACGCCTCTTATCTCCTCTCCACCTACAGTCTCGCCTCCTCCTCCTCACTTGCCCCTTTTGTGACTGCCTCTAGCTTTGCTCATAATTGTGCACCTTAAACTATTGCTTCTTGCTTGTGCTCAGAATGTGTGGTGACATCGTGATCCACCCTGAGCTTGTACTGCTTTGTTTCCTCTGCTGATTACACCCCACTTTGGCTATGGGGGTGTGTCAGAATATTATGCTCTAGCCTGTAGTGGGGTGCTCTGTAGCGAGTACAACCCTTCTAGGGTTTGCTATTTGTATCCCCATTCTTGCTAGTTCAGTCCTCTCTTTTTGCCTTCATTCACTCTTGCCTAGCTAGGTCTTCCAGGAAGCCATCTCTGCGTCCATGGCTGCCTGCCACTGAGAGGAGTAGGGACCCTCTATCGCCTCCGCGTAAGATCGCGGAGTCGGGATGTCTAGTGCATCCGGGTCTCCCTCAGGGGCAAGTAGCGAGGACACAAGATGAGGTAAAGCAGCAGCAAGACACTGGAACTCCTCCTGCCTGTCCTCAAGGACGTCCGTGCTAAGAGCACACTCACCCCCGACGGACGAAGGACAGACAGACTCAGACTCAGCAACAAGACTAGCGGCGTAGTCGAGACGACAGGCAGCAGCAAAGTCGACAAGCTCAGCGACTAAAGCAGACGCAGCAGTAGACTCAAACGACGGGTCAGTGACAACAGTGGCTAACAGACGCGTGACAGTGGGGTGCTCAGCGCGAAACCGGTCAGACTCAGGGTCCGGAACGACAGGCAGAGAGGACGCAGGTGGGGAAGGCAGAGGAGCAGGCTGCGGAGCAGAGGAAGGACGACGGACGACAAGGTGTGCGCTGGGGACAGTCTGCTGACGCGCACGAGCGACACGACGACCGGTACGACCAGGACGAACAGGCGAGACAGGACGCGACGCAGGCTCACGACGCTCAGCAAGACTACCTGTCTGCTCAGTGTAAGGAGAAGGAGCAGGCAGCGGTGAGCCAGCCGGTAACGGAAGACCAGTGGACGACGGGAGAGTAAGAACCTGACGAAGAAGAGAGTCAGGCGGCGGCAGCGACGACGGAGACGGCGGAGCGAAGAACAGTCGTGTCGGCGCAGCTGTACCAGCTCCGGCAGATCCAGCAGCGCCAGCACCTCCAGCAGCGCCAGCGCCTCCAGCAGCTCCAGAAGCTCCAGCCTCAGAACCGGTACCTCCAGCGCCAGCAGCTCCAGAACCAGCGTCACCAGCAGCCGCACCCCCAGAACCGGCACCTGCAGTCCCAGGGTCTCCAACCGCAGTGTCTCCCGCAGCAGCACCCCCAGAACCAGC